AATAATTTAATGAACTTAATATATGCCTTAACTTGCCACATTATATTACTACACGGATTTTTAACTTATTTTCAATAACTAAAAAACTCACTTTTATGTATTTTTATTTTATGTATCAACCTAGAGGTGCGCCATATTCGATAGGTTTATTTTTCGTTACAATTAAAATATATCGTTGGTTTCTAGTGATGTTCATTGGGCTCTAGAAAAATTCACGCTGTGTATTCAGCAAGAAAATCTAGCCTAGAATAAATAGTTTTTATTTTCGATTTAATTTAAAAATAATATAAGGAACAAAGATAAAATCTTCCATAAGTACACATTTGAAGAATATAGAAAATTCAGAAGCGATGCAAGGGATGAAAATTAATATTTTTATAATTTAATTCGATAATTAATATTATTATTTGCAAGCTAGGAACGCAACTTCAATGACCAATTTTATATATTTGCAATACTATTTATTATATTCAGACGTGTAACGCAAATCTCAAGACAATTTTTGTTATATACAAGTAAAAAAACCGCTGGTTCACATAAGTTGGAGTGACTTTATTATCGCACTCAAATTAAAAATATCCAGCTAATAGAGAAAAACGTCTGTTGAATAGGGTTGTCGCCATATACAAATGTTAATGCTTAATATAAAAATATTTTCAAACAAGTATTTTCAACAAGTTTATCAATGTGATATAAAAGCTCTTTTTGGAGTTTTCGATTACAATTCACAGTAATTCAGACAACTTAACAGGGAGGATTTACTTAAAGTTTTACCCTGAGGCAAACGGTTGTTAGTACATTAAATCCTTCTAGTCCAGTGATTCATCCAAGGGTGAAGTTAATATGAAGCTTCCAATAAACATATATCATTGATTCGGTTCAGTCTGTACAACTGGGAAGAAAGCGCATCGAATGTCCCTTGGAGACTTGGGCCTGACCCTAGAAATGCTCTTCTGACCTGATACGAGTTATTGGACCAACAATTAATTAGTTCTAAATATAAAATAAGTATTCATCTCCCCTAACTACGAAAATTAAAAGTTTTTACATGTCATGTGTACCACTGTTATACGATTTTTTAAATATTAAAGCTCTTTGTGTCCTCTAAAGGGGAATTTCCAAGATCTCTAGACTCTATTATATTATATGTATAATATTTTCTATTAATGAAATAATCATGTACTACTCATTTCTAATTATTGAAGCCATAAACTAGATTTGCTATAATTATGCAATTTCCAAATATTAATATCCTTAAAATCGTTTTTGTAATTAATGAAATTTGGTTTATTTTGCGAAGGTTTGTGTAACCAAATGAAAATTATTTGCATCGACAATAATATATATATACGTTTATATACTGTATTTACCATTTATGTACATTTATACATGTCATGTAGGATTATGAGTGTGGTTATTTAATGAACCACATATTCAGGGCCAAGCCGGTTGCATTTTAGGTTGAGGGCTTAAGCATGAGTATTTAGGTATTTAGTTCACACAGATGCATATTTAAGATGATTGATATATAATATAGATAAATAATGGACATACATATATACATATATATATATATATATATATATATATATATATATATATATATATATATATGTATATACGCTTACATTATGTATTACATATGCAATATGTATGTTCAGAAAATGTGTGTGTTGTGTGCATGTGTAGAATTTTTTTGGGTATGTCATAAATATTTATGTATGTATAAACATACACAGCTACAGATATTTATTCATATATGTGCATATGTATGTATTTATTTATGAATGTATCCAAACATACACATGCATAGGTACAAATATATGTATGTGTGAATAGACACTAACACAAGCGAATGAAATTTTCGAATAGACGGTAAGTGCTTAAAAGTTTGTGCGTGCTAAAAGTATTTTCCCAGGCCAAAATAGAGAGTGTATCTAATTTTGGGAATTTTGCCAAAATATATGAATTTTGTAATTCAAATAGACACTCTCATCAAGCAGCGTTCTCCTTGCGTTCAGTTGCCGTTGATCGTTATAATAGCGCGATCTTTGTGTTAGCTCTTGGTCTTTTGACTAAAAGATATTATATAATACCGAAATTTTTGTTAACATAAAACAAATTGTAAGTTTTGTTGATTTATTGCAACAATTCAAATAAACCATTGTTCCTAATTAGTGTACAAATATAAAAATCTACAACTATACAAGTTACATACCATATACATAGAATATTGTATATGAAAACATTGAAAAAATAATTTAAAAAATTTTCAAATAACGAAAAAGTGCAAATTTCTGTTTGCAAATGTACATATAAAACTATTTGCACACAAATAAAAAAATATATAAATATATATAGGCAATAATATATATTTATTTACGCATATCAAGTTTGTGTTTCAAAAGTGTATCCTGCAAAATATATATATATATAAAAAAGTTGTTGAATCTATAAACTATATTGGAAATTTACAATTAATTGATCCACACCACTCATACGACAGGAGCACATATATAGATATACCACATATATATATATGTGGAAAAATACATACATATGTACATACCTTCCCTATATACAGACATATATATAAGAGAGTAAAGCTCCCTCAACCTGCCGAATTACCCTGAATTTTTTTAATATTTAGTCATTTACTCCTCAAAACTTGGCCATGTACGTATGTATGTATATAACTATAAAATATTATGCACCTGTTACTGTGGCCACGCTCGCAAGTGTGACATACATACACACATACATAAATACATACATGCATCAAGTGTTGCCAAAATCCAAAAAATTCAAATATATACGCGCATATATACATCCATACATATTAAATCAACCCAACTATTACCTGCCAAATCTTTTCCACAAGCATACTCAAAAATTTTATTTTTAAGCATAGATATTATATGTATTAACAAAAATACATACATTCGAATTGATTTATTTAAATGCCAAATCTTGTATCTGTATGGGTGAGAATACGTTGATTATGCAACCCATTTGGCTGTTGTGATCTAAGTGACAACACAAAGACGGCAACAACACATTTGAACAAAAAAAATAAAAAAAATAAGAAATTATAAATAAGAAAGCTTTTGTATAGCAGGTGTAAGTATGAAGAAACTTTGTAAATATGTACATTTAAAGCATGTACATATGTACCTATTTACATGTGTTCAAATTTACATATATGTATGTATATTTGTACATATGTAGTGTAAAATACGTGTATTGCAATTATATGTAGTTATGAACAATCATATTTGAGTGCACTTTTGTACTTGATTGTACAGTGTATGTATGTAGGTACATTTGTACCTATGCCACACACACACGCACAGTACATATAGGTACACACATCAAGACTTGTATAGATTCAGCAGCAAAGGTTTCTATTTTTAGCTAATATCTTGTAGACTCGAAATATACAGACATACATATATTTTTTCCGGAACACAAGCTAATATATAATATATATACGTATGTGAGTATAATTCTTGTATATATGAAATATATAATATATGTAAATATTGCAGAGAAAGCTGCCAGGCATGTAAATAGTATATATACTTCAGGGAGAGTTCCTGTTTACATTGATCTCTTTGTTTGTGTATTTAAGTGCAACATACATAAACTATATGTATATACTATAAATATCTGCACTAATTTATGGCCAAGTACACACTTAGACTCATTTCTACAATGTACCTACATCGGTGATCGGTGTGCTAATTTTCTTTGTGTGTAACTAGTCCAGGTAAAATCTAAATGGGAGAGTGTCCGCCTGGGTGACACCCTGTAGTCAGCTTGAAATTTCGCTAAAATACATTTGAACACAAAAACACATATATGCACACACACACACACATACACACACACAAGCACACACAATAAAAGCTGCGCGCTTTTGGCTGATCTTTAGTATGCTTCTTCTTCCCTCTACATCACACTATGAAAAAGTTTTTTAAATAACTTTGGTGTTTATTGTCCGATTGCTATAAAATTTTCAGAGCAAAAAGCTAATATTTAAACTTAAAAAAGATAATTATATATATATAAATATATATATATTATAAATACCCTATTAAAACTGTTCATAAAATTTTAATTTGTGCAATATATTTAAATATTTTCAAGGACTAACATACTTTGTGCTCTTTTCTTCAAATTATTAAATAACTGCAAAATTTTGAAATGTACTGCTCAAGTTGTCAACTACAGCGGGGACCGCACATGGTTCAATTGTTTGACGTCAATGTCGAATACGTGCGTTTGACACTCAATCATCTACACACATATTATACAAACATACACACATACATTTGCCTGTCTGTCTATCTATGCGTGTGTCTGTCTCTCAGCCATGTTCGTCGGCGTAGCTATTTCTATGCAAAGCAGCCTCTCAGTTTTGAGGCATTGGTGATGTAACCTGGTAGAAATCCCTGTTTTTTTGCAGCAGGTATCACATACGTACATAGTATGTACATAAATAAATTTAATAAAGACTTAGGTCTAAATAATTAGGAATGTTGTCTCTAGGAATTTAGAGAATTAAAAAAGTCAAATAGGCAGTTAGTGCTTTAAAATATTAAGAATTTCAAACTTTTGAACTTCATATTTAGCGGGTCTTTCAAAAAATTGCTGTCGAAAATCCTTTTTTATTATCGATAATTGGGAAACCTGAAAGGCTATCGGAAGAAAAAATATTTATCGGAGCGGTCACGCGACTTTTTCCTACAAGCTACAAAATCTAATAATCAGGTTCATTCTTGAGATTGAGTTAAATTTACAAAATTCTAATCGCATTTAAATCGAAAATGTTATTCATTTGCAAAATGTAGCATTGCGATTACAAAATAATTTACTTAAATTCTTGTCACGACTCATTCATTCAATTGCCAATAAGTGTAATTAAAAAAAACTTTACTTTTATGGCACCACACTTTTTTTTTCTTATCGATACTTCAATAAGTTTATTAAGCAGCCCTGCGCTCGATATTGTCATGTCATAGTTAACACTGCGCCGGAAAATTCAGTAATAAACGGCCTAAAACTGCATTTTAGTTACAGTACACATATACGTATATTTAGAACAAAAAAAAATAGAAAGAAATCGCCATGGCCATATAAAACCTGTGTAGTTATTGACTGTAGTCAAAATTAAGTACTTAACACGTCAAGTTTTTTCACTTTTGAATGATTGTAAATAAAATTAGGCACAGATTCGCAAATATTGCATTACTGAGCAAAAGTGACACGTGTGTGAATCTCATAAGTTAGCGCTGCTAAGAAATAAATCAAAATAAGTGGTAATGAAAATAAAAATAAGTATAACCATTTCTATTTCCATCGTGCATTTATACATGACGTGTATGTGTGTGGACTGTGTCAGTTCTACTCATAAGACACACACATATACGTGTGTACTACGTACATATACTTTTAAATACACGTGTCTCATTGTTATCTGTGGATATTGAAATACACATGCACATACAACATAAAGTAACCGTTTACACATGTTTTCTATGTCATTCAGGTGACTATTGGTGGATCTTTGTCTCTCTTTATCTGTTATCGAGAATACACATTTCGCAGCACTTCGCAGTGTCTTGCGATACATTCTAATCGCACACACGTATATACCTGCCTATGTACTTACATTATTTACAAGTGTGTTTGTTGCTGATCCAAAAAGTGTAAAATAAAAATGCACAGAAGAAGCTGCAGCTTTAGCACGCATATAATTTTTCCAATTGGAAGCTTTAGACTTAACAAAAAAAAAATGTGGAAAACCACAAAAAAGAAATGAGTGGGGAAAGCGATTTTAGATACATTTGCAACATAAATTGAAAAAAAATAATCAAAAAGTGTTATCTGATTCAGTCGCATCATGAAATTGATAATACGTTTATAATAATTAAAGCGCAATAAATGAGTCTTTGTTGCGAAAAATGACTGCAAGCTGGTTTTTGTTTTGCTGTTTTCTTATGCTTTTCGTATTCTGATCACAGCTGAATATGCAAATTTCATAAACAGGCCGAAAATTAAAATTAGTTGCAAAAAGAGAAAGTTTATTTTAAATTTGCAGTATTTAAAAAGAAAAGAAAAATGTATAATTTGGTCGTACTAACCGGCCTATATTTCTTGAATATTAATCACCAGTTTCTCGCCTTTTGTTTTGCATCTGTTTTGAATATACCAAAATCTGCTTAAAACTGATTGAATAAATACTTAACTTTGGTATTTTCAACCTTGATATTCACGATATCCGCGTTTTTGTGCTTACTTCCTTAAAAGACGCTTCTGAAAATATAAGGTTTCCAAGTATATATTAAATAATTTTATTTATAACGAAATGTTGCTTAAATCGAATTAAAAACAAATAATATTTTTATATATTTGTATTTTTTTGCAGGGTGTTGTAAGCTAAGGATAACGATTCAAAATGGAAGACGGTCACGCAAAAACCGTCGAACAAGCTCTGACCTTCTTTAGCACAGATGCAGAACGCGGTCTATCTCTTGATCAGATCAAGGCAAACCAGAAGAAATATGGACCTAATGGTAAGCATATATGGCGATAGTCTGAGCAGCTTTATAATTATTGACTTTAATAATCACAATTCGATTTTCTTTTTATTTTCAGAATTGCCAACTGAGGAAGGTACGCAATTATCGACCTTGCTGGGCACATTTACAATGTCCTCCAACTGAATATAGTATTTAAAAAAAAATTTGGTGTATTAATTTATTTTTATTATTACAGGAAAAAGCATTTGGCAGTTAGTTCTAGAGCAGTTCGACGATCTTCTGGTGAAGATTTTGCTATTGGCAGCCATAATATCATTTGTAAGTTGTTTGACGTTTTGAGTCACTTTTTCACTAGTATATATTTTTAATCGAGCCCCTATCCTGAATTCCAATTTGAATTTAAAAATTAAATGGCCAAATTGTTAAACAAGTCACAGAAATATTCAAAATTAAATTAAAAAGAAGCTCAATAGTAAACTTAGCGGAAATTTCTCATTATGGTATAACAATTATGTTGTGAAACCTGAATTGAATGTATATATATTCCTGATCAGCTTCACTGTAGCCATGTCCGTTGGTCTGTGTGTGAACAAGTCCCTAAGTTTTAAAGCTATCTTAATAAAACTTGAAATATATCCCTATTCTTGCTGTAGATGATTCTGATCGGATCCTTATCTAGCTGGAAAGCTATCCTTGTTAAAATGGACAAATTGTCAGCTAGCTTTTAAGGGAATAGTGAAATTTGAATAGTTCACCTGACAGCCTCTCTTAATTGTGTGTAATTACTTTCAGAAGGATTGAAATTTTTAACACAAAATACATTTGTTTTGTTCTATTATAGGTATTAGCGCTATTTGAAGACCATGAAGACACATTCACTGCATTTGTAGAACCCTTAGTCATATTACTTATTCTAATAGCAAATGCTGTCGTTGGTGTTTGGCAGGAGAGAAATGCCGAATCAGCAATTGAGGCACTCAAAGAATACGAGCCCGAAATGGGCAAAGTAGTGCGTCAAGATAAGTCTGGTATCCAGAAAGTAAGAGCGAAAGAGATTGTGCCCGGTGATCTGGTCGAGGTGTCTGTGGGCGACAAGATCCCAGCTGATATTCGCCTCACTCACATCTATTCGACAACACTGAGAATTGATCAGTCCATCCTTACCGGCGAGTCTGTTTCGGTTATCAAGCACACCGATGCTATTCCCGATCCACGCGCCGTCAATCAGGACAAAAAGAACATTCTGTTCTCCGGCACAAATGTTGCCGCTGGCAAGGCACGTGGCGTCGTCATTGGCACTGGCCTGAGCACTGCTATTGGTAAAATCCGTACTGAAATGTCTGAAACTGAAGAGATTAAAACACCACTGCAACAGAAATTGGATGAGTTCGGTGAGCAGCTGTCCAAGGTGATCTCCATCATTTGCGTTGCTGTCTGGGCCATCAATATTGGACATTTCAATGATCCCGCCCATGGCGGCTCCTGGATCAAGGGTGCCATCTACTATTTCAAGATTGCCGTCGCCCTGGCTGTCGCTGCTATTCCCGAGGGTCTGCCAGCTGTCATCACCACCTGTTTGGCTTTGGGCACCCGTCGCATGGCAAAGAAGAACGCTATTGTCCGATCTCTGCCATCTGTCGAGACCTTGGGCTGCACATCTGTCATCTGCTCCGATAAAACTGGCACCCTAACCACAAATCAAATGTCCGTTTCCCGCATGTTCATCTTCGACAAGGTCGAGGGCAATGACAGCAGCTTCCTGGAATTCGAATTGACTGGCTCCACATATGAACCCATCGGTGAACTGTTCCTGGGCGGCCAAAGAGCTAAGGCCAGCGACTACGATACTCTGCACGAACTGTCCACTATTTGCATTATGTGCAATGATTCCGCCATTGATTTCAACGAATTCAAGTCTTGCTTTGAGAAGGTCGGTGAGGCCACTGAGACTGCATTGATTGTCCTGGCCGAGAAACTGAATGCCTTCAACGTTAACAAAGCCGGATTGGATCGTCGCTCAACTGCCATTGCGTGCCGCGGCGAGATTGAGACCAAATGGAAGAAGGAATTCACTCTGGAGTTCTCCCGCGATCGTAAATCCATGTCCTCGTACTGCACACCACTGAAGGCTTCTCGTCTGGGTACTGGCCCCAAACTCTTTGTCAAGGGCGCACCCGAAGGTGTCCTCGAGCGTTGCACACATGCCCGCGTCGGCACATCCAAGGTGCCACTGACCTCCGCACTCAAGAGCAAGATTCTGGCCCTGACTGGACAGTATGGTACCGGACGCGATACTCTGCGTTGCTTGGCCCTTGCCGTTGCCGACAGTCCCATGCGTCCCGAGGAAATGGATCTGGGTGACTCAACCAAATTCTATCAATATGAAGTGAATCTAACCTTTGTCGGTGTCGTCGGCATGTTGGATCCACCACGTAAAGAGGTCGCCGATTCGATTATTCGTTGCCGTGCCGCTGGCATTCGTGTCATTGTCATCACTGGCGATAACAAGGCCACCGCTGAGGCCATCTGCCGTCGCATTGGCGTCTTCTCCGAGGATGAGGATACAACCGGAAAATCATATTCGGGACGTGAATTCGATGATCTGTCGCCAGCCGAACAAAAAGCCGCCGTTGCCCGTTCTCGTCTCTTCTCGCGCGTGGAACCCCAGCACAAATCGAAGATTGTTGAGTTCTTGCAGGGCATGAATGAAATCTCCGCCATGACAGGTGATGGTGTCAATGACGCCCCCGCTCTCAAGAAGGCCGAAATTGGTATTGCTATGGGCTCTGGTACTGCTGTCGCTAAGTCCGCCGCCGAGATGGTCTTGGCCGATGATAACTTCTCATCCATTGTGTCGGCTGTTGAAGAAGGTCGCGCTATTTACAACAACATGAAACAATTCATTCGTTATCTGATTTCGTCCAACATCGGCGAAGTTGTTTCCATTTTCCTAACTGCTGCTCTGGGTTTGCCCGAGGCTTTGATTCCCGTTCAACTCTTGTGGGTTAACTTGGTACGTTATAAAATGCCTATTCATTTTGATCAGCTTAATGATTCATAAATGTTATTGTCATTTGTCATTTAGGTCACTGATGGTCTGCCAGCTACAGCTCTTGGTTTCAATCCCCCTGACTTGGACATTATGGAGAAACCACCAAGGAAGGCTGACGAAGGTTTAATCTCTGGATGGCTGTTCTTCCGGTTGGCAAACTTAATTAAAATGTTTTTTCTTTATTTGCCCGTATCTATAATGGTATTTTCTTTGAATATAGTTACATGGCGATTGGTTTCTACGTCGGTGCAGCAACGGTCGGTGCCGCCGCTTGGTGGTTCATCTTCTCTGCCGAGGGACCCGGTCTGAACTACTGGCAACTGACTCACCATCTTGCCTGCTTGGGCGGTGGTGATGAATTCAAAGGTGTCGATTGCAAAATCTTCACTGATCCACACGCAATGACCATGGCCCTGTCCGTGCTGGTAACCATTGAAATGTTGAACGCCATGAACAGGTAAAATTGGTTGTTTGCTAAGAACTATTATACTCATACTTGATTAATATGTTTTCTCTTTGTCAGCTTATCTGAGAATCAGTCTTTGGTAACAATGCCGCCATGGTGCAATTTGTGGTTGCTTGGTTCAATGGCCCTTTCTTTCACTCTTCACTTTGTTATTCTATATGTTGAAGTCCTCTCCGTAAGTGAAAGTCTATATTTAACAACTGCCTTTGCCATGATAATAGCATTGAATATATATTTATAGACCGTCTTCCAAGTGACACCGTTGTCTACAGAGGAATGGATAACTGTGATGAAATTCTCAATTCCTGTAGTTTTATTAGATGAAACATTGAAGTTTGTTGCTAGAAAAATCGCAGATGGTGAGAGCGCTATATATAAAATGCATGGGATTGTGTTAATGTGGGCTGTATACTTTGGCCTGCTGTACGCTATGATGCTTTAAGAATATATTTATAATCATTAAGCCCAACATCATTATTCTAATTAACTAGCATAAAGTGTTACTAAATATAAAACAGAAACAAATACCTAAAGTAACGACTTTAACCAACCAACCAACCAACCAACTACAAAATAGACTTATTTCCGAATATTACTAAAAAAAAAAGAAAACAAAAAAATTCACGCGTGATATTTTAATAAGAGATCGTTTTTACTCTATGATTTATACAAAGAAACACCGTGAACTGGTCAATAGATTATGAGAGTTAACGATTAATTACAGAAACCTACACATAATACATTTTTTTTTTATTTTGAATATGTTCTATATACATATAACATGGCATTGCTTTTTGTACATACGATGCCTTAAGCAGAATCGCTCATTGTTTTCGAATTCAAATACACGAATACGTAAGTTTCAAAAAGATTTCAAAATGTCATTTTTCGATAACATTCAAATGTCATAAGCAGATTATTGCTGCAACAGTGATGATCATTTTTATAAACATTTATAAGTTGATTATTACAGGTTTAGTTTCTCTACTTAAAAAAAGTAACAAAAAAAAAAAAAACAGAAAAAAAGTTCAAATCATAGATTTTGTAGTATCTATTATGTGAAAAATTCAAATTGTATTTATTTTACAATACAAAAAGTCAACAAAACCCTACATTTTCTACAAAAACGATGAATCTATGTAAATACTTCTTCACTTAGGGGTCATTATTAACAAAACAAAAAAAAAAGAAAAGAAAAGGAATAAAACAAGAAAATGATTCAATATATTAGATAAATCCTAAAATCCTAATTATATGTAGATGTCATACATATATACAACACACACACATGCATATATATATTTTATTTATTCAACAACAATTGGTTTAGCTGCCTTTGATCATGGATGGAATAGCGGATATATATTTTGTATTCAATTTATTTATGTACTAAGTAGTCTTATGTCAGGCGAGGACTTCCGTTTTGAAATTAGAAAAATATTGGTTCATTCCATAGTATATAAGAAGTAGGAATTCAAAATGTGGATCGATAAAGACAAAAACAGTCAGCTTATGAACAAAGTGTGTACTTTATTGGTAGGTTACTTATTATACAGCTCAAGCTTCCGTTCCGCTTTGCTATACTTTTCCGGTAAATTATGGTAATTGGGGTCCATAGATAACGTCCGTGGTATTTATTTTTACGGCATATACTAACATGATAGCAATCATCCAATTTGTGTCGCAGTTTAGTGTAACAAGTTTTTTACTTTCTGTTTAAACGAAAAAAAAAGTCAGAATTAATTAAGAATCTAACAAGTTTTTATTTAGAAAATTCATTTAAAATTTACGTTATGTACTCTGTTATTAAACAATTATAGACGCTGTCAAATAAAAACCTTAAATTACAAACAACATAATCATTACTAGAAATATGCGAAACTAAAATGAGCGCCAGAGAACCCATTGAATTAAACAGTGCTGACGATCGCTAATCCTACAAAAATTCATCTTTTTTTGAATGCTCGCTCGCATTTTGTTGCAACTCGCTGCTGTTTGACGATCGAAACATATACAAACATATGCCTACACCATAAATTTATAAATAATTTATTGTTTTATTTTATACAGTAAATCCCCGATTTCATTAATTGGATGACTCACACCCCCCATTAATTTAAAATTAATTTAGTCCATCCCTGCTCTATAGAAAGTATGTGAAGTTGTTAAATGTTTGATAAAAAACAAGTGTGCCAAACAAAATTCCAATGTGAATTCCGAAAGAGAGATCAATTGCTGTACATTATGGTCTACTACATTTTGACACCACAAACAAAAAATATTGAAAAAAAAAACACACTTTTAAAACGATTGAATTCATATTTCAAATTCAGCATGTAAGATATCCATGATAACGAAATATAAACACTGAACCCCGAACTCTACTGGTCTACTTTTTAAATGAAGCGTAAATGTAGTCGTCATGTAGTTGGCTGAATAAACCGTTGCTGACGTCCTACTGTATACTGCCCACCCTTCCCTTCGTTATAAAATTTGGTTTGCAGAACGCTTTGGTTTCCTTTACTTTTTGTTGGTTACATTTATACATATTGGTAATTATCGACAATATTATTTGTGTGTATTTAGTTCCTGATACCGTCATTGATAAATGGTAAAGGTCTTGGTCATTGGAACGAACGAACGATCCAGGAGATCCTCAAGGATGTCTATATCGTAAAACCTTTATCAAATCTTGTATTCATTGCTCAGACAGCCCTGTTACCTGAAATTGCAAATTGTATCCAATATGAATAAAATTAATTATTTGATTTAGAAAGTAATTACAAAAAAAAAACACACACTTTCTTGACTTGACGGGTTATACAAAAATGGTTTAAATAAATAAATAATTTCCATAAAAACTATTCAATTGTTGTTATTTAAAAAATATATTCGAAATGGTAAGTAAAACAATAATATTTTGGGGTAAATATTTTAATGTTATTAATTGTATATATTAACTAACATGAACCTCTCGTATACTAATTTGATTTTATAAATTTTAAAAATTTAAGATAAAACCGTTAACTCTATTCTGGTCAAAGGTTCAAAACAGATCCAAATCGTTTTCAAAACAAGTTTCGATTATTAAAACTTAATTGTGCTAAATGTTAAATAATTTCTTTATAGGCAAATTGCATTTTTGGAATTTTTTTAATGACATCAGAAATCGAAATTTGAAAGGATATTTCTTCGACGGCTCAGTTTCAAAGAATTTGACGATCTCTACGATAATGGAACTCTTTATATTTTACTTGTTCGTCCTATTCTTAAATATGGATTTTGTAAAAGATCTAAAGATCAAATACAATCTGTACATCATTTCTGCTATTTGTCCTTCGGTGACTTGACTTGTTGACTATTACGAAGAAACCTTTTTTCCCTTCGAGATCGTAGAACCATGCTTGATGTAATCTTACACAAACGAATAAACGGTCAAAGTGATTCTTCCGAATTAATTAGCCAAATTATTTTGCTTTTACGATCAGAAGTACTATGAATTTTCTACCATAAGCCATTTCGTATCTTATGTTTCAGCTATAATGAACTTTCCCCTTAATAAGAAGTACCACTTGTTTTTGCTTAAAACAAGATGCAATTCAATTCACATAAAATATATTTTTATTCAATTTAAACAAGTTTTTACAACGATTATTTCTTATTTGAAAAGAGGTATGAATCATTTGTGCCTAGTGCCAATTTGCTAGCATTCTCGTTGCCAACGATATTACTTAAACTAAGTGTATCGAATTTCGAGTAAAAGACTTTGACACTCATTACATCTTGTAAGCCATCTCGTGGATTTTGGTTCACTTCAAGCATTAAATTAATTAAGTCCGAGTAAAAATTGGGGAAATTTGGTGGCTGGTAGAATATTAAATGCCGTATGCCTTTGATGCGAGTACGTCGAAAGAAGTGGGCCCTCTCCGAGTATAGCAAGAACGGTGCGCCGCTGTGGAAGAAAATGTCTCTTGCTCTCGAGATTTTCTCCTTTTTTGTATATTCACTTATTTGAACGAAATTGATCATTTCATTTTTAAAATGATTTCTCAAACGTACATAGTCAAAATAGCTGGGTACGTATAAAAGACAATGTGATAAACCCGATTTGCTGCATTCCGGAAGAATATGGCCAACGAAGTGTTGAAAGCGATCATCAAAAGCCGTCTCAACACTTGAGCAATCGATGCGTTGAAAGACTTGTTCGATTGGCGTCAGCACATTAGAAATATCGCCTCGTGCAATTTGATTTATAATTCGCACTTTCCCCTGGTAATTATGGCATTTGTTATTAAATAGCCCGCGAAATTCGGGTAGCTCGTGCGATGAGAAAAATAATGTTTGTCGATAGAAGCGCGATGTGCCACTGAGACAATATTGGCGTACACGCTGACAGTTTGTGTCTGGCAGCTTTTGCGGCTGTAAATGTAAATGATCCAGCACGTATAGCAGATTCTCCCAGTTCTGAGCTATAAACAGCTCCGCTTGATCAATGATAAGTAGCTCAATTGAATTGAGAAAATCGTAGTCTTGGTCCTTGTCATTAATCATCATACGAAGTGCCAGTGGCGAAGCAATCAATATATCCGATCCACTTATGTCCGTGTATAAGGACATTGATTTCTTTGTGAAACGTATGCCCAATTTAAAGTTGTCATCCGTATTTCCGCTAAATGTTTGTTCATAGTCAAATGGCTTGGGATTCGTTTTTGGGAAATAAATAGTGTTGCCGGAAAAGTCATTAAGAAAACGATCATACTTTGCAATCGGAGGGGTGGCATTTTGACCTAAAAATGAAAATAAGTTAGAAATATATAAATACAACAATATTAAAAATTTGCTTATTAATGAATACACAAGCTCAATATATCTATTGAGCTATTTATAAATAGTTAAAAAGGATTTATTGAGCTTGTGTATTTATAAAATGCTTTTTTTGGGTACGAAAAAATGTTTAATTTATATACAAACCTTTTTGCTTGGGAAACAGCAAGCTTGCCATAATTTGTACAGTTTTTAACGCGGATTCTCGAAAAGGTAATAGGATAAGGGCCTTCATTCGCTTAAGGCCCTGATCCCTTAAGCTATCAGGTATTGCGACATCGCACAGCGGTTGATTTGGATACTTGACGAGTCCGGCAATTTTCTCATTATTACGCAAAATTAATGCTCTGGTCTTTAGCATATGATTAACTGCATGCAGGCAGTATACGTATCGAATTTCCTCGGCATTAGCGTGCGTACGCTGAGGATAATAAAGGTCAAGGTAATTGTTGGCAATCTGCAATATTTCAATCTGTAGCGCAGATAGTGGGTAGGCAACATTTGCCGCTAATGACATTTTGACATCCATTATCTGCAGATCTGTGGATTTCACAGTTTCTGGGGGTTGTTTGTTGTAATCGTTGTCGTGTGGACTTGTCGTAGATTTTAAAATTGGCACTTCAATTTGGAATTTGCCAATCGAAGACCATTTAGCTTTCGATACTTTCGTAATTTTTGAAATAATTTCGGTAATATCATCCGAGGTGAGATCGAAATTAAGCCGCTCACTAAATGAATTGTATGGCTTCAAGTCTGTAGGATCTCTTTCTTCCTGGTTTTTAACATCTTTTACTTTTTTTCGTAGTAAAACGCTTCTATTCGATTCTGTTATTGTTGGCGCCGCTATATAAGAAATGTATATTTTGAGTATTCATAAAAGAAAATATTTAGAAAGCTTCACTTACCTGCTGATCGGTATTCACTGACAAGTTGCTCGTAGAATTCATTTTCATCCTTCACGGATGGTAATTGATTTACGGTCATCTTTGATTCCTCACCGGAAACTGTGCTCTGATATTGAGTTGCCCTTTTATGCAATTGTTCCATGTCTCTGCTCCTCTGAATAAAATTATTGTTTTTCGAAAACTTTTCATTTCTTCGAACGGAAGTTCTGTTTGGCTGAGAGCCTTTAGTTCTTCGCTTCCCCCTCATTTTCGTTAATTCTTAAAAACCACTTGTTTATGGTTTAAACGTGGAGAACAGCTGTTGCCCAAGTGATTTAATTACAAGTGAGGACAGAATCGTGACGATATATCGAACAAGTGAGCCAAAAAGATATCGATATTTTAGCCGATTTATTTAAATATCTCAGATCCATTCCAGCACTGAATACATTTTGGAGGAACGAATGGAATTTCAAGTAGATATGAAACTCAGATTTACTCTGCCAACATCTACTATAAAATAAGCCAAAAGTCGCATTTCAAAGGACATTCATTAAATAAACCCGAATTCAGTTTAATGCAGTAGAAAAAATTGTCTTTTATTTAAAAAGTTAAAAACATTTTACATGAAACCTGTTTTAAATGCAAAATTCAAGCGTTGCAAACACTTTACTTGAATAAATTCTTGATAACATTTTCCAATTTCACCGTATCAACAGCAAATTTCCTGATGCCTTCAGATAATTTATCAGTCGCCATGGGATCTTCATTCAGTAACCATCTGAACTGGGTCTCATCAACAGAAATGCGCTTAATATCTTGCTGTTTGGCATCGGGTACAGATAAGTAAGTTTTCAACACCTCCTCATCGTTTTCCAAGTCTTTTAGCAAGGATGGACTAATTGTAAGCAAGTCACAGCCAGCCAATGCCTTGATTTCACCCGTATTTCTAAAAGATGCACCCATGACAAGTGTTTTATAGTCGAATTTCTTGTAGTAGTTATAGATGCTCGTCACAGAAATGACACCAGGGTCAGCTGTCGCCTCGAATTTCTTTGAGTCCGTGTTGGCCACATACCAATCCAAGATGCGGCCAACAAATGGAGAGATCAGTGTAACACCGGCTTCAGCACAGGCCACAGCCTGGGCAAATGAGAATAACAGCGTCAGATTGCAGTGCACACCATGCTCCTTTTCCAGAATTTCGGCAGCTTTGATACCCTCCCACGTCGATGCAAGTTTGATTAAAATGCGCTTCTTGTCAATACCAAAGGATTTGTACAAATCAATCAATTTCAATGCCTTCGCAACGCTTTTCTTGGTGTCGAACGAGAGTCGGGCATCTATTTCAGTCGATACCCTACCGGGTACAACTTTTAAGATCTCGCAGCCAAACAACACGCATAAGTAATCCATAGCTTCTGCTACTTGATTCTCCAGCGATCTAAAAATAAAATGATACCTTTTTAGAGCATTTTATAATTTTGTTGTGCAATTCGTCATGAATTGACAATTATATATTCTTGATCAGTATCATTGGCCAGATTGAAACAACAGTCTGTCTTATTTGTGTATAAAAGCAGAAATTCCTAAGTTTTAAGCTATCTTGATGAAACTATTTATTTTTAATATATAAAAGCCAAGCTCCATTGGACTATACAGTTACACCATACATCGGACAACTCTATTATAGAAAGAATCGGTATAAAAATTGTGGCATTGAAATATCCACAGAACATTACCCTTCTTGAGTCTTTCCATAATCGACGGCTTTGCGTACCAAGTATTGGTAGCGTTCCATGGTTGACGCCGATAAAATGAGCGACGGATTAGTCGTTGCATCGGTAGGTTTGTAGATATTTATCGCTAAAAAAAGAAAACATGTTAATAATAAACATTAACTTAAACAATGGTTTTAAGAACTTTTTTGTATAATTTACCCACTTTAAAGGGTATATTTAAGTGAGCAAACATTTTCACCTGCTTACAGGTAGGTCATGAAAAAATATTGTCTTAAGTTGCTAAATTTAAAAACTGAACCGATTTCGAATACCAATGCTACTATAGTTATTGTATTTTTTCACTTAGCTTAGCTTAAAATTGATTATTCGCTTACAACATTTAACACGCAAGCGATATTCATTATACATTCACCTGAATAAGGTCAAACAAATGTCGACCTCACTTTCGACTTTAACTTTGATTTGAACTTCAAAAACTCTAAAAGCTATGATCGCTAATACATACAGATGATCGAAGGTGTTTAGGTGGATGTAAAGAATATCTAGATGAATATAGTAGTTGTTCCGGCATAAATCAATTAATGTAATACAAATATTTAACCTTTAAAAAAGGTGCATATGCACTTATATATATATGTGTGTGTATATAGTTACGCACACATGTATGTATGTAGATAAGACAATATGTTATTTACTTTAAGGTGATTAAAAATAAAGAAAAACTTCGAGTGTTTGTTAATAAAACTCACCATCAAAATCGCCGGTATCGGCAACAATGGTGGTAATCTTTTTAAGTTGTTCTAAGGCCGACATTCTGAGCTTCTTTATCTGACGATCACTTCCCATCTCCCGTGTTGACTGAATATTGTGCTTAATTCTAAACTTTAACACTGAGTTCAGTAGTTCCGCTCAATTGAACGGCTCATTGAAACTAATTCAGTGATTTGTGAAAGACACCAGTGATGCCATTTTGGCTTTTTCTTAGACAATTTTATGGGTTATCGATAAATATAATTTACAAGTTCGAATAAGATTTGGTTGCATATCTTCTCCAGCTATTAGCGCTCTATCAGCAGTGAACGAGACTTGAATTTGCTATCGTTGTTAGAACCAGCCTTTTTTCTGATAAGATTAATCTCTTTCTCATTTCGCAGCATCCGGAAATCTATCACTTCCCATTTTTCCAGGGCATAATTAATTAAAAATCTATCGATAACCTTGTTATTATGCCGCTTTAAGCTTTGTGGGCTTTAGCATATTTGATTCCGCTGATTCCGTCACTCTTGTTATCCCTTAGATGTTTTTACACAAAAGCATATTTGGATTAGATATTACCATTGAAAGCCAAGCTTACAGTTCAGCGTATCGAACAAATTAGTTTATTTTATTTGTAAACAGTTTTTTTTAATTATATTAATTTAGTTTTAATGAATTCTGACGAAAGGAATACAAATTTGAAAGATGTGAGTAAGACAGGCTTGATAGGATCATCATGGAAACTACAATTTATTCGTGTATAAATACTTTCTCTATTCGCACTACAATTCACCGTTATGTATCCACGGTGTCAACAAATTTCATTTTTTTTTTTACCACGTTGATGGATGGTCTTCATGGCTGCGAAATGCAATAATAGTAATAGTATTTCACATGAATAGTTATTATTTTAAATTACATAGAAAATGAAGTTAATGGATTGCTCGTTGTCAGCGACCTTTCTAGGTTTAGTTGGATATTTCGACACAAGTATGTTATGGAAAACAGTTGAGCCAACTCATATACAGTAGTACTAATTTAGTAGATCAGCATTTAAACACGTTCGCACATGTCCGTAACGGGGTCTGGTCAACTAAAATCTGTTTATTTTACTGATAATAATGGTAAACAATGTTATACATTTTTATTTGTCATATGACCGTAAAACTCATTATAAATTCTTTGTTGAGCTTCTATATTTTTCCACTGCTCTATATACTCTGTCCTTTTTTACTTTCACTTTTTGAGTGGCTGGCTCAGCAGCACTAGTTGGATACATTCCAAGTCGAGTAAATAATACAATTTCACTCTTTTTCCATAGAGTGATGTAGAGCGCTCACATTTTGTGGCAGTCACCACCATATCGGACTCACAGGCGATTCGCAGCGTGGATTTTCATCCAGATGGAAAGCTTTATGCGGTCGGATCGAATTCAAAAACCTTCCGCATCTGTCAATATCCCCAACTATCTAAATTAAGGTGATATGAAAATTGAATATGCATAAAATGTATGCTGATTTGTAATTGTAATCAAATCTTTAGACAAGATCAGCATATTTATCCACCATCCGTTTTGTGCAAGCGGACAAAGCACCACAGAGGCTCCATATATTGTACATGTTGGTCGGCAGATGGCGAACTCATTGCGACTGGGTCAAATGACAAGACCATCAAGTATATGAGATTCAATAAGGACACCAATCAACTGGTGGGTCAGGAAGTTGAACTGAATATGCACGATGGCACCGTTCGGGACATGTGTTTCCTTGACAACCCATCGACCAAATCACGACTGCTCGTCAGCGGCGGGGCTGGCGACTGCAAGATCTATGTTACGGATTGTGTGACGGGTATGCCGTTTCAGGTATTTAGTGGCCATACTGGGCACATCTCATCGTTATATAGCTGGAACAATGCAATGTTCGTATCGGGATCGCAGGTAAGATTTAATTCCTTATATCTTACTGAAGAGGAGTAAAAAATGAAAGGTCGCAACTCAACAGGATCAAACAATACGGTTCTGGGATCTGAGAGTTAACGATGCCGTTAATACTTTCGATCAGGCTGGAGCCATACAAAACTCGCCGGTAACTGCAGTCTGTGTGGATCCGACTGGGCGATTACTGGTCTCAGGACACGCAGATAGCGCTTGTGTCCTCTACGACATTCGCGGCAACAGGCTAATACAACGCTTCTATCCGCATAGCGCCGAAATAAGGTATGTGGTTGACATATAGATAACATAGAAAATACAACTCACTCAATGTGAAACCCTTTTTTGTTGCCTTATTCCTTTTTCTAGATGCATACGCTTCTCACCATCGGCGTATTATATGCTCACATGCAGCTACGATAGCACTATTAAGCTAACCGATTTACAGGGTGATCTTGCCAATGACATCGCATCCGTTGTTGTGGCAAAGCATAAAGACAAGGCGATTACAATCAGATGGCATCCAACGGACTTTTCCTTCATTTCCACATCTGCGGACAAGACTGCCACATTGTGGGCCCTACCTCCATCTTAATTTATTTGATAATCCATCACACAAATATAACCGTAACAGTAGTACATTATGCATAAATAATAAAAAAAAAGATTTAAACACATTGGAGAAAGGGGTGTGGGGAGGATACCTAAATGTTTTTTACTCTTTTAAAATTCTAATTTGTGTAATTTGTTTGCATTAATTATAATTATTTTGCAAACAGCCCTCGCCACCGACGCGATTAATCTGCTGCTGAAGAAAGCGAGAAAAGACCAGGCATGGCACGTATAAAGTTGCCGAGTGTCTAGAAATGGCTTAAAAAAAAGAATTAAATATTTGAAAAAATCAGTGCATTTCTGAATTTATACATACATATGTATATAAAAAATGTATATATATATTTGTACTTAAATATACACCTCTGTTGAGACTGTGTTTCTCAAGCTCGAATTCTGATTTCTAATGCATGCATACCTAAATAAACTAATATGTGTGCACCCCACACAAATGTATTTTAATAACAAACCAATGTATGTATATATGTAATAATATTAATGTATGTATGCACCGACAAATTTCGATTGATGGTCGAAGACTTAATGACAAGACATACGTATGTGAATATAAATACATCTACAAATCTACAAATGTACGTGTGTGATATATGCCCATGTTTGAATGTATGTTTGTATTTATGTATGTATGTATGGGTGTCAGTGAATTATGTTTGTTTTTTTTTGTCTAAAATATAATCGGTATCCCATGCTAAATACGCTAAATATGTTTTCAGTTACTTTTTCTTTAATGCAACAGTATTTCCCCCAACTCGCGACTCCAAATTATATACAGTAGAAAATTATTTTCTGTTACTCATGCGCCTTCAATATGATAGTTTAATTTTATTCGTACAATTGAAAAGTTCACAAAATATTAAGAAAAGCAGATCAACAAGGCTGAAAGTGTTTTTTCATTACAACGCAAGAAGTTGACAACATTTTCCGGTTATCGTTAACCTTGAAAAAAGGCGCTTTCACAAGTAAATAACCATTTAAAGTACATTCAAAACATATTTACGTGTATGCAATATCAATGTTTACAATTCATATTGCTGTGTATGCATATATGCATCTGTGTGTGTGTGTATTGTGCATTTTGGCGTATGCATATGTAATTACTTCATACATGAATTCATCAACTCAAGTAGTTCACAATTAATAGATTGTCTGTTGTGGAAATTTTTTTAATGTCCACATACATTCACACATACAAATGTCATGCGCTATACGTGTGGAAAATATATACAGAGTGCACACTAACTACATACATATGTGAATATATATATATATAAAGCTAGTAAAGTTGAGACAATGTTATCAAGTGGTCATAAATTGTACGTCTGAATATGCTGCGGCCGGTCATGTGACATTTATTCCAATAAAGTTTTTAGCTGGCTTACATAACTTTTGACTAGCCTTAATCCTAAGCAACCTGTCTGTTAGCGCCAGTGCTGGCAGAGATGACAACGGGAACAGGGTGGCACGAGTATTTGCCGAATCTGGAGCGGGAAGATGTACCCTGTTTACAAAGGATTGTCTGCAAAGAACATTTATTTGCATTTTTATGTCCGTTTCTAATGTCTTAACATTGTAAGAAATCATATGAACAATTTTTCAGATACAAACCCTTTTACATATGCATTTATGTAGATGTTTCCTGGTATCAATTAAGCTTCGAGCATCTAGAGTCTCTTTTGAGCAGTGTTTTAATTCTGAATAACTCTAGAACACATGTCTAATGATTTTTGATTTTGTGGCGCTCAAAATGATCGATAACAAATCAGCTGGTGTACATATATAATACATATAAATAGCAGGGTGATCATTTAAATAATAATCGGTACAGCTCGGTCACACAAAAAATGTTAACGGAATCAGCCGTTTGATTTAATTTTGATTTTCTTTCAGTTACGTGATCGGACATGCATACGCATTTTGTATGTTAAATTTATTCCAATCGAACCAAGAATATTAGCTTTAGCAAAATATATATTATATAATTTAAATTTGTATTTGCAGAGCGCATAAAAAACAAGCATGCCAGATAGATTTCAAGTGACAAAAACAGACGAAGAGACTGTATTGGATTATCTTCAAGATGAATCGGCAAGTGGCAAACTGCTAGGAGATACTCATGATGAGTTACAAGGTAATTAAAATTTTTGTAATTATAAATAAGTATAAAATTTTTATATGTGTTCAAAATTTTAGTTTTAATCTAGAAGTAAAACCATGATCTAAATGAAAAACCCGTGAAAAATTGGTTGAATTTTCACGAAGTTATGGCAGTGGGTAATTTTGACCTGCCCTAAATGCGATTTTTATACCTCGTACGCATTAAAAATACAATTCGCTTAAATAAATCGTAAACTACATTTGACAACAAACTCATCACGAATAACTGGCTTTATTATGCTCCCAACATTAAAGCATCATTTTGTCAGACATGCATTTAATTCGTACAAGTCTACATACATAACATATATATATTTATATGTATTTACTGGTATGTACATGCCCATTTACATATGTGCGTCCCAGATGTCCCGGTGACACATTTAACGCCACCTGCACATTAAAGCTCCAAGTGTGGAAAGCTTTCGAGAGCAGTTAAACAGTTTTGGGCTTTAGCTGCTGATGCTGTGTGAGAGGACTTTCTCTGTAATATGGTGAGGCTGGTCCAAATACAGACCCGTAATACACATAAATGTATATATATATCTATAGGTATGCCAGTATCTGGCTCTCTCTCTCTCTCTCTCTCTCTCTCTGCTTCTGTCTCTCTCTTTCTGGTCCTTTGCTCAGAATACGGGGTGAAATTTTGCGTGTAGATAAAAGCTTTCGTTTTCATCTCGATTTCAATGCTGAGAGTCCTGGGCAACATAATTTTTATTCGGTAGCATACAAACAGTTTTCATAATTTTTTCTATTAATCCACATTTTAAAAAAAATAGTACAATTTAAATCAATTAAACTCGATAAAAAAAAATAAAATCAACTACAATTAAATGACAAAATAACATGCATAGTTACATAAAACTCATCAGTTCCCATCAGAGCACCAACAATTGCCAAAAAGTTGTAATAATTGTTTAAATACCTAACAACAAAGTGCGTTTAAAAATCAAAGTCAGTCGTGTATTCAAATTGATTTTATAATAATCATTCAACTGCATTGCTATTTTTTATATGGCAAATACCTTTTTGCTTGAGTGTTTGTTCATATGCTTTTTAATCCTACCAGGCTTATTATTCTTGACCTAAATTTTGCTGTTTCATGTCCTAGGTAGGATGAATCTCTTTGCAGTTAACAAAGAGAAAAGCGAAAAAATGTACTGAACATTGAAAACTGATTTATGTAAATGAGGCCCCCATTTAATTTGCAGCCTTTGGAATTCCTTTACGCTCTATTATAGATATTTACCAGCGCTTATTATTTATTGTATTGTCATCCCTTGAAGGTCTTTTGAATTATAAATGTGTTTATAACATGTTATTAACTCTTATAATTATTTAAACAAATTTATGTTCGTATGACGACCCAAAAGTGTTAGCTAATTTTAAGTGAGAAACGTGATATGAGAGAAGTGTTAAACATGCAATGTAATAGTGAAAAAGATGATGCCGATGAAACGAATATTACGCCATCAGAACACAATGGAACAACACTCGACACAAAACAGTCAGGTATGAAAAATCGCGATGCTGATGCCGCTCATATGCAGAGCGGATATTTGCCTTAGAATATGTGTACGCCCTTGCTAATATGCATTTTACATATTCCATACCTAAATTCATTTATATCCCTTTATTTTGCATGTTAATGCTAATTTGTTAATATACCTGTCGAATATGAAAACATCAGTTTCCCATTCTGTTCGCTGCTACGATTTCACACTTAATATATGTTTTTCTTCCTTCTGGTAATAATGTGGGGCTCCTTGTTCTTGTTTTCTTGAATACATATTTCAAAATTATGCTTATGCGGATAAAGATCAGCTGGAGCATTTTGCAAATAGTTCTATATACAGGTTTCTTTGGTGCCTTTTGCCTTCATCTGCAGCTGTGGAGCGCAATTTCTATGCATATACAAAAACATATTAACAGAAAAACGAAAGTATTTTTAGTTTGATACTTTAAAACATAATTTTATTATTTTTGCAACAATACAAACATTGAGGAGACATGTTAAATTAAGATCACAAACCTGAAGCAGCTATAAATTTCGCATTCAACGTTTCAAATTAATTTTTGCGTTTTTTTTTTATTTATTTATAACTGCTCCTAACTGGAGCTCTTTATTTTGCTATGTAAATGAAGCTGCTACCTTTAACGTGTTTTTAGTTGTCAGGAAAAATGTAATATAAAATCTTTTTTGAGAGAATAAATTTTGGTAAAAATTTGTTTTTTATCAAAAGGAACAGAACAAAAAAATGCACAAAATACTTGACATTTTCAAGGAAATCCTTCGTGCACATTTAATTGCATAATTTCGATTTATTTTCAGTCACACTTTAAGAACTGTTTATTATATTTTTTTTTTTTTTTGGCTGTTGATTTAGCATACAAATGAAGAACAAAAAAGAACACTGAAGATGACACACCCTTGTAAACCGCAGTTCATTTGCTGACATCTATATTTTAGCTCGGCGTTCGAATTATTGTTTTTTCTTTTACTGTTAAAAAAATACTTTTATTATGCTATATGTTTCAGGTCTCACTGTTAACAGAATATTCTACATTTGAGTAGCTAAATATTTAGTAAGAAAGGGGGACAGTATATGTGAATGTCTCTTAAAACTCTTTGAAGTTGATGTAGCTCTTTGCATATAGTTATAAAAAAAAAATCCGATAAACAGTTGTGGAGACATTTCTTTTAAATGAAATTATAAGATCATCTACAAGTGTATTCAATTGGAAAAAATTATGTATTATTTAAATGACAGAAAATGCGGTCTTAAAAACAAGTTTCAAGTTTTAACTTGACAATCTGATTTATTATTCATATTTAACTATCGCCATAATGAATTAGTGATAATAATTGATCAACGTTCACAGTTTCAGTTGATTTCCAACATGATCAAACAATTATCGATCAAACCCGAATATGAACTTGTGATTTTCTAATCGTTCCTATGCTGTTTGCAACGATCGAACTTTACATTCTTGCTTATGCTTAGGTCCTAGACATTAAGAAACCATAATACTAAATTAAAGCAAGGAAGAACTTTTTATTACATTTAACCCGCTATATATTTGTTTCGCCCAATGGTTTTCTTAGCGCAGTTCGCAAAACAACGAAATAGCTGCCGATCGCTGAGCTGATTTATAACGATTCAAATGATTATAGATTATTTACAGAATATTTATAACTATATTTATAATTATTATAATATTACCTATAATAATATAATTACATAAACTACACGCTGTTTGCACTTTGCGCTAAAATAACCATTCAATGTTTCCTTGTTTTAAATTATTTGTTGTAGATTCGCGTGATGTCCACAGTGCAGAGGAAAATCAGAAATCAACAATCGACCCCAATTTGTACCTATACGACGATGACTTGGAGACCAGGCCACACATTTCAACATTCATTTCATCAATTGCCAATTATGAAAACACGATACCAGCGGCCACCGACCCAGATGCAAAGCCACCACCGCCATCGGCTCGAATGGGTACGTTTCAGAAGAAAACTCGATTACATTTCAATTTTATAACAGAGTTAGTTATATATTTCTACTTGAAATCCCTCTTTTCTAGGAACTTTAATTGGAGTGTTTTTGCCATGCATTCAGAACATCTTTGGTGTCATATTATTTATTCGGTTAACATGGGTTGTTGGTACAGCTGGAGCAATTTGTGGATTCTTAATTGTGCTGACTTGCTGCTGTGTGGTAAGACTATCTTTTGTATATTCATTTATACCCTTTAAGATACTCAAGGTACATTTCCGTACTTAGACGATGCTAACTGCGATATCTATGTCAGCCATTGCAACAAACGGAGTGGTGCCGGCAGGAGGAAGCTATTTTATGATATCTCGGTAAATTTTACAATTATAATGAAAAATATATTTTAAATATCTTTGCTACTTTCTCGAAATTATACAATACAATCACTAAACACACAATATTGTAATTAATAATTAATATTGTAAGTTGTAAGTAATGTATTAAAGTATTATATTATATCATATAAGAGATTCGAAAAGAGCACTAAAGAAGTTACGATTACTGTCCTCAGTTTCTAATTGTTACAATTATTTTATTTCTTTATCCATATAGATCACTTGGTCCTGAATTTGGTGGGGCTGTGGGGATGCTGTTCTATACGGGGACAACGTTGGCAGCTGCAATGTACATTGTGGGCGCTGTTGAAATCGTATTGGTAAGAAAAAATTGATTATTGATATATTTACATATATATTATAGTAGATATATATATTATTAATTAATATTGATCATCACTGGCTCATATCATAGACTTATATGGCACCCTGGGCATCCATTTTTGGGGATTTCACCAAAGACGCTGAAGCCATGTATAATAACTTCCGAGTTTATGGTACATTGTTACTCATATTCATGGGTAAGTGAATATAAGATCTGACTCCTAGATACATTTGATGAATATTATTTGTATTTAGGCTTAATTGTTTTCTTGGGCGTCAAATTTGTCAACAAGTTCGCAACGGTTGCCTTGGCCTGTGTAATATTTTCCATAATAGCCGTATATGTTGGCATTTTTGACAATATCAATGGCAACGAAAAGTTATAGTAAGTGACTTATAAAATAATGTAATAAGTATGTTGGTGGTGTTAACTTTCGTTTGATGTTTTTCCAGCCTCTGTGTGCTGGGAAAACGCGTTCTAAAAGATATCCCACTCGAGAACTGCACAAAGGAGGATCCAATGTTACAAGACTTGTATTGTCCGGATCACAAATGTGACGAGTACTATCAAAGTAATTATTAATTATTAATTGTCGTATAATTATACGCTCACTCAATATTATTCACAAACAGATAACAATGTGACCAAAGTGAAGGGTATTAAGGGTCTTGCCAGTGGCGTTTTCTACGACAATATAATGCCTTCATTTTTGGAGAAAGGACAATTTATTGCATACGGTCGCAATTCCGTTGATATTGAAAATATTGGAGGTCAATCATATAATCAAATTATGGCTGATATAACGACATCCTTTACACTGCTCATCGGCATATTTTTCCCATCTGTCACTGGTATGATTAATATTTTATATTGCACACGCAAATTGACATATTGACATATTGATAATATATTCTCTGTATATGTATTTAGGCATCATGGCTGGATCAAATCGATCTGGCGATCTGGCTGACGCTCAAAAGAGTATTCCCATAGGCACAATTTGTGCGATTTTAACGACTAGTACTGTATATTTAACAAGTGTTTTGTTTTTTGCTGGCACTGTTGATAATCTACTACTTCGAGACAAGTGAGAATATTATCATAGTTTACATCTCATTGCTATCTATAATCTATTCATTTCATTTTCAGATTTGGACAGTCAATTGGCGGAAAGCTAGTTGTGGCAAACATTGCGTGGCCGAACCAATGGGTTATATTGATTGGATCGTTTTTATCTACTCTAGGTGCTGGCTTACAAAGTTTAACGGGAGCACCCCGTTTACTCCAAGCTATTGCCAAAGATGAGATTATTCCCTTTTTGGCACCATTCGCAAAGTCTTCTAATCGTGGAGAGCCGGTAAGGGCTCTGCTCTTAACTATTGTAATTTGTCAATGCGGAATTTTATTGGGTACGCATATTTTTTTGAAATGCTATATATTTTGCATTATTTAATAATTTAATATTCTGAAGGTAACGTTGATCTACTTGCTCCACTGTTATCCATGTTTTTCCTCATGTGCTACGGCTTTGTAAACTTGGCCTGTGCCGTACAAACATTGCTAAGGACGCCCAATTGGAGACCACGGTTCAAGTTCTATCATTGGAGCTTATCCTTGCTCGGACTTACCTTGTGTATATCGGTTATGATAATGACATCATGGTATTTTGCACTTCTTGCCATGGGCATGGCGGTCGTTATATACAAATACATCGAATATCGAGGGTATGATCTCTTTACTTGGCTCTCTATTTCTCAGAGTGAATCATACCTAAACTGTTTGCTTACAGTGCCGAGAAGGAATGGGGCGATGGCATTCGTGGAATGGCTCTAACTGCAGCCAGATACTCACTTCAGCGTCTTGAAGAAGGCCCACCACATACCAAAAATTGGCGTCCGCAAATTTTGGTGCTTTCAAAACTCAATGACAACCTAATACCAAAGTATAGAAAAATATTCTCCTTTGCCACTCAGCTGAAAGCTGGCAAAGGCTTGACAATTTGTGTGTCTGTGATAAAGGGTGATCACACAAAAATAACAAATAAAGCCGTTGATGCAAAAACCACACTACGCAAATACATGACAGATGAGAAAGTTAAGGGTTTTTGTGATGTTCTAGTTGCCCAAGAGATCGGTGAGGGCCTAAGCTCAGTGTAAGTATTTTCACATTCTATATACACATAAATATATAGTTCACTTAATTGATTATGAATAACTCAGCATTCAAACTATTGGATTGGGTGGAATGAAGCCAAATACCGTGATCATTGGTTGGCCGTATAGCTGGCGACAAGAGGGACGATACAGCTGGAAGACGTTTATTCAAACAGTTCGTACTGTTGCCGCATGCCACATGGCACTGATTGTTCCAAAAGGAATCAACTTCTATCCAGAATCAAACCACAAAGTAATTAAATATGAATAGCTATATGAGTTAGTTAAATAACCAATCATTTTATTCTTGAAGATTGGTGGCAACATTGATATTTGGTGGATTGTTCATGACGGTGGCTTGCTTATGTTGCTGCCGTTCCTGCTAAAACAGCACAGGACTTGGCGTAATTGCAAACTACGCATTTTTACCGTTGCTCAAATCGAAGATAATTCGATCCAAATGAAGAAAGATCTAAAGACATTCCTGTACCATTTGCGAATTGAAGCAGATGTTGAAGTAGTTGAAATGGTAAATCCATAATCCAAATTTGTTAAAAAAAAACCATTAATAATATTTTTTAAACATCAGAATAATAGCGATATCTCTGCATACACTTATGAGAGAACTTTAATGATGGAACAGCGCAATCAAATGCTTAGAGCATTAGGTTTAAACAAAAAAGAGAATTCCAAAGTGGTAAGTTGCTTAATATTCACAAGTTTCGGTTTCTTTTCTTTTCCATTCAACTTCTTCAAATGGCATTTATTTAGTACAAATCTGATATATACCTTTAATCGGATAATTTTTATGTTCGCACATTAAACTATAATTTTCTTACAACTCTTTTGTTTTCTGATCGTTCGTTTCATAAAAAAAAAAAACAAAACAAAAATCGAATATCTATTGAGATCAATAAACAATTTTAAACTCTGTATATTTGATCAAAGGTTCAAACTATAATGGATTTTAAGGAAACTCCCAGTGATAATAAGTTATCTTTGGTAAAGCTAACATCAAGAATATAGAATTTATATACGTATACAGATATCTAAGTGTTGTTGTATGCATATCAATATTGACATCATAATTATTACATTACATATAAATGTTTCGCTTGCTTTCACAAATTTTTTACACATACGACACAATGACCAAATTTATTGATGTCCATATAAACTATGGGTAGTTGTTTGCATCTTGACTACGAAATAGATAAGGATATATTACTCTATCTCTGGCACCTCAGGTCTCAATCATTACAAGCAGTCGAATTAATTTAATATTTACCTACATATGTATATGTCCGTTTATTTACACTATTAGCCCTCGAAAATAATGGACAATCCTGACATAAAGCTATCATTATTTTTTGGAACACCAGTTTTATTTTGCATGTGTTATTTGAAAGTTCGTAGGGCAGCACGCATCCCCATTATTGTTTCTAACCATATTCGGCATGCAAATAGGAAAGTTCACGGATCTTTTGTGAAGAGTATAGTATAGTATATATGTGTGTATGTATGCACCCAATAAAAGCTTTATGCAATATCCATCCGTCCGTAAGAACGCAATATTTTTCACCCTCTAAAATTGGAGCATATACTCATGTATAACCGCTAGGGGCTAGCATAGCCTAGATATAGACCTATAGCCCCTCAATAGAAAAAAACTTCTAAAAATCAATGAATTTCTCTTAACGCTTTAAGGGCACCTATTGTAGATTGAGTCTTATAGTCACTAATAATATATTCAAGACTGTTTCCATCTGATTTCAGCCGGTAATGAGATACTCTTAATAATAATAAGATCAAAAATACTTTTTTATCTACCTATGATAAAACAAAATCAATCGTGGCATAAAGTATATATTCATATGTTGAAGCCATGGTAATACACTATTCAAAAATATTTCTAGCAAAGAAATGCTTTGATTTCTTTACGATAAGACTCAAACTTAGATTGAACATTAATAATAAATAATACATTTTATGGTCGTCTTTTACACATCAACTTATGAAAATCGATCACAATTATGATCATGTATGTATGTATACCAAGGGTTCAACATAAGGCTTAAGTTATTGGTTATTAGTATTTCCACTACACACATAAGGACTTATGTATGTATAAGTATGTAAATACTTTATGCTAACATTTTCAGGTACAAACAATTGTAGACCACCATTATGACGCCGTAAAAACAGCGTCGAGGGTTCGGTTTGCCGATCCTACCATCGAAGAAACACAAAATCACGTATGTATGCTTAAAAGATAGTTCTGTAAACACATATTTAAACCAAGAAAAAACACATATAAAACAAATTAAAACCAAAAATAAAGCTCTCGGTTCTAAACTTAAGATAAATAGATATTACACGTTGCAGATATATATTATATATTTTATCTGCCATTAAGCAGGTGTCGTAAGCTAAACTAAAGCTTCCAAATCAAAGCTTACCATCGTATACTCTTTATTTATTCTTAATTTTTTTTTTTTGTTTTACTTAATTTTCATTCCTTTAAATTTTCAGTGCGATTACAAAATTCTGTTTTTGTTAAAAATGGCACGGTTGTAAATGAGAAAAGTTTATTATGGATATTGAACAATTCCTTTCTTATGTATACTCAAATCAAACAGGATACTCATAACGAAGAGAAACGTAATTCAATTGATTCAGATGGTCCTGAAAGCGCGGATGCACCTGATATAACATCTAACAAAGATGAATCAACAGAGAAAACTGATGAAAACATGAAATCCAGTGTGAAACCGTACGAACACATTATCTTACTTAACTATTCAAATTTTTTTAACTACGTTTTTTGTACAGGGATGAATTCAATGTTCGTCGTATGCACACGGCAATAAAACTGAATGAAGTTATAGTGGAAAAGTCTCAAGATGCCCAATTGGTTATAATGAATTTACCAGGTCCTCCGAGGGAAGTGAGAGCGGAACGTGAAAGCAATTGTAAGTACATTATTGTAAACTCTCCTTATCTTTTATTTGGCTATGACGTATTTCTTTTCTTCTCTTTTATTCAATAATTAGATATGGAATTCCTGGAAGTCTTAACAGAGGGTCTTGAGAAAGTATTAATGGTTCGTGGAGGAGGTCGTGAAGTAATAACAATTTACTCTTAAGGGCATTAATCGCTCGGTGTTTAAGAGTTCGCAACATTAGACAAGTTTAAGAATCAATCAAATTTTTAAATGAAGGTTATTATTAATTTGTTATATTAAATCATATGTCCAAATATTTTATTTTTACGTAAATAAAATATCAAAAATTGTAACAATAATTAAAATGTTTTTTGTTTTTTAATGACTGGTTGTTTTACGGTACCGTCAATTGCTTGGAAGAGATGAAGGAATATCACGAATGAATGCTTTGAATGCTTGAATATTCCACATTTGTATCGATTATGATAATTTGTATTGTGCCAAATGTGAGAAACTTAATAACACGCATAGCAAAAGGACGTTTCGTCAAAATAAAATTGAGAGATCGATATAACTGATAAACTATCAACAAGCTAACCATGCATTTGAAATCGGGGTTCAGGGTATGTAGTAGTTTTTTTTGGCTTGGCACTAGTGCAGAGTTTTATCATCTTTTATATGGATCTAACCATTGGATACCTGCTCAGTGCACCCAAGAAAATATTACGTGATCATTAGAGAAGCAAGAAACGGAGATCCAATAGAGTGTCACTCTGCTCGTTGAAAATAGCTATTGAGGGCAGCTGTAGGAATTAAACAAATTTATGATTCCTATATCTTGTATTGTTTATTATTATCTTAGTTGCTTATACTGTTTATGATTTGTGTATTCTCAATAATTTCTACGTATATAAATGAAACCATCATCTCGTGATTTAATACCACAACAACATATCGCAGCTAACTTGACGCAGCCATATGACAGATTAAAAGTATTCATATTTTCCCTGATATATAAAAGCTTTAAAGCACCCTGTGTTTTACATGGGTAACCCTGTGAACGTCAGCCAGTTCTTTTGGGTCGACATTGTTGCGGCGTGCTCTTCGTTTGAACATTTTGTCTAAAGGTATGTCCCCAAAAAATTGTTTAATTTTCATTGCGAGAATTTCCTTAAGTGTATGTTGAAAATAAATTACATTTAAAAATTGAATGTTTGGTTTAGAAACGTAACTGCGACGTTCACATGCTTTTGCTCAAATAAGAACAGCTAACACGTGTTTTACTTACTGTTCAGGAATGTACGCTTGTATCTAGTATATAGCCCTTGTATGTATGTACGCACATATTTAATTGGATTTTTTTTTCTTTTTTATTCATCAGAAATTTATCATAAGTCAGTTAAGTATAGTTATGCTTATATACATATACAAGCGTGCAAGTGATAAAATGTCTAGTCTGTGGGCTACTGCGAAAAAAATGCAAAAACGTGTTGTAGAAGAGTTGACAAAGAGGGTGGAGGGTCAACCACTGTTTCTTAATTTCTTAAATGTTAACATAAAAAAATAAGGTTTAATCACAAATTGTTAACCACTTGACGATTTTCGCCAAGAAGTCTACATTTTTTGTGCACCAAATGAAAGGCTTTGTTTCCATCATAATGTTCGCAATTCATGTGCAATTTATTAATGCGCATATTAGAACTTGGTGCAAAAATTGTATGTTACACAAAGTGAACATAATATATACATGAATTTATAATTTACATGTCTTTTTATATATTATTTATGTATTTAATTACATGCAAATGTGCGTTTCAGAATTTTCGCATTTAATTCAGAATGGATGCTCCCAAAGAAGGAAATATCGATGCAGAGTCGTGCAACGAAGTCGATGATGAGAAGTCAAACTCTGACTGCCAATCCATGTAATTAAAATTATTTCCCTAATTTAATGTGCATATTGAAATTAAAAAAAAATCATTTTGGCAGGCCGGCTTACATGAATTCGGTGCTGAGGCGACAGTTCTTGCAGGAACTGGTGAAATCCCTTCCATTGCCTGTTCAGAACCGGATAACCGTGCTGAAGAACTTGCAATTGGAACATTTAAAAATCGAAGCCGAGTTCTTTGAGGAGGTTTACAAGTTGGAAAAGAAGTACCAGTTGAAATATCAACCCATGTTCGACAAGCGCAAGGAAATTGTTGTCGGCACCATTGATCCAACGGAGGAGAAACCCAAATGGAAGGAGCCGGAACAACAGCCGAACGATGGCGAAGAAGGTCGTGAAGACTTAAACGAGTCCCTAAAGAATATTAAGAGTATGCCTCAGGATGCCAAAGGCATTCCTGATTTTTGGCTGACCGTGTTCCGCAACACGGCTATCTTGTCGGAAATGGTTCAGACTCACGATGAGCCCGCCATTCGTAAACTTACGGATATTGTCATCAAATACGACAATGAAGTATGTACACACTTAATAGATTTAATTAGAAAATGTATAACAGTTTTGATATTTTCAGCACTCATACACTTTGGAGTTTCATTTCGATAAAAATGATTATTTCACAAATACTGTGCTTACAAAGCAATACCTCCTGAAGTCTACAGTCGATCCAGATGATCCATTTGCATTCGAGGGCCCGGAGATTTTCAAATGCAAAGGTTGCACCATCGACTGGCACAAGAAAATGAATCTGACGGTGAAGACCATCCGGAAGAAACAGAAGCATAAGGAACGTGGCGCTGTGCGCACAATTGTCAAGCAGGTTCCTACAGATTCCTTCTTTAACTTCTTCAATCCACCAGACGCTCAAAACGGTAAAGACGAGATCGATGATGAATCGCAGCAAGTAAGTCAAGTCTTAATTGTTTCAATATGAATTGCTTTTGATTTAATATTTCTTGCATAGATATTGGCAACCGATTTTGAAATCGGACACTTTTTGCGTGCAAGAATTATACCGAAAGCTGTGCTTTACTACACGGGCGACATTGTCGATGATGAGGACGATGAGGATGAGGAGGAATTTGAAAACGAGGAAGACGATTACGATGACGACGAGAATGAGGGTCAAAGCAAACCCTCTGCTGGTAGCAAAAAACAGTCTCCAAATGACTGTCCCAATCAGTAGGTCATAATAATATCTTGATGTTTCAACTTTATAAAGTTGTGTATGATAAGTATATGTAATTAAAATATATTTTTGGTGAATTAAAATTTCAAGGAAAGTAAAATTACATGTTTTTCGCTACTCTGTGCTGTTCTGCGCAATCGAAAATGCCACATTTGGCGCGTAAATGTGGTGTACAGTGACGTCACACTTTGAAAGCTTCTGAGCACGCAGTTTTAATTTTATCGATAACTCTGATTCCTCACAACATTTGTGGCATCGATTTTCGATCGTATTTGTTACAAAAAACAATAGTTCTAGTCGATAGAGAACTTTTTTGGTGTTTACAAACTACTGATTATTTCCCAAACGATGTTATACTTGACTTGTATTGTATATTGTTTAAATTGATATTTAATAAATAGCTTTTAAAATTTTAAACAAATATACCATTTTTGTAATGACATACTTAAAAGGGAAGCCATTAATTTATTTCATATTTTTAACAACTTGGACATTTTTGTTTTATAAGGTTCATGCCAAGTTGGATCTGAAACATGTACGTAAACATGCCCAGAACGAATCCATGAGTATGTACATAAATATTGTAGTTCATGTAGTATATTTGAAATAAAACGTAATAAATATCTAAAGTTTACCAACCTAGATCATTAAAACTTGATGTTCACAAAACCTTGCTTTTGCATTTCTACAAGTAAGTAACTGATATGTATATATTCGTGGATATAATAAATATTCTTGGATAGAAACAATACAAAAACATTAGAAACGCCTGTTCCCTTCAATGTAAAGGCATTGGAAAGCTCCGGTTGTTTGCCGTCAGAAAAATTTGCGATTATACTTCATGGATGGATTCAAAGTTGTACGGATGAATGGGCAGTTGCACTTATTGACCGTAAGTATCAGTTTAAACTATGCTATGATTGTGTAGCATATATTTGACATATGTATCTTTTTTCAGGCTTAAGTTTTTATCGTAGAGGATGTATAATATGCATTGATTATAGCATTGTCGCCAAGTCATCTTATATGCGGTATGTAGTTTATATGTACATATATATCGGAAACAAGTGAAAGCCTAATTTATTCACACCTATTTTTAGGTTATACGCCAATTTTCAATATATAACCGAAGCGCTGGTTTCAATCATAATTTCCCTATTTCAATATGGGTTTGATCCCAGTCGGGCATATTTGTTTGGTTTCAGCTTTGGTGGTCAATTAGCTTCAGCCGTCGGACGATCCTTACAACCACATTTTATTATACAAAATATCGACAGTAAATATACAAAACACCAGATCATTAAATACCTAAATGATGCTAATTCGTACAATTATTAGCTTGTGATATGGCTGGTCCTGGATTTGATCCAATTACTGTTGATCACTCGAAAGCTGGCAAATATGTTCAATGCTTCCATTCAAGTCGTGATAAGGGAACTCTAATATACTCTTGCCACAGGAATATTATGTTGGGCAGCTGTGGACTTAGTCAGCCTTCGATAGCCAGCCAAGTTCATCTTGGAAGTCATGGCTTATGCGTTGATATTTATATTAATACCTTTGATTATCCGTTTTATGCGCTAAAAACTCCACCCACTGATTGCATTTCGTTTACTCAGTCAGCTAAAATTCCTAATGATTATACGGTGGGATATGAGGAAAACTTTAATAAGTAAGTAACAACGAACCAAGTACAATAATGTAGTATTTAAGTTAACGTCTTCCTTGAGACTAACACGTTTTCTTAGACTTAAACTCTTATTGACCTGTATATTTCTCTTGAATTTATATTGATTTCTAGACAGATTACTGGAAAAATCTTTGTGCCCACCAGCTTACATTATCCCTACAATTTATCAAAAAAAGAGCTGCAACTATTGTCAAGGCAAAATGGATAAAGCTATAACAAAGTATAAATAAATTATATTTATATTTCTATCAATTAACGCAGTTTCCTAAAGTGAACTAGAAAAAATATACTTTAAATAATATACTTTGACTGTTTTTTATTGATGTGATCTTAAATACATAATACAACCGTGAAAATATAATTATGAATATTGTCAATCCTAAAAATAATATACATAATCAAGCTGAGTTCTTTTCGCTTTCTTCAAAGTCTAATGTGTTGAGGACATTGACGTCAAGTTCTGGATCGGCATACTCCAGTATATTGAAATCATCGCCAATTTCGGATGTTAACGATTTAAGTAAGTCATCATCATCGCCTTCCCCGAATCCACCCAATATATCTCCAAATCCAACATTCTCTAATTCCACGGCCGAGGATGATATCCCTTCCTGAGCCTCTGTCATTTTCATATCAAGCTGACTTTTTCCGTCATGTTCAAGACTTCTAAGTTCCGTATGCTGTGGATTCCCACTCATACTTAACATTGGATTATTTTGAGTTATGGCAGTATTTTGTATCAGACTCATTCTCATAACATCATTGGGTAAAAAGAATTCAGAGTTTGAATTCATAATGACTGCTTCCGAATTGGTTTTTTGCAATAGATTTCTTAGCTTTTTGTCGCCAACTGGTTCCGGTTCAAATGTCGGATTATGTTCCGTTCGGTTCTCTAAAGAAGCTATTTTTAATGATGAAGGCGCTGGATGTATCGTAGTAGTAGTAGTTCTTTGTTGTATTGCAGATTTCACTATTAGACTTGCATTAGAAATGGCAGTCGGGTGATGTGAATTCCCATGGTGCATGGCTGGTCCAATATAACAGTTTGCGTCGTACGAAATTCCATCTGTTGTAAAAGAAATAATGTAAATTTTTATACAACGCGACAGCCATAGCAAATACATCTTCTTTTCGGTGTAGGTAATTGTTAAGTTTCAAAAAATCCAAATGTGGTAATATGGTCAATTTAGACGTGCACTTACTGTAGTTGCCAAAAACATTTGATTGCTCTTCCTTTGGTTTGCAGGGCTGTTGTTTCCACGTACGATTATCTTCCTGCTTTTCCGGTTTTGTCGGCTGGCTAACTTTGCACTGTTCACGCCTTTGGCGCAATGCAGACCGGTTATCCTTCGCTTTTTGTAAGAATGGTGCCTTCTTCTCGTTGCACAAGGAGCGCCAACCCTTGAGGATCTGCTTACATCGGTCATTCCAGTTGGGATATACCTCCTTGAGATTGGCATGCTCGGTATTTGCATACAAGACAGCAGAGATTGTGGCCATTAAACCAAGATCTTTTAGAAAAAAGTATTGAACTTAATACACATTCGCTTTTCACCGTAATGATTTGTATTTACCCTCATCTTTTCGCATTTTTTCCGCCGTCTTTTGGGTGCCAGCATTTATGCATTCTATGCTGGGTTCATTGGGCTTTGGATCTTCTCTCTTCTCAGTTTGTAATGGCAGTTGTTGTCCCGTAATATTTTGGGATTCTGCCTGATATTGCAGCTGTGTCGATTTAGGAGTTAGTTTGCTATGAAACTTTGGTTCTTGTGTTACTTGTGGAGGCACCGCATAATTATTAATATTAACTGTAACTAACGGCTCACTGAAATGAAAATAAAGAAATTAACAAAGAAAATAAATGAATAAATTAAATATTTATGCTTATATTACTACAATCAGGCAATTAAATATGTTTTACCTCTTTATATTATCTGCTGTTGCAATAAAATTAACGGTTTTATTTATAACATCAACTTCCGTAATTCCCTTGGGCGCCTATTAAAACCAATTGTTAATTATTATAAAGATTTAAAATTGAAATAGCACATAAATACCAAGGGATCCAAAGAGAGTATACTATTTGCGCTCGTATTCCTTGTAATATCCGTCAAAGATGTATCTAAATATAATTTTTGAGAATATCATATATGTATATATAATACATATACATATATAATATATATATACATATATAATATTCTCAAAATATATATATATATATATATATATATGTAGAATTAACACATACCAAATAATACGCCCGCAGATACAGGATCTTTATTCTGTTGAGTCGCTGTTGAAAATTGGTCTCCAAACATGTTTTTATTTTCAGTAAGAATTTTTTCCGCTTTTGGTTTCTTAAGCGTTTTGGCAGGACTTTTAGTGATAGCTTCATCGTCAGATTTTTTACCATTTGAGTGAATAAAGTACATTTTCATTGTCGTGCCGATTTCATCTGAAGTATCTGAATCGTAGACAACTGGATCTCCCGACTCCAACAGGGGTTTGCCAAAAAAGGCCTCTTGTAAATATGCTGGATAGGCTTCGATGAGTTTGTTTTTCTGCTTTTTGCGTATAATTTTCTTTTTCTTGTCTTGGGATGCAAGTGCATTTGCATGTTGATCCGCAGCATCCTCATTGTCTTTTTTAATAGCACGATTTCGCACTGAAAATCCACCGATGCCCAATTTTTGTAAATTGCGCTGTCGCTTCTTGCGCAGAATATGAACACCATCATCATTCGTGGAAATAGTAAATCCCTCTGGTAAAGCAGCTTCCGTCCGATCCCAAATCATGCCGTCTTTATATTTATCGCTTTGTATATCATCGGAGACACCCGTTTCGTTTGGTGCATCCTTATTCGAATTGCCAATCGGCTGGCGCATTTTCCGCTTACGTTTGATCTCCGTTGACAATGACTTAATCATATTCAAACCATTTTCACTTAAGCACACACCATCGATCCAGTGAATGGCCTCATTGCTCTCCAACAGCTCGTTTGTCAAGCGCATATTTTGACCAACTGCCTTGCCGTCGTGGCCCTGATCAGGTGTGGGAATCTTTGCAAGTGCAGAATTCTCATTTAAAGTAGTTGAACTCATTGGCATAGGGGTCTTCCCTGTGGACCGACATTTGATGCACTTGTACATATTATGATCGTAATAATCCATGGTGTGTTGCGAGTTTATGGAGTCGCATAGAAAATGCAGCCATTGTTCGCATTGTTCACATTGTATAATCATCTCTCCATCGCTATAGCCTTTTGAGCAAATGGAGCAACTATTTTGGCTGGCGCATGGTGGACATTCTGGAGAGTTTGAATCACTGTGATTAATCTTCTCAGTGGGATTACGACCGCATTTCTGGCAAATGGTGCAAAATGAACATTTCCAATTGCCGCGTGGCACCTGTTCGAGAGGCGGATTCACACAGTAGATGTGATAGGAAATATCGCATTCATCGCACAGAAGTAAACGTGCCTCGTCATTCTTCTTGCCACATCCCTCACAGACGGTGCAGTCCAAACAGCGCCAGCCCTTTTGCAGGATGCCCCTCGAGTGTTTAACACTCGCACAATACGGATGATAGCATTGTGCGCATTGAGCACAAGTAATTAATTCGGCATCGCCTTCAACTCCTACGGAGCCGCACATTACACATATATCCTGCGATGTTATAAATTTGTCGCGTTCCGAACACAACAACAGCCTCTTGTCGCTGGAGTTGTCCGTATCATGATTTCGGCTCATGTAACGATCACTTGTGCCGCCATGCAGGACAAGCTGTCGTCCTTTTCCACGATTGTTGCGCTTTTTTCCAATCTGTGACATTGATCCCAAGCGATGTAGCACAAACTTGCCACCTTTGCCACGAATGCTGGGCAAACAAATTTTCTTTTTTGTCGTAGGCAACTTTAGGGGATCTTCACTGTTGAGCTCTACACAAGATTTTCCATTTAATGGATCAACTTCGACATCTCTGATACTAAAATGCTCTGAGGCTTGCGGATCTGCGATGGAACGCTCAAGCGGCTCAATTTTGATGTTACTTCCCACTTTGCAGACGGGACAAACATAATCATAGTCGGGATTATATTCTTTTCTTTTGTGATAGGCAGTCAAATCGGCCTCCTCATCGCAAGTGCTGTGCACAAACCTAACAAATGTTTGTTTAATTTTAGAAGAAATATCATTGATTATCTGTATGACTTTTACTTACTTATGACACCAACTACATTTGACCATTTCCTTGTAGGCCGCTGCTCTATATGCCTTCTGGCAAATTGGACATGAAAATCCCTTGTTTCTTTGCTGATAGCACGAGTCACAAATCGTATAGTGACTGTGCCATCGAGATGAGCTCCCACCACCAGGGGTTCTGGAGCCACAATCTGTGCAAACGCGACATCGCTTTAAATTTTAGATGTTTATTGAATTAGTAAGGCAAGCAGATGATGTTATCGAAATGATAAGACTTACATTACATTTCCAACCATATTTGGGAATCGAAGATATTACCGGCCTTAGACAATTGGCATGATAGATCTTTTGACATTGTTCACATTTGACAAATTTTATATCATTGGCTTCCTGTTGTCGACAAATCTGGCATTTCGTACACCGTGCACAGCTCCAGCCAGAACGAGTATCTAGCAAAAATAAAATCTTTATTATAAATTCTAAAACGCACCGCCATCCGACACCATCATACCCGGTAAATTGGCTAAGCCAATGCAAGTGGAATGAAAATGATCTCCACATGAACAGCACATGATCAATTTGGATAAATCCCCCAATGATGAGCAAGTTAAACACTCCACATTGTTATCACTGCCTAAAATTAAACAAAAGAGTGATATATAATATATAATTTAAAACATTATCGCACCGCCAATGGATACATACAGATCAACGGAACTTGACTTAAGTGTTCCGTACAGAATACGGTGAAGCTCTCCAAGATCAGGAAGCAACCGGCAGCAGCGGCGCAGGGAAAATGATGCATTTGTCGGCAATTCATTTTGCAGTTAATTGACGCTCCATACTGATCACAGAAACTGCACTTCTGCTCCAAATAATCGGCTAATTTCGTTAAGAACTGAGTTACATCCCCCTCCTTGACTTCCACCTTGCGCAGGGACCACATTACACACATTCGATGCACATAAACAAAGTTATCATCGAGGAATGACGAAGTATTTAGTACATCTGTGTAGCCGATTTTATCCAATTCATAGGTGCTCTCGGTGTTGCTTATTGCTCTGCTGACAGTTTTTAATCCGCACTTGATTCTACGCAATGAATCAACTTTTTCCTTATCTGCATCACTTGGTTGAGTTGCGGAATTCTTCTCTTTGAAATCAGAAGGCACTTTTAGTTGAAACATGGTTCCTTGACCGAGAGCACTGCGCTCTCCCAGGTTACAGAGACAACAAACTTTTCCGGTATACTTTTCGGGAAAGTATGGAAGATCATCGAGGCTGGTTAAAGCAGCTTTATCTTCCATATTCCCCAACATGTTGAAGCTCATAGTATAATTGTAATCATATAAAAAATTTCACAGATACAAACTAGTGATGCAAAAAAACATTGATCTATCGGTTATCGAAATAAAAAGATATTTGTATGCATCTATCGATTAATATTTTACACTCGAAAAAAAAGTACAATTAAATTTAACAAGATTAAAATCAAAAGATCAGACATAGGATGTACTTTATCTACTCCATCGGAGTACACTTTATGTTAACTTTGAGCAATAACATACTGTATACATAAAAAATATATAAGTTTTAAGTACAGTTACATTTTTGATAGCAGTTTGTTTAATATGAAAATAAGTTTTCGAGTCTACAATATAGTAAGGCCTAGTTGATGAAAATATAAAAATGTTTCAACCGGTTTTGTGCTATTAAGTTGTGGATTTTATTGTTATCGCAAAACAAAATTAATTTTAACTGCACATGGTAAACAAGTAATGGGTTCATGGTATCAAGAGAGAAACACCATTAAGCAAATTATAACCAAATTTTAGACAAACTAATACAATTAAAGTCTGGCATTCGATTGGAAGTCTTAATTTAAGATTTGTATTAGCCACAATACACATTTACATATTGTTATGTTAAATAATTAAAGTTGATTAAACAATTTATCGGTGGCTACAATGGGACGCTAACTTGCAAACCTATCGTTATCGTATATTGAACGCACACTCGCTCACTTGCATACATGTTATCTTGTTTGTTATAAAAATTAATTGTCAGTTATTTGTTTTGAGGGTATGTAAATGTGAATTGAAAACGTTGTGCTCGTTGTGATATGGGAATGTGAATGGAAATAATTAAATAGTTAACAATGGCCGTTTATCGACCCAGGGGCACGTTGGCACGTGTTATCTATGCCAAATTCCATAATGACAATTTTCTGGAGAATATAGACACACAACAGGTGAATATATTGCTAACTCAAAATATGCATTTCTTATTTACATTATGAATGCTTACAGTGGTATTCATTGAACTGCAGCGAACTGCCGGAAAGATTTCAGTCGAAATTCGTTGCCCTCAAGCAGCCAGACACAATAACAATAAAATGGCTGGAGCGTGCAAAAATGTTATCTTCAAATATTTGGTTGCACTTGTGGCATGCGCTCGCCAGGTCTGTTCTACAGTTTTTTATGACACAGACGGATATCAATGGCCTGCTAAAACGCGGCTCCATGTTCATTCTATCTGAGGATCAATTCTATAAGCTGCTGGAGGCAGGCGGTTTTGTAGCGAGATCTTTACCTCAAACAGTATGCTTTATTATCTAGATTATATCATCATCAATTCATAATCGTAATGTTTTTTTAGATTACGTTGCTGGACATTGGCGCGGGTGACGGTGAGGTCTCGCTGCGTGTGGCAAACAGTGTCACGGAACTAAGTGGAAATGCAGTTTTGCAGGTCTTTGCCACCGAGGCTAGTTGGACAATGCGCGAGAGGCTAAAGAAATTGAATTTTAATGTAGTTACCGAAATACAAGAGCTGCAGAATGTTGAACTAATTTCATGTCTTAATGTTCTGGATCGATGTTTTGACTCTTTCAAACTGTTGGAGGATATACATACCGCCTTGGCTCCACATGGACGAGCTGTAATTGCATTGGTGCTTCCCTACATGCACTATGTGGAGACGAATACATCGCATTTACCATTGAGGCCACTAATGGACAATCCCAACAAGCGAAATGGTCGCGGCACATCCTTCGAGGAGGAAGCAACAATGTTTTTGGAATTACTCGAGAACTGCGGCTTTCGTGTCGAATCCTGGACAAAGGCACCTTATTTATGCGAAGGTGATCTTCGACAATCATTCTATTGGCTGATCGATATTATTGTTGTACTTTCCAAAACGACTACTTAAGTATATGTATGTATATTATATTATGTATTATGTATAATAAACTTCCTAATATAATTTGTATAATCTTAAAGCGTGTTTGCAATTCCGATTTTAGCGCACTATGCTCTTTAGAAATCTGCAGGAACTTTACCGATCAAAAAGTCAAGATAGAATTACTCTTTTAAAACGTTATATCTCAGCCATATTCATGTACCAAAAGAGTCTAACTAAAGCACGTCTATATGGGCCTAGCAGCTTTCGCCCTCCGATATATAAATAAATAAATACCCGATACATTTTTGCAATTCTTTGGTTCTAACAGATCACATTGGAGCTTGTGATCCTAAACCACAAATTCCTTCACAAATCTGCAAATCTAAGGCCAACTTAAACCAAGAAAAACGGTTCGCCAAATATTACTGCCCGCGAGTGTAATATTTAAGTGTTTAAGGTTCTGAGATTACCCCTCTAATCCTCAAATGTATTTCGATAGACTTGCTATATGCGATTTTAATGAACCATGTACTTCGGTAATCTGTAAGGATTTGAGAGCCAATTTTCTGAAATGCAATTGTTCAAGCCTTTGGTTATACCCTGAAAGTATGCTTAATTAACTTTGTTTTCGCAAACTATTGTTTTTTGATGCGTACCCAAAAAATATGCTTTAATTCTTAGAGTTTAAATACTGAAGAAATATAGGTTTTTGCTAGGCAGGACATTTGATTCAGCCCAGAAGTATGCAGAGGGATTTTTCATTTTGTTTTTAAGCTTGCAACTTATTGAAAGAGACAATTCCCAATTTTTTGGTCTTAGATGAGCAGAAATCCAACAGCTTCAAAGCAGTCTTGATAAAACTTGATATATTTCCCTCTATTTGCTAAAGGCAGTAGATAGGTCACAGACGAGTAGATCGTTCATATAGCTACCTTAGGAACAATCGGTCGAATTATAAGTTTTAAAACATGCATATGTGTAAGTTTATCTCCATCAAGAAAGAAGGACTATCTTAAGCACACCGAGTATTAGATACCCTCGTAGACCGGAGTTAATCTGTTGGCATCTAAATTTCTGTTTGAAGTGCGAATTATTATATTTCTTAGCTGTAATCAAAGTAGGCGGTGACATATAAGTCACTATTTCTGATACAGTTTAACTACACAATGTGGAATATTAAGTTCACTGCCAGAACATAGAACAAAACTATAAGAAAATTATCTGCTTAAAACCAACAAAATTTGTTTTAATGTTTAATCAATATTTTAATATTTCTTAAAAAGGGTATGTAATTTTCAGCGTGCCTAAGATAGCCGTTATTATTTGTTTAGTTTGTCATTGTTTTTATTAGTCATCCGAAAATGATGTTGCAGATTATCGATGATAAGATAAGATGGAATATAAATGATCAACTTCTTAAATTAGAAGCATATTTACTTTTGTACGAACTATTTCATAACTAAAAGAATAATCGATAAAGGTTCTATAATTTGCCGCTTTCCTAGCTACTGACACTTGGATTTAATTTTAATTAGAAAGAGACGGGTTTTTTTTTTACTATTGTTCGACAAAATAGATGTATTTGTGTAATTTATTGATATGTCATATTTGAGTCAATCAACGAATCAGTGCAGCCATTGATATAGGCTTTATGCAACTTGTTAACAAATTCCTTATCGTTTTTAATCAGGTAAGTGAAGGCCTGCACAAATTGGGCACAATTAAGTGGTTTCTCCGATTCCGATACCGATTCCTGTTTGACTTTCGGGACCACATCAAACATTGTGGGCGGCATAAGCGCCGGTCTCGCCTCCGGTCGATTACCAACCAACAATCTTCTAAGACACTGTTCGGCTTCGTCGCTTGCGAACAAAGCTGATGCCGAAGGCGATTCGTCAACATGCTGCTCAAACTTCATTTCGGTTAAGAGTGAAATGGGTTTATCCGGATGCCGAGACGATGACGATGTTGATGCTTTCAGGAATGGTGACAGTGGACAGTCGCCATCTCGATTAGTGGATTGGTTATTGATTGGAGGCGCCTCATTGGGCGTCACCGAGCGCTGCTGTTTCTCCAACTCATCCACGGACAGTGGCGTCGGTCGATTCAAATGTGCCTCGACCGTTGCCTGCTTGGCCGACTCAAAGAACTTAAGCACATTATGGGAAGTCACGTTTTCGGATTGATTTAAAGCGGCGGCTGTCACTCCAGATTGCGGCTGACAATTCGCCTGGGCATTGTATTCCTTTTGCGCCTGGCTGAGCATGTTGTATATACTTAGATTGCTCGGCTTTGAGAAGGGCAGCAGGGTGTGGGGTTGCTGTCCATTAATCGCCTTGTTCTGCAATAACCCATTGACCAGGCTGCTAATACGATCGCATTCCTCACTATTGTAGAACCAGAAGCCGCGAATGCGCGAACGTTCGTTGCGATAGAGCAGAAATGGGGGCTGCGATTGTAATTCCAGACTGCCGGTTATTGGCTCCACAAACGAGGTCGTATTGAGTCGATTGTTAATGAATATGCTGTGATATGGCTCGGCGTTTCGATGGTAAATAAAGAAAGCGCCTTCCACATCCGTTTTTTCCCATTCATTTTGTTCCGAATTAAACGTGTAAAATGCAACGTGTGATGAAGAGTCCACAATTTCCTTTGCGTATGGATCTATTTTCTTGATGGCTGACAAATTCATTCGAGTTATGCTTTCGTCGGCCATGGTAAACTTTTTCTTAAACTATTATTGTATTTATTCAAAGATTCAACAAGCCCCTTACAAATGTTAGAGATGGGCAACAGTCGATTAATCTCAAGTAACATAAAGCACTGAAGGGCGTATGAACGAACCATCGGATAACTGTTGGAAAGATGACTGCATATTTGCATAAAGCATCTTATATTTATTTTGCCTAAACAGAAGCTATCCAATTTTCCCTTCACCACTACCAGCTTCCGCGAAACAGATGTCTTTGTTGTTGACAAATAAAATTGTAAACAAAGTTAAAAGGGATTTAAATTCTGACGTGCAATGTAGATTACTAAGTAGTTAGGATTAAAATTAGCAGTGCTCTCCGCCTTACAATAAACATAAGTTTTGTGCGAATATGTACAGAAAAAATTAATTAATAACTGAATCACAACACAAAAATGTAAGTATCTTATGCATAAACAAATTCGTGACAGAAGACAAATACAAAATTGTATATTTGGAAAGGAATATATATATATATAATATCAAGTTTAACTATCTATATTTTTGTTTACAGCATTAAAATCGTTAAATGTGATGCAAAAAAGCCAAATTGGCAACACTGACATCAATACAAATTGCTAACAAAATTATCGATATTTGCACAGAAAAAGGCGGGAAGATGCATTTTTGGCAAAATAAATATTTGTGATTGCATTTCAGTCATGCAGAAGTCGATAACGTAATTATAAGAATATATCAAATAATTTATACATTTAACTTTAACGCATTTTCTTTAATTTTTTATTGATATAGCTCATTTTTTAAACCAAAAGCTGAGCCAGGCGACTCGATACCTAAAAACACAAAGTAAGTTATTTACTCTGGCACATTTTCTTTTATTAAAGTTCCCTTTTTACAAAAGAGATGGCAAAGGTGCAGAGGATAAATTGCCTAAATGTGAAAAACCCGAAGTGGTTAAAAAAGAACCGGAAGAAGAAAATAAGCGACCATCGTTGAATACAAAAACCATGGATGAGCCCATGGAACCGCTGCCCAGCAAGCAGAAAATTATTAGCTTAACTTCAGACTCGAATGAGAGCGAGGGAACTGATATATACAATCCGTCATTGGAATTATATCATCCCATTAATCATGCATACTGGCGAGCCGAAGGCGTGTACGTATCAGAAATATAATTGTATAAGTTAGGACTGTCGTAACAATTATTCGTTTTTAAAGAACTCCTTATTTGGCGCTGGCCCGAACATTTCAAGTGATTGAGGAGACGAAAGGCCGATTGAAAATGATTGATATATTGAGCAATTTTTTTTGCTCGGTAATGATGGTCAGTCCAGAAGATCTGGTGCCGTGTGTCTATCTCAGCATTAATCAGTTGGCCCCCGCCTACGAAGGACTCGAACTTGGCGTTGCCGAAACAACGCTGATGAAGGCAATTTGCAAAGCAACTGGTCGCAATTTGGCGCACATTAAATCTCAGACACAGTTAATTGGCGATCTTGGAATTGTCGCGGAGCAATCGCGCGTCTCGCAACGCATGATGTTTCGCCCAAAGCCATTGAATGTGCGCGCTGTTTTCGCCAAACTCAAGGAGATTGCAAACATTTCAGGGCAGTCGAAGATTACTTTGGTTTATGATATCTTTGTTGCCTGTCGCCTGTCGGAAGCACGTTTCTTTATTCGCTCGCTAATTGGCAAATTGCGTATAGGCATTGCCGAGCAGAGCCTTTTAACTGCCTTGGCCATTGCTCTTGTTAAAAAACTTCACATCAACGATTGCAAACGTATCGACAAAGTGGCCGAAATTTATAAAGATGAAATTGCAGAGACTACGCTGATTTTAAAAACAACTTTCTGGTAAGTGCTAAGGTGGGACAACTTATGTTATTAAATATATTCTCTCATGTACTCATGACATCTAACATTTATGCCTCCAGTCAATGTCCCAATTATGACATCATTATACCAGCAATATTAAAATATGACATTGAGGAGCTGCAAGAGCGTTGTCCCATGCATCCTGGCATGCCTCTTAGACCCATGCTGGCGCAGCCAACAAAAGGTGTCCACGAGGTCCTGGAACGTTTTAGTGGAATGCATATAACTTGCGAATGGAAGTATGATGGCGAGAGGGCTCAAATTCATTTGAATGAGCAGGGCGAGATAAGCATTTTCTCAAGGAACTCGGAGAATAATACACCCAAATATCCGGATCTCATTGCAAGAAGCAAGCCTATCCTTAAAACTGAGGTGAAGTCGTATATCCTCGATAGTGAGATTGTCGCCTGGGATATAGAACGCAAGCAAATTCTACCATTCCAAATTCTTAGTACACGTAAAAGGAAAAACGTTGATATCGATGATATAAAAGTTCAAGTTTGTGTGTACATATTTGATCTTTTGTACATCAATGGAAAGTCCCTAGTCACACAGCCACTTTCTGAGCGTCGAAAGATACTATTTGAACATTTCCAAGAAGTCGAAGGTGAATGGAAATTCGCCACTGCCCTCAACACAAATGATATGGATGAAGTGCAGCAATTTTTAGAGGAATCGATTAAAGGTAAGAATATGCACTAATAATCCGTCAAATTCTGCAACGTCTCGGATCATTTTCAGGCAACTGTGAGGGTCTAATGGTGAAAACATTGGATGAGGAGGCCACATATGAAATTGCAAAAAGATCAAGAAATTGGCTGAAATTGAAAAAAGATTATTTGTCAAATGTGGGTGATTCTCTGGATCTGGTTGTTATCGGTGGCTACAAGGGCAAAGGACGACGTACCGGAATCTACGGTGGCTTCCTGCTAGCCTGTTATGACACAGACAATGAGGAATACCAAACCATATGCAAAATTGGAACTGGTTAGCTGTTTTAAATGTATTTAAACTTACACATACTTTATCTTTATGACTACTTTTTTAGGTTTCACTGATGAAGATTTGCGACAACACTCTGAGTTCTTTAGCACCAACAAGTTGAGCGAGGCCAAATCATATTTCAGATACGATTCCAGCTTGGAGCCGGATGATTGGTTTGAGCCCTGTCAAGTTTGGGAGGTTAAATGCGCCGATCTATCGCTTAGTCCCATTCACCGAGCAGGTATAGGAATTGTGGATGCTGAACGTGGTATTTCGCTGCGATTTCCCCGTTTTATACGCATCCGAGATGACAAGAGTCCAGAGAATGCAACGGATGCAAATCAGGTGGCCCACATGTATAGCTCACAGGATGTTGTTAAAAATAATCAGAAATCTAGCAACTCAATGGATCTTGAGAGCGATTTTTATTAATAAAGAGCAATTGCTTGCCAGAAACTAAAATTACAAGTTAACTCGATTATTTACTGCGCCGAACTTGTGCTGCTTTCCGATGGCTTTGATACAACGCCGCGCGCCTGCTCCGCATTGTCCTGCGGCTTTTGTCTGTTGCGTCTATTGTACCGCTTGTTGGTGGGCTTATTGTCCTGGAAGAACGTATCTCTTTCGAAAGTTGGCGCAGAATCTTTACAGTCTGTTGGTGAAGTATCATCGGAGTCCATTCGCATTCGAACCTTGGGCTGATATATGGCAATTGATGGACGATCCTGTAAGCAAGTAGAAGCTATATATTGAAAGGCGATACGATTAATTCTATGAGACATCAAACCTTATTTCTTATACGACGCTCTTCAGCTAAACGTGAGTTGTTTGCTTTACTGCTACTCGTATTTGGCTGTATAGAATGTTCTTGTCCTGATCCTGACTTAGGGATTTCTTTCGATCTCTTATAATTCTCAGCTGGTTCTTTACTAGCACCTTGTTCGTTTGAGATAACTGAGGAAATCGCTTTATTTGTACTAGGCAGCACACAAGGATCTTCGTCTATTGATTCCGATTTAACGATTTCTTTTGGTCTTTTAGAGGTCTCTGCAGTTTCTCGTTTACTGCCCGCCTCTAATGATTTAACTGTTTCTGTTTTGGATGCAACGGCATTTTCCACTGGCTTGGCTTCTTTCTTTAAAATGACAAATTCTTCGTTTTTTTTCTGTTGATCTCTTTTAGCTGGCTGATTTGAGGGTCGCTTTTGAACCGTCACTTTTTCCTGGCGATCATTTGTATTCTTGTCCCGATTATCACGTTCTCTGCCCAATTTTCGTTGCTCGTGTTCTTCGCGACGACGCTGATTGCGTTCCGTGCGTCGCTTCGAGCGTGAATTTTCCGTTGCCTCTTCTTGAGCTTGGCCTTGTCCTTGACCCTGACCTCCTCCATGTCCAAATCCCTTTTTTGGATTATTGGAATTTACAGATTTCTTATTGTTATCACCAAGAGCGTCTTTCTGTTTGCCAGCTTCTGGTAATTCGAATGCTCTTTGCTGCTTTTGCTCTTCCCGGCTCTTTTTCTTCTCTTCGTTTCGCTTGCGCGCTTCTTCGCGCCGTTTTTCCTTCTTGTTAGCCAAATACTGAAGCAGCGGTGTCGATTTAACCTTCTCATCAGACTTCTGGTCGAATGTGAAATCGATCTTCGTATCACATAATCGACTCGCCTCCTCGCGCTCGTCGGCCATTCTCTGGAGATACTCTTGATAATGCGGTTCTTTTTCGATGGTATTCATTTTGTAGTCCTGACTGCGTCCTTTGTTCTTCAGAAAGCACTGAAACGGTGCATATTCCACAATGGCGATGTATTCCACGCCCCTCGCATCGACAAACACGTAGCCATCGAATCGATCGCGAAACTGTAGAACTTCCGACATATCTTTCATGGACATGTCAATGTAAGCCCGGCATGTTGCCTCCTGTCCGAGCGACCAGTCTGCCTGGCAATAATAGTAGGCATCGTTTTCTGGCAATGGCTCCACTTGTTGCAAGAATTCCTCTTCAGTCATTGTCGGCGGCAAATGCCGAATCACAATCTAAAAGACAGCAATTAAATAATGTATACTGTATATATTAAACGGTGCGTACTTTGATGGCCTGACTAGACTTCTCCCTCCTCTCTCTACGTTTATTAACTCGTTGTTTCTCCATAATAAAATGAATTTGTTTTTCGTTAATAGATGTGTTGTCCGTACGTCACCCACAAGTTGAACTTCAAAACATTACAACAATTCGATTAAAAATATCGGAACATCGAAGATACGATAGCGGTGAAAGGTGGCAAAGGGAACAGGGTGACTAGAGCACGTAAATTAGCGAAAAAATAATAAGAATGGGTTCATCACACAGCGGAACGGTTGGGATTTTTTCAATGATGTGAAACGCTGTTCACCCTGGAAACACCAGCATCAGTCAGAGCTGTGAATTGATTATGAAATGATTGCGCAACAATATAAATTAAAAATGAATGTTAAAAGGAAATTTTATGTTGTAATTTTTCACGCATTGTACTGTTCTGTACAATGTGTCAAAGCCTATTTCTCAATTTTATCACATTTAAATGTGTTAATGGGTCCAGTCACTATGACTTCTAGATATTTCTTTAATATTGTTGATTAAGATACATTTAATTATACATAACAAGCATAAAAATAATATTTTCTAATTATTATTCTGATCTAAAAATAATCTGTATACATTAGAGTTGAATTTTATTGTGGATCTCGATCATAATTAGGCTATATTAAATATTTCGGGGCTTAAATGAAATGTTTTGATAGTGTAAAACCAAGATCAAAAAGGTATTTTTTTAATGTGGAAAGTTTTGACCTATTCCACATTTATATACAGACTCTAGAGGCTTTTGAAATTGCATACGAGTTCTGGAAAATTCATAATTTAAATAATATTTCCAGAAGCGGAAAATGTGTGAAATGTCCTAACTGTAAAATTTCAATTAAAAATAGCTGGCCCGTGTAAAGCCGGTTAATAAATATATCATTGTAATTAATAATTCATTGGACTAGCAATTTTTACATTCTCTACACTGATCCCAAAAGAGAAAAAGAGTATATTGGTTTTGTTAAATGTCTTTCTGACGGTGTCTGTCATCTTAACTAGCTTTTCGACGTTTTCAAATCGAGGGACTTAAAAGTCAAAATATAAACAAATTAATTTAAATATAATAATTCGACTTTTATTATTCAAGAAGAATATTGTTCACCTGTTTTACTGTTGCTACAATGGGAACAGAGTATTTCACAGTCGATTGTGTCTCAATAAAGCACTTTACTTGTTTTCTCTGTTAGAATTCTTACTAATAGTAAGAACTATTTATAAAAGGATTGCATTTTAACATTTAAATGAGAATGTTAATTAAAGTTGAAATTATTATACCAAAGTACACAATATTTGAATGGGTACACTGAAAGAATATGTGGATTATTTGGAGCTATTCGGTAATATATTATATACTGAGTTGCGTAAGTTTTCAGAATTAAATAAAGTGTATTTAAATGACAACAGTCGACTTAATTTGATTAAGTTAACTTAATTGTCAATATAATTATAGAATCATAGCAATTACTTAATGTGAGCATTGCATGGTATACTTTTTGGCACGTGTATGGCATAAAGTGAAACATTTCCACCCCCAAAAATATAGTCAGTTTTTAGGCGCCGCCTCCAAATACGTTAAGCGGCAGTTTTTCTCTCTTTCGCTGTGTGAAAGGGAAATATGGTTTTTTTATACAAAGGATGTTTGATGTTAAGACAATCGTAACTGAAACCTATTTATTTAAGCATAGTTACAAATTGTATTTCCTGAGTGGGCTGCCAATTTAATTTATTTTATTATAATGTGATTTATTGCCAAATTAAAGTATTCTATATATATATATATTGATTAAGTGTCGGGCGATTTTGCTTGTGCGACTGTTCGGTTTATATGCAATGGAATTTTCATTTTTAAACAAAACAAGCTATGATAAAGATTGTCTGTACAATTCCAATTCACAACTGATCAACAATACGAATGCAAGTACCGGATTCGGATCGGTGGCGAATCACATGAGCCATTATAATTTAATAATCGATTCGAATTATAAGCTGCGGGCCAATGAGAACGTGATTAGAAATTCCTTTAGCCAAGAGTCCAATATACTATTCTCCAAAATTACAAATGTTGCTGAGTTTTATCCCGGTGCACATAATATTACGCCTTTCAATTCCGGTAAGTCCATCATTTTAAAACCAAAAGTGGGAACAGTGGTGAAATTGAATATATCAATTTGTGGCGGAGTTTTATGTCTTACTAAACTTTCAACTGATATCGAACATTTTGAAATAAATCGTGTCCTTCAATAATCATATCTACTCTATTAGAGTTTACTACAGTTACCCGCGACTCGTAGTTCGTAGGCCCTTTGTTATTTACTTTTAAGACAAGTGTTCTTCACTGTTCTCTTGTGGCAATTTGTTATCCGAAATTTTCTGCTCCTCATATAATTGATCATGAGTTCAAACCAAATCGTTTCAATCTTGCAATTTCTAACTCTGTTTTACAAACATCTACCATCTACATCAATGCCCTGAGCTAATCCTGTCCATTGATTCAATACCAGATTTAAGTTTCAAAATAAATAGTAGTTCTTTTAATTATAGCATAATCGGCTTTTCAGAAATTTGGTTAGATTCCACCGTATCTTACTATTGACACGACTCTCTTGTATTAAAATATTTCTAAAAGTTTAGGAAGCCTGGTTCTAGTATTGACTTGTCTATAGGCAAGTTAAGCTTTACTTGCCTAAACTCGGAAAACTCAGTTTTACTCGGAACATTAATTAATTATTTCATCATGTCTTTCTTCCTTTTCACTTGGGGATTTACAAAAGCAATGATGTTGAATGCTCTGATCTTTTTCACTTGTACCCCCTCGCTACCCTGTCTGATCCCTTATAATATTTTTAACATCTAACCTCATACTCTCCTCCCACAAATTTCTATATATCATTATGTGGATAAGGAGTGCTATAATTCCCTCCCACATCAATTATCAAAACTTTTACCATATTGTTCGCATTTATTTGGGAAGGAATCATTTTCATTATCCTCCACAAAAAAGGTGGTAAGTCTGACATATCAAATTATTATTGTCACGTTATCTGATATTCCAAAGCTCTTTGGAAAAAATCCATAATTCAACTTTACAACATCTAAAAATCGGTAAATCGGTTGTTTCTCCTGCTTAACATGGTTTCATGAAAAATCTACATACTTCTATTAATATGCTTGAATTTATCTTCCTTGTAAATGATAGTAAGCCATTCAATTGAGTTACAAGCTTCTCTCTAAACTATTTGGATTTAGGTCCCTTGACCACGGTTCACGTTTGTGCAACTGTATTTCTTATCCTTTTTCTTTAAAGACTTTCTGTCAATCCTATCACATTCACGTATTTTCAATTAAGGTGACGATGTGAAACTCATTTTACAGTACACCGATCCTCCTCACTCGTCTACAGGATGATTTTAACTCCGCATGGGATCTTGACGAACCAGTTGTATCTTAATTGATCTAAATGTGTACTTATGACATTGAGTGGAATTTGCTTTTCTCTTATCTTCTCTTCTCATCCCTTTAACTGGTATCCCAGTCTGCAGTATCGTGGTCCAGAAGGCTTCTTCTTATTAATCTTCTGTCACGGGTTAACCACAGAACACTTCTCTTTTCTATGAAGTACTCTTAGGTTCTGTGTTCTTAGTAGATCTACTAGAAATTTTGTTCCCTTTCAATTATCCTCATACACACATAATCAACTACCCAGCAAATCTCTTACTTCGTTTTTCGTATCTTATTTTTTATCTCTCTCTCTGAGATATCAAATAAATACATTCTCTGGATCTCATAGTCTCTGAGATTGGCTTGACTCTTTAGACAAACAGACAATCTGAAACGGCGAGATCATTTCGGCTATTAATGCTGATCGAAAATATGTCAACCACGTAAAAGAAAAATGGATTAATTGCAAAACTTATTGAATTTATTATAGATTTTCAACTTAAGTCATATGCTGATGAAGCTTCAAGTCTGACCGACAAATCGAAACAAAGACGAATACGAACAACCTTCACATCCAATCAACTAAATGAACTTGAAAAAATATTTTTGGAAACGCATTATCCAGATATATACACAAGAGAAGAAATTGCTTCTAAATTACATTTAACAGAAGCGAGAGTTCAGGTAAATGTTATTTCTATACTGAATTTATATCACAATATAATTTCTATAGATTTGCATGTATTAAGTAGGATAGATTTGATCAGTAAACAAATTTGTACAGTTCTTTCCGCTTTCGATTTATTTCTAGGTTTGGTTCCAGAATCGTAGAGCAAAATTTCGCAAACAAGAACGGCATGCCATCTATATAATGAAGGATAAGTGCTCGAAAATGGAAAGCCGACAGAATACGATATCTGGCACACAATCGTATGATGTGCCACTGAACGGATCTCAAAATGCATGCCAAATAAAATGTTTTTATGATAAAATATAGAAAGAAAAAATACATACTCGTACTGAAATATACAACAAAATTTGCTTATGTGAGTTTGCAGATATAAAAAGGTAAGAATAAGTTCTCAGTTTAAAAAGAAATAAAAAAGATGAGATCAACAATTATAGGGATACCAGCTTAATGTTGCCAAAATTCGACTAAAAAAAATAAGACAGATGCAACCAGAATAAATTTAAAATACGGACCAAAATATATTAAAACAATTGAAAACAGGCCATATTTTGAAATTATTTTCTAGAGAATTGAGATTGAAATAAAACTTTATTGATAATTTATCTATCAAAAATATACAATTCGCCATCCACTGTGTAATTTAAGTCACATGAATCTGTGCTCAGATCATCGATGACCCGCCAAAACCTTTTTAACAATATTTGAGCATTTGCAATTATTTTTGTTTTAATGGCAATTTTATAAATTTTGGTTAAATTGCGTATTTTACTCAAATTCTTTTTAACCATATAAAAACGTATCTGGTTAATTGTATTTATGTTTTCTGACTATCTCAAATTGAAAAATGATAAATCTGTCCGATAAATGGCAATCTGGACTAGTTCTGAGCAGCTGCTCCGTATTGATAATTTAAAATCTTGATTTTAGCGAGTGTTCAAGTTTACTGTCTAGCCAATTCTTAGAACCCAACAATAAGAAACACAGATTTTTTTCCAACAATAAAACAACAAATATTTATTTAAACTAGAATATTAAGATGGGAAATAAATAAATAATACACAAAGGAACTTAATAATAATATTCGAAAATCTATGCAGCGCAGACATACAGATCCCGAGGTTATTACCGTAGTCAAATTCTGTGAATATCCCTCAAAAGTCACAAGACATTTGTGATAATCGACATCATCATCATTATCCTGGACGACAGCAAAAATGGTTGCATTAAAGTAACCATTCTCATCCTCAATAGGATCGTTGGCCACAACTTTAACAATGTCATCGTCATCATCAGATCTACAAATAAGTTCAGATGAAATATGATTTTTCACTTGAATTCCCCTTATTTTGTGATCAATTTACTTACACTATGCTTAATGTTGGCTTGGGGAATACATTGGTGACTACGCACTCCAATTGAGTCTCATTTTGAATTTGATAACGATACATGTTCAGTGTATAATTTCGAACATCGATAACTTGTACGCTCTTGTGAATGGTTATCGTCTCCTTACTCGTTTGGACAACACACTTATAGTCTCCAGTGGAACTTATCGAAGGATTAATCAGGGCCAGTGCACTATACTGTTTATTTGGGTCTATGGAGCTCTCATAGGAGCTGTCTACATCATTTTTATATTCCGGCTATAATCAATTTTTAATATATATGAAAATTTTTATAAATATACTATGATTATATTTTGTTATACATACAATTGGTGCTGGATGCGAGCCACGTATCCACTGATATATGGTTTTATCATTTCTAAACCACTTGACAGTTAGAAATGAATCCGTATCCTTGATTTCATAATCGCATTCCAATACAGTTGGATCCATATCATCATCATCATCATCATCTAGGACGATAAATTTGGTATCCTCAGCGATTTTGACTGGTCCACATCGTATACCTAACGGAAGAAAGGATATAATGTTACTGTGATCTTATTTAACGAGACAACTGTCCATTTTCAGATTACAAAATTATACATTTAGTTAATGATTTCTGTATTTAATATCAAGGCCGAAGCGTTTCAAATATAAATAGATCTTTCAAGTTGAGTTCGATGTTTTTAGGCCGAATATTAATCTTTCGCATAAGTAGCCATGAAAATCCAAAATTTATCATACTGTGCGATAAACGTGTGTCAAAAACAAAAATGTTGTATACATATGTGCTTCATAAAAACATACATAGGGACAGTACATGTATTTGTTCATCGTCGTTTTCATAGTTTCAAGGTCTGAAATATTTATGTAAAGATCTCTGCACCCCTTTTTCACGAATAACATTTAACAACACAATTGCACAAATGTCCTGATATTTAAAACTTGTTTGTTGTTCATTTTGTGCAAACACGTAGTATTTGGATGTACACACAGATATATTGTATATCTAGCTAGACGTATATATTGATATATACGAAGTATTATTCACACGCTGAGATGATTTCATTTCTTGATTTAAAAATAGTTTTCAAATGCTCAAATAATATTACGCGTTCTTTTCCACACTGAATGAAAATAATGAGATCGTTAAAGGTCGTTACCTTTAAATATAATTGATGTCACAATAATGATAGCGAATGGTAGTTGCATTATTAACTTTTATTTTATTTTTTGGTGCTCTTTTGAAGAGGTTAACACAGAACTGAAAATTTCACTACTAAATTTAAACACTGCAGCCGAACCGTCCGCTGGGCATGGTCAAGCACAATTGTTGGATATATCACAACTGAGAATGTTGTCGACCGTGGCATAAGCCCAAAGCACACAAAAATACATATAAACACATACACCACATATGTGTATATCTTGCGGAAAACCGTCAACAGAGAACAGGCACGCGAAGAGAGTCAAAAACAACAACAAAAATTAACAAGCAACCCACCCAAATGAATAAATGTTTGTACCTTGTTCCGGCCAATGTCTCTTTTGATCGTGTGTCTTATGTATATGTATTATATGGGAGAACCTGTGTATATTAAAACATGTGTGTCCAAATGTGCACAGCCCGTGCCACTTGTGCCACCAAAACAGTGTTTGTGTGTGTGCATGTGTGTGTATCTGCAGCTGCCTCATGAGCGAGTGTGTGAGTGAGTGAGTGAGGGGATGGAAAGCCTTTCTGCTTCGCTGATCGCCTTTGTCTACTGTAAAAAAAAAACCGTCAGTTACTGTGTGGCATATTATCTACCCATGAATCAACCATGCAACTAAAACTATGTACGTATATGTATATATATAGTATATGTATGTGCACTTAAATTTACATTCTAAACACATGCTAAATACATTCTAAATGCGAGTATTTATGTACACAATGCATACATATACATATGTATGTATGTATGTGCGTTGGAGAGCGTCTGCAAAAACAGTTCACATGTGTGAAAAAAAATTAGTGTCCATATGTATTTAGGTATGTATACATAATGCGTGTGCATGGTAGCGTATGAGAAATGAAAGTAAGGCAATCTGCAATGTTTCTTCTTGCGATCAAATACGCAACAGAAATTACCAAGGAAAACGAAAATGTTTGGTATACAAGAAATAATCATTCGATCGACAGTTTCTATGTCAGATATGTTAGATAGTAATTCGATCCTGTTGGCTAAGACAAATATGTACTAATCAACTGAGAAAAGGATATAGTCGAAAGGATATAGTCGAATTTTAATTAAGATAGTCCTAGATCTATGGGGTTAATTCCCAAAAAGAAACTGAGATGGTCATATCAACTCTTTTAGGTTGCAGGCTCAAAGATATCTTCTTCAAGGTGACAAAATTACTGTAGTTTTTGCAAAAGAAATCCGTGTTCAGCGCTAATCACCCTGACAAACTTAACGTTTATTTAAACTTAAACACTTTGATATCGATGTCGAAAATATCGTTTTAGAGGCGATACATAATAAGCGATATAACATGTACATTTAAGTTATCGATACATCGTAATGTGTTTTCATCCCTGGACCACACTAATACCGCACGATTTGCTACAACTCTTTAACCTGCCTATGTATAAATATTAAAAACATCGAGCATGCTTAAATCGCGAGTAATTGGTACGTTTTCATACAGAAGATGCCTGTCGTATTTCTCAAACGCCTTCAACAATTTGGCAAATCAAGGCCCGCCAATGGCCCCTAACAAGGCGCAGAGTACGAGCGAACTGGTCAACAATTTGGATTTAGATGTTTTCATTAACCGGGACCACAGGCAAATGGATTTGTTGGACAAACTAATGAAGCTCAGGTGAGCTCGATGAGTAAAACCCAAGTCAATAATTGTTCCTTATGCAAATTTTCTTGGTTTTGCCAGGCAACAAAAGGAGTGCAGCAAGGTGCCACTGCTGCCAAATATATTGGTGAAGCAATTGCTCGACGACACAGGACCACAGGAATCGATGAATGTGCTAAAGAAGCCCTTGCAATACGGCATATTTATTGATCAGTTTACGGGATGTCATTTAATGGACTGGTTCTTGCATAACGGCAACACACGGGAAGCGGCACAACTTGCCACACTTCTTGTGGAGCGAGACTTATGCAACAATGAACTCGTCGCCACACTGTGCCTTCAATCTTTTTACGCCTACGTTAAAAATTACGAAGCACAGGAAGTGGAAAAAGTAGAGCCCTCCAAAGAAGTGGTAAGTAATTAAATACTTATATTTATATTTCTATGCATTTATATATTGTTAAAATTCTTTCACAAGGAAAAAGTTCGTGTTAAATTTATACGAAACTACGAAAATGCCAATGTTAAAACTGAAGAGAAAATGATGAGTGAAGCTATGATAAAATTGGGATCGAATACAAACCTAGACAAGGAACTTGTCCACAATATTACACTGATTGGGCTAACACTAGATTGTCGTCTGACTGAAGCAGAAAAGTGGCTGACAGGAAATCAAGAAAGCTTAAACAAATCTGCACTGCAAGTCTGCCGTCAGCTGATTGATGTCTTGAAAGTGGAAAACACTCCTGAACTTGAAAAACTACTTGCTCAAGAATGTAAACAAACTAAGTCATTTGATGAGATCTTGGAGTCATGTGTGAAACGTTGTGTGGAAAGTTGTGAGCCGCAACTTATGGAGGAATACGAGAAAAGTTACCAAGCGTGGCAAATGGGTTTTCAACTGGCTGTCAAGGAACAGGCCAAAATCCACGATGTGCAAAATCGCGTGGAAAGCATTCACAATACGTTAAACAGCTTGCAAACGATGCGACAGAATCTTTGGTACTTTGAGAACAAAGAGGATATTGATATTGCAATTTACAAGAAGAAAGTCCATTATCCCAAGCGTTGGTTCGGCAAGAAGAAGAAGCCCAAGGCAGTGGATGCTTTCTATGTGCCACCAACTATTTCGCGAGGAAATTGAATGCTGTTTTTGCAACATTCTTAAATGCGAAAAAACCAAAATCAGTCCAGTTTTAAAGATTTAATTAAATTACTGGAAAAATAATGAGAATTTTAAATGTTGTTTCATTTTTTGCTCGAACGGTCAATTTGTTTTTAAAATTACCATAACGTAACATTGAGGGTCACAGTTATATTCATTCCATCTCAGGTTACAACATTATTTTTTTTGTTTGTTTTTATAACTTTTTTGAGTTTTTTTTTTTTTGGTTTTCATAATTATGTTAAATATTAAAAGCTAATCGTCTGTCATTTGTGCATGGCCGAAGGGAGAGCAGTTTTTAAAACGCGTTGTCCTGGTGCCGATGGCGACAGATTAATTGGTGATGGTAAATCGTGCCTCTTATCCTGTATGGTCAATGGTAAGAATTGCTGTTGCTTCTTTTTTCGATTCATATTCATTGGATGGGTATTGTCGTTCTTGCCAAACAATATGGTCAAATGTACAGCACAAAAGATACCCAAACTCTATAAAATATATAATTGTGTTAAAATCAATATTAAACATTCACATATCAACATATATAGTAAACTACCTGTAGAATGGCAATGATGGCAGCTCCAAATGCGGTTATCATCAGACGACTCTTGATCTGCTCCGATACTACGGCCAAGCAGCCGCGCTTATAGTGAGTATCACATGCCGATTCGTAGGCGTGCTCAGGACGAGAGCAGCACGACCAAGGAAGCGAAAGTCGTCGATAGTCAAGCGGTCCATCGACACCGCAGCACTGCAACTGTGAACACAAGTGACAAATGTGAGTCAAGGATATAGTCTTAAGAAAAGGAGTTTTCGATTTAATATAATACATTTTAATATCAATAACCTAAATATATATTAATTCTAATATATAAAAAAATAGCTGACACATTTAATTCCCGCTTAAAAAGAAACAAGTTTTCGTTATAATAATATAGATTTTGTAGAAAGCATTTGTAGCAATAATATAAATATACTGAAAACTAGAGCATTTTCTATGAATGTAGAAAAATTATGTCAGTTTGCAGCGCTCCTTTGCCTTATTCATAAAAAAAACCTTGCTCAGACATTTAATTGTTGTTTAAAATGCGTTTTTGTAGGCATTATTTCTTCGTTAAAATTAGTTTAAAAAAAATATTGGTATTTAGTTACCTGAGATTGCATGCGATTCCACAAATGCAAGTTGTCAACTTTAGTTCTGGAGAACTTGTCCAAAAACTCGACAAAAGAATCGTCAATGAAAATCTCCACAGATGTTGGAAGATTCTCTCGCATTGCCAAGGACCAACCACAGATAATGAATTGAACACATATACAAGCCACCAAAAGAGCTGCGAACTGTGAGAACCAATAGGTAATACATATATACACAAATATACATATACATTTATGTTTATATATGTTAGACCATAAGTATATGTTAAAAAGATGAAAATAAATGATTAGATTTGCTTACCATGCCGAGGAGACAGCGTTTCCGTTGGTTGGTTGCCTGGCAGCCCATCCAGCATAGTATGAATGTAACGGGACCTAGGCAAAGCAGGATTGCAGCTGGAGCCCACAACTTGTTCTGTACGATCCCATAATAAACCGAGTGTCCCCACAAAAGGGATGTTCCCAAAAATATTTGCGCTGCTCCCGTCAACTACGGTTTTATATAATAACAAAACAAAAAGCGTTTTTAATTTATTACTATATTGTTAATTAATTTATAAAATAGCATTTTTAATCAATTATCTTCTCATAAATTATTAACGACTTTTTAAAAGATTCACTTTTTGTTTTCATTCATGTTTCATTTTTTGCAATAGATATAAAATCGAATTCGAAACAGTTTTGCTTACTTAAATTTAAAACCCAAAACAACTTGGCCAGTTAAAGGCAACGTAGATATATATATATATAATCGTATTATTTGTTTTACATACAAACTAGTAATTTATTTAAATGAGTTACACTTTTTGCGAGAAAGTGTATAAAAATCAATTCAATGCAGAGAGAGTTCTTGACGAGTGTAAATATGTACACATGTACACATATTCTATGCTACCTTTTGACGTCATAATAATGCTGTTACGCATCGATGTACCGATTTACATATATGTATGTATACGTCCATATTATGTACTCGTAGAAATTAGCTCAAGGTTATCTTCAAATTTTCACTGGAGTAGAAATGCATATACATATATATATTATATATGTATATACGCAATGCAAATTGTATGCTTGTACATTGTACATATGTTCATTGTGTACATATGTGTTAAAGCATATCTAGTAGGCACTGTAATTTAAAAAAATCCCTATTTAGGGAAGTAACGGGAGAAGTTAACTGACAGAAATTCAGTCAGCTGCTTAAGAAACTACAACTTGGAAATGAAAGCTTGTTTGTTGTTTTTTTTGTATGTAGGCCAAGTAAGGTATAGATGTACACAGAAGTACAAACATGTAAAACATATTTACATTTTGAGAGTGGTTGCATCACAAACGTATACAAAATGCGAAATTGTGCTAAATACTATTTATTTATTTGAATACTTACCGCCAAGAGGAACACATAACTGTAAACTAAATATTTAAAACATTTAATCTTTTTGGGCAGAGCCATCATTTACAGTTCTCAGAATACTCTCTTTCACCAGACACTTTTCAAATGTTTTTTATCCTGCCGTTTAATAGAACAATCAACATTATCTTTTATTAATTTGATATATTTGCATCATGCATTGTTAAAGTGCATATGCATATGTATATGTACATATATATATGTGTAGAGAATTACATACAATTTGTATTCATACGTAAATACATATCTTTATATGTACCTACTTTTGTTATTTTTATTTAATTTGGATGTGCAAATTGTTTAATGCTTAAATGTGAATGTGCCTATAGACTTGCAAAGACGAACTATCTCTTTTTTTTATTAATTTTAATATATTTTTTTTGTGTTTTTGGATTTTGTGATTATGTGGTTTTGTGGGCCTCTGTGAAAAGTGGCTAGCTTTCAAACATTAAATGTTTTGCATAGTTGTCCTAATATAGTTTACACCACACATTAACATTTTCGCAGCGATAATTCTGAACTTCACTGTTGTAAATTTTAACTAAAAATAACTGTTTAAGTTTCAAGTTGTCGAGCGAGCAAAGTTGCGTCCACAGATAAAAACACGCAGTTTACTGTCTGACGTTTTGTTCCTTGTTTTGTTATACATTTGCACAGTTTAACAGTGAAAATATTATCTATAACCGTTGCGCTGCCTCGGTTGCAATTTCAGTCGACTCGTTTTTCACGTCGATGCCTCGATGACAGCATCAGCGACGTTGGCGCTAAAATTTGGATTGTGCTAAAATCTGATTTAAAGTTGCATACACAAATTGTCTCATTTTAACCAACAAAATTGCATTAATATATTTTGCATGCATAAATAATATGTTTTTTTTTTTTGTTTTTGAGAAATCATTTAAATTTACACATTTAAATACATTTTCGCAAAGTCGCAAAGTCTAGCGATGAACACAGTGGCTCTGATAGTTTCCAATTATTGTTATTATTATATGTGCAACAAATATTACAATAAAACTATATTACGACGACGAATTAAAATAACACGTTTCACGCTTGTCACTTTTTGTTATTGCGCATTTTGTCGAGAGATGCTAACGGGAGAGGATGAAAATTATGTTTAGATCTAAGGGTGTTTTACATGTATTAATTTTTTCATATTTTTAGTTGCAGCGCTGCAAATTAATCGATTGCTGTATCTCATTAAACCTTCGTACAGGGTATTATAATTTTGTTGTGAAGTTTGCAACGAATTAAAGGTGACGGCTCTGACCCCATTAAACATATATATTCTTGATCAATATCACTAGCCATGTTTAATAATCAGAGCTTGCTCAGTTTTAGGGCTTTCTTATTGAAACTTGGCAAATAAAAAGTTGTGCCATTGAAATATCCACTGAAATGCATTAATTTCAGCCTATCTAACTAATGTGAAAATCTTATTTAACACTCATTCGCCAAACAGAAAATATCTAAATTAAATTTGTGTGAAACGCTGAGAATAATAACCATATTTCGAACTCCGGACCAAAATTAATATCCCAGACAAGTATGCATAATCTAAATGTAGATAATCTGCAAATAATGTTTAATTGATAGATTTATTATAACTATAACTGCTAAGCAGACAATAAATAGAGGCGTCAAATCGACAAAAAAGTGATTGAATGAAACATCTGATCGATTGGTTAGTTCTCTCTCTCTCTCTCTCTCTCTGAGAGAATATTTTATGGTTATAGTGTGCCGAAGGGCGAATCCAGGTCAGTATTTCGCCTGCCTGCGAGATATGCTTGAGCGGACAGGTGCAAGCCCCTAATAGGTTATGGATGTGTGCAAAGAGAGCAGCAACATTGCTAGCGGATTGCAAAGAGAGGGTATCACTGTCTCCACATACAAAATTCATTCCCATTAATTCTCAAAATATGGGTTAATAAAAAGTTAACGTTGCGCTCTCAGATAAAGAAGTATGCAATCGATCAGATGTTTCATGCAGTCACTTTTTTGTCGATTTGACTACTCTATGTATTGTTTGCTTAGTGCTATAACTATCATATATCGATTTATTTTAAAGCAGCTAATATAAACATCGATAGGTTTGGTACGCATTTGGAGTACCAAAAGTATTTCGTTTATTATGGTCAGCATTTTTGAATATTTAAATCAGATGTGGAAACGCAGCTTTTACTGGGGAACATTTGTCAACATTGTAAAGTCTACAATGCATCGAATTGTGCATGTAACTTCGGTTTTATTTTTAAAGTAGCCGCCATTTTTATCAGGTTTTAAGGAACTATTCAATCGTCGAATAAGCCCGCAATATTCGAATCATTCCATAGCGAGTATAACAGTAGATTTTCAGTGACAGCCAAATGCTAACAGTTCCAGTCCCAATCTTAACAGTTCAGTCCCAATGCTAACGTTTTCGGAGTTTTAACAGAGACTGCGTTCAAAAACGGCCTTTTGCGTATACTCGATTAATGTTATTGAAGTACACATTTAATTTTGGACAAGTCTGAAACAATATACTGTTGGGAAAAAAATATACATATATAGATATACATATACATATTTTTTTCATTTTATATATACGAGTACATAAAAGTTAACAATTAATGGAAAGAATTTCGGAAGCAGTATTGACTTTAATTTAATTTATACAAAAATCAACATTTGAATAAATGACAAAACTAATTTTTGGTTTTTTCAGATGCGAAAATAATAGCAAAATAATTTTTTTTAATATATATATTTTGTTTAATTGAAAGGGAAAAGTGATAAAAGTACCGAAATAAATTCTTTATGTTTAGCAGATTTGCATTTAAAAATATATTTCTTAAGCGATTTGACTTTTATTATCTTATTATTATAGGTATTCATTATTATCTGGATCATTGAGTTTAAGATAAATCCAAAAAAATTAATTCAATGCGACGAGAATGTCACTGCAGTGCGAAAGAGCTCGAAATCACACAAAAAAATAAATGTTAGAATAAAATTATACGAAACAGCTTTTACAATATAAAGAGAATACTGGAAATAGTGAACGAAACTTTACGTCAAAAGGTTGATTCGCAATAGCACAATGAATCTTTTCTATAAATTAACTCAAAATATTGCCGTCATTGTACATGGAGGGTCAATCATACCAGTATATCCTTTATGGACTTTATGTATTAGATGAAATTAATTTGGGTCTTCCAACCATCAGCGATCTTCATAGAGTGGCCTGCGCAGAAGCCTGAGCTCAATTTAATTGATAATCTGTGATCTGATGTGAAAGAGGCGTTTTCTACTTTTAAGGCAACCAACAACGCATCACTTTGAATAGTGATTCATATCTAAAAACATGTTCAGAAGTTCCTTAAACTTACTTACAAAAGAGACAACTTTAAAAACACTTCTTGCGAGGCTGGTGCTATTTCTTTTGAAATTGTAGATATTGTGCAAGGTATCCCCGTATGCTTTCCCGTTTTCTAAAAGACAGTGAGGTGTAAAAATGAAATGCTTTAGTTTTATTACAATCTTGTAAATTTATGCTGTACAATTACATATTATTATTGACGAATTTAAAGATTTGAAACTAGTCCTTGTGGTGGTATGCAGAGGAGTGTAAAAAAAGTAGAAATGTTTCATCAAATGTAAAATATGTGAATTATATATATATATATATATATATATATAGATGTATGTATATAAAACAGGTAGAAAATACAATACAAATTACAATACCTTTGAATAAAAATTATATACCTAAGAGCTAAGTGTGTGTTCCACTTAAAAAATGGACCAGCCGGGCTTAAAAGAGGGACCGCGTGTTGTATTACGATTTCATTTCGAATAGAATAGAATACTCAAATCCGATTTTTTAAATTACAAAAAAAAAGCCAATTGTGCACCTTTTTCATATTATTTTTTTGTTTTTTGTTTTTTTTTTTAGTTTTTTGGGGGCTGTCACATGTCGACCAAGTAAAATTCAATTGAATGTTAATAAAATTCTATGCTGATTTAAATGTACATTTTACATATTTATACAATTGCATTTTGCTTTTTTTGTTGTTTGCTCTTGTTCTTTACTGTTTACCGTAAGTTTATGTTGTATATACATATGTATATAAAATTCAGGTCTCTTTGCAATTACTTATTTGAGAAGCGATGACGACGCCGCCAGTCAAACAGATCTGTTGTGTGTATTTTTGTTGTATTCTGTAGATGATTATTCCCGAAGATTCTTAGTGAGCAGCAGATTGTTGTGATGCCCGGACAAATGACGCACCAGCTCCTGCACGGACTCAAAGCACATCGAGCAGAAGCAGCAGCTGTAGCGATTCTCCGTATCGGTGCCATTCGTCGTCGTTATAACATTCCGATGCACCGAACACAGATGCTTCAGCAGGTGCGCCTTCTGCTTGAACATGGCGACGCACAGTCGGCAGGCGAAGGGCTTCTCGCCGGTGTGGACGCGGAGATGGGTCTTCAGGTTCCACGACATGCCGAACTGCTTGCCACAGTATTCGCAGCGATATTCGCGCACCGACGACGACGACGTTGAGTGGGAATTTGTATTGGCGGCGGCGACGACGGTGCTGCTATTGTTGCGACCCCCATCCGGATCAAGATTTAAGTTAATATGCGATAAACTGGAGAGACGCGACTGCAAATTGGGCATTGTTGAAATGGCGGCATTTTGATTCGACTGCCATTGATACACAAACTGTTGCCCCAGATGCATTTGCAGCTCCGGACTCTGACCACGATGATTGCGTTGATGTTGTTGCTGCTGCTGTTGTTGTGCTTCTAATAGTTTCCGTTCCGGCGGCGTGAGAGTGTCCGTGTTGAGGGTGCCATCTTCCAGATGCGATAATAGGTTCTTTTCCGCTGCCAATCCCGCTATCGGTGACGTTGTCGACTTGACCAATCGCAGCTCTTCCAGTAGATTGTGCTGATATGTTGTAAACGGTTGATTGTCGCTCTGGGTATTATGGAAACCGGGCCGTCTCTTTCGATGCGGCGTCACCACATAGTTCTCCGGGGAACTATTGATGTCCGACCCGTCGGACAGTGGCTTCATAATATCCTTGTGGGCCTCAAAGAAAAGACCCTTACGCTTCGTACTCTCATTGGCGCTGATCGCGTCAGCGCTATTGTGTTTGGATAGAAAGGATTTGCTAATATCGTTCCGTGACGAGTGATTGTCGCTCTTCGTTCGCAGATCGAGTGATAGATTAACTGGGTTTACTGTCGAATTGCTGTTGTTGTTATTGTTGTTGTTATTATTGCTGTTGTTATTGTTATTAGTGCTGCTGGTGCTGCTGCTGCTGTTGGCAAGTCCGCCGCCAGCTGGAATGTGTGAGAGGTTAACAACTTCATCGGTGTCTTTGTCGCTCTTATTGTCCTTGCTGCTGTTGTCGCCCCTTGCGGCGCTGCAATCATCGTCATCATCATTATTATCCTTATTGGTGCACTCGTTGGCGCTCTCACAATTCTCCGCCGAATATGTGGAAAAGTTAGCCGCATTGCGTGCCTCATCCACACTCTCGACTTCGTATTTGAGGGACTGATCCAAGGATTGGGAGGATGTGTATTGCTGCTTCCTCGGTCTGTCGCGTAAGCTGGCGCATTTACTGCTCAGATACGCGGAATCTGTCGTCTTCCAACTGTCCGATTTGATCTGCAGCAGCAGCAACAAATCGTGCAGATAGTTCACATCTCGCGATGTTATACACGTCTGGCCCGAGTACAAGAAATCCAATAGAAATTTAAAATATGTCGCATTCACATCGGGAAAATAGACCGTTGTTGTGCAATCGCTCAAGTGAGTATCCTCCAACAAATTCCTGCAAATTGGTATATGTAAATATGTCTATAAAAAATTATATAGAAAGTAAATCGACTGACTTACCTTATGAGTGGACTGGCAGCGGCGAGAACTAATTTGTGGGCATGCAGCTTCACTTTGTTCTCACAGACTATGGTTAGGTCCGCTGGATGCTCTCCTCTGAAGGCTGCTCCGATTTCTTTGAGGATGCACTCACCATGCTTGCTGTATTGCAACATCAACATTCTTTGAAACTGTAAACATTCAAATAGATCGATACAAATCGATATTTAATATTCAAATTAAAATAAAGATAAACATTAAAAAAAAAAAAACGACTTACAATTTAATTTTATTGAGCTTAAGAATTATTAAATTCAACGTACTTTCCTAACTCTTTTCTTCAATGTATTAGGGGACTTCAAGTTTACTTAGGCTGAATGCAAAGCTTATAAAGCTTTTGGTAGTTGTGTTTTGTGTCTGAGGGCAACAACAGAAAAGCGCATTTTTACCTCATTGTAATATGTATAAATATACAAATATATATTTATACATACATAGAAATAAAAGGCCATGTGTCATTATTGTATTGTGCAAGAGCATGGCTTGTAAGCTTGTGCATTTAACAACGTTCACATACACGCACACACATATGCAATGTGTGTGTGCTGCTTATGTGTATGCGCGTGTGTGTGTGTGAGAGAGTCTACAGGGCCACACATCGAAGCGAAGCTAAAGTTCACAGATATCTTGGAAACTTTAGAAAGAGATAGTCTCGCGCTGGCTGCTTTTGTTGTGGCGAATGGAGAAGAAACGTTCACTTTCAATAAAACTTGACTGACTGGCTGTAGCTGGCTTACCAAGCAGCAAGCAAGCAAGGCAGAGAAGAGAATGGTATGATTGTTGTTGTGGTTGTTGTTGTTGTTATTATGGCATGAAGCTCACCACCAACAAAAAAAAAAAATAAACGGAATTGTAACAGTCATTGTGTATGTGTGTGTGATATACCTTATCCAAGCAACATTTTAGCCAAAGCTGGGCCAAAGTTAAACACACATACATATGGATTTAATTAGAGAAGGAAATCATAGGGAAAAGTATTCAGCTATTTCTTATTAAGCGCATTTAGTAACAGGTTTTAAGATTAAATACGAAATCATTTAGTCATAAGAAAGTTATCTGGCATTATATGAATAAATTAAAGGCAGCTTTAAATGTGAAAAGATCGATCTTTAACAAAATGAAGACCGGAAATCGAAATTAAAATACAAACAGCATATATAAATACATTTAATATACTATACGATATGTATGTGCATTTAGCAATATATACAAGAAAACAATGAAATTCTGCCATTATAAATTTAAAAACTATGACAAAAACATTAAAATATTTTTATTATTTTTTTTTAAATTGTTATACATATTTACTTGGCTTTACACAAATAATTTCCTGTTTAAATATATATGTCTATGCAAACACTCATTTAATTAAACAAAAAACTAGCAATTGATTAAGCAAAATGCAAAATTTTAAAACAGACCATAAAAAAATGCGCTTAGTTAAAAACGCGCACAAAAATCACCTTTCACAAAAAGCTTTTCTCTCGATGATTTCAGTTCTCTCTCCCTCGCTCTCTCTCTCTCTCTCTTTCGCTCTCGCTCTCTCTAAACATGAATGGCTGTGTGAGTGTGAATATATGTAGTAATGTATGCATTCACATATTCATGTCTAGTTGCGCTTGTATTAGATGGCAGCAGGCATGTAAAAAAGCTTTCGAATTACTCTAAATAAGTCTCAAAACTAAACAATACAAGCATACAATATGAAAATATGCATGATGCTTGTGTGTATGTATGTATGCAAAAGCATATGTACATACATATGTATGAATATATGTCCGTATGTATACAAAGACGCGATCACTTTTTACGCTTGGCTTTTTAAATTCGTCGTCACAGTTTCGATACCAAAGAGTTTTGCAATTATGTTATTCGTATGTGTATGTAAATAAAAAGTAATTTCAGAATAAGGACAAGTCATTTCGATTTATTGTACATACACACATTGAATTTATGAAGTGAGCGCATTTCAAAATGATCAAACTTGTTTTCGCTGAAGTTTGTCACGGGCGGACCAATACTAATGCAATGCACACTGTTTCTGCTCATTTTCCCCTTTCACGAAAGCTCTTTTGGTAAACCAGCCGAAAAAAAAATCTCAGACTCACATACACCAACAACAAACGCCACTCGCCGTCGTATGCATGTTTATGTGTTATGTCTGTATGTGTGTGTACATGTTGTAAATGCCACACTCGTAAAAATGACCCAAATTTGAATTACATAATTATAAAAATGAACAAACTCTTCTTTCCCCATCGATCTTCAATATAAAAGAGTAAAATTCAGCTATCTATGTAAAAGTGTAGATAAAAAGTGTACTCATACATATGTACATAAATATGTATGTACTTATGATGTTATATTGACTAAGCTTATTAACATTTCTGCGCAACAATAAATGAAAGAGAAAGAAAGAGCGACAAACGTATGCGACGACGTGACACACACACACATACATACATACATACTAATGGAGATATGTTTGTGTATGTATATAACAGAAGCAACAGCAGCTACGTAGATGTATGCAGACAATTATACATGTGTGTGTTTATATGTATATATATATAAGCACGCTATGAAGGTCACTAAGCCTTTCTTGTCTTTTGCTTTTGCTTGGGTGCTTTGCGTTCCGTTGCGATCTTTTATTGCTGGTAGCTGTTGTTTTTGTGTTTTCTGTTTTCTGCTGTCGCTCGCTGCTGTTAATCGTGACGATCAGACAGACAGACAGTCAGACCAGTCAGTATGTATACAGAAAACTCGAGCTCTGCTGCTGCACCACATTTACACATGTACACACATACATATATTTATAAAAATGTATAAATGTATGCGCGCAGTTTTTGTATTGAAACTTTTTTGTGTATTGCTTGGTTTGCTGCTTTTCTTCCATAACTATTTTTAAGTTGGCCTTGTAAATGTTTATTATATATTCGTATATACGTATATATTTTAATGCTATTATATTTAATTGATCAATATTAATAACATTGCACAAATATATTTGCATATTTATATATTTATTTTCACTTTCAACTTTCAATCCATTATGTACATATGTATTTTTTAAGCATAATTTGTACTTTCTCAAATTGTGTATAGAGAAATATACTTTTAAGCTTACCTCTTTCATTAAGTCTTGTGGCAATTACTCCCTTTCACAAATAGCTGGAAAATCTTCTGTAGACTTTCGGAATATGTATGTAATATACATGCATACACACACAGGCATACACATATGTAAATGCAGCAGTTGTAGTATTATGCATATGCATACATATATACTCACACACACACTTCTCTACATACACACAAATGACAAGTAAGCAGATTGAGCAGAGCTTTCCACTTTCACAGTCTCTGGTTAAAGTTTCTGTATGCTCGTCGCTCACATATATATGTACCTGCACATGTATGTATGTATGTATGTGTGTGCGAGTGTTTAGTGTGAGTGTGTGGATAAACGCGTTCTATTCCTTTTGCATACATACAGATGTTTGTATGTATGTATGTAAAATTATTACTTTCAGTTTCAACACATCTACACCAACACAGGTTCATATGGACAACATGGGACAACTGTTTCAGTTCTTACTGATCGATCGATTGTATTCGAGATTTTCACAATACTACAATATGATCGTAGAGAGTAGATTAAATTTCTCTTTTTTTGTTTTTCGAGTTGAGTTGGATGTTGTTTTGAAGCAAGGCACGTACAGTTCACAGTTCCATTAGCTTTTGCTGTTTCGATACGAACGAAAAGCAAACAAACAACAAATACACATTCACATACACAATAGAGCGATGCCAATCCATATGCATATATGTTCCGCGCACACATACACACAAAAGTTCACAACAACAACAGTAACTTTTAACTAGGTTGAAGTTTTGTTATATGTAATACATTATTGCGAAATAAAAAACTTGATTGGTAAAACTTTTTTCCCGACTTTGCGAGCGAGTGAGCGATTGAGTGAGCGAGAGATCGGGGCTTTTGCCTCTCTCTTTTTGTATGGGAAGAGTGTAACTTTTGCGTTTCTCTTATAGCACGCGGGCACCGTCACCGTACGTCCGACTTACCAAAGCACTATTTGTGCACTAAAACTACAAACGATGGCAGCCAACAGCACCAGCAAAAGCAACATCAATAGCAGCAGCAGCTAGCGCTGGCAGCGAGATCAGAGCCGACGTCGTCGTTGTGTGTGAAAATGATGTTGTTGCTGTTGTTGTTACTGTTACTGTTGTTGTTGTAGTTGATGGTCTTCGGACTCATTCTCGCAAGACACACTTCGTTTTATGATGTGTTATGCCCTTGCCAAGAGTGGTTATTAGTACAACACTGTAACAAACAAAATTAACCTCTGGATGTACATACATATGTATTTACATACGTATATATGTATGTATATTATGTGCGTATTTACATCACAAATTTGTTTAAATTATGAGCGTATTTTTAATTGTCTTAATTCATTTATAATATTAACCCTTCAAATACTATTAATTAATATTAATATCTCGTATAATTTAAATAATTTTTAAATGCAAAAATAAAAACAGTTACTCGATTTTGAATTACCATAAAATCCACTTAAAAATATACCTTTATATTTGAAAATTATTACTGAGCTGTTACACTTTTTAAAATTGATGTTTGCCCTTCAATGCTTCAAACTTTCACAAAGTAACATAAATATTATTGGATTTTAAGAAATTTGTAGAAATTGTTTCTAAAGACAAGGCAAGGACACCTAGTCTCAAATACTCAAGATCCACTTCTCTATTTACTTGGATATACTTATATACCTACGTAGTATTTGTATTTATTTTCCGCTATTCCATGCACTTATTCTTACTGTGAAATTTTCATGCCCACTTTCCCATTTGCATACGCCTCGTAGCTCAAGGACAAATCTTTAATTGCCCTTTGAAAAATAAAGGGTTGATGTATGTAGGTGTCCTGTCTCGCTCATCGATATCACATTAAAGAACACAGCATGATCCATGAATCAAATTCACCGTTTTAAAGATCACAACTGTAAGAAAAAACTAAAGAAAACTAAAACTTCACTATTTTAGGTTGCTAGAAGGATAGCACTTATACATTGCCGTTTCGTATTCCTATTCGCTTTCGAATACATATCCTTTGCCAACGCTTAGTAGTCTAAACAATAAAAATTTGCTTTATTTAATGACCTTGAACTTATCGGACCTATCAGCACACAATGCCCGCATAGAGTATAACAGTACATATGTATGTAAATGTTGCACACGACTTGCGTTGTGTACCCTTTCTTTTAAAGGGATACAATTAAATGTGTCCTTGAATCAGGCACACTGCAACATTAATTACACCCGCTTTCTATTGGTAATTATTTCGTATTCAAATGGGAAAAATGTGCAATGATCTATTCAGTAGAAGATGTGATATATTTTATAGGCACACTTGATTAGTATATACCCTGTTATTTTATTTCTATTTATTTTTTTTCGTGTAAAGTATGAGGTAGTATTAACGATGTAGACAACTTCAACTTAGAAATAATTCCAAATGCTGATTAAAAGATCATCGGTTTGTTTTTACAAAGTTTTGGCTGTGGAAAGCTTTGAAATATCCCCACATGACAATAGCTCATCTTTCAATCAAATGTGCTGATTAAAATTCAAAGACAAATATATTCCAATGATAATTAGCTTTAAAACTGTTTTATTTTCAATTTTTAAAAACTATGAAGAGTACCATCGAATAAATCAGCCGATTGGTACATTTGTACCAACCGTGGCAGCTGTAGCGATGACCCTTATGGGAAATACATATCGTACGATTGCAAGACTTAACTATCGATACGCTTATGCTTATCGACGATACCTGTCATAACATAATTTTATGGTACACCGACAGCCATCACTAACTTAAGAGTTAAACATCGATCGTCGTGTATTATTAAAGTTTTGTCGGACAAGCGAACGCAACAAATAAAAAATGAATATTCGAATCATGCAAAGCCGAAATAGTTTAAAAAATGCAACAAGTTTGTTTAGAAGACGTAAGTATTTATTTTTTAAGGCTTTTAACGCTATATATATATATATCGTATGCACAGCATATGACGACGTCAAGATCAAAGTCCAATATTTTTTGAGTAAAGTACAAATGTTCATATATGTATGTAAAAATACATGTATATAAATAATTATATTTAAATCTGGTGTCATATATGTTTCTTTTCTGACACATAGTTGAGTACCGACAATTATCCGCCCAAGTTGCCGCACAACCCAAACGCAATGCAGCTGATCAAAACATCGTCCTAGTCGATGGAGTTCGATCTCCATTTTTGACATCTGGCACGGCTTATTCAAAACTAATGCCACATGAATTGGCTCGGCATTCGCTGCTGTAAGTCTACGTCACAAACTACATAAATATATATATATAAATAAATATTTGTTTTATCATAGATCACTATTGCAAAAGACTCGCCTAGATAAGGAACTTGTTGATTATATAGTTTATGGCACCGTCATTCAAGAGGTCAAAACATCGAATATTGGACGCGAGGCGGCTCTTTCAGCTGGTTTTAGCGATAAGACGCCAGCACATACGGTTACCATGGCCTGCATCAGCTCCAATATGGTAAGGCGTAGCATCACACTCCTTTCAGTGCAACAATTGAGAATTGCGTTCCAATTTCAGGCAATAAGCACTGGCATGGGTCTAATTGCTACGAATACATACGATGTGATTGTTGCTGGAGGCGTTGAATTTATGTCCGACTTGCCAATTCGTCATTCGCGCAAGATGCGAGCTTTGCTGGTGAAGGCGAGCAGGGCGAAAACTTTGGGACAACGTTTGTCCTTGCTATCGACATTTAGGCCCGATTTCTTGGCACCCGAAGTAGGTTAATTATAACTTTACATAATTCAAAATGAATTTAACTAATCTATTAATCTGTTTCCAGCTTCCAGCTGTTGCCGAGTTCTCATCTGGCGAGACTATGGGCAAATCTGCGGATCGTTTGGCAACCGCTTTTAACGTGAGCCGCCAGGAGCAGGATGACTATGCCTTAAGATCGCATACCTTGGCGCAACAAGCTCAGGAAAAGGGTTACTTTACGGACTTAATGCCTTTTAAAGGTGTGTAAACTATTCATAAATAATTAGTATTATATAACAAATTATATTTTCCCAGTTCAAGGCGTTGATCAGTTGGTCGACAAGGACAATGGCATACGTGTGTCCACGCCCGAAAGTTTGGCTAAACTAAAGCCAGCCTTTATCAAACCTTATGGCACAGTTACAGCGGCAAACTCTTCCTTTTTGGCAAGTATTTAATGTTTATTGGTCTAATTACAGCTGTATTCAACATTTTGATTTCTAAATTGTAGACTGATGGCTCCTCAGCGTGTCTTATTATGACCGAGGCGAAGGCCAAGCAATTAGGCCTGAAGCCCAAAGCATTTTTACGTGATTTCCTCTATGTGTCGCAAGATCCCGTCGATCAGTTGCTCTTGGGTCCTGCATATGGCATACCGAAGCTGTTGAAAAAAGCAGGACTCACATTGAAGGATATCGACACTTGGGAAATTCACGAGGCGTTCGCAGGTCAAATCGTGGCCAATTTGAAGGCCTTGGATTCCGATTGGTTCTGCAAAACCTATCTGGGTCTAAACGAAAAACTCGGCTCAGTCGATATATCCAAGTGGAATAACTGGGGTGGCTCCCTATCAATTGGTCATCCGTTTGCCGCCACAGGAGTGCGTCTCTGTATGCACACGGCGAACCGTTTGGTTCGTGAGGATGGCAAACTTGGTGTTGTTGCCGCATGTGCTGCTGGTGGCCAAGGAGTCGCCATGCTAATCGAGCGTTATCCTGGCGCAACTGCCGACTGAATTTCTGTATCATTAGCTAAGTTCTTTACAGTTTAATACATGCCCCTAAATACATTTATTTGCGGTTTATATAGTTACATCGGTTTTTGTTTTAAATCTGTTTGAATTAAACTTGGGATACATCTGCATTTCTATCTGCAGGAGTTATAATCCCAATTAAATATTCTAAGCTATAGTAAGTATATTGATAACTATAACGATATTTTCATAATTCAAATTGTTACTATTTCAACAGCTACTTAGATCTACATTTCTTTCTGTTTTTCTTCTATAAACAAATTGAATTTATATTATTACTCCGTTTCATAAAGCTGTTTCTGTCTTAACTTGGTTTGCAGCACATCGTTTTCATTGTAGGACAGATGTAAAGGTGGTATTAAGGCACAGGCCACCATTCGACCCTCGGCGTTCAAGAAATTAAACGTTGCACAGGCCTAAATAACAAACATATATATAGAATCAATGAACAATGAGATTTCAGTAGAAAATTAACTGCTATTTGTAGAAAGCAAACCTGTTCTGTCCGCAAAACCTCGACGTTGGTCTTGTATTTTTTCATGTACGCTATAATTCGCTTTGAGAGAGTTGGCGTTGGACTCTGGTCTCCGATGCCAATAATGAGAACATCGATCTTTGGCTCCAGTGTGGGAAAGATTGAGAGACTTTCTTCATTGATATCTTCAAAGGAGTTGACGTTCCACGAGAGAACGGATCTGAAAGATTCCGCATGCTTACATAACAAACGAAATATCTAAGCAATTGTTGCTATGTTATGCTAACACACCTGGGGAAAACAGTGATGGGGCCTAACAAGACCATATTGTTGTTAAGTCGAAATCCATATTGACTGTATCCTGTAATCATGAGGCCTACGTCCGTGTCGGTGTTGAATATTGTTACTTTTGTTTTGCCATCAGCATCGTACGCTTTGCTCAAGTTTCTATGTGCAGTTGAGATCCCCCGACTACCGATCAGGGACTTGGACAAATTAAACGCCCCAGCAGCCTTAAAAGCCGCGGTCCTTAATGCTTGTATGCTCATTTGAAGATATTTTTGTTATTCAAATGAAATGTGACAAACCAAAACGTAAACACAAATAATCGATAAGCACATATCGCATCGATAACTCCGCCTGTTCAATTTTCATTCGTTCCCATTAACCATAGTTGGCACTCACTGAGAAAATGTAAGAAAGCCAGTGACAAGATAAATAAGAATAATTTACTATTTTCAAGATTGTGATATTAAATTACATGTTTTATTTTTTAATTAAGGCAATCAGGAGGATTGACCAGACTCCTGAAAGAATTACAACTATCGTGGAAGTTTTTCAAACGAGGTTTAGTTTTAGTTGGTGTTAGATACTTTTAATTTAATAAATAAAGTCAATGAATGAGTGGCCTATGATGTGATTAATTTTTATTTAATAAGAATATGTTGCATATACCAGGTAGTTAGCTTTAACATTTGTTCAATGATATGAAACGCTGTGCAAAAAGGCTGCATCAAAACCGCTCTGAGACACTGTCATTCAATTATAAATGGGTTTTGGGAAGAAATTGGATGTTGTTATTTATGTTTTCCACTAGAAAGATGCCGATAGTTTATGCAGATTAACTGTGCAAGTGGTTGTAACTGGGAGCACAGCGCAATGAACAATTAATTACAATTTGTCAAAGTCAAAAATAATTTTTTAGTCTTGAGTCGAAATAATTCCAATAATGTTATGCAATGCATCGATTACTGAAAACAGTATTTAATTAGATGTGCATGCAGATATGTCTGCATTGAACTATTGAGTCACACCAAGTAGAAACTATAATTTTAAAATGTAGATTTAACGAAATATATAAAAATGAATTATGAATTATAGAAATTAGGTTTCAAGCCAGGTTGCTTTATTTGCAGCGTTTATTTGAAATAAGAAATGATCGGACATGATCATCTGGCTTTGATAATATGAGTCAAAACTACATTAAATGTTTTCTAAAAATCCATTTTTGAATAATAAATTTTTGCATAGCAATTTTATTGTCAAGTAATAGCTGTGACTGATGCTGTATTTGCCTGTATTTCACAGCATTGTACAAATTCCATGCGATGTGATGATATAAAGAAAACCGTAAGTTTTGGAGGTTGACAGTGCGTGGAACGATATGGAATTGAATCGATAGGTGCAATGACAGAACATAGTAAGATGCTCTAAGTGGAAATGTCTGAGGGTGTTTGGTACATTGTACTATCGATATAAATGTCATCACTATTCTCTGTTAAAATATAGTATAATTAAAAAATTATTACTTTTTACAAATGTACATACATTTTATTCTAAATATAAAAATAAAAAGCTGTTAATATCAATTGCATCAGAAAACTGATTGCCGTTTTACAATAGTACGAGCATTTTGGCATCGCCGACGAGATATAAACAGATGCTATAATGAAAGGAAAAGCAAACTAACCAGTTGCACACAATAATTACTATATATACTTATGTATATGATCATATGGTACATACAAATGCTGGCTTAATTAACAAATAAACAATGTGAAAAATGTGTGCATGTCAATAACAGAAAGTATATCAAGTAGAGTAACGTTATTTTTTATACTAAATGTACTAATTGGTCCAATATTTCAAGCGATTAGAAATTGCTGAGTAATTAATACTTGTATATTTTTGCATTGCCATATTTCTGAATAATCTACTCGTATCTTTGTTTTCAATTTATATTTGCTTGGATTGGTCATCAATTACTGTGCTCCTGTAATTCAATTAAGTGTGACTTAAGATGGTGTATATTTTGTATCTTTATTATTTGAAATCAATATAATATGCTGATTTTATTGCTTTACTTTGTGTTTTTTTTAGCTATTCTCTGAAGATTGGAAGAATTTATAGATGATATCTACCTCATAACAACAGAGCAAATATGATTGGCCCCAGTTCACAAATAAGCAAAATATTATTAACACTACTGTTTCTGTTGATAATATTTTATGTGTTTATGGATGTTGAGCTTTATCTGCGAATTCACAACTATGTTATCGATCGAAATTATCACATAAATACGACAACAACACTCTTATCATCATCATCGTCGTCATCGTCAACGCTGGAACCCATCCAATACCAACCAAATTTGGCAACCGATCAAGGATTTAGCAGGTCTTTGAAGCTACCCACCGCTGAAAAAGAGCATCATTATGAGGATTATACGTGGATATCATGCGACATAAATCCACTGTGTCATGTAACAGTTAAGGCGATATTACTAGATCATACGAATCATTATCTGTTCGCACCACTGGCCACAATATTTGACAATGTGGTTGGCATTTCCGCATCCACGTTTATTACTCCAAACATGATATCATTCTTTCATGTGCTCGTCGCTTGTGTATCGGGCAAACTTGTTGCATCCGATAGCCTTGGATATAGACGACTCGGAGTGCTACTCTTTCAAATACGCACCTTTCTCGATGATCTAGATGGCCATGTTGCCAGAGTGAGAAAGCATATACGCGGCGAACGTTCAGAAGTTGGCACATCGGGCTATTATGTGGATGGTCTATGCGATGGACTCGGTTGCATTGCTCTGATATTGGGCATCTTCTTTTATTTGAAAAACAATCCACCTCGTCGTGGTTACTCCATAATACCAATGAGCGATACCAAAACTCCGGAGCCAACCATGATACCCAAAATGAAGGCAACGACGCGCAAAGTGGCGAAAAATGTGATCAGTTTTACGGGCCAACTATTACTTAGCTCGACGGCATGGAATCGTTATATAGCCGTCTATCAGAATATGTTGGAGGGGCAGAAGGATGTTAGTAGCAGTCAGTATCAGTGCCAGACTTATATATTTAAGTCGACATTGTTCTTTTGTGTCGCCTGGATGTGGCGCATTGTTAATGTACACGCATTGTTGCATTGCGTTCTGCTTAGCATATTTTGCGATAAATTGTGGGACTTTCTGCGAGCGATACGGTACAGTGGTTACATCATTTTACTAGTTGCCATTTGTTTAACGGAGATGCACATTTTGGAAGCCCAGAACTATATATTTCACTCAGCAGCGTGCAGTAATATCTCACAGTGATTTTATTCTATACACAATGTATGCGGTATTTTAAATATTTTTGAAGTAGTGCAAGTTTGAGAACAACAACAACAATGCCTTTTTATACCCTGTAACCATAATTTTAAATTGTGTTTCGTGTGCAAAATAAATCCCTATATATATGTGTATATATATTGTGATTGTGCGATTTAGAGTAAATACTTTAGTATGTATCTGTCGAATAAATAATTATACAAGTAAATAAAACGTTTTCAAATTAAGTATAACTAGATGTGACGTCATTCGACATATCGCTTATTAAAAGGTTATTTGTTCAAATAAACCTAGCGTTCTGGAATACAATATGCGAACCTAAATATATCCATTTTAAAAACATATTTACGCGCCTTAGAAACGATTTGCGATGGAGACATGGTTCAATGATATATCGTACAATAATATATCGATAGGTCTTTTAACCATCATCGACAAGCAAAAAAATAGTTTAAACGATATTTTATGCCATCTCTGATTACATTGCCTGTATACATACACGAAATTTTATCTTCACACATTTTTGCAAAAGGAGAAATGGTGTACTTTACGAAATCAAATTTATTAAAAGCGAAATTGTAAATATTCTTTATATTTATTACGCACTTATTGAAGAAAGTGGATGTGCATATGAACATAGCGTGTGTTGTGTTACGAGATACGAGCGTGAAAAGAAAAGTGACTTCGATCTGGTTCTGACTGTGTGTGAATCTTGTGAGAGAGCGAGAGCGAGCTTAAAAAGGAAATATACAACATAAAATATTACGTGTGTGAGCTGTTCTGAAAACATACATTCATATATTGAAGGCATTACATCTGTAATGTTACAACTAACCCTTTATCAATAGTGTAAGAAATTGTTGTATAACCATTTAGGAGAGCCTCTTATCGTCAATCAACTTTTTTTCCAGTACGTTCATACATATTAATGTACATATGCGATAGGGCCCTTTGCAGAACGAGCGTACATACATGTGTACATACATATTTGCACCAGCACCGTGTGTACATGTGTATGTATACTGTGAATACGCATTTGTGAAAACGTGACCGCACGAGGGTTAAACATATGTAAATATGTATTTATATTTATTTCCTTATGTATAATTTATTTGAGGTAAAGGAAATTCATTTAAATTCGATAAAGAGTAATTTTGGTTTAGGAGAGTTTCTTTGCACGTATACAATCGTTTAGTAAGTTAATGTCGCATTTTTCCAAGAAGCTTACCAAATTAATGAACGAAAACAGAAAATGGTGGAATAACCCCCTGTCTCGATGGGGCGCCCGGATATCTATTTCAGACGATATCCGACGATATTTGTGCTTTCATGCAAAACGCATGTTCGAATGTGTGTACATATCCACATAGATGCGTACATGAATATATACATGCAAATGTATCAGTTAATAAGAGCTGCGATTTATCGCAAATGGTACATGCACGAGTGGGACCGGTAAATGTAGCTTCTCTCTGTGTAATTTGATGCCGTTTGTTCTGTTTGCAGAGTTGAGAGTACAGCAAACGTTTGCATGTTGCGATCCCCAGATGTGCATGCTTATGTTCATCTTTTATCAACGCTCCACAGATAGAAAATAACGGCAGATTTAGTTGCCCAATGAAATGTAATGCAAAATTCCTTCAAATTGTAAGGATTAGTGAATTTTGCCATTGTTTTCGGTAGTTTAGAGAAGTAACTTTTTTTTATTATGTAATATACCTTTTTTCAATCAATCTGAAAATAATGCTGAGAGTGATTTTGTTTTTTATATATGTATTTAGCATTTTTGTGTGAATTGTAATATCTGACTCATTTGTATATATTATGAGTTTTATTTTTTCGATTTAAAAATACGGTTTGCTTAGGCGACTATTTACTAAAATCAGAATGTAATGAAGAAATGGTGAGAATTTTGGAATATGTCTGAATATATTGAGTATATGTGTATATGGATGTGTATACGTGTATCTGCTAACGGATATGTTTGAATGTGTATGTGTAAGCATATATGTAATGTTCAAATGATACGAATAAATGTTAATATACCACACTGTAACAATATCATACTATAAAAGTTTGGATAGCAACACGGGGATTTCTTTGATTTTTCTGCGATTTACTTAAAATTAAATTGAAAATCGATCAATTTTTTAAAAATAACATTTTATTTGTTAACAAAAAAATGAGATTTCATTTATCTATTTTAAGTCATAGCTGTTATTTAATTACAAAATGATTGAGGGAAAAATAGACTAAAAAATATATTTTAGGAGAAATTTAATATTACTAATGCTTTGCCAAATTTTGCAAGATTTGATTGTCTATTTTGGACATCGATATGGAAGTTGAATGGGAATGTCAAAGAAATATAACGGAGTAAATTTCCAGGTTATAGGTTCTTATTCTTATTTCTTGATTGTCATTTTGTTTAAATAATTTCTAGTTCCGAGATACATGTAATTTTACGTGGAATAACATACAGTTGCGAAAAGAAAAATAGCACTACAACGAAATTACTTTGGCAAATTTTCAAATAAGATTTCTCTTGTAATGCTTATCAAATTTTTTATTATATCATGCCAAACAGCAGCAAAAAAATGTAATTTGCACCACTAACGTATTATTTATATACATATTTCTAATAGGTTAGATTTTGATCAAGATTAAAATAAATGCAAAATAATGTTCGAATAAAATTATACGAAACGCTATAAACTATATAGAAAACGAGGACTGAGCCCAGCTTAACGTCAATACGTTGATCCGTGAGAGCACAATGAATCATATAACGTCTCCGAGAACCTATTTTAAAGGCTTACAGCTCAAGAAAGTTGCCTTTCCCAAGGAATAAAGTTTGCAAAGAGACTTCTTAATATGCCACCCCAAATAGTAGGAATCTGTAATGGACAGATGAGAGTACAGTTGTTATATTTGGTGGAAATGTCTCCCATTCGTTAAGAATTCAATAAAATGATTTGATAAAATTGGTAAACGTTTTGAAGTCATTCCTGTTTTTAAGCTATTCACCAAGGAGTCCTGGATCGATTATGAATACATTGCTTGTGTTGTGGTAGAGCTATTATTTTTTTCCGCAACTGTACATAATAAAATTACATTATCAATTGAACTAAAGTGAACAATCCAAACAGTTTCCTTTGCTATATTTAATACACTTATAAGAACTAGTTCAATTTTATAATGGGTTATTTAGGGTTTATATTAGACAAAACAAATAAAACACCTTGAATACCTTTTTTTTTTAATGTATTTGTCTTTTTTTTTATTTGTTAACAAACACAATGTGTGAATACTTTTGTTTGAGTGAGTGAATTAATTGTTTACACGATAAATTTTGAGTATATGGGATACATATGAACACATAATATGTATATTGAGAGTATATCAGAGTGATTTTGGAGTTGATTGAATGGTTTAGATGACATTTCGATATTGTGCTAATGAATCATATATAAATGATGTATTAATATGTTATCATTTATAGAATTTTGAAAAACACTCAAAATGGATTTCGTGCAAGTGTCCGAGGAGGAGGGTGACGAGCCCATCGAGCTTCCAGCTGAAGAAGATGGCACATTATTAATATCGACACTGCAAGCACAGTTTCCTGGTTCATGTGGACTTAAGTACAGGAATATGGACTCAAAAGCCGTACGGGGTGTTCGCTCAAACGAAGGAAGACTTTTCCCGCCTTGTGTTGATTCGGGCTGGGGGGAATATGTCTACTTTTGTGTGTTTCCAAAAGGTATACCAAATTTGAGAAGTTCTGCCGAACAGCTCGACAGTCCTTATCGCCCCATATTGCCTCCCATAGAGAACAAACGTAAGAGCGACGATAACTTGGAAAATTCAACGGCAAAAACAAAACGTATTGAAACCCGTTTACGTTGCACCGACTTAATTGTCTTGGGACTGGCTTGGAAAACAACGGAAGATAGTTTACGGGAGTACTTTGAGAGTTATGGCGAGGTGCTAATGGCCCAAATTAAAAAAGATGTCAAATCGGGGCAATCGAAAGGATTTGGATTTGTACGCTTTGGCTCTTATGAAGCACAAATGCGTGTACTCGCAAATCGGCATTTAATCGATGGCCGTTGGTGTGAAGTCAAAGTGCCCAACTCAAAGGTCTGACAATCATTCTACTGTTTCAAAGAAATGCAGCTTTAATTAATTACCATTGTTTCCATTTCTTTTGTAGGGTATGGGTCATCAAGTGCCATGTAAAGTATTCGTTGGTCGTTGCACAGAGGATATCAACTCTGATGATCTGCGGGAATACTTTTCGAAATTCGGCGAGGTAACCGATGTCTTCATTCCCCGACCATTTCGAGCTTTTAGCTTTGTGACATTCCTTGATCCGGATGTAGCCCAATCTCTCTGCGGCGAGGATCACATAATTAAGGGTGAGTAAAGTATATTTTATTGGGCCGTAACATATTTGTGATTATGTTATTCTTCATTAGGTGTGTCTGTGCACGTGTCAAATGCGGCGCCCAAAGCCGAACAGAACCGGAGTCATCAGGCGCAAAATTACAGCTATAACACGGGCAATAGTTACGGGATGCATTCGTACCATCCGCAGGGGAATCACATGAACTCAGGCCGTAGCGGACATCACAGAGGTAATAACCAACACATTGCACACGGAGGTGGTGATAACACTGCAATCGGCAATAGTCACAGCAACATTGGCAGTGGTGGCTACGGAATGGGTGGAAATAATTTTGGTGGAAATTTAAATGGGGGTTACACGAACAGTAGTAATCACAATAGTGGTGGGAACATGAACCGTCAAGATGGTGGTGGCGGTGGTATTCCCTATAATAGGCAGAATAATTTTCATGGCATGAATCAGCCACACAATGGCAACGTAGGCAATGGCGGTTGGATGAACAGGGGACATTTGGACATGCCTAACCTACAAGCGTTAGGCATAAATTCTCAAGGATCCAGCTCTTCAAATCAAGGGCAAAACATGAACAACCCATTAGGCGTCGGACTTAATTTAAACTCATTGCCGATGAACCCTGCTTTGGTTGCTGCTGCGTTGAATCAGTGGAGCCTTCTTGGCAATCAGCTGCAAAATCAAAACCAGGATCAGCAGGCAAGCCTTCTATACAATATCATTGTTTCAAACAAAAAACTCTTTCAGTTACTTCTCAGGGAGGCAATTTTTTATCATGGATGGCTCAAAACAGCGGACAGCATTCCAACGCTTCCAATATGAATAACTCGGGTAGCCGCAAAGGACCAAACAATCCAAACAACTCTGGTTCTGGCGGCATGAGTAAAGGCGACAGTTCAGCTTCAAATGATCAGGTAAGCGTAAAACAGCCGTAATACCGACTTTCTTCAGAATACTTATTTGATATAAATCAATTACAGAACGGCGGCCCTCCTGGCGGCAACTCTTGGTCAAATCAAAGCAGTGGCTCCCAAAACTCTGTCGACAAATCTAATTTTCTCTAAAATATATATATAAAAAAAGCACTTTGCCAATATGGTACGAATAAAAACAAAAATTTTTAATTGAAAATGACTGTTATTAAAATACCTATTTAATTTGGTGACCCAACTCTAAAATTGTGCGAAATATACATTTTCCAGATTTGTAGGGCGCAAGTGGGGGTTTTCAGATGTTTGCTTATACCTTCCAATTTCAGTAATTCTAGCATTCGATGTCAGAGTATTAAGACTGTTTCCAATATTAAATGCAGCATCATAAAAAAAATCATGACCAACATGAATGAGGCGCTGTCTTAGAAACGTTGAAGTTTGCATAATCATAATAATTACACACCGTAGTCAGCGAAATAAGTTTTCTGTTTCACATACTAAAATGTTCTAAATTTACTTTTTAAATAAATTAATTAATATTCGATAAAATGTTGCAAAAATATGAAAATAAAACTGTTTAAGCCGGGACATTAGCGCTTCCAGAAAAAAAATGTGTATATAGGATTATATTCTGTCAACAAAATATTTGGATTTTGTCGGTAAACAAAATATTGAAACAAGATAGGCAAAAACTCTTCATATGAAATGAAAAACCAATTTCTACACATTGCCATCGCAATGAAAAATAAACTTAATTTTAAAAATTAGACTGATTTCGATTAATTTCATACATTTTGTCCCTTCGTTGTATCGTGAATTTATAGTAATCGAAATGTCTGTTTAAATTATGTTCCATTCCATGGTTCCTGATTGGATAAAGTGTTGCGCGTGTAACGGAAAGTTGAGTCATTTCGTATGTCAGAACAAGTTTAAACTAATATTTCGAAATTTAACTAGTATGGATCAAGCACTGCGAAATAAATTCTTTCCCCAGCAAATACTCTATTTTATTGCCGGTCGGCGTTGCTGCCAACAATTTGCTTGTACATTTCGTTCATCTGAGCACAATATACTCGTTACATACGCATGCTCTCTCGGCTTACGTTCCCAGTATGTAGTCAACAATGGACAGGGATGTGTGAAAATATTCAAGCGATCGTGTATGCACTACTTGAATGAGCCAAAATCGCTGAATATGTGCCGATCAACCGCAAGGGAAATATTCACGTTATTGTCGCTTACAAGCAACTTGGGAATATATGAGCTGTCTGCTGATTACTTGGGTCATTGGAAAGTTAAGATGCCGATTCATCATATGTCTTTAGCAGCTTTGAACCCGCCAACAACAATGCGCCTCAGAACGCAGCAGTATGGCAAGTATTTGCCGAGTTCTGCAGGCTATTCGTGTATCCGTAACCTACTCGAATCAGTTTATTCGCATCGCGTAATTGCCGTCAATGGACATCTTGCCATGGATAAGTCCATACTATTCCCACTAGTAATTCTAGATGATGCGCAGCTGAAGAAAGCCAACTTATTTATTGTCTGCATCGAAAGCGACAACATAGTGGCCGAATATAATAGCGAGCGATTCGCCCAGTGTTTGGATGAAAGTGTTGGCAATACTGTGGGAATACAAGTGCCAAAACTTTGTAACATTAGCTCTCGAACGCATATCGTCTACACAACGGCCAAATACTTTATGCGCTCGCTGTTTGGCAAGGAGTCGAAAAAACTGGATCAAATTAGCCACGTTGTGGTTAACGATATACATCTGCACGTTCCTTACACTGACATCTTACTTTCGGAGTTAAAACAAGCTGTTAACATGAATCAAAATCTACGCATAATATTACTTTCGCAAGCAGACAATTCGTCGCGATTTTTGAATTTTTTTGCCGAGGGCTTTGAATTTTGTGTGGATCGACCGAGCCAAGCTGGCACACGCATATCGTATTTGGAGGAAATTCAAAGCTGCATTTCTTTGGCTGATATACGTAAAGGCCCAGAGATATACAAGAAGAAGACACACTTTCTAAATAAGAGTCTCAGAAATGAGCAAACCGATAAATGTCTGCAGGCTTACGAGGAACTTGGAAATGATTCGGCTATTCGTCCATTGATATATGCGATAAATTACGAGCTGGTCCCGGTGAACTATCAACATTCATTTACAGGAAAGACAGCGATAATTATTGCCTCACAGTGGGCCAATGCTAAGCATATTCGATTGCTGTTGTTCATGGGCGCCAATCCATATATTTTGGATAATAATCACGAAAATGCAATAACTACAGCATTTACTCACGGGAACCACGAATGTATTGATATTCTCAGCAATTTTGGTCTGCATGGTTACGTTGTAAAAAACTCTCGACCTGATTTTGTAGATTACGACGCTATAATCAATATTATGTATCTTATATGCACAAAACCCAATTACGCACCAGGTAAGATATTATTATTCATAAATATATAAGTTAAGTTATAATATAATTGGAAAAAAAAGAAAAGGTTCGGTTTACGATTCATGAAATGTAAATTCGGATTATCGTATAAACATACATACATATGACACATTGAGTTGGTCCATCTCTATGTGTTTATCGATACATGGAACATTTGCAATAGAATACTATTTTTGATACAAGCAAGAATTCGTATCTGCATTGTTTAATTAAAATGAACACAGATCTAGAGAGCAATAAGGGCAAGGTTATACCGGCAACGAAGCGACCGGATGGCACATGGCGCAAGGAGCGTCGTGTCAAAGATGGTTATGTGCCGCAGGAGGAAGTCCCGTTATACGAAAGCAAAGGCAAACAATTTGTTGCCAAAAGGGTAACTGGAGTGCCGGTCGGCATGTGCCCACTGTTAGCCGCTGAGATCAGAAAAGAGCGCGAGAAGAAGGAGAAGGCAAAAGTAAAGAAGGAAACAACTAACAAAGCAACAATAACAACAACAACAACCACAACAACGACAACAAAACCGACGAGGACAGATGCAAAAGATTCGTGCGATGTAACCAAGTTAACAAATACACTGGATACTGCGCTAACGCTTGGCGACGCCCAAGATATTGATGTTGCCAAACAGGTCAAGAAATTGCGCAAAAAGTTACGAGAAATTGAGCAAATCGAGATTAAAATCCAAGCCGGGGATACAACTAAACTCGATAAAGATCAAATGGAAAAGGCGAAAAAGAAATCGGAAATTTTAAAGCAATTGAAGCAAATTGAGAAGAAATTACCTGCCTGATAAATCGAATTATGAGTGTTTTGAATTTTAATTTCAATTCCATAACATTGCCTGCCTGCCTGTCTTTCTACACGTGTCTGTTAAATAGTTTTAAATAGTTATAATTTAAGACAACAAATACAATATCTGTTTTTTTTTAATATGTCGTTCCGAATTTTAAACTTGATTAGCAACAATGGGGAATACATTTTATTTAATAAATTACATAACAAATGCAGTCTACACTTTTTCATTTCAATTTGTAAAATGTATGTATATTTTTTCAGGGAACATTTTGGTCCTTTTGCCGACGTACAATCATTTGGTTAAGCTGAACTATATGTTGTTGAGTCATTTTTTAACAGCGCATTTACATGAATTAGCCATATTTCTGTTGCACGCGAACATGGATATGGAATATTTAAATGATTTAGTTAATACTAAAACTGATACCATAAAAGTGGTTCTGGCCACGGATATCGTTGGGTCCTTGCCACTCCCAATTTCGTTTCAATATCTAATAGATACTGCCTGCCAGAGAAAAACCCTGTACGATGTCAGCTGCAACAGCACTGAGGAAAGATATGAATGGGTAGCCAAAGATTGTCTAATGCAAAGGCTGCTTATGCTTGACGTTCAAGGTTGGTTTGGTATTTTGTTTGTTTCGATAATATAAATAACAATATATATTTTCAGCTGTTGCTGAGAGACAATGCTTTCGTTTAATCACACGAAATACATACGATAACCTAGATGTAACAGGCAGTCCAGAGATGCAGACAATGCCACTGGATAAAATCTGTTTGATTGCCAAACTATTATCGCCAAATACGGTTATAAGTGAATACTTAAGTTATACGATTGCACCACCGCCACTCGTTAATATACATCAGACGGTGCAGTTTCTAAAGAAGATTGATGTATTGGATGATATGGAGGATGTCACCTGGCTGGGCTGTCGATTGATAGACGTCCCAGTGCCTTGCCAGTTTGGACGTACACTAATTTATGGCATTTTAATGCAATGTTTGGATCCCATATTAACCATTGTGAGCGCCATGTCTATAGATGATCCGTTGAGCATACCCTTTAGCGAGGACATTGACTCCTTATGGGATCAATATACGATTTACATACAAAATCGTATAAAAGGCGAACGTTCTCGCCTGGCAAGCAATCAAGTCTCCGATCACTTAATATTCATTCGCCTATTTGAAGAATGGAAAGGCCGTTTAAAAAATAATAAACCCCCATTGTACTTAACAGATGAACATGAGTTTGTGGTAAATGGCCTCATGGAGCAAATCAATTTTACACGGATCAGTATTATTAACGCTCTGCGAGCTGCGAACTTAATCCACAGCCAAGGACAATTGAGTTGGAATAGCATCAATCTGATGTCGAATAAATGGCCATTGGTTAAAGCAGCTCTAACGGGCGGCTTGTATCCCAACATTTGTGCCATAGATTATAAAAATAAATGCGTAAATTCGGCGCACTCGTTAAACCTGCATCTGCATCCCAGTACTGTGCTCCGTGACTTCTTTCAGCCATTGAATATATCGCAGTGCATTTGCACACAGTGGATGGTCTGTACTAAAGAGAAGAGTAATATTAAGTATGCAACTATTGTTGCTCCCCTCGCATTGGCTATGTTTGCTGGTAAGCGTCAAGTATTTTTTTCTTTTTATATATGGCTTTTGTAATTAGTATTTATCTTTAAAGGCTGCAATAAATTGGGTCTAGAACAGATCACTGAGATTCAGATGCCGTCGAACGAGACTCACATTCACTTTTTTATTGACGAATGGATTTGGATGGAAGTCTTGAAATCTGATTTTGAGCTATTGCTGAAATTACGACAGCTTTTCTTCAAAGGCTACCACTATCTCTTAAGGCAGTGCAGCGAATCTGATAAATGGCGTAGCGATTGCAATATGATGGCGTTCTATTCTCTACTATCCAAAACATTGTCGATAATATTTGACAATGAGGATGCGACAGCCGGCTTTAAAAAGTGTTCAGGCATCAGCAATGGAGCCAATTTAAAGGAACATTATCAGTACTTGCGGACAATTAACTCTCACTTTATTTGGCATCAAGAAGTTGATGATAAAATCGCTCTAATTCAAAAAGGAGATCCCTGTGTTGGATACAATTCACACTCGATTGAAAGACAGTTTTTTTTGCTTCATACCGAAGATAAGCCCGATAAATTTTACCAAATCAGTGATGCAGCCTACATAGAAAATGTGATCGGAAAGTTTGCCCGGCCGATTGTGTCCCCTAGTCGACATATATATGTGATCTTATATACCAAAAATCCAGATACAATGCTAAGCATTTCCCGTGCCAAAATCCAAAAGGGTGAATTCATCCTTAAGGAATATTTTAGAAATACAATTCCAGTGTACGAAATTTTGTAAGTAATCTGTATAGAATTTATTTTTTGACATCAATCCTCGATTTTAAATGTATTATATATTATTTTTAATAGGGAGGCCTGTGTAAATTTAAATGTGACTGTTCCTAACTTTGATGGACGCCTTATATCGTCTCTAATTGACAAAAGGGTTGGAAATTTAATTATGGATTTATTTGCATTTCGACACCATTGGATACACAATTAAAACAGTTTCTTTTAAAAGTTACAATCGGTTATGTTTTACAAAATACATTTATATAAATCGTGTATATTATTAAAATAATGAAGAGAAGATTACAAAACGTACACACTTCAAAACATATAATGTAAGTTAAAGTTTATGTTTAAATTGCAAATGTTTGTTCTATGAGATTTTGTATAATACATTTGGTTTATTTTTACAACATATATCGTGAGATTATTACAGAAAAATTACATTATACATTCGATTACACAATTAGTATAGTAATATACAACTAAATACAGTCAAGCTTCTCTAAACACGAGCCATTGTAAAAATGCCACTTATTCGAGACTTCAAGTTGCAGATAAATGAAAATTAAATGATTTTGCAGTCCAAAATTTAGTTTGTACGTGAAATAATCTTTGTGTTTATCAAAATATTTGAACAAAAATGGAATGAATTTAATTTCAAATGATGCTTTAAAGGTTTTTTTTTTGTTTTTGGTTAAGCACAATCAGTATTATGCAGTTTAAAATCAGCTTAAGCGTACTTAATTTGTATTTTTGTTTGTTTTATTTTTACCGAAATTCGAGTAAGAGACTTATGAAGTTTGAGCTATCGGCACAAAATTGTATAGAATTTTGTATCTTAACGAAAATGAAACTTGCATAAGTTAACTGAGTAAAGCACAACTGTATTTTTATAAAATAAACACTTTTGTATATTAATGGCACCCGCAAGATTTAACAATCATGTTGCGATACTTTTTCAAGTTGACATTCTCATCGTTGAGATGATATAGAACCGGCAAGGCTCCTAATTTTGTGGGTGCACAACATGGTTTCGGAACTCTCTTCGGTTCGAGCAAGTGCACCAACGTTTGCACAATCGCATGATTCGTCGCATTCATATGGGCGTTAAGTGGGAAATTACATTCACCGCTGCAATAAAACGCACCATAGCCATCCGGTGCGATTATCCAATCGTGCCAGCCGAGATCCTTAAAGTCGATGTAGAGTGTTTGCATTTGACAGCTGCGAGTATTTTCGATTGGATTATCCACAAATGGATTTACAGATGGCTCCGATTTATTTTTCTTTCGCTGATGTAATGCGCTCCTTTTCGTTCTTTTTTGATTGCTATGTGTAGTGGAAGCAGTTGCCCTGATCAGCTCCGGACCTCGGAAGAAACCAATCATAAATGGCTGATATTCGTCATCAACTTTTACCCGGTGATGTATTAAGCCAATATCATCTAGTTTGATCTCTCGATCGGGTTTGTTTATAGCATGTGCTCCAATGTAAATACCGTGATTTTCTTTAGCATTTGTTAGCCAATCATGCAAGGCTTCTGTGACATTCAGTTCCAGCCATCCCACATAATCGCCGGTGGTGTTAACGGAGGATAATGGTTCCAGGTTATTTTGCGATAATCCTCCCGTTTGTATCATATACACCGTAACTGTAAATTGCTTGTTTGTTGTCAACCATTTGCCTTCATTGGAGTTTTGATAGATACGCAGCTCGGACATCATTAGGTAATTATCACCGGGTACATTCGTGACATCAAACCATAATCTTCGTCCGTGCTCGTGACGCATTTCCTCCACATTGTGATTTCGTTTATTTAGGAATGTCATTATAATATCACTCTCATCTATCGCACGTTTATCCAGATCTGTTATAAAGTTTTGCTCACTTTCATCTTCCTCATCGGCATCGCGTTTGGAGCGATGATGATCATTATTTTTATTAAGTCCTTCTTCGGCCGTTATCCGATTATAAACATCGAGAAGAAATTTTGGTGCTGATTTTCTCAAGGACAAACCGTGATTCTTATGATGTAGGGGACGATCGGATATGCCCAAGAATTCTAATATTTCATATGACACATCCAGCTTGTCATCGTCGGTAAGGACACGCTGCATAACTGTTTGATCCTTGCCATTATCTATGTAAATGCCAGACTGCGTAGGTTGAGTATAAGGCACTGTTGAAATAATTAATAATAACCAAAGCATTGATGAAATGGCAACTGATCGTGTCATAATTGCTTTGTATATGTTTCAAGCTGCCAGCATCTAGTTTATATCCTGAAATCTGTTTATTGTAATATCTCAAATGCGTTAAGGTTTTTATGTGTATATTAAAAATACCTACTCACTTGTATTCGGCTCGGTGGTATGTATCTTAATCTCATGGATGCATTTTTTTCTCAAAGCTAGATCTACACAAGTTGGCAGGGCTGTTAGGGTGATCGAGAGCTCATTAAAACTGCGCCACGAACTAAACTGGTTCTCTCAACAAATAATTTGCGCAATTTGGAATACACAAAACAAATATAAATAAATCTAATTATTGAACTGCAGTTTAAGGGCAAGTCCCATCAATAGAATAAAATCGGCATTTAATAGAATGTCATTATAATTTTGGAGAATTTGCTTGTATTTTCTATATTTGCTTGTAATTTTGCTTGTAATTTTGCTTAGTAATTTTATTTGCATTCTATTTTAATAGAAACAATTACTGAAACTGATAAATATCTATTAATAATAAAAGCATTCACGAGATTTAAATCGTTAACGGCGTCCCGCGTAACTTATCGCATAAAACAGCTGGTTCGCCTAAACACACCAGCACTGCCTTTTGATATATATATCATTTTTTTTAAATGTTGGAATTTCAGTTAATATTAACTGCAGCCCTATGGCATACATTTTGTTTGAAAATATTAATACAGCTGTATTTACTAAGTTGTTCTTGGGAACGTTACCGACTTATTCCTTGCTGATATTCATGACATCGATATCGACAATCGAACTATCGAAAAATAGTTGTTTAGTTTCGAGTAAGAAATCAGCTGGTCCCTTTTCGGCCAAACGCTAAAGCAGTTGGCAGCTCACTGTTTAAGAGAAACAGTCAGCAGTCAGTTTGTTGAGCGTGTACGAATATACAACCATTTTTTAAGTGAGTAACTACATAGCAATTGTGACAAAATTGTTGGTGCTATTAAATACAAACATATGTGTGCATATATATATATAAATATATGTGTGTGTGTGCGTATCTTTGTTATTAGGAGGTGAAATTCTACAAGTGTGTGATAGAGAAAGCATTTATTCAATTGGCAAGGCTTATTTTCAAATATTATAGTTATATATATGTACTACATATATTATAAATAGGCATGCGTCTTTTATTAGTAGTATTATTGATATATTTATATATTTTTATAAATTTGTCGTAAAGACATATTTGTTTGTTTGTTTTGTTTTTTGTCTTTCTCCCCTTTCGTGTAATTAATTAAACCTGTTTCAACTTCGCCGCTGGAATTGAAATATGTCTTGGATTAATTCAATCTCATGTAGTTTTAGATATATACGTACAGTTTCCGTTCGATATTTAATTAATGCAAAAAAACACACACACGTGTAATATTGTATTGTATGATTAAGAAAGGCTTTCAAGTTCAGCGGCGATTCTTAATACAATCAATAGATGTAGCGCATACTCATGGCACAAACATTTGTATAAATCTATATATGTAATTATATGTTTGTGTATGATGTCACTATTTAATAAGTATGTAGGAATTTATGAATGTAGCATTCTCACGAATACTTCTACATAGGTGCGTCAGATAAAACGCGACAGTTACAATTTTGTATTTATATTTGCAAAAATTAATCGAAAAAGACAAAATGATGCGTTTGGAATATGGAATGTGCCTGTGCCTTTCACCAGTAATTCCCTTTCAACTACCATAACTTTGACCAAAACTAATCTACTTTTCAATCTTAATATAATATTTCCCTTATATATATTTTCTGCCTTTAAAATATATATATTATTTAAATTTATTTGATTTTTATGAATTTTCATAATAAAAGAGGTCTTTCCTCGGTTCTCCGCCTTTGGAATAGTTTTATTTGTTTTGTATTGTAATTATTTTATTTAAATAGCCAGCTGGCCATTAAGTAGTCTCATTGCGTGACTTACAATAATTTTGACTACAAATGTATTTAATTACTTAACATAATTAAGATCATATCTAGTGGGATTAATTTGAATGTTAATATAATGCCAACACTGTCAGCAGGTTGAATGTTAAACATTTTAGCAACAGGCTTTCATAACTAAATCATATTGCTTTTGGAAGATAGATAGAAAATGGTGCAAAGTAAGAAAAAATGTGTGTTTTTTTTTAAATATAATTTGTTTAGTATTTCAAGTTTGTGTGCAGCTTTTATTGTATAAATATAAATAAATAATTTGATTCTCATATGGCCTTTTACACAGAAAAGGATTTAAGGATGGATGAGCTCAAAGGATTCTTCAGGCAGGCTGGCCAAGAGTTTCTCAATGCTGCTGGCCAAGCTGCTATGGGTGCCGCCAAGGATGTCGTTGGCTCTGTCATCAACGAGATCTTTGTTAAAAAGGAGTCAGAAACGAAGCGAATTTTGCCAAGCATCAAAAACATGCGAGTCGTAAGTGGTTTATCTAAAATACAAATCAATTACAATCGATATACTAAACAACGGATACTAACAGTCATACAATTTGCGCATACATTGATATACATATACTATCTCTTATACACTTTTAACATTTTTGACAAACGTTAACTTAAAACTTAGCGACCCTTGCAAGCCGATGCACCGAAGCATCGCGAAACTTATTTTTATGGTAATGTAAGTACTTCAGTTGTGGTGTCCTTTCTGCAATCACATTCGACACAAATTGTCGTCATACTTCTCTGTGTGTTCGTGTTTTTTTTATTGCAAACTACTTCTATTTAAAGCATACACCAATATAATGTATATTTATATTTATATGTTTTGTACATGAGAATCATGACTATGGCTTAATTACAACCAAACCAAACATAACATAACCAAAAGTTATAAGAGAAAAATGAATGTGGTAATACTTTAATTTAAATTACTATTCCCATGCATTTCACCTAAAACGAAACAAAGGAAGGAAAGGTATGCAAGCGTTTGGGAATTAGCTTTGATTCTAGTTTTCAATTGTCAAACAAGTGAGAACATTGCAGTCTGGGCATAGCCGACTGCATAATTATCTGATACCTGTCTTATACCAGTAAAACAACTTTTTGTGGGGGCCGTTTTTACTGTGTTTCTTAAATTTGTCGTCTCTAGCTCGAAAATTACGGCAGATGCAGAACTTTGCAAAATGTTCCAATCTTAAAGGGGGAGAGTTCCTAGCAATCTATCTGCCAAATTTGGTAACTCTAGTTCTAAAATCGAGCGGAATATGGGCTTCTCCGACTTTTTCAGCTTTTTTAAGTGTGCTACAGTTAATATACTCCACAAATTTGATGAATCTAGCTTTCAAATTGTGTTAGATCTATACTTGTATCAATTTACTCCATTTCGTACATATATAGGTTTTGGGGTCGGGAATAATCCTGACCAAATTTTGTTTTCATCGATCTGTCAAGTGAGTTGCCAGTAATCAGTTGCCTTTAAAATTTGGAAAGCTTCAAATTTTTTAAGATATCGACCCCTTTGTGCGTAATAAGATAACGATTAACAACTAAACTTAACAGTTATCATAAGCAAACTCTGAATTTTTTTTCGAAATATCACATTTTTTGGCATTTACGATCACATTTCGATTAGAAGGTTTCGTAAATAAACATTAAGAACCGTTTACATTACAAATAAATTGAAGAATCAACTTATTTATAATCTTACATTTTTGTAAAACTTTGTAAAAAAAAATGTACAAAAGTAATTCTTCACAAAATCATATTTTCAATTTCATAATTAAAGTATATTTTAGTAATTTAATCTTCTACGTCGCTTTTATTTATCGACTCTTTTACTCTGAAGCAATGTTTTAATTTTAAATAGACATTGTAATATATTTTTATAAAGTATTTACAGTATTTTTTCGCAGAATATCAATATATAATTTAATTTGATATTCATTTTTATGCGAAATTTATTTACATTTTAATTAATTTTCTTTGGTAATAAGAAAAAACATATAATTTCCACTTTTTAAATTAAATGTCGATGGTTAGCTTGAGCATCGCGAATAATTGTAGGCAATTTACTGGGAGGATTCCACATTCAGTAGTGCTACATCAATGTATGAAGTAGTTTGTATTTTTTAATAAAGTTTGAAAAATATTGCAGCTTTGTTTTTGAGCAACTTGAAAACTTTCTCTGGTCTAAGATATTTATAAAGTTGTACAAATTTCATGCAAATTTCTACTTCTAATTTGAAAAGCGTATGTAAATATATCAATTTGTGTATCAAATACTTTTTTTATATTGATACATAAATTTATTTTGATATTTTTGTATAGTTCACACGATTATTTTGCACACACGAAATAAAAAACGATTGTTACATATTTATTTTAGGCGAAAATATTATTCCTGGTGAAGCGAGATAAAGTGTACAATAAGTGTACATCAAAAAGAGAGTGTTGAATAAATGGCACATTTATTATGAATTTCGCGTTAATTGGTCGACAAAAGCATTTCCGATTCTTATGGGTGAAGTACCCAAGGGCGGCGGAGGCGGTCGTGGTCCGGAATATTTATATGCGTATCTTTAAGCTACATTGCCAAGAAGTTATCAGTCAAATTTTGTGAATCAAGTTTAAAATTGTGAATTGGGAGATTTGTGGTTTTATAGACTTCCGGACGTAGCCACACATATATGCAAGATTTCAAGTATCCAGAAAGCTTCACGGTCATTGCACAAAATCTATATACTCGTATACCTACGGTATCAGGTTATAATCATGTATATTTAAAAATTGTAAAGTGTTGTCCATGAGATTTAAAAATAAACAATTTTATTTCTTCATTGTGTGTCATTCAAAATGTACAAAATATAACAAACTAATAATCTTTAGTTGAATAGCTGTTAAAAATAAGTGTATCTTTCTAGTTGGGTGAAACCAGCTCCAATCTGGGTCCGTATTCGGAGGTGCAGGATTATGAGACACTGCTAAAGAACTCCCTGATGAACGGATCGCTGTTCGAGGATCCACTATTTCCAGCTAGCAACGAGTCGCTCATGTTTTCGCGTCGTCCAGATCGCCATATTGAGTGGTTGCGCCCCCATGTGAGTTTCAATTACCTCAAAAGACTACACTGTTGTTGCTTAAAAAGATTTTAATTTTTATATCTATTCAAAGGAAATCGTTGATAATCCGCAATTCTTTGTCGAAGGTTACTCCAGATTTGATGTGCAACAGGGCGAACTTGGAGATTGTTGGTTATTGGCTGCCACTGCAAACCTTACACAGGAATCATCTTTGTTTTTCCGTGTAATTCCACCAGAACAGAGTTTTGAAGAGAACTATGCGGGAATATTTCACTTCCGCTTTTGGCAATATGGTAATTGATTTTAAATAATGATTTCATATCAAAATATAAGTTGGAACACATTTATTTCTAGAGTTCTTTTGCGATTTGTAAGAGTTTTTTTTTAAATTTTATTTATTGAATTTTAACGTAAAAATTGTAGATCAAATTAATTGGTTTAAAATTAAATAATTGTAGATCAAATTAATTGGTTTAAAATTAAATATAATAGTTAAGTTAAGATATAAAATATGTTACAGTTTCTCAAATGTTACTATTAAATTTATATCTATATTTAAATATAATAGGTAAATGGGTCGACGTTATTATTGATGATCGTTTGCCTACCAGCCGTGGAGAATTACTTTATATGCATTCCGCGGAGAAAAATGAATTCTGGAGTGCACTCTTGGAGAAGGCATACGCCAAGTAGATTTCTAATATATACAGAAATTATTATATGATTAATGAGTATACATCTTAGGTTACATGGATCTTATGAGGCTCTTAAAGGAGGCACTACATGCGAGGCCATGGAAGATTTTACCGGTGGTGTCAGCGAGTGGTATGATTTGAAAGAAGCGCCAGGCAATCTATTTAGCATACTACAGAAAGCTGCAGAGCGTAACTCCATGATGGGATGCTCTCTGGAAGCAGACCCCAATGTGACTGAAGCTGAGACACCACAAGGCTTAATTCGTGGACATGCCTATTCCATTACAAAGGTTGTGTTGCTAAGTCTTGTCAAATTTTCCCAATCGTAATTAATCCTTGACTTAATCGACAGGTTTGTATGATTGATATTGTGACACCAAATCGGCAAGGCAAGATTCCAATGATTCGCATGCGCAATCCATGGGGCAATGAGGCAGAGTGGAATGGTCCCTGGAGCGACAGTTCGCCGGAATGGCGGTATATACCGGAAGATCAGAAACAAGAGATTGGCTTGAACTTCGACAGAGATGGCGAGTTTTGGATGTCATTCCAGGATTTCTTAAGTCACTTCGATCGCGTCGAACTGTGCAATTTGTCACCGGATTCATTATCGGATCAGCAGCAAAGTGCCAAACGTAAATGGGAGATGTCCATGTATGAGGGTGAATGGACTCCTGGTGTAACTGCAGGTGGTTGCCGTAACTTCCTGGACACTTTCTGGCATAATCCTCAGTACATAATTACTCTGGTCGATCCCGACGAAGAGGACGAGGAGGGCAACTGTACAGTTATTGTGGCGCTAATGCAGAAAAATCGTCGATCCAAGCGTAATCAGGGCATGGAATGTTTAACAATTGGCTTTGCAATTTACAATTTAAACGATCACGAACTTGCAGTTCGTCCACAAGGACTGAGTTTCTTTAAATACAAGTCCTCAGTTGGACGATCGCCGCATTTTATTAATACGCGAGAGGTAAGTTGAATTTCACTAGACTAGATCTTAATCAGAATGATTTTTTATACTTGTTTAAATAGGTATGCGCTCGGTTTAACCTACCTCCCGGTCACTATCTTATTGTGCCTTCAACATTCGATCCCAATGAGGAAGGCGAGTTCCTCATTCGAGTCTTTTCTGAATCTCAAAATAATATGGAGTGCGTATACAATGCAAATGCAGAAGAGTTTGTATATTAGATATAATGCAGCTGCAGATTGAAATCATTCTATTCAATCTTTTTGAAATTTGCAAGGGTTGTGGGTATGTGACTAAATGCATCTATTTGCAATTTATCATAAATTTAATATTGTGAGTAGCTAGCTGAACTGAGTAATTCTATTTTATTCGTTTAAATAGAAGACATTTTGTTGGCTTTTGTTTTAGGGTAAAAGGCTCCATAGGCAATTAGTATTATTTTTTAGCATCCCGTCCATATTTTTACCATCCGTATGTAGAAATATAATAATTGTATACGTATTCTAAAAGCTCTAACAGTTTATATATTTTATTTTGATCGAATACTAAAACATAATTATAAGAATTCAGTATTTACTTGAAACACATTCAATTAAAATTTTTTTTTTAAATTACTAAGATGTAAAATGTTTTCTTGAAATTATATGTGTGTATGAATTAATAAATAAAAGAGTAAAGCTCCATTAAAAATTTTTTTTTATTTAAAGTTAAACAGAAATATCATGTACATCAACAATCAATATTATTTTAATTTGTAGAATAAATTTAAAAGTCAATTCCATTTTTTCAAGAAAACATATTCTGAACATTTTAATTTTCTCCCCCTGACCTAACAAAATGTATGTAAATATTAAAATTTCAACCAATTTCAAAAATGCCAGATTCTTTCTAAAAAAAATATGAATTCATTGCATTTTCATCATTCAATTCATTTTTCACTTTAATATTTTATATATAGAGAGAATGATGATCATGTTGGCTACGGAGGACAAAGCGGATGATGTAAGTTCAAAATATTATAATTTAAAATGCTTCACTATTTCGAACTAATTGTTGACTCTAAAGGTAGTGCCAGGTTATCCAACTCCAAAACCGATGGATCCACAAAAAGAAAGTTTACGGCGATTATTTGACAGCATTGCTGGTAAAGATATGGAAGTGGATTGGATGGAACTAAAACTAATTTTAGATCACTCAATGCGTGATGGTGAGTTGACAGTGCTTTTATATAGATGCACTTTGAATAAACCTTGTGTTCTATTGCTTGAATTTTAGATTTGCCAAAGCCTATAATGTTTACTCGCCAACAAGCTGTCAATGCATTTGAAACTCAGGCAGGTGCTGGAGATGAAGGTGGTAATCCCTGTGGAATTCTTTCCCTTATTTGTGGACCATTCCTTAAAGGTACACCATTCGAGGATCAACTAGGAATGAATGATCAGTCGAATAAAAGGCTGATAGAAGAACAGCCAAGAGGTAATAATGCTAATTATATGAGTAGGTGATAAGAATAATCAAATTTGAAACGAAATCCCATAGCTCCCATTGTTGACGAGACTCATGGCTTTTCCAAAGACGTTTGCCGCTCAATGGTGGCAATGTTGGATGCCGATAAATCTGGAAAACTTGGGTTTGAAGAGTTTGAGGCCTTGCTTTCGGATATTGCCAAATGGAAAGCGATTTTTAAGACATACGATACCGAGAATTGTGGAAGAATATCAGGATTTCAGCTACGTGAAGCACTTAATTCAGCAGGCTATCATTTAAACAATCGCGTCCTTAATGCTTTGGGGCATCGTTATGGATCGAGAGATGGCAAGATTGCATTTGATGATTTCCTTATGTGCGCAGTGAAGATTAAGACATATATTGGTAATTGACCAACAGAAAATACATTATAAGAGTTTCTAATACACTTGACATACTTGCAGAAATATTCAAAGAAAGAGATGCTGAGAAGAACGAAACAGCCACATTTACCTTAGAGGAATGGATTGAACGGACAATATATTCTTAAACACTTTCACCTGAAAGAAAACTGTTTCATCTTTACAAAAATACAACTATCAATAATATATGCATACTATCGTTCATTATTATATAAACAATTTATTTGTTAGACAATTGTCTTTATGTAGTTTTTATACCGTGTACATTAAATATATAGTTGTGAAGCTTGGGATTTATTTTTTTACTAATCGAAATACCAATACCAAATTTGATGCCTTAATTAAATTAATAAGTTCTGCAAGCATACCCATATCCTATTTAAAAAAAAAGCCTTGCTTGTTACAATTTAAGAGATATGCTAACTTTTTTACAAAAGCTATTTATTATTTTCTGAAAAATAAACTGCCAATAAAACACGTAAGAAGCGTCTTTTATGTGACCCCGACATCGGTGGAAACTGGTGGAAGTTTTGAACAAATGAGCTCTGTATACAAAAGTTTTTCAAAAAACCCTTTCTAATCAGAAAGTAGCAGCTATAAACTTTGACTACACATTGAGCTTGGAAATTGGAACTCTACTGATGCGTTTGAAGAAGTAGCCATAAAATCATTATTAATCTTAAATCCTCCCCAATTAAGTTCCAGTGGACGAAATAATGCTTTGGGCAGATTTGAAAATAAATTGTTAAAAGTTAGAGAGTTAATAATAATCTGTATCTACAAATAAGTACAAATTGTTTCACAGATTTTTACTATTAATTTTTTTTTTGTAATTACATAAACATATTTTATATCTTAGAAATATTTTTGACTACTTGACGATTTAATAATGAACTGCGGCCGGCCGACGTTGAATGTTCTTCACATTTGATGAACATTCAATATATGTATGTGGTATATGTAAGTAAGTATGAGTTCTTGAGATGAATTGCGCATTTATGAAAAAAGCACATGATTGATGACATATACGTATTTTGGTTTGTTATATACACAGAAAATTAGCTTTTTTTTTTAAGTTTAGAAGTGGACATTATTTGTATGAAATTTAAGCACAGGATAGTTTAGGAAAATTAGTAGTTTACAATTTATGCATGGCCATGTAAGGCGGAAGTGTTACAATACATATGTTCAGCTGCGTTATTTAACGTGTCTTCTATTATTTTTAAGGGTTCATTTGATTCATGGCTTATATCATTTGGTCTGTGTAAGCTGCTTTGAGTTATTCCGTCACCAACAATACCACTGCTGTGTGCCGTCTGTAAATGTTGTGTGTTGAAGCCTTGCTGTAGATTCTCATTATCATATAGACTGATGTCAGCAACACTGCAACCAATGGTGTTCACCGGCTCGTCGGCAATAGCAATATCGGAAGCCAATTGAACAGATTCACAGATTAATGATCCGCTTGATTCTTTTCGAGCAAGCTTCTTTACATTTTTCGTTGAGAACGATTGATAACGATTCCTTATTGAATCGACCACATCAAATAAATTCTTAGCATCCATGGCCAAGATGTGTGCAGCAGATAGCATACTCCTTCAAGCAAAAAATATAAAACATATGAACAAATTAACCTCCCATATTAGATCTACTTAGATCTACTTACTTGCGATATTCATTATCCAGCGTAGTATCATTGTATTGATGTGCTAAGTGCATGGCTGAGACCAACTCATGCATGTCTTTGGATAGAACTTTGTGCGCCATCTCCACTTCTCTATAAAACACATAAATAAAATCATTAAAAATCATGTACAAAATTCGCTAGGCAATAATATATTACTTTAAAGCTTGCGGCGGAAACAATATAGAAATATTATCGACTGATTTAAGTAGATTTCTCAGCTCCACTCCAACATTCTTGACTAAACTCAAGTAGCCATCGACGTGCGATTTTTCCACACCTTGCGAAAGCACCATTATTGATTTTACCACCGCTGTGGTAGCACAGTAGACCTCATCATTTGCACGATTTACGGGTCGGATTCCATCTTGATTTTCACTATTTCGAGACTTTGCAGTGTCCTCTGTTGTCGCTAAAGACGACATTAAGTAATCAGATGACGAGTTATTTAACTTAAGTGGATAAACATTTGGATTAGGTATCTTTGGCCTCGTGTTCGCACTCGAACAATCAGGTAAGCTTGTCGGACCACCCAATATCGAATCCGATTTAAACGATTGATGTTTTAGCATAACATCGGCTGGCGTTGGGCTCGAACGCTTCCTCTGCAATTTCAAGAGTATAGTGCAATAGTATATAGCAATTTCAATATATAGTATCAACTTACGACCAATTCCTCTTGATATAGCCATTCACCATCGCTATTGCTGTCCTTGCGTTGTTGCCATAGTTTTTCGCTAATTGGTTGGGGAATGCTCTATAAATGGACATAGTAATTTATCATTAGTGACTGAGGAAAAGTTCGACATCTTAAACAATAACTTAAAATTTAAATGATCAAATAATGAAAAGAATATAAAACGAAAAGGCGTCCCGTTGTCATGTGTCATCCAGTCCAGTCAAACCTGATTTGCCACATCAGTGTTTAGTTGCATGCAAGTGGCTCCTTCCAAAATTTCGTCCTTGAGTTCAACCTGGAGCTGGGGAGGAAGCGTTGTCCATTGGCGCTCCCATTTGCGTGGAATATCATCTGTGTCATGCATTGCATATTCTATGCCAAAGCTGTTTTGCTGCACTTCCGGCACTGTTTGATACGAACTCATTGTGGATGGATGTAGAATTGCGCTGGCTTCGCTGTTCTTTTTCACAGACACACAGGTTTTAAGGCCGACGCCACCAAAGTCATATATCTCTTCTGGCAGCGATTCGCATTCGATTGATGCTTTCATTTGTTGACGATATGTGTGGAATATGCCTTTGCGTTCTATGCTCCTGGAACGATCCGATAAATTGATGGGTGGCTTATGGAATATCATATTTTGAGCTGCCATTAAAGATTGATGACGCTCCAAACTGCCACCCTTTGAGTGCAAAGCCTTCTCCATTGGTGGTACCTGGTGCCTTTCGAGACTGCCATATAAACTGTAGCCTGTAGGAAGCCGAGCCGTTGATCCCTGCATTTGATCCATATGAAAGTCATTTTCCGTATGTGGTGCACAGATAATGAAATTATTTTTAAGTGGCAAATGCTCGGACGATAATCCGGATACCTGAGGCTTAATATTCTTGGGATGGAAATTAGCTGGCATAGAAGTCGAATCAAATGAACTACTGACAGATGATGATGTAGATGGATTAAGATTTTGAGAAGAGGGGCTATTGGTTGGAAATTTGTTTTGCTGTTTCTCTGAATCAGCTACAGGATCAAGTTTAAGGAGCTCGGCTGCAGGGAGTTTAGTTGTTTTAAGCGAATGATTCGATTTAGTGACATCGATTCCTACGGCTAAAGTATTAAATACCGAAGCTGGGGTTGTGTAGGCCGCCGGATTTATGCCACGCTTTTGATTCTCCATCATTAGTCGGGCAAGGACTGCAGGATTTTGGGCAATAATATAGGTCTGCGGTACAGTCCTATTTTCTTCGTTGACATTCATTAAGCTTGGCATATCTGCAATCAACAATTGAACAATTATTAACAATATTGTGCTTCATATACTATTACCAAATTATTACCAGTATCATTTACTGTTCGAGATGGCTTTAATGGAGGAATGTCGTTGTCCGCGTCGCCAAGCCAAGAAATGCCTGCAACACGACGGTGCTCTCGCCTCATAGTTTCGGACGAACTGATGCTATCTTCCAATAAAATTTCACTGGAATTTATAAATTACAGCAATTAATATCTTATTGAACAATAATCTAGTTAGTTAACATACAAAAGTGTTTCCTTAATACGCTTAAAGTTCGGCCTCTTCAGCGGTTCGTAGGCCCAACACTGTGACATCAGTGAGTATAATCTGGGCGGACAATTGAGTGGCAAAGGCAACCTCTCTCCATTCTCGAGCTTTGTGATAACATCACTGTTTTTCACGCCTTGAAAGGGTTTGACGCCCAGCATCAGAATCTCCCAAATACAAACACCTAATTGGAGATAAATGGTAAATGGTCAGGCACAAATATTTATAATTGTTTTCTGTATTTTACGAACCAAACATCCAGACATCACTAGCAGTCGTAAATCGACGAAAATTGATTGACTCGGGTGACATCCATTTGATGGGGAGCGCAACTGCAATCACAAATTTATGAAGTTCGAATTGATTGAGGTTCGGCTAAGACGATTTGCTAACCTGTGGGTGTCGAGTGATAATATGATTGATCAGAAACCCAGCGCGACAAACCAAAATCAGCCAACTGAAATTGTATAAATGTTAATGTTAAGTATGCACTAATTTGCCATTCTAGTTCTTAACCTTGACACAAGTGGGCGTGCTCACAAGAACATTTCGCGCGGCAATGTCTCTGTGAACAAACTTCTTCGATTCCAAGTAGCTGAGTGCCGTTGCCAACTGATAGCAATATTTAAGTAAAACTCCGTGTGTCAATCTGTCAAAAGACGAGCCATTTAAAAATGATTACAAATAATATTGATATATTGTACATACCTCTCACTGTTTGTCTTTAAGTACGCACGCAACTCGCCAAGCTTGGCCAATTCCATAACTATCCAAATGGGCATGATACTGCAAATACCAATCAATCTTATGATGTGCGGATGATCGAATTTTTGCATTATATCTGGAAATAAGCAGGTTCGAAATGAATACAGTATAAATTAGTTTCACTTTAACTCATTTACATGCTTCGGCAAGAAAGTTTTCTGTCTTTTCTGGGTCGTCATTGGCTTTACAGGTTTTAACAGCAACCTGAATGACATCATATTTGGCATCGCTATTGCTTTGATCACTCTCATTGGCCTTAATCTTTTTAGCTGATATTGGTATTGTGTACGATCCAACATAAACGTCTCCAAATTGCCCAACACCAATTTTCGCACTAAGTACTATTTGAGATCGATCCAGCTCGTAGTTGCGCACTAAAAAATTTGTTAAGAAAAATAACTAAAGGAATTTAAGGTTCAATCAGATGATGAATCCTTTGCTTACCTGTGGGTGTGGAATAATCCCCTTCGCCTTCTAATAAACCTATTTCAGCGTAATCATCTGTTAGCATAGGTTTACTTTTACTAGGGGATGACGTAGTTGGTTGATCGTTGCTTGTTTTTGTGGAGCTATCAGCAGTGTTTACACTTGATTCGCGTTGCCATATTGTAAATCCCAGATCTTTCGTTAATAGTCGGCAATAGCCATCAATAAGATCAGCAATACTCTCAGCAGTCTGTAAAATGTTTCACAGTTATCGTTAGAATAGCATGGGGTTAAAAAATAATTATATTATACTTACGTTAACCCCGTTGCACGTTATTATTAATGGTTCCGCAATATTCGATGCAGAAATTTTGATTTGCGTTTTGATCTTTTGACAATTGCAATTTAAATTTTGTTGCTCCGCTTCGATGAGTAATTTTTCCTTTGGGAGAGCGCAGGTTTTAATAGCAACAACATCCTTGAACTGAGCTACATTCCTTAAACTTGCTTGAGGATGTGTCTGGTAAGAGATTCCTATACATTTAAATACGCGTTAGTTTTAAATTGATGAGAGAAGAATGAGCAAATCAAATTATTACCAATATGCGGACCAACGTGTAGAATTCCAGATATGTTCCAAGCAGAGCTCAAGGTAACCGAAAATTGTTCAAAATCGGTTAGGAAAAAGTTTTTCAGCAGATGGAAGAACCTGTTTTTCAAATATTTTCAAATTAGAGATTAAATTGATGGAGTTAAGGAATATGAATACATACTTCGTCAAGTACTCAATGTCATTGTAATTGTAGACCTTTTTGTATCCAACTTGGATCATTTTCTTTAGATTCTTTGGTTTTGTTGTGCTTATCACAGATTGCGGAATAAAACATTTAAATCCAATTTCTTTCTCTATATAATCGATGTGTTGCTTCTTATCGGGCGCCTTAAGCGTTATATTTTTGAAATAATGACGTATGCCCAGACAGCAAAGTTGTACGGCTAAATCGGCGTCAACAGCGGTCAGATTCGCTTGAATATAATCGTCCTTTACCTAAATACCACATTTTCGTTACTGGTTATTGAAATGAAATTTCGTTTAATTTTCACCTGATCAAAATAATAAAAGCAAGTTGTCTTGTCTTCGTCGAAGAGATCTTGAATCCTGTGGGGCACATAGCGTACTCGCAGCTCCACACGCCACACTCCTGTGGTCACAGATCGTCGTCCTTGATGCGTGCCCTTGCATTCTGTTAGGTTTGCTTTTATCGGATCGTTGTTGGGACAATCGATATTGGAGCATCCCGGTGAGAGTATGTGCGACAACACCTTGTCCATTAACGTTGTCCGCGCTAACCATAGTACCTAATGACAAAAAAAACTATAAGTAATAATTCCTAGATTCATTTGACAACATACTTCTTTGGTAATCACATTTAACATGCGACATGCATAACGCTGAATGCTTGGAGGTGGTTGACCATCTTTTCCAAACTCCTCGACTGTTTTCTTAATTATGTGGAATACCGTTTCATTTTTATTGAACGCAATCGATTTGAAACTCTTGTTGGGCATATGCACATGGAGCACATAATCTTCCGAATGGGCTAAGATTTTCAAAATTAGTGCAAATTTATTAGACAATTAAAAAATGTTCCAAAGTTGATGCAAATTACTTACACTCATTGCTCTTATGCGGCTGATTGCTTTGGTTGCCTTCCGCAGTGTTCATGCTTCAAATAATATCGCACTGCTGGCGATTTTATATATGAATTCACCACCTATTAAATTTATGCAAGCCAGACTTTTGTTATTTTTAGGCATTTACATACGATATTTTCCGTATACATATTCCGTCACCCATATGTTTATTCTATACCACCTGGACTCGTACTCTGAAATTCTGCAATGATGTCTGTCTCAAACTCTGTGATCGATTAATCTGTTCGTCGGATTCTATGAGAATTATGTACGTCGTATTGAGGTACTTTAATATACATTTTTATATACATATGGACAAACACATACATACACATATGTACATATGAAACTTGAATATTGCAATATGCGCTCGCTAAAAAAATATATGTGCCCTGGCAAGTTAGTTAAGACTCCTGTGTATATCTGACATTTGCACATACAGCAAATGAATTTTATATCAACTGTGCGCTCAGCACTATTTAGTTATTTAATAATCGTACGATTTGAAAACAGTAATTAATTCCTCTTACAAGTTCTTCTTCTTCTTAAATGATTCTATTCATAGGAGTGTCTGTCTGTTGTATATTTTACTCGTCTTTGGGCATTCACACAAAACGAATTAGGAAGATAGAAGTGACGTCACAAATTTACACGGAGCACCGCCACAATTTTGGAGTGTTCGAGTAAAATATATTTATTAATATATTTATTAAAATTAAGTTTAACCAATTAATTTTTAGCCAAGGGAAATATCTTCGGATGCTTCTTAATTGTGTCTGTTTTAAAAGGTTGCTTTAAGGCCAGCTTCATAAATAAAATTATTTATTATATATTAGTATGTTTACGAGAATTGGTTCCTGTGAGGGAGACAAGGAACCGAATTAAATGATCACAAAGCGATGGTTCAAAAATTTTTATTTTTATTTTAATTTTTTTGTTAAGTCTTGATTTGTTTACTTAACAAATACGTACCATGAATTATAAGATTTTAATAGCGTGAAACATGAGAACGGATGCATTAATTCCGAAAATATCGATGGTTTCCGAATGCTTGAGTCATCGATAAGACTATTCGATATCAACATATCTAATATCAATGCATATTTTACTTTTGTCAATGGCCATAACTAAGCGTCGATTTAAAGAGCAACCCTATTAAATGTGTGTTGAATTTAAGGAATATTAAAATTTCATGCAGATGGTAAATCTTGTAAATAGATTACAAGCAACTATGTGAGTACAGTGAATACCATTGCATAAGAGAGAACGCATTAAGCAACATTTTAATTGGTGTACCAAAACTATTTGCGTACCATTTGTACACGTCTACAGAACAAAAAATGTCGGACTCTGAAGTCAGCAATATGTCAGACAGTGGATCCGAAGATGGATCGATATCAAACAAGTCGCAGCAAAGTGTTCGATCCAAGTCCGGTTTTCGCTCAAGGTCAAGGTCGGTATCCCGATCCCGATCTCGTTCTTCTCGATCCCGTTCCCAATCCGTGCATTCGGGATCAGGATCTGATTCTCCACAACCTCAAGGTGGACGCAGTGCACACCGTCGCAAATCCGAGGACTCTGAGGATGAAGACGCGTATGGCGAGGATATAGACTCTGAGGAATATGAGGAGGAAGAGAACGAGGATGATCATCCGAGGAAGAAGAAGAAAAAAGAGCGCTTTGGTGGCTTTATTATTGATGAAGCTGAAGTGGATGACGAGGTGGATGAAGATGATGAGGGTGAGGAGGGTGCCAACGAGATTGGCATAGTTGGCAATGAAATTGATGAACTGGGCCCAACCGCCAGAGATATTGAAATCAGAAGAAGAGGCACCAATTTGTGGGAGTAAGTTTTATGCGATTTAAAAAAAGGGAATTTTATTTAATTGAATTTGTAATTTGTATAGCACTCAAAAGGAGGATGAAATTGAGGAATATCTAAGAAAGAAATATGCTGACGAATCAATGGTTAAGCGTCACTTTGGTGATGGTGGCGAAGAAATGTCTGACGAGATCACGCAACAAACTCTTTTACCAGGCATCAAGTAAGTAAACCTCATAAATACCCTATAAACTTACTCATATTCCAAATCCTTAACAAAGGGATCCTAATTTGTGGATGGTGAAATGTCGAATTGGTGAAGAGAAGGCGACTGCATTGCTGCTGATGAGAAAGTTCCTAACATACTTAAACACCGACGATCCGTTGCAAATCAAATCAATCATTGCACCCGAAGGAGTGAAAGGATATATCTATCTGGAGGCATATAAGCAGACGCATGTTAAGACCGCTATTGACAATGTGGGTAATTTGCGTATGGGCAAATGGAAGCAGGAAATGGTGCCCATAAAAGAAATGACAGATGTGCTTAAAGTCGTTAAAGAACAAGTTGGCCTGAAGCTTAAGCAGTGGGTGCGCTTGAAGCGTGGCTTGTACAAAGATGATATTGCGCAAGTGGATTATGTGGACTTGGCACAAAATCAAGTGCATCTCAAGCTGCTTCCTCGCATCGACTACACTCGAATGCGCGGTGCCTTAAGGACAACGGCAACGGTATAAAATAAATACATTGATTAATTTATGTCTATGCTAATGGATTATTTGTATTTCAGGAGACTGATGATTCCAAGCGTAAGAAGAAACGAAGACCGCCAGCAAAACCATTTGATCCAGAAGCTGTTAGGTATGCGATCCATTTAAATCGCCTCATAGAATCTTATTGAAAATATATACTTATAGGGCAATCGGCGGAGAAGTTCACTCGGATGGTGATTTTTTGCTGTTTGAAGGCAGTCGCTATTCGCGCAAAGGATTTCTGTATAAAAATTTCAACATGTCTGCAATTTTGTCAGAGGGCGTAAAACCTACCCTTGCCGAATTGGAGCGATTTGAAGAAACCCCGGAGGGTAAAGTTTACGATTATTTCAGATATGAATATGCAATTTAAACGTGTCCTTTATATTTTTTAGAGGTTAACTTGGAAATAATGGCAAATGTTAAAGATGATCCAACTGCTGCCCATTCATTTTCGATGGGCGATAATGTTGAAGTTTGTGTGGGTGATTTGGAGAACTTGCAGGCAAAAATTGTGGCAATTGATGGCACAATGATTACAGTTATGCCAAAGCATCAAGATTTAAAGGTACATTAGTATTAATATTTGAGTTTATTAATTACAATTTACAAAATAACTCTGTGTTCACTTGTAGGATCCTCTCATTTTTAAAGCTAGCGAATTGCGTAAATACTTTAAAACTGGCGACCATGCAAGAGTTTTAGCTGGACGATATGAAGGAGAAACTGGACTCATCATTCGTGTGGAGCCACAGCGAGTTGTACTCGTCTCCGATTTGACCAACCATGAACTTGAGGTATTGCCACGAGACTTGCAATTATGCTCGGATGTAGCTACGGGTGTGGATTGTCTGGGTCAATTTCAATGGGGAGATCTTGTGCAACTTGAGTGAGTAGTTATCAACTGGATATCGTATTTCATCTTTCAACTAATGTCAACTTTCTCAGTTCGCAAAATGTTGGCGTCATTGTGCGTTTGGAGCGTGAGAACTTTCATGTCCTGGGAATGAATGGTAAATGTATTGAGTGCAAGCCAACAGCTCTGCACAAGCGACGAGAAAATCAGAATACTGTTGCTCTGGATGCCGATCAAAATCAAATTCGCCGACGAGATATTGTTAAAGTTATGGAGGGACCCCACGCCGTAAGCATTTAAATTACGATATATAATGCACACGGCATTATAATCTTTAATTTGTGTGTTTATATAGGGACGATCAGGAGAAATCAAGCATTTGTATCGTAGCTTGGCATTTCTTCATTGCCGCATGTATACGGAAAATGGAGGCATATTCGTCTGTAAGACGCGTCATTTGCAGCTCGCTGGTGGCAGCAAGACGAATGTCAGCAATGCTAACACCCTGGGTGGGTTGGGATTCATGTCACCGCGCATACAATCACCAATGCATCCGTCTGGTGGGCGTGGCGCTCGTGGTGGGTCGCGTGGTGGACGAGGTGGTTTTCGCGTTACACGCGATCGCGAACTTTTGGGCAAGACTATCAAGATTTGTGGTGGTCCTTACAAAGGTAAAGCTCAATGTTTTAATATAGTTCCTCCAAATTTAAATATGAATTTTTTAGGTGCCGTTGGCATTGTCAAGGATGCAACTGAGAGCACAGCTCGCGTTGAATTGCATACATCGTGTCAAACGATTTCTGTCGATCGCAATCACATTGTGATTGTCGGTGAGCCTGGCAAGGAGGGCAGCGTATCCACATATGGACGCACTCCAGCACGCACACCGGGTTATGGAGCACAAACTCCCAGTTACACTGCTGCTGGCTCGAAAACTCCTTTGGTTGGCAGTCAGACCCCCAATTGGGATACGGATACACGTACGCCGTATGGTACAATGACGCCATCGCATGATGGCAGTATGACCCCAAGACATGGCGCTTGGGATCCGACCGCAAATACAACGCCAGCAAGGAATACAGATTTCGATTATTCACTGGAGGAGCCGAGTCCCAGTCCAGGATACAATCCAAGTATGATACTTAACATTCACCTGCTGTAGTTGCAATATTTTACTGTACTATTCACTTAGGCACTCCGGGCTATCAAATGTCATCACAATTTGCACCGCAAACGCCAGGTACGCTCTACGGCTCGGATCGCAGCTATAGTCCATTCAATCCGAGTCCCAGTCCAGCACCATCGCCATATCCAGTTGGCTATATGAATACACCATCGCCATCGACATATTCACCCAATACACCAGGTGGTGTACCACAGTCCCCATACAACCCACAAACGCCGGGAGCCAGTCTGGACTCCTCCATGGGCGATTGGTGTACCACGGACATTGAGGTTCGCATTCACACCCACGATGACACGGATCTCGTTGGACAGACAGGCATAATTCGAACTGTCTCGAATGGAGTTTGCTCCGTATTTCTGCGCCAGGAGGATCGTAGCGTGTCCATAGTCAGTGAGCATCTAGCTCCTGTTCCACCCAACAGTGGTGATGAATTCAAGGTTATCTATGGGGAGGAAAGAGAATCTGTGGGTAAAGTTTTGTCCAAGCAGGAGGGCGATGTTCTCGTTTGTAAGATAAACGATGATGTCAAAATGATACCCATTAATCATTTGTGCAAGATGAAATCCATTGATTAGATTATACAAACTTTTGACAATGTGGAAAGAGCACACTTGATATACATAATACAGCATTAAATTTATCCGATGATTTAAATATTAAATATACCCGCTTAAGGGGTAACAAAATTGTACGTTTTTTACTTTATCGATTAAGTTTTGAACAAGTTATAGGTGAGGATAGTTTTGACAATCTTTTTTAGAATTTGTTTATAGATTTTGACTTAAAAATGTGTTGTGGCAACATGACATAAATTTAAAAAATGCGTTAGAGTTTTGCATAGTTATTGCATTGAAACATTTATACCCTAGATGTTCAAATGGTCGAATACGGTTATATTGACCGGTACGTATTCATTAATGCTCTTATTTTTTAATGTAAGGCCAAAAAAAAATTATTGTTTTTTAATTGAATAAAATACTAGGTACTGAAAATTGTATTCCTCTGCCATAAGCTCTTTGCAAGTGGTATTTTCTGCAAAAAATCAGATTGGTCACACTGCTTTTCTATGTTATATTATACTGCCGGTTTCATTGGTGAAGTCAGACAGTATTCGTCGTGTGAAGCGGAAAGAAGTGTGTTTGTTGACTACAAGCAGGAAATATTTGTTAAGCTTAAAGTTTATATATATTAAAAAAAAATAAAATGCGTGAAATTGTACACATCCAAGCTGGTCAGTGCGGCAACCAAATTGGAGCTAAGGTATGTATTGATTACTCTCGTAAATCTAGCCGTAATTGAGTTAAAAATAGGAATGAAGTACAGTTACTAGACAATATGGCGTCATTTTTTTGCACTGCCATGTGGCAAATTTATTGAGGACACCGGCTTTTGCGCATACATTTCTATACCACATAATGTATACATACAAATGTATGAATATGAATTCTGTATGCATGAATGCATATATCTATAAATGTATCAATTTATGTATGTATGTATAAGTATCTCATGCAGTTTTTCCATATGTGTATACATAATCGACCATTTAATCCATAAATTTTGGGTGTGCCTGCATTTTACATATATGTGATCATAAAATTGAGTGCATTTTGTCTTTTCGTGTACATATGTTTCTATGTATACAGATTTACTTCTATGTATGTATGTACATATGAATGAGTCAGCTTTGCTGCAAAGCTCTCATTTTTTTCATCCAATGAGAAAGTCGCTTCGGTTAGTACATGCATAAGTATGTATGTGTGCTACTTGTATGCTTGTATGATAACATTCATTTATGTGTATGCTTATAATTGGTGAAAGGTATCCACATATTTTTTAAATTGATTTTTCTTGCATACACATACGAACGGGAATGTGTGCATACGTGTTTCACTTTGTGTTCAATTTGCTTGAACTGACTTCTGACGGAGTTTTGCTGAAGAGAAAATATGATGTCATTTTACCTAAAATGGCTGAACCGGTTGTCGACCGGTTCGCAATGACACGAAACATGCATACATATTCATATATACATGCGTTTAGGGATATATATATGTATATCTTTATTTATTGACTAGTTTACAGATGTTTGTATAGCTTTGAATAACCGGTGTTTTTTTTATTGCTTTCTTCTATTTGGTGTTGATAAATGAAGAAACAATCTCTAAAAAGGCATATTTAAATAAAATCAAGCAAATGTGCAATGAGAACAAGCAGAACGCTTGTTCTCCACACAAATACCGCTAAATATACCGATATGCACTAATACCATACAAAGTAGCTACTTCTTTCTATACATATGACACACCCAAAGGCGCGGTGTTGCCACTTTTCACGAGCATGCTCGTGAACAACTTGCCGCACCGGCAGGCAAAGCCTCCCATTCCGAACGGAAAAAAGGCTGAGTCATCGCCGACATCGTCCTTTCGGGCAAATCAATAGAGCCTTTGTTGTCCTCTTTTGAATACACACGAAAAGAAAACTACCCCCATTTTACATGAGCAGCAGCTGCAACACAGTTTTGTGCATCGATGCTCTCTCTCACAACTACATACATTACATATACATAGTTAAATGTATATGGTATGAGCCGACAGAGAGACAGACACGCCTTCTGTGAATTTGCTTGTTGTTATTTATTTTTACGATGGTTATTTTGTGGGCTCATGGCAACTTTATGTATTTGTGGTTTTATTTTTTTTTTTGAGGTAGAAATGTTTTAATTGTTTATTCGACATAAACAAGTTAAAAATCTAACGCTCAACAATGACGTAATGCCCCCAAAAAGCACTTTTCTAATGCCATATGGTTGGTTGGTTGGTGGACTGATGGCAGACATCGAATTAAACGTAAGCTTGGCCTCGCCGCTAACGCCCCTCGCATTTATTTTTCTCGCTCAACTCTCGAGTGTGGGTTGATATTTGTCGCTGTCTCTGTTGATGATGTAAGCGAGCGAGCGAGCTGTACATGCATACTACATACATGTACAGGCTTAAATTTAAGGTAGGCAGCAGCAGCAGCTGTTGGTTTGCTGTTGATGATGACGACGGTGCTCAAAGTGCGTGGGTAGCACGCAGTCTGTTTAACTGCCTACCTATCTCTACCTACCCACTGCCTACCTAATCCATCCATCACATTCATGTATCAAGCAAAACAGTTAAGGTGGACAGCTGGTGTTATATTGTAAATCAACCCACGCCTAGTTGGGGTGAGACAGCCACAGCCATGATGATGACAATGTTTCCGTTGTTGTCGTCTCACATTGAAGCCCACCTTAATGTTCACTCACTCATCGCCTACTTCTATATAAAGCTTTCTTTTATTTGCCTGTCCTTCAATGGTCACATCGGTTTCCTGTACAAACGAAAAAAAAACATGTATATATATACACATATATATATACATATATCTAGCTCAGCTCATGCTGACTATGATCATTTTTCTTACAAATTAAAGTCGATAAATCGATTTATATGATGGAAATATGAGCTTGGCTAAATATAAGCGACATTTATACGAAAAAAAAGAGAAAAACAAAATTGTGTAAATAATGTTATCGCAGTAAACAATTACTGATTGTACATAAATATTTATGATATAAACACTAAGTTATGCGGTTAAGAACGTCATTAAGACTATTTTTATAAATGAATGGCTTTATAAAAAAGTTAGTTGAGTTATTGTAAACAATTTATAATTGAAGGAAAGTTAAGCAGTGTTCAGCAAAAAAATGATTCCTGATTCAGGTCTTGCTGTGAAACAGTAATACAATTTTGTAGTCATATTATATTAGCATCTATATCCCGATCAATATGATATAGTTATCCGACCCTGTCGGTTCATCATGTCGCATTACATTCACTTGAGGACAAATTTATAAAAAGATTGCAATTGTAAATTGTTGTTTTCAATTGGTTTCATTGCAGTTCTGGGAAATAATTTCCGATGAGCATGGCATCGATGCGACTGGCGCTTACCATGGTGACAGCGATCTGCAGCTGGAGCGCATCAATGTGTACTACAATGAGGCGTCCGGTGGCAAATATGTGCCCCGTGCTGTCTTAGTTGATCTGGAGCCTGGCACCATGGACTCGGTTCGCTCGGGCCCATTCGGCCAGATCTTCAGACCCGATAACTTTGTGTTCGGCCAGTCTGGTGCTGGCAACAACTGGGCCAAGGGCCATTACACAGAGGGCGCTGAGCTTGTTGATTCGGTGCTCGATGTTGTGCGCAAAGAGGCTGAATCGTGCGATTGCCTGCAAGGCTTCCAGCTAACACACTCCCTGGGCGGCGGCACTGGTTCCGGCATGGGTACCCTGCTCATTTCCAAGATCCGTGAGGAGTACCCCGACAGAATCATGAACACATACTCGGTTGTGCCCTCGCCAAAGGTATCGGACACCGTTGTGGAGCCCTACAATGCAACGCTGTCGGTCCATCAGCTGGTTGAAAACACAGACGAGACCTACTGTATCGATAATGAGGCCCTCTACGATATCTGCTTCCGTACACTCAAGCTGACGACCCCAACATACGGTGACTTGAACCATCTCGTCTCCCTGACAATGTCTGGCGTCACCACTTGCCTCCGCTTCCCTGGCCAACTGAATGCTGATCTCCGCAAACTGGCAGTCAACATGGTTCCATTCCCACGTCTGCATTTCTTCATGCCTGGCTTTGCGCCCCTGACATCCCGTGGCTCCCAGCAATATCGTGCACTGACCGTTCCCGAGCTGACTCAACAGATGTTCGATGCCAAGAACATGATGGCTGCATGCGATCCTCGTCATGGACGTTATCTGACCGTCGCTGCCATCTTCCGTGGACGCATGTCCATGAAGGAGGTCGACGAACAGATGCTGAACATCCAGAACAAGAACAGCTCATACTTTGTTGAATGGATCCCCAACAATGTGAAGACCGCTGTGTGCGACATCCCGCCCCGTGGTCTGAAAATGTCGGCTACCTTCATTGGTAACTCGACCGCCATCCAGGAGCTGTTCAAGCGCATCTCTGAGCAGTTTACGGCTATGTTCCGTCGCAAGGCTTTCTTGCATTGGTACACTGGCGAGGGTATGGATGAGATGGAGTTCACTGAGGCAGAGAGCAACATGAACGACTTGGTGTCTGAATACCAGCAGTACCAGGAGGCAACCGCCGATGAGGACGCTGAATTCGAGGAGGAGCAGGAGGCTGAGGTGGATGAGAACTAAAATGTGTCGTCGAACGTTGCGTCAAAATAAAAACGAGAACAAAATTAAGTTTAAAAAAAAATAATGATTGTTCTTTTCACGTCGTAGCCCCCAATAAAGTCGAAATTATTTCTTCTAAAAATCGAATAAATTGAATCATTGTTTATTTTTAATAATAAATGTCAAACTGCCAACTGGGAAATATTAAATATGCAATTTTTGTTTATATAGTGCTATACTCTTAAATATGATTTGTGTGAGTCTTTTATTCCCACGCCTGGAAAGCCAGTCATCAAATGTTATTCAAATCAATTGGTTTAAATTTATAGCCAATAAAAATGCATGAATGGGATTTTGTAACTCGGAGCGGCAAGCATTTCCGAGAGTGTTGTGAAATGTTTGTTTTTGGATATGTTGGTGATCTGAGCTTTTTCTATATTTGGCGAGAGTTCATCGGTGTCAACGAACTATGGACTCAATACAAAATTAAAAAAGGAGCCTACATACATGCAATGGGCAAAGCATATGGATAACGTCCTTATTAATATGTTAGCGAACTATTTAGCAACATGAAGAGATATTATAGCAAGAAAATGTAAGCAGTTGTAATAAAATTTGACAATTTTTTCCGGTTTTCCCTACGCAATTTTAGTACTATCAAAGTGGGGTGATAAAAACAATGCATTAGCCGCATCGCTTGGGATACCGGCGATCTGCTTATTTGCAAATATCTACATTTACATTTTTAATAATAGAACCATTCCTAAAACATTTTTGTTCTGCTTAGATATTTATGTACATTGTGTACATCATTTAAATATGTATGTGCTTCTAAATATTAAGCGATTAATATTTTAGGTACTTATCGATACAAATTAAATATATGAAAATACAGAAATTGTATAAAACGACATTGGAGCGACATTCGCCTGGCGATGATAAGTAATATATATATAATAGCACAATAAACTAAATACAAAAATAAATTAAGACAAATATATTTATATATCGATAAAATTTTCCATCGATTTCCTGCTGAAATTTACACGATAGCTTGACTTAAAGAAAAAAAATACTTAGTTTGGTATTGCATCCATTCACCAACACTAAATTGTATAAGTAAGATTTTAGTGTTGTCACAGACTGATTCTTTTTGGCAAGTAAGACAAAAAATAAATAAAATGGAGGATAATACAAAATAATGTAGTCGGTGCATTTTCCAGATGATAGCAATGGATGAGCAGCGCAGCGACAAGATCTATGGCGGTTGCGAGGGGCCAGATGCCATGTACGTCAAACTAATTTCTTCAGACGGCCACGAATTTATTGTAAAACGCGAACATGCTCTCACCTCTGGCACAATTAAGGCAATGTTATCTGGCCCAGGACAATTTGCGGAAAACGAGGCAAATGAAGTACACTTTCGGGAAATTCCGTAAGTTTTTACATGACAATGGCTACCAATTGCACACAGTACTTTTAATCCAAATCAAGTATGACCTAATGACCGGTCAAGGAATTACCAACGTATATGTACATGTATATTGCACATGCACATATGTATGTATGTATGCGTGCATGTGTGTGCAAATATCATATGCATATACATACATATGTACATAGGTGTGAACTTGTTAAAAATCAAGAACATCTATATATATATTCATAATTATATTTATATGTATATATTTATTTATATCTTGGTTTTTTGTCAACTGATTTAGTATTTAATTTTTAGAATATTTGATTAAGCTATTGTATATTTATATCCTTAAGAAAAAGCATAATCATTATCAATCAGATTGTAAACACGTTCTTCGTGTATATAGAAGTATATTTCATTACTCACTGTACTTCTAACTAGAAGTTAAGTCAGTAAATCTTGCAAACAGAAATTAGTGAACTAAATCATGTATTAATACAGCTAATGTAATAATATCTATCTTTAATGTAAAAATATACATCAACTTTTAAATAGATCCTATTTTATATATATTTATATGTTTTTTCTTTTCAGATCGCACGTTTTGCAGAAGGTGTGCATGTATTTCACTTATAAAGTTCGATATACCAACAGTTCAACTGAAATTCCCGAATTCCCGATTGCACCCGAAATTGCCTTAGAACTTTTAATGGCAGCTAATTTTCTAGATTGCTAAGTAATTGTTTAAACTTATTAATGTTAAATAAAATTTTGCAAAATGAATAAATATAATATATATTTGTCCTGTGTTTATTTCGGTTTTATTGTCAATATATGTGCTTACACACCGGTCGATTATGGTCGAAATTTCGACATTTGTGCTGCCAGATATGTGTAAACACGTGCCAGTTGCTCTGCCAGAGCGATGTGGCACCATTTTTGCCATAGACTATTTGCAGCTAAACGAACATATTTGGCAACAACTCGCCGAACCAATTGGAATGGCAAGCTGCTAACAATTCGCCGCCAGAGATGTCGGTGTTTGCCTCCTATAATTACATACAGAATTATTTCAAATTTTCAGCTTAAATTTAAACAATTACCAATGTCTGCGGTTGTTACGATATGATCTAAATTAAATGAATATATTTCGTTGAAAAACTATAAAAATAAGTAAGTATAAATTAAAAAATATATTTAAAAAATTAAAAGAGGTCATATCACAAGAAATACTTTTTGTTAAGGTGTTTTAAGCATTTAATTTGTTTCACAATCTACCAAACACCATTATTTTTTGCGTCAGAAATAAGCACACAAGCGAATTAAATAAAACTAAATTAAATACCTTAAATAAATTAAATTGTATTGTTATCGGAACTGCAAAATGAAGTTGGCTGATTAAGCCATAAGAATCAATTTCACAATTTATTAGTTTATGTAAAAAGATACACTCGACACCACATTTGAAAACAGACTAGATCAGTTTGTAGTCTTAGGACAGTAAAAATTTAGTAGATGACTGGGAAAGTTTTACATACATCAGCGCCCGAGACTGACTTATAACAGAGGGAATGAAGTCTATATATAATGTGAATTAAATGAAGCCACGGGGACCGCCTTGTGGAACTCCGGAAGTAACTTCAACAGACTTCCAGATAGAGCTTCCAAATAAACTTTCTGTGTTCTATATTCTAAAGTTCAATATTTTGAGATCCAAAGAATTAGGTTTTTGGTTTGGAAATCCCAGAAGATTAAGTTTGTGGATTAACAAAGAATGATTTTGCAATTCAAAAGCTTTTCAGAAATCAGTCTAAATAGCATATTAATTGTTTAGCAATTGTTGGAATAGTGGATAAATTAAAGATACCACGAGAAATGTGATTATTAGTTTGGTTTCCTTTTTAATTTTTAAATGTTATCCTTATAAACACTGCGCATCGTCGTCAATATTTTCAATATAAAACCATAGAAAGCATTGTAGAGTTTCCCAGTTCTTAAAGACGGCTACCAGTCATATACTTACCAAATTTAACGGCTCTAACTCAAAAGGGGCGAGGCATATGATGATCTTTGGAGGACATCGCCTACAACCTACCAACCAAATTTGGAGACCGGAGTCTTATTTCCGTTGAGAGATATGTGTTCTTTTTGCTGAAAGCTGTACATAGGTCGAACATTACCGGATCTTTTACCTATATCATAAGCTGATAAGTCGTGAGTTCTAAAATATATATGTAACTACACAAATGTGAAATAATCAGTTCAAAGCAGTGAATATAACAAAATTCCGATTCCTATTCTGCTACGAAAAGTATAAAAATCAGGTAAAGATTTGGTATTTGCCCAAACTTTTTTACGGTAATCGGTTACGTGTGGAACCTTTATGAGGAAGTTGTGCCCAAGCATAGAACAGGCAGAAGGAGGAATCTCCGAGCCCAATACAACTTATCTCACAATTAATGTGGACAAGTTACTAACTTATTTAGTGGGAATAAATTGTAAGAAACAAATACAATGACCTTGACTCGAGTCGAGCCTTCAGTTTCGAAGGACAACTGTGGACCTTATCTATATATATATATATAATAAATCGATGTCGAAATTTCGTTGCCATAGCAATCAATGGCTTGGCAAAACATTATACAAATTTTCCTTCGCGTTCAAATTGGGAAACACAAAACAAAAGAAAATAGATAATAAAGACGTAAAATGGGAATGCTGCACAATTTGTCCGATTTGATAAAGGTGAAGCGAGATAAAATGACAATATTAGTATTAGGCCTAAACAACAGTGGTAAATCGACAATAATAAATCATTTCAAGAAATCCAACGAACAGTCCGCGATAATGGTGCCAACAGTTGGATTTCTAATCGAACAATTTTACAGTAAGCATCTAAATTTGATATATAAAATTAATACTTATAAATATATATTTTCTATAGCCATGGGCGTTAGCATCAAGGCAATAGATATGTCCGGTGCGACGAGATATCGAAATTTGTGGGAACATCAATTCAAGAATTGTCAGGGGATTATCTATGTAATTGACTCCAGTGATCGGATGCGATTTGGTATTTGATACTATATATATATATATAAATATATATATCTCACATTTATCATTATCAGTGGTTGTCAAAGATGAATTGGATCTGGTGCTACAACATCCCGATCTTTGTAATCGCATAGTGCCCATACTTTTCTATGGCAACAAATCGGATCTTGACGATTCGCTTTCGAATGTTAAAATTGCGGCAGGTAATCGAATTGAATTTGGTATTCTTTATTTGTCAAAAGCTAAATGATTCGGTTTTAGCTCTGGGTCTGGAGAACATTAAAGAGAAACCGTGGCACATTTGTTCGAGCAACGCAGTTTCTGGCGAAGGCTTGGACGAAGGCGTCCAGTGGCTGGTTCAACAAATACGATTCGCCATAATGAGCAACCGAAAGGGTGGCAAATTGAAGTCAAGTCAAAAGAATAAATATTAGAACAATATACATTTCCAAAATGTTACTAAGACTAACTGCATTAAATTGATCAAATAATTTTGCGTGTTCATCATTTGGGAAGCTTCCGTGGGGTATTCTAATTTTGTCGTAAAATCTGTGACGCATTCGTCTCTCCAGTCCCTTAATCTGTCTGCATATTCGCGATGAACATCAGTATCCGAGTCGATGTGGCCGTGTTCTGCCATCTGTCTCTATGCGAACTCAATTCTCTCAATTTATCTTTATGAAACTTGGATAATACCCGTCTTTTCGTATGACGAAGTCCACCTGAAGGGACCCATTTAGTCGTAGACTTACTTTTCCCTAAAGTCACCACCTAATTAGGCTAGCTTAGGTTCTTTCCAGCTGTATCCCCTAGTGAGATGCTAGCGACAGCAACTCCTATTTACATGCACTTAGCTTATTTAAAGTAATAAAATCTTTGCATGGCTTAAAGACTTTAAAATTCAAAAATGTGTCCCATGATGGATTTATTATAGAATTTCTCATCTTAAAAAAAACATCCAAGCGAAGCTCGCGTTTATTTCTTGCTATTGAGGATGATGCCATCGTATTTCTGCTGGAACCACTTCATGGCGTCCTCCTTCGTCAGACGGTGTGGAAAGCCAACGGTGCCCGATTTGCGTTTCCTGTGAGACACGTTGTAACCTGAAGAAAATAGATTAAAACTCAATTAATACACATTAACTCTGCAAAAAGGTAATGGGATAAAAGAAACGATATTCTTTGTTGTTGAAAGTGCACCGTTTGAGTTTGCATTATAAAGCGAAATTCATTTTGAGCACAGCTTCAATTGATTTGCGCACAGTTACTGAGCATCAATTCCGTAATTTGGGAATAGATACCTAATTAAATGCACAACTGAAATGCTGGATGAATGCAATTTCTTGGTATGCTCACCTGGACGGCCGAGAACGACGTAGAAATCCAGGCCATAGATACCGATGGAGGGATCGTACTTGATGCCCAAATCGATGTGTTCCTGAATACCGAAACCAAAGTTTCCGTTTGCCGAGAAATTGTCGCGTCTCAACTCGTATTCACGAACTTTGAGGCCACGCTCAAGAATTTCCTCGGCTTTGGCACCGCGCACCGTGCAATGGACGGCGATCTTCTCATTGCGACGAATTCCAAACGAGCGCACTGTGTAACGTGCCTTCGAAAACACGGGCTGCTGTCCAGTCAGCTGCTCCAACACCTAACGAATGGAAAAGTTTATTTTTTTATTTCGTGTCTCAATTTTGATGGCTTTTGGGGATAAACAAGAACTTACCTTGGCGGCACGGGTCAGCCTATCACCAGATTCACCCACGCAGATGTTGAGGCACAGCTTCCTGATGTGCAGATCGCGCATCGGGTTCTTCGCGGGATCGCGCTTAATTTTGGGTGTCTTCTTAGCAATTGCCTGCAAATTGTATATATTTCATTTTGTTAGACAAATATGTCATTTCAGCGCAGCATATTATTTCAATTGTGTAGCGAGAATGTTCAACTTGCAGTTCACATTCATAGTTTGCAATAATATTGCGGGATTATTGCCGATGTTGAATAATTTGTATAGCACAAAAATTTTAAGAAACCTACCGCCATTATGGTATGTAGGAAAGAAAGGAAAAAGGCGTGTTACAGTTCAGTGTCAGCGCACAACACCGATTAGTGTTATCGATTTTAAATCGATGAAGTTTCAAAAAATTTAGAGGAATACCCTTAGTGAACACTTTCAAAATTAAATTCAATAATATTTTCAATTATAATATAAATTGATATGTAATGATTGAAAATTACAATCATTATATTGGCCAATGCCTTGCAAAATCTGGTCAATATGCCCCGTTAGCATACCAGGGCTACATTACACTTATCTGTGGCAGATTTTATTGCTTACATCAGATGTGCATATGTCCATTTGATCGTGCTCATATAATTTTTGCAATAAAAATGATTACATTGTTATAACACTTGCCGATACATTTGAGTAAAAACTACTATCGATAAGAAGCTGATATACATTCTGTCGAATCTATAGTATATCGTTATCTATTTGTTGTTATCATCGATACGAATAAATGTAGTAATATTGTATTGCTTGCGCAAACATCGATGTATCGATGGTCAATTAGCAACCCTACAATATGGCTGCCCGATTTTAATGTGATTTTTTTGGACGACGTATGCTGCTGCTTTTCTATAGTGTATGTGGTTAGAAAAAGATTATAACAATAATCTGAAAAGTGCAACGAAAATTTTGATTATCATTTTAATTTCAACAAGTGATAAGCAACATAAATGCCTATACTCAATGTAGCGCAATATCAAGTTACTTCGAATGTCTTCTTTTGCTGAATTGAAATTGTGAGAATGTAGCTTTTTGTTTAATGCCTAACAACTTATAGAAGGAAAAAAAGTTATTGTGAACGAAATTTGATTAAAGAAAAAGGCGATAATTAAATTCCATAACTTAAAAAAAAGGAAAAAAACGGCTTTCATCAAAAATCTTATTGAGAAATATATATTTTACTGCTATAAGCGAGCGAGTGAGTGAGAAAGATACATACATACATGCTTACATACGTATGTGTATCTGTAAGTGTATGTATGTGTGCATTTGCATTTCGTTGTGTGGTGTCGTCGACTGTTCGGTAAAAGTCGGTCTTTCTTTTCCTACTGCTACCACTTGGCGTTTGAAAATTCAAAAATGGAAAATTAAGTAATAATGTGTTATATATATGAATGAAAACATTAGGCGTATGCTAATAGGACGCGTTTGACTTTTTTTTTAAAATGTTCACGCCGATGTATCGCAAATTTATGACCTAATATTGTTATTTGTTCAGGAAATTTTTTATTGGTAAGTACTGTCGGTTGGTTGGGTTGGTTTCTTTATGTGTGTTGGAGTGTGTGTGTGTGTATGTGTGTGAGTGTGTGTGGTTGGGGCGAACGCAGCAAATCAATATTTAAGGGGGCTGCCATTTCGTTCGCTGCTGTTTCGCTATTTTTTCTTTTCCATTCGTTGTTGCCGCTGTTGTCTGCTTCCTCTGCTCCTCCACCTCCTACCCCACTTACCCCCTCACACCCAACACCCTCCCTTCACGCCCTGTTTGCCCCGTGGTCCAAGAAAATAAACTCTGCGTGCTTTTGTAATAACGAGTACATTTTCTGGGCATAAAAATAATAAAGAAAAAAAAAAAGAAAATGAAAATGAAAATAAGAAAAAAGCCTGAATAAAGAAATTGACATAAGTTATGTATGTATGTACAACAGTTTGAATGGATTTCTATATACACACACACACACACAGTGATGTTAATCGTTCATATTTATAAGTTGTTCCCTTTGCAAAGTGTATTTATTGTGTGTGTGTGTTTTTTTATCAGCAACAAAAATTATTTTAAACTATTGGCTGAAAAGATCTTTTCGTTGTGTTTTGTTAGAGTTTGACATAAATGTTGGTATACACAAGCATAATATGCATATAAAAATGTATATGTACGAGCTATACATGTGTCTGTATATGTGCATATATACACATCTAAATATGTATATTGTGTTTTTTTTTTAAATAAATATTTTAATAATAAAAGGGTGTGTGGCATAGATATACACATACTGTGTGTGTATGTGTATGTGTGTATGTTTTTATGTACATCAGCTTATAGCGTTCTTGATGTTGTTTAGTTCTTTTCCATCTAACAAATCCTTTGATTCAATGCAAATATTGAAAATAGGTAAAAAATATGCGTATCCAAAAATTGAAATCAAATCAAATTTGTTTCTATCAAGCAAAAGCTGTTTAGGTGTTAAATAGTCAAACACTCGCAACTGTTAGTGATAATTAACAATTAAAGATGTATAAAAAAAAATGAATAGTCATCTTCAGAGTACCAACGAAAATGTAATACGCTTGCTGATATACATATTTAATGTGTTATATTTGTAATCTGATATTAAAATCCCTTTTTTAGTAATACTATTCAATTTTTGACCAATTGTTCCTATGCACATTCAAATCTGGTAAGCTTTTCCGATGTTAGTCAAATTTTCATCTCTGTGTTGAAAATTGTAAGTTTGGATCAATAAGTATATATACACAAATTATATATGTACATATAATACATCAATTTATTTAATATACAGTTTGAGACAAGGACGTATATTTATTTTTACGTAAATTGGTGTCCAATTCTAAGATAAACTTTAGTTTTCTATTCTTTGTGTTCAAATAACTAATAAGATTCCCAAGGGTTTTTGGATAATTTACCTTATGTTAAGTCAAATTTGTACCGTTTTTCCTTCGGCCACGCATGTGTACGCCCTTGGTTTGAGATGTATCCGTCACTGTCGGATTTGGTTTTCACTCTCCTTAACCAATTTCGAAGGCAATTAAAACCATTTTCCACTACATCTAGCAACTTCATAATAATAATTAAGAAGATCCAATCAAATATTTGATACGGTCAGATCAAATTTGTTACATAAATTAAATCTCACTCTGATTTTCTTAACCCATGCTTTTTAACTAAACATCTTGTTGTCCAATTAACCTTCGTTTTTCTATATTCATGTTACTGGGGTCTGATTGGGAAGAATTGCCAGATACGTATTTAAATTCATGTTATACAAAATCGGATTGGTAATACTTGACAGGTACATTACTCAAATTGGAAACATTTGAAGGAGGAAACAGTATCTGAATGTTGACAAAAGATAAATTCCGCAAAATTACAAATTTGTAGCGAGATTCTCCTAATATATGCAAATGGTTAAGGCGATGACTACCAATAAATGCGATTTGTTGGCGAAAGTAGAGCAGATTGTTTTGGAATTGATCTCAAGTATGATAAATCATAAAAACCTTACTTTAAAAATACCGCGCAACTGTCGAAGTATGTTCAACCTAATCGATAATAATGTCGGAGTTGTGGAAGGAACTTTTAAATATCGAAAGGTCGTATATAATAGGCGATACAGTCGCCATCGTTTTTGCCTGATTGTTTATCTGCTGACTGAGATTCATCGTTTGCAAGTTTTTGGAGGTAGTTGCACCGTACGTGGTCTTTATTATCAGGATCCGCAGACGATACGATCACAGTCCTATATTGTCGCAGCCAAACTCGACGTCTGCCGCATGCTAAACACGAGTCCAGTTTATTTGGGCATACGGTCGGCGGCCAAAGGACTTATTTCAGGTACAACATATATGATAAAGAAAAATGTCACAAAATTAAAACTATATTTATTTTTTTTTTAGGTGACATTAAGCTAATAATGAGCAATGGCGATGTTATGGATGGCAATGTTTATTGTGGATCGATTATGCTGCCAACGGATTATGAGAATGTGGAACGCATTGAGACAAATGCTGAGATGGTTTTGATTGTGGAAAAAGAATCGGTTTTCGAGAGCCTGCTGTCCTGTAATGCATTTAGCACATTTGGCTTGCGTTTTATACTGGTAACTGGCAAAGGATATCCGGATTGCACTACACGGCGAATTGTTTACAGACTATCTGTCGAATGTAATTTACCAGCATATATTCTAGTGGATGCTGATCCCTTTGGCATTGAGATAATGCTCGTCTACCAATACGGCTCGCAGGCAATGAGCTTGTTTTCCAGCGGTCTTGCCACGCCAATGCTGCGCTGGATTGGACTACACCCAACGGAAATTGATAGTATCTCAAAGCGTGCAGTTCCCCTATCGAATTATGATAATAAAAAACTTATTGATATGCTTTCACGCAGCAATATTAGTGTGGGCGTCCGACAGGAATTGTGCAGGCTTCAGCAAACGCAGCTTAAAGCCGAAATCGAGAGTGTTATTGATTTCTTAAGCCCCTACTATATACCAACAAAAATCAATCGAAATTTGTATTTATAGCTTAAAAAATAATATATAATTTGTATAATAAATATTCATTATAACTAAAGTTTAAAATTCAAGTCAAAAATTTACGTTTTGGGAGATTTTGAATTTTGATTTGAAAATTCATCTCATTAAAAAGATTACGGTTTTAATAAGCCAACAAATTGGAAAACTACTATAAATGGCAGATATGGATAAGTTTACATTTTGCATTTGTATCACGAATTTAAACTGTTATTCTGGTTGGTAAACCAATGGTTATTTAATATGATCAATTTTCATTTTATTTTTAGATGTATTTTGGATGTATACAATTCATTATGCAAATAATTTACATACGAAACGCATATTTAATAACGCATAGGAATTATTGGTCAACAAATTGTTAGTCTCTCAGTTTAAACTGTGCTAAAACTGCGCTGATTGTTCACTTTTGCACATGGAATTATTCTTGAAATATATATCAGTTTTTTAATTAGAAAACGTTTTTCTATATTCCAGATGTAAAGTGGCTCCACAAATGGATAGCAACTATAACTAAATTAGGCACATAACGTAAAGTTAAGATATAAATAACCAAAACGCAAAAGTACTTTTAAAAGGAAAACATTTTGAATCTCGTTAACGTTGTGACAGCTAGCAGAATAGAGAAGAAATCTATCACTCTTAATGAGTGCATAGACAAAGAATATCGACTATATATATATATCTTTATATATATATACATATATTAATATTTGCGGAGAAAGACAAAATATGTCGACAGCAATGCGAACAACACTGCAACCAGTTCCTGAAGCCCTGCCCGCTGAAAATGTCACAAACGGCACCGTTGCTGCTGCTTCAACAGCAACAACAACAACAACAATGGCGTTATCGGCAACAGCAGTGACGCCAGCGTCAAACGCTGCAAGCACAACAACAAATTATAACAATACAACAACAATCAGCACATCGGCGCATTCCGTCAAGGATCAACAACAACAACAGCAGCAGCAGCAGCATGACTCAGCGAATGCCAACATTGTCTCACTGCCACCAACAGCACTAACAACAACAACAACCCCAACAGCAACAGCAGCAACATCATCATTAGCAACACCATCATCAGCACCAACAGCAACAACAATAACAGCAGCAGCAACAGTCGCCGCATCCTCGAATTCAGTAGCCAGTAGCAATAATACGACAGCAACAGCAACAACAACACCAACACCAACAATACCATCGGCTGCAACAACAACAACTACAACAACAACAAATACTCCAAACCACCACAGTAGTAGCAGTCATCAGCATCACCACCACAACGTTGTGGTGGGCAATAATATGACGACAGATGGCGCTCGACTCTCTAGCAATAATAGCTCTGGCATCAATCATCATCATCATCACAACAGTGGTGTTGGGGGTGGTGGGGGCGGTGGTGGTGGTGCTTCTGCTGCTATATCATCCTCTGTGAATAAGAACGTTCTCAGCACCCATTCGGGTCACGCATCTGCCATCAAACAGCGAACATCATCAGCAAAGGTAAGCGATCAATATCATATATGTGTATATCGGATATGTTTTAATGCAACTGTTATCAATACCATACCATAGTTTAGATCATTTATACAATCTCATATACATATATACGTTACAAGCTAATTTGTATGGGGCTTAATGTCTAATGTCTAATGTCCCAATATTTTTCGTCGAATCTATATACATTTACAATTATATACGTCCACATTCGTAGTTTGTCTCCTTTGTGAAATGTGAATCCATTACAAAATTGTGCTATAAATGTGCTGTAAGAAAATATATCTTTCGAATTATGATTACCATCCCACATAGATCTTGAAATTGTACAAATAAGCTGAGAATCAACCGCATAAAAAGTCAGTTTATACTAATTATTATGAATTTGAATTTTGCTTTCAAATTTGCAACGCAATAAGGGAGACAACTCCGACCCATATATGCAGAACTCCCTCAATGTAAGAGCAATCCTCATCATGATTGCTTGGGATATATGCGATATAAGTTTGAGTGTCACAAATTGTGACATGTATGTGGGATCGAAATTGGCGCACATTGTACCAATTCTGTTAAGCAATAACTGTACAAATGTAGAATATTCAGTTTAAGGTCAGACCTCAAACTTAAACAAGAGAACCGACTGCGAAATACTTTGATACCATACGTAATACCAACTGATAACAGGTATGCAAATAACAGTCTGTGTGTAGCCGAGAAATACTTTCCAAGTTTACTTTTCAGCTTGCAAATTGTGTGAGATATATGGTCTAATCGATTTACACCAACAGGTGTATCGGTTTAGGGAGGCGGAGTGGGCGTTACCATCCAATTTTTATCGAGAAAAAGTGTTTTGCGGTATTTCAAATTCAAATATCTAACTTATCCAGAATTGTATTTTTTAATTTTTTTTATAATGAAGTATTCCGATTATACTCTCGTAGAGGGTTTTATAATTTGGTGGTGAAGCTAGCAACTCTTTTAATGAAGACGTCTCAAACCGCCATAAAATATTATATGCTTGACCGGCACCACTAGCCGTCTGTCCACATTTTTAATTAAACTTGCCATGTATGAAAAACAATTCATTTTATAGTCAAATCTAGATGCTGACAATTTAAGTTCGGTTTACAAGGGTATTTAATCTTTGCCTTTGCCTAAAATAGTCGGTTTTTCGATCATCAATTTCACAATGACATCCTGAAACTACTTAAAATATGCAATTTTAATTACCATTATCCGTTATCTCAGCTTATTATGCATGATAAAGCTGTGCAATAGGGACTACTTTGTGTGGAATGTAATTACATCAATTAAAGTAGAAAATGCAAAGCAAAATAGAAAAGAACCGTTAAATGGCAGAAAAACGATGAAGAAGGGGAAGATTAGCTCTTGAATAAGAAGTGGCAGCTTTATAGATTTGCCTTGCATCCCACAAACACAAATAAGCAGGAGAAATGGCGGAATATTCAGCAGTGCGCATAACAACTGCCGGGCAGCTTAGATTATTGCATAAGAAACAGAGTGCTCGGGCAAATTCGCTCTGGTCGTTGATTGATGACAGTCAGAAAAGAAGCCTTTGGATCAGATCATTTGCAACTTTTGTGTGGTGGGGTGAACTGCTTGACTCTGCACATCAAAATTGTGTTTGCTCAAAGCTCGCTCTTGTTCTCTCTCTCTCGCACAGCCGAGCGGAAAGCTTTTAACTTTTTTGAGTGTTTCTTGTGTGACGTCTGTGTGCGTGAGCGCTATCACATCAATACACACCTATGTACATTATGAGTTGCCTTCCACAATTGTACATACATATGTATGCTTACGTATGTATGAATTGTAGGTTTTTTTTTTGTTTTGAATCATTCCGATTCTGAATGACGCTGGATTATGTAAATACATATATGTATATACATATTTATTATATATAAATACAATTATTTGTGTTGGGTGTGCCGTTTCTTTAAGATTCAACTATCGCCAAGCTGCAAAATACTACAAAAAATTGTCTGAGCGTAGCCGCGACAGTCAGATAGAACTTATCCAATATATTCGCCGCTCGGCATCAGCCAATGGTCGAAAGCTTGTTTTAGTATTAAGTTCCACTTCATTCGTGTGGTCACTTGTCGCGTTCGCCGTCGTCGTTGTCGTCTGGCTGTGTTATTGAGCAAACGGTACTTTTGTTATCGACAAACAATTGTTGTTATTGTTGTTGCTGTTGTTGTTGTAAGCAATGATTCGAAAATACATACGTAAATTCATTGTCATTGCAATTCCCATACAGCAGAACTTATTTCTACAAGTTTTAGTGATATACAGTTTTTATTAATTAAGTGTACACACATACACACATTCATACAACAAATTAGCTTCAATTCAAGTGCTTGCGTACGCTGATAAGATAGGACAAATGCTTTAGTATTAGTATGCGGGTATTTACATTCGTTGAATAATTTAAATAATGAAAAAGAAAAAAATGTCTGTTGGTGTCTCAACTAGTACACATGCAAAAATCTTGAAATATGCTCACATACATGCATACATGCATAGTTGAGCAATTTCTGTTAAATACATATTTGTTTTGGCTTGATGATTGTCATTGTAGCAGAAGCTTTGCTGCCCAGAAAGATCCCAACTAAGCCCAGACCAATTGCGAATGATAAGTTAATTTAATTATACGCTACTTATATATGCACACACAACTATGCGCACACACTCACATGTGGGCATGCACACATATGTGTATTTGTAGATTTACAATATATAGTGTGCTTGCAACAAGCAACAATAGTAAAACAAAAAGAACCTATAAAAATAAAGAAAAATCATCACATTCCTCTACACAAAACAGACAACTGCGAGTGTGTGAGTGCTTAACTGTGTTTGCGTTTATGTGAGTTAGTGAGCGCGAGCAAGTGAAGCTTCAATGCAAACGAGCTTAACCAGAAGCAACAATAACAACAACAACAGCAATAATAATAACAGCAACAGCAGCAAGAGTGATGAAGTAAATGAGCGAAGCAAGCGGAGAGAGAGAAGAAACAAAAACGTTCCGAGCTTTTTTGTATTGTGGGGCTTCATCGCCTCTGCTTCAATTTCGTTTCCGTCGTCGTCGTTGTCTCATTTTATCTTTTTATATTTTTACGTTTAAGTTCGAGCGCGCGCGGTCCCTCGTTATAAGTGTGGACTGCATTTAACTTCTGTGTGGAACCTACTATCGCAAAACGCTGCTCTTAAGCTTAAAAGCTTATTTTCTATATGCACACAACACACAACTCATGAATGTGTAAAAGATTTAAAAATACATTGTTATTTACGTGTGTGTGTGTGTGTGTGTGCGATACTCGATTAAAAGATAAGACAATGTGATTATTTCGAGTCTTAGCAACGCCAGTCAGCGCTCTGGTCATGGAAGGGTCTCAATTAACTTTGTAGAAAATATTGAGAAACGAAAAGTAAAATGTAAATAAGGCATCTGAATCCGGTGAAAGCCGAAAAAATTTCAAGTGTACGCAAGTAAGGGCCGTGTTGTGTGTGTATGTGCTGAGCTGTTAATGCTTTAATAGAATTACACACACTGAGCTATAAATACATACACACAGATGTGATGTATATATATATATATACGAGTGAGACATTAAGATTTTGCAAATATTTATATACATATTAACACATACATACATATATGAGTATGAGTGTGTATGTAGATACGAAGCGTAAATTAAAGACTTTCGCGACGTGTTTGAATAAAAAACAAAATGATAAGACTGAAATACTACTTTTAATGGATTCTACTCAAAGCGTCATGCATAAACGGTGACTCATGCGCCTTAAGCCTAAACTGAGTGAAGTTAATGTTTAATATGTGTATATAATAAAAAGAACAAAAAAAAAACAAATGTTTTGTTTACAATTGGAACAGATGTTTGTCGCTAGAGCGTTGCTACCGTTAGTATTCCAGTGTCTTTCGTGAATTTAAAACATTTTCGTATACGAATCCATGAATCCGTGAATGAAGCATATGACCAGTAAAAATTGGTAATTGAAGAATAACGTAATCATGGGTCAAACCACAAGTCAGCGGCAAACAACGCATTCTTCGAGTAGCAGCAGCAATAATCACAATAACAATAACAAGGATGAATCATCAACAGCAGCAGCAACACAATTCGCGAATCGCCGCTTATCCGCACGCAAATCAAAGTCATCCAAACATACAACACTGGTGCAACAGCAGCAACAGCAGCAACAAGAACAACAAGAGTCGTTAGACAAAGATGACCTTTCGATATTACGGGACTCTTTTCTACGCAATGGCAGTATTATGCGCAAGAATACGAACGATCCACAACGACGTCCGATTACAATTAGCGAGCCAGGTGGCGGCAACATCAACGTGCAGGCTGACGTTACTGGATCTGAAGTGGTCAACAACAGCAGCACGAGTAATCTGATGAGCTTTCAACGGCCTCTCGATTGCAGTGGGAAAGTTGAGGATGTTGCTGCGGCATCAACGGCGCCAACGGAGAATCGTAATGAGTTCTATATCGTTGGCGATGGTTACCATAAGACGGACTATTGTCATTATCGTAGTCCGAATGGCAACTATCATAAATTGCCCTCGGATTCGTTTCACAAAATGTCCGAGGGCTGTTTTGTACGTATGCCCGATGGTATATTTCGGCGACTCGAGTTACCTGCAAGGGCCCAACAGATATTATCTCGTCGTGCATCCAAGCTGGATGACATTTCTGGCTCGGAAAGCAACGACAATCGGCCCAACAATGTGAAGCAACAATTGTTAAAGTTTCTCAAGAGATCAAAGAGTCATACTCCCGCCACAATTGCCAAGCTCCAAAAGGACAAGGACGATGCACGCCTCGAACGCAAACAACGACTTTCGAACGCAATGCGACAAAAGGCATTGGAATTGAAGACAACCACTGCGAAAGGTGCTAAAATGTGTACGCCCAGTAATAAAATTGTCGTCACCATGATTGAGAATGGCGGACTACCAATAGTGGCAACCAGCAAAGCTGATCGACCCAAAACCAAGGATCTCGCTGCTATTGCTGCTGCCGACAAGGCGCGTAGCTCAAGGGTATGTATGGGTGTCAAGGGAGATGTCGCGGAGTTTAGCAAAGCAGTAAAGAGTTAGAACTAAAGAATCAATAAATCGTACGAGAATTGTTATCTAGCAATGGCATAAAGTACGGTAAACTCCAGTATTATCAAAGCCCCTTTAAAATTAATATTTTAGGCTCATTTTTTAAAGTCTACATCGGCTTATGTTTATAAGAATTGCATGCTTAGTTTAAGTATGATAAGAGCTATTCGTTATTTTGTATATAAATTAAGAAAATATGTGTTCTTAAGAAACGCTTTGAGTTGCTCATGCTAAGAGATTTTAACTTATTTAAAGGATTCTATAATTCTTTCAAGAAAAATCTGTTTGAATCAAGAACTTGATTACTTGCAGTAAGATATTTGAATCTTATTTTAAGTATTAAAGTCATCATACTAATGCTGACAATATTCAGCTTGAAGCATAAACCATTCCGAATCAAAGAACTCAATAATACTCGAAATGAGTATTTTGTGTTTAATTCAAGAATTTGTTCTTTTTTTATTTTTAAATAAAGTTTTTTTGTTTTAAAATTGACAGATAATCTAAAAATTAAACCGAATATTAATTTTTGGAATTGCTTTTCAACGGAAATGTAAAAAAAAAACATTTTTTTTCAAGATTTGTTTTATGTCCTTGTAAATGGTATTATAATTTTGTGCAAAGTTTTCAATGCATTGAACGACAGGTCTCCTCCAATGCCGACAGGTTGATTCTGGTCTACAAGTGCAGTAATATGTGTCGCTTCCAAGATGTTAACATTCTTTTCCATATAGGAGCAATTTTTGTGCTGGTAAATTCATTTCATTTCGACGTTGTCTCTCCTTTCATATCACTCTCTGTTTTTAGTTTTATTTGTACTTGTCCCAAAACAGTGTCTCAAAATATACCTTCATCACAAATTCAAAGTGTGGCTGCGTTCAATCATCGGTTATGGGAATTGTGTATCAAACTGTACCTAAATTTTTTTCTGTGCCATTCTTTTGATTATTATTTCTATTTTATTTCAGATTGATATTGACTTAACCAGCCATAAACGCCAGACTTGTTCTTTAATTTATTATTCCTTTTATGTGCAGCATTCGTTTATGAATAGGGCTTTAACAAAAAGTTTTTTAAAGATTAAATTTGATAATATATACCCACAGCATATTAGATACAGTATCAAAGACAATTTTCATTTCAGCTCGTTTCCTTACTACTTAAAGTAACCTTTAATTGACAGATAGCCTTACAATTAAAACAATGTCTTATTTTTCCCGTCCTGTGCTTATTATATATGTTGATGTTTACCTCTGTTCAATGGCTAAATAATTGCAATGCTAATAGATAACAGTTTATATCGATAAACTCAAAACAGATTTCCTACAGTCTTAAGCTAGCCATACTATATTTGTATATTAGATTACTGCTTGAGCTTGATATTCGTGAAATGGAGACAGTGGGGTATACGAGAACTTATATTCTATATTCGTATTCATATAGATGGACATGGCTATCCTGATCAAGAATATGTATATTGTATGGAGCCGGAGAATGCTGCTTCTACCTCTTACATACTTTTGCACAAACCAATATGCCCATTTTTTTAATGGGTTCAGTGTATAACAAGTGAAAGCCTTGCAAGCGGGCGTAAGCGACTGCGAAATACTCTGACTGATAGAGCAGGGTGGGTTTTTGCCAATAAATACTGGTAAATACCTAGTAATCTGCCCTCCAAGTTCGGCTTTAAAATTGCGGTAGATACCCGTTCCAAGTTTAGTGATTCTGTCTTTAAAATTGTGGTAGATAAATAAGTTTTATCAAAGTACACATTCAGAAATATCACTTTTCGAGATTAAGGGCGAGTGTGAGCCGGCTATACCATTTTTGATCGATACTTAAATGTACTATTAATAAACCTTTCAAATTTGATGTCTGTAACTCCAAAACTACGGAAGATATAGCCATTGAAATTGTGGCCCACATTGCCCACAATCTATATACTCTTGTACCTTCTGTGTCAGAGAAAACATTTTAAAAAAGTATATTATAGGGATTTAAAATTAATTTCTACCTTTAACGGAGTTATTTCGAAAATTTAGAACATTTTCAAATAAAAAAGTAAAATATTTCTTATTCGATCTATGTCTCAAAAACTGTATGGCATATATTTTACAGAGTGTATTTTTTTTTCAATATATTATTGTATTTTACAATATACTGCATAACTAAAAGGTTTCACTAAAATGTTCTTTGTCGAGTTTATTTTTATATAGTTTCATTAATCAATTGTATGCTTTGGCGCTAATACTTTGCCCAAAAGCACCAAATTTCGCACACACAAAGCTTGTCTGACACTGTTTTTCTGTGTCACGTAAGTTAACAATTCATTCTCAGCGTTACGCTCAGGTGATATCAGTCTGTTCACACACACACAAACACAAAAGTACATAGTTCATATATGTTTATGTATGTGTGCGTGTGTGTGTTGTATGTGTGTATAAAAAATCAGCGCTCCAAACGGGCTCTTTGTCAAGAATAGACAGATACGGTTGAAGTGAATGCTGTTGCTTCTGCTGCTGCTGTTGTGTGTGGCTGTGGGTGTGTTTGTGTGTGTGTTTGTATGTTCCTGTATTTATGTAACAATGTGTGCGTGAATGAGCGCGGAATACACTAATACCAGTGAGAGCAACACATACAAAAAGAGGCGATATTCGCGCTTGTATGCGATTGTGTATTGAGGCCGACTTTGCTGTCTCTTTCTCTCTCTCTCGCTCTCTCTCTCTCTATGTGTGTGTGTGTGTGTCTTGTTGTGTGTTGGTACCGATACTGGAAGTACTCGTACTCCAGTTGCTGCTGTTACTGTGGCTAAAGTGGCTGTTGGCTGTTAGGCTGCTGAGCTGTCGCTGTGGCTGTGGCTGTCTGTCACTGCCTGTTGACTCTAGTTGATTGTTGGCTGACGGCGTTTCGTTTACGTCAGATTTACAAACTGCGCTTATTTAAAGAAAAAACTAAACGAAAAAAATAGTGTGTACACGCTCACACCTAAGTACACATGTCTATATATTTTTATATATATAGGCCGAGAGTGCTTCGATTGATAAGATCGGCGATAAAATTGAAATAATCGAAGAAAATATAAAAGCTAGGCAACCAAATGTTTGCTTTTGCTATAAGTGAAAATGACGAGTTAATTGTCTGAGAGAGTGCTTCATTTACTATATTCTTGTGTGATCCATTGTGTGAGTGTTTGTGTGTGAGTGTGGTGTGTGTGGTGTGGTGTGGTGTGTGTGGTGTGGTGTGTATATGTGGATGCTAAAAGCTTTTGCACTCTCTGAAAAGACTGAACTGAATTAAGCCGTTTGCGCCCGCACCAGCTAAAGTAGATTTTCAACAATGTTTAACTCTTGCGAGATACTAACTATTTACATAAAATTCAAATGAAAATTCTTAATGAATCATAAATACAATTTGGTAGAAGCGCAGCGAAACGTGACGCAGACAAACAGAACATTCAGATAGAGAGAGAGAGATAATGAGAGAGAGAGAGAGAGAGAGACAAATCGGTTGAACTTGTGCAACAGTCGTGCTTAGTGAGAGAGAGAGAGTGAGCAGCAAGCAAGAGCGTGAGCATCGTAAGCCGACGTAGTCACTAGCAAATACAAAATATATGTATGTATGTATGTATATATGCATGTGTGTAGAAAAGTACAAACTGACACGAAAACGTAAGTACATACGTATATCGCTTGCGAGATAGCAGTAACTTCTGTACAGGTGTATGTGAGTACGTGCACACAAATGTGTGTGTGTATATGCATATGTATATGTATATAGGTGAATAGGTGTGTTTTCGTTACGCGCTCTCACTCTCAATCTTACGCTCACTCTCTCCGTCTTTTACTGTTCTCTCAACCGCGATGCGTAGAAGTCTGTTTTCTTTCAGTGTCACCAAAATCAGATTAGCTTTAGTCGTCGTCTATGAAGTGGCTTTGTTGTAAATATTACGTTCGCTTTTGCACTCTCTCCTCTTGCATATGAGTACACTTTATCTACATACGTGTGTACCGCTTACTGCATACACGTATGTGTATAGGCGATGTGTGTATGTATTAAATTCGTTTTGGAGGTTTTAATGCGCAGCAACAGCAACTTGTTGAATTAAATATAAGTTTGCTCAATGGCAAAAGTAGCAGCAGACACACAGACAGACAACAGAGCAGCACTAACACACACAGTCTCTTCCACTCAATCTGCTATGCTGGGCTGCGGCGAAAGCAAGAAAAGCTTACACGACGTGTACACATTCACATACACACATACACATATACACTCACACACACACACACACACACATACACATCATCAGCCGTTTGTCATGTGCAATTGTGCGCTCGCACAGCGGAGTTAAGAAAAATTATTAAAGTGAAAATCAAAGAGAAACATAAAAAAAAATAACAGACACAGAAAACGATGGCAAACTAAATAAAAATCTTTTTCAATATTGACAATTGAATTTTCGTTTTTTTGGCAGAAAAAATGGCTTTAAAATGATTCATGAGTTTTCAAGTATTGCCAAGGCAGTAGTCAATTTCTTTTTAATTTTGATAATAAAGCTTTAGCAATCTGTATGAAATTTCTCACACTTATGTTAGATCCTGATTTCTTAAAAAAAAGTGAATTACAGGCTTGTTGTTAAGTAATGAAAAAAATAGTTCAAGCGTCTTCTGATCTACAGTTGATTGAACTTATCAATCGCATGTGTGTGTTAACATTTATTATGAAGATGTATGTGTAAATACATTAATATAATCAAAAAAAAACTTTATTGCAAATAAAAAAGAAACAAATTTCTTAACAGTGACTAAAATATTGAAACATAGATAAGGGAACAATTATTAAAAAAATCAACAAAAATATCTAACTGCTGGACACAGTGCAAAGTACAAAAAAGTGTTAGAAAAAGAATAAACAAACAAAAATAAATTGCACACAATGGAGACGACGACGCCGGATTTAAATCGTGGCGACGCTGCACGGAAAAGTGTTCGCCTCTATGCCGCACGCAAAGGACTCGCTCCAGCGCCACCAACGTCCATGCCCATGCCCATGCCGAAGCCTACGCCCAACAACAACAATAATACTGATAATAATAATAGTAAAAATAAGAACAACATTAGTGATACCGACAGCCAGCTACCCGAACAGCAACACCACAGCGGCAGCAATCGACCACAGGCTGCAAGGGAACTCGATCTCAGCGATGCTCAGAATATGGATTATGATGCACTTGTCGAGCTGCGTAGACCCGGAAATGTTACAGTGCCGCCGCCACGTGTTGCCGTCTCCGCAATCCCAGCACTCCATCTACAACAACATAGTCGCACGAAGTTTACGCCACGTGTCCAGATGTCTGCCGAAGATGATGTTGGTGTTGCCTTTGCCCTGGGTTCCATCGAGAAGCACATACTTAATGTGGAGGAGAGCTTTAAGCAACAGCAACAACTCAGTGAACAGCAACAAGAACAGTCTCAATCCTCCATGGATGTCATGCGTAAACAGAGCAAGCGCTATGGCGAAACGGAGAATCTACTACGTCCCGGGATTAGCGACATGTCCTCCGAGAATGATTTTCAATATTTGGGCGGAAGGCGTTCCCAATTGGACGATAGCAATGAGCAGATGCTCAACGAGTTTCAAAGAGGCAGCGATGGGCGCAATTCAATAGGGGCTTATTCAAAAAATTCAACAACTGCTGCTGGTGGATCCTCTGGGAGTGCCTTGAAGGCCAAACTGGCGCGGACTGCCTCCGATACGAAAAATACGGACACGGTGCTTGCAATGCGTGTGACGCTCAAGCAAAAGCAACAGCAGCAGCAAAAGGATGCCAAACCTCAAACGGGATGGCGTCCAACGACGACGTCGGCGTCTGCGGCAGGAGTAGCACCAACTCCAGCGGCTCGAAACACAACAAGCAAAGGTGCCAGTAGCAATAGCGTTGTGGATGGCGGATCCTCATCCAAACTAACGGCCACAACAATATCAGCAGCAAAGCGGCGCGAGGAGAATCTACGCCAATTTGAGGCGTTGCTCTCGCAAAAGTCATCCGCGTCGCATCGTCATGCGACGACTGCAACAAGCTCATCGGGCCCTCATCATGCTGGAGGCAGTGGCACAACAGCTGCATCCAAACGACGGTCGGAACGACCAATTGTGGCGCCCATACCGCCCTATAACTCTACCAGTCGCACGGAAACAACAGTACGTCCAACGGTCCAGCCAAAATCTTCGGCAGCAGGACATCATCGCTCCACTGCTCCTCCACCTCCAAACAATGTGGTTGTGCAAAGTACCAATGTCTATAGCAACAGTGTTGCACAGGTAAACCCAAAACCTAACGTCTAAGATAAGGTCAAATAAATGTATAAGTATTCCTGGTACTCGTACAAGGCTTAGCCTTATTTTTTGAGATATGTAATAAATTTTGGGGCGGAGATCAGGTCTATATTACTTGTGAATCTATTATTGACTTTGTAATCATTTGGCTTGTTTTTTTTTCCAGGGATCCCCAAATCTGCAGATGCGCAGCAGTGCTCCGATGCGATGGCGCGCCACTGAGGAGCATATCGGGAAATATAAGCTCATTAAGACCATCGGCAAGGGTAACTTTGCTAAAGTAAAGCTAGCAAAGCATCTGCCCACTGGCAAAGAAGTAGCAATAAAGATCATTGACAAGACCCAACTTAATGCTATGTCACTTCATAAACTCTTTAGAGAGGTAAAGTACTCATTATATAATAATAAATGTATGTGTATTAATTATTATTGTGTCCATTTATAGGTTAGGATAATGAAAAGCCTTAATCATCCCAACATAGTTAAACTATTTCAAGTAATCGAAACGGAAAAGACGTTGTATCTCATCATGGAATATGCCTCAGGTGGCGAGGTGTTTGACTATCTGGTACTACATGGGCGGATGAAGGAGAAGGAGGCTCGGGTCAAATTTCGTCAAATTGTATCGGCTGTGCAATATTGTCATCAGAAAAGGATCATACATAGGTAACACACTTAATCTACCCCTTACTCCCGTTCTTATACTCTTGAACTAAGGGATTTTCTTTTTCTTTCTTTTTGAGTCGATTATTTACAGTCTAGTTAGTCTAGTGTAGTTATTTCTAAATTGAAAATCAACACCAAAAAAAGAAAAAAACTAAAAAACAGATCTATCACTCGCAATATGGAGTTGTTGGCAATGATCTTAATAAAATATAATAAATGATATATGTATATACCCAGTATACAATATATATTTATAAACACATACAAAATACACAATATAAGTAATAGATGTCGGTAATTGTTGATCAGTTGCTAGACAGGTGCCATCTCCTAGTTGAGCTCCATGTAGTTGTAGGGTATTCTATATTGTATCTCATATAAAATATTAACTTTAATCGTTTTTCCTATTTGTAATTAGGGACTTAAAAGCTGAAAACTTATTACTGGATAGCGAGTTGAATATTAAAATAGCTGATTTTGGATTTTCGAACGAGTTTACGCCCGGCTCAAAGCTAGATACGTTCTGTGGCAGCCCGCCCTATGCAGCACCAGAGCTCTTCCAGGGGAAAAGATATGATGGACCGGAAGTTGATGTTTGGTCGCTGGGTGTTATATTATATACATTGGTGAGCGGTTCCCTGCCTTTCGATGGTTCCACTTTAAGAGAGCTGCGTGAACGCGTACTCAGAGGCAAATATAGGTATAAAGTGTGACATATATATATATATATATTTCTGATAACCAAATAATACAATATATGCAATTGATTCTCAACAGAATTCCATTCTATATGTCAACTGACTGCGAAAATTTGTTGCGCAAGTTTCTAGTACTGAATCCAGCAAAGCGTGCTAGTCTCGAAACAATTATGGGCGATAAGTGGATGAATATGGGGTTTGAGGATGATGAACTCAAACCGTATGTTGAGCCAAAACAAGATTTAGCCGATCCCAAGCGGATAGGTAAGACGGGTACTGTATACAAAATTCATTACTAATATTATTAACGAATTGTGTGTCAAAGTTTTGCCTGTTAATGTTTCTTTTTTAATTTGTTATCCTAATTCAATGTCGTCGTATTTGTTGTGTGATACTTATGTAAATCAATACCGATTTCCAGTTTATATTTTATTTGTAAACATGCTGTATGTAGTAGTGTATTGATAAATTAGAAAAGTTATATTAATTAATAGCTATTCATACATAAATACGTACATATATAATTATTTAAACAAAAAAAAAATCATCAAATTCTCATATAGCATTAATGGCGGGGTCACAATATCGGGGTATTAAAGACTCAGCAACGATCCGACGCAGTGCTATTGACTTGATGTTAATGATGGTCTTTTTAATCGGCGAATGGAAAATGCCACACCAAAATGTATGCGAGTAACGTGTATTTTTGGAATTTATTGGCCAAACAGCAATAAAATCTTTGATATTTTCTTTCTTTTTTCCTTTATGTTTCCAATTTACTCTATATGCTTCGAATATTGTCACAATTAACAGATCTACCGGGACAAGAATACGAAATAACTAAATGCAAATCAAATAAGTCCATATATGTTTTCTCTATTTAAGAAATATTCTTCGTTTCTGTGAATATTAATGTCAACCAACAATAAGCAAAGTTTAGGCACAAGAATAAATAGCACCACAAACAAAAATCTATTTTTGCCAGAGGGTTATTTTTGAAGTGAAAATTATCGAAAGCTCATTCCAAAATAGGTTTTTGTAAATCGAAATGAACTGTACAAAGGTAAATATTTAGCAGATTGTCCTTTGTTGGCAATAACAGAAGCACATCAAATAGATATGCATAGATTTAGTCATCGAGTTTACTTTTAAGGGCATCCAGATTCTATGAGTCTTCAGCTGCAGCCCTAAAGATCTTCGTTTTTCATTGATTTAGCTGCAGTTACTTGGTGTGGCTTTATAAACGTCCAAGGATTCTTGTTGGGCGATGAGATCGGGCGGATGTTGATAGCATTTCATCACTACAACCGAATAATCCTCAAACCATTTTGATTATATGAAGACTCGCAATAAAGTAATTTCAATATCTGCGTTACGCAACCAAAAAAAAAAACAAAGTAAATATTTTTATCCATGACTATGTCCATCCAATGTATCTGAGTCATCCCAAAATAAATTACAAGTCAATTGTGGACAAGTTTTGTTGTTGTTCATGCATTCAGTATAAGGGTCTTTTTAATATACAAAACTTGGAGGCAAGTCTCAGTTCTCAACAAAGAAGACATTTTGTAAGCTGAATTGTAATAGTGCTATATTTTGTTGGTTTCCGGTTTTGCGTACTTACATTCGATACGCTAATAATTATTATGTACTTATATGTATGCAAGTAATATATTTTGTTTATTTGAATATTTGAATAAAATGCATGATGTTGTACTACTCTTTTTTTAAATAAGAAAATGCTAAAACTATACAATTAGAAGGCTATAGAGCACACAATTCTGGCAGAACATAAAAAATGAAATAAACCAAAAAAAAAAGAAAAAAAAATGCTTGCCAAATATAATGTAAATGTAATGAATTTTTATGTAATTTACACTAATCAAACTAAATTATTATGATTTCAAGAATAATTAAAAGTATTTATGCAATTATTGTCTGTCATTCTTATTTTTTGACAATGCATAGAAGCTCTAGTCGCAATGGGCTACAATCTAAAAGAAATCAAAGAGTCGCTGGCTCAACACCGTTATGACGATGTGTTTGCCACATATTTATTGCTTGGCCGCAAGAGCACCGATGTAAGTGAATGTGAATCTTAATTTTCCCAGTCGATTCGATTTATATGTTAATGGTTTTGTATTATATTTTAATGGGTTCTTTATCCACTAATGTCCAGCCTGAAAGTGACGGGTCGCGTTCAGGATCCTCGCTCTCACTGCGGAACATCTCGGGCAATACAGATAGTGCCAATGCTCCTGGAAATGCGGCCGTTCAAAGTCCCACGCATCGTGGCGTACACAGAAGTATATCGGCATCGAGTACCAAACCTAGTCGTCGTGCGTCGTCCGGTGCGGAAACGTTACGTAAGTCCCATAACGGGGACTGCAATGCTGGGGACAATCGTATTTTACTAACCTGTCTGTATATATTTTACAGGTGTTGCACCAGCAACAGCAACTACTGCCGTGACGGCTGCAGCGGGTGGCGTGGGATCGGTTAACCCGAGCAATAATTATAATGCTGTTGGAGCAGCAGCTGACCGGGCATCAGTGTAAGTACCGGACAAAAACTGAATACAAAAAATTAAACCAAATGCGCACATGTCAATACCAGTTTTATTAGGATTCCTAATTAGTCCAGCTGTAAAGAGCTGAAATTTGTCCGTCTGTACATTTGTCCGTTTGTTTTTATATCAGCAAAACTTCAATCCTAATGAAAATTGGTAAATTTGTCAAGTGGATGCTCATAAAAATCCTTAATTTTGTTGTCAAGGAACCATTTTTTGGCAGATTAGCTTGGTTACCTTTATCCCTATTAGTTTAAAGACTCAATTTTTTGGAATATGGTAGCATACCCCTCACTATTATATAAGTCTACAAAAGCCCATGAGTTACCATACGCATTACTAAATTTTGTGACATTGCCCGAGGTCTGCCGCTCATTTTAGGCAACTGCAGAAAACATTTATTTATTTATTATTTAATTTTCTTTGCAGTGGTAGCAATTTTAAGCGTCAAAATACCATCGACTCGGCAACAATTAAGGAAAATACGGCGAGACTGGCCGCACAGAATCAGAGACCAGCGTCTGCCACACAGAAGATGCTAACCACAACAGATACATGTAATCCATAGCGTTCGATGAACAAAGTAGACACATTTTAACTATTTGGTCGATCTTGCAGCGTTGAACAGCCCAGCGAAGCCGCGCACAACTGCTAAATATGATCCCACTAATGGCAATCGGACAGTGAGCGGAACTAGCGGCATTATACCACGCAGATCGACTACACTGTACGAAAAGACTTCATCGACGGAGAAAACCAATGTTATTCCTGCTGAGACAAAGTACGTGAGCATTGTAATCCATAATGATGAGCAGTGTTTGATTATGCTTTCCTATTAATTGTTATGCATTTAGTTATTGTTGGTTATCACGCGTATGATTTCGCATTTGAAAGTTTTACAGGTCCACTTTAAAATACTCGCAGTACTTTTCCAAACTCAAAAAATTATGATTATATATATGTTGGTTTATCTACCAAGATACTTCTCTCTCTCTCTCTCTCTCTTTAGTAATTACTACATTTCTTCTCGGTTTGCACATATTTTATGGTTAGAAAATTGCTAGTATAGTGATAAAAAAAAGAACATCGTGAAGAGTTTAGTAACTATATCCTTTTATATATATATATATAGTTTAGAGCACAGTTGAGTTCCTATTATTTATTAGTTGCAAAAAACCAAAATTATTACCCATATATATATATTTTTTTAAATATTTTTCGAGCCTGCTGAGTTGGGCTTAGTTTTTTTGTTCTCTCAAAAATATGTATGTTTGGTTAAAAAAAAAGCTCAACATTTCAAACTCTCAAATGACAAGATATACAACATATCTACCCAACTACTACCTATTTACAATTCTACACCTTTTTGAAAAAAAAAAAAACAAAAAAAAAAAAACAATGTACATAAATATTTAAGAAATGTTTCATGCATATTTAATTGCATATTTATGCACTTAGCTTAAAGTTTCTCTGAAATATAACTACTTGAGTGTCTTCTTTTACTCCAATTCTAGTCATGAGAGATCTTTTGATTTTTCCATGGTAAAGGAGTGAAAATAAGAATAAGAAACTTGTTTTCTATCGTATTGTGTCCACTGATTAGAGAATATCGTGTAGATATATAGATTTTTGTTACTTAATTGTTGTATATATATATATATATATAGTATTAAATTATTACTACTTTAGAAAGATTGTGTTTGTTTTTGTATTTTTAATTTGTTGATATAACTCTCTTAACAAATTCGATCAATTGAATAATGTAAATTTCTTATCTTTTCATGTTTTATATACAATATTGAACATTAACTGTTTATCAACCAAAACCAAATGCCTAATTTTGATAACAACACTACTACACACATCCAAACTTTGTGTGGCGTATTAAAAAAATAACACCACCAAAACCCACTTGCGAAAAATATCTACAACAAAAAAATATACTACGTCTTATTCGGTGTTCGTTCAATTCTGTTACTCTATTATTACTTCAATTTACAAAAACTTGAATCCCGTACAAAATATAAATCAAATAAATCTAATGGTGGTGTTAAATTTGGATTCGAACCCGATCCGAAACGAACAAACTTTGGTGAGTGAAATCGCAAACTATATATTAAGATATTTGTAATTGTGTCTTATTTCCAAAAAGGGACGTGGCGATTTATACGCAATTCTACAAATCAAAAAATTGTAGAACTGAAGAAAATTAAATAGAATTTATTTGGCCATATTTGCCGCGTCCCTTTTAAAAATAACAAATAAGTATAAATTCCTTTATAATTGCTATATACACATAAAATGGCATGCGCGGTATTATCAAGACAAATAATTCTGGTATATTTGTATTTTTTTGTATGTATTTGTTTCGTTTTGTCATTTTTTAACGCTGAAATAATATTACTAAAATAAGTTGAATAATTTATTGTTTGGTTTTAGATGTGATCAAAAGATATACAGGTACAAACATCACGTACTTGTACTGTACTCTCTATTTTGCATGTCAGCCTCTAATTATTTATTGCAAATTCGCAATCCATGATTTGAAAACTGAAGTTGTGTTTTTGATACATTGATAGAAAAATACTCATAATCAGTAAAAGTTGATTGATGTTGTAACTTTGTGCAAGAGTCACTCGTCCATATATATTTCCCATCTTTCGGCATTCTATCTGTATAATCCTCTCGCATCTATACTTAATTTCTAAAAACGTAATTTTTAACAATGATCGCTTAGATCGTTTAGTTCGAGAATTAACCAAATCCAAATCGTGTAAGTTTTAATAACTAATTATTATCAAAGTGTTCGTTATATTTATTTCAATCTGCTTTTTGTTCAGGATTCGTTTTACGGTTCTTAAATAACCTGTTTATATATAATATAAAAAAAAAATACAGCAGTCTGGCCTTCTATCAGAGAGAAATCACCAACTTTCCAGAGCTTATCAATATGCATGGCCTGTTTATATATACTTATCAGAGTATCCATCCAGCTTCGCCACAGAATTAGTCACGAATTCGACTTTAGTTAACAATCTGAAAGCTTCTTGCTTTATATACAGGCTCCCCCAACACCCCAATTTCGCATTTAAATTATTTATTTCTTATAAACCTATAAATGATCATCTTTAAAAATCATTTTAGTCCACTTAATTATGTTTATGTTGTAAGACTTTGTATCTTTAAGTGCTCGTTTTATTCGAAATACTTATCATTATTTTTTTACATTCTTTTTCTTTACATTTTGTTTGTGTCGACCTCTCTCCACAACATGAAAAACTATATATATATATATCTGCCATAATCGTTTGATTACCGTTACCGTTATCGTTACTCAACTGCCACCAACACAACCACAAACAACAAACAACAACAAACACACATCACATTTAACCAAACAAATAATCTGCTTGATTCGCGCTGTCCCGTGCCCCACCGCCTCCGATCCCAACACTGCGCCAATAAATGTATGTTCAATATATATATTTTCAATCCAATCAATCTATCAATCAATCAACAAAACGACGTTAACTCTGATACAAAAAAAAACTACAACGAAAAATCGGAATTTTTTGTGTTTGCGATTGGATTGAAATCGAATTTGATGAATGAATGTAAAACAAAAATAAACACAAAACCTCCAATTTAAAATTCGCACACACATTTTGCATTAAACATCGAAACTGATAAATCTATATACTGATATATATATTTATATATATACATACTGATATACTGATATATATATATGTATATATATAATACATTCGTTCTCTGAAATAATATGCAATTCATTTGGACTTAAATATGTTTTACTTGGATGACGAACTCTGACTATGACTTCGATATGCATTCATACGTGTGTACATATATATATATATTGTACGTGTACATATATACTATATATACAATATATATATAGTCTGTTCGATCGACTTAGAATGGCATCGGCTGTTAAATCAAGCAGACACTTTCCAAGGAATGTTCCATCACGTTCAACCTTTCACTCTGGTGAGTTTTTCTGTTTGAATTATTTTTATTAGTTTTAATCAAATAACTTAATTTTACTCATAACTTTTTCTAACCAACAAAATCAATATATATATATATATACATATATATAGGAGATATATATATGTTATATATATGTATGTGGTAAGTTAATTTTCATTACCTATAATATTCATATAAAATGTGCACAGGTCTCATACCTAGAGCGAAATTAATGCTCTCAGAAAAGCGCTCGATGTACGAATTAATAATAGTACATATATGCTATATGCATACACATATCTATATATATTTATATATATATAATACAATTCTCTAGACTAAAATTAATAATCAGCAAGTAATAATGAGAATTTGTTAAGTTTTTTTTTTTATTTTTATCGCCTGGTGATTTCGGAATTTCAAAAAGGAATGAAGTGCTTCTGGTTCATCTTGCACGTACTTTCAAAAATTCTGATACTTGTATAAAGCTAAGAAGAAGGAAATTTATTTTGGAAATGAATTTGAATTGAGTAAAGTGTTTCTTTTTCTTCCTTTATTATGTATAACTAATATTTTGTTGAGTTTGTTCGTCATTTTATGCACTGTCCTTCCTGCCCCTTTATCGCGTCTAATTTTAGTAAAGTTATATATGTATATATATATGTTTATATATATATATATATATAATTTATAATTTTAAATGTTTGAAGAATGCACGATTGTCCACAAAAGGAAAGATGCGCGTTGTTATCATATCTTATCTTATCAATGTATATATATATGTATATTTTTATAATGTTGCACGTATGAGCTTTGTGCTTTTTTTTAAAGACGTTCATCAGGAACTCGTGTTTTAAATACTGAAAACTAACATACACCTAGGCTAATAGGATAATAATAATAATAAGATTGTACAACATTTTTGTATATTTTACAATAGGTATATTAGTTGCTTAAATCTATTTATACTTTTACATTTACGTTTAAAAATATGTGTTTAATTTATTTATTTGTAATAACAAAACTGAAACGATCTTGAAGCATTGTGTGTTGACCAAAATTCTATCCAATTATCCAATATAGCTGCGATATACTCAGAGTTATTGATATATTGTATTAAATGAACCTATCCAGGTCAAGTAACTTATATACATTATAAATATAAATACATGCATGCATACATAGACTTAGATCTTAGAGGAATATATAAAAAAAAAGTATATATATATATATAGGATATACATATATGAGTGTCCAAACTTATCAATGGCTTGTCGTATAGATTAAGTTAATATAATGATAATAATTCCCAAAATGAATATTTGGATATAATTCTGGTTAAACTACTTTTTTTTTTAAATTTATATCTTAGGTTATTTGAAAAGGAGACATACAATTTATTTGTATAATATCTATTAATTTATGGATTTTATTGTAATTTTCATTTAAGTTGAAACGATTGACTGTAAACGAATGAAACAAAACTTGTTTAGTTAGCTAGATGATAAGATACATCTTAGAGTAGTTATATGTATGAATTGTGTCTATATTTCTATATAACAATAAATAATTGTCCACTCTTGTAGGTCAAACCAGGGCACGAAACAACACCGCACTGGAATATTCGGGTACAAGTGGCGCCTCCGGTGATTCACCGCACCCAGGTCGCATGAGCTTTTTTTCAAAACTTTCCTCACGCTTCAGCAAACGGTAAGTTTTGAAAGATGGCAACCAACAACAAAACAACCAATTTTTATACATTTCGTTTATAATTTTTCTTCTGGTTATGAATATTACAAGAAAAGCAAATGCAGTTCAAATTCTGTTTTTTTTCTTTCATTTTTTGGAAATTTAATTTATTTTTGTTCTTCATTTGTTTTTTGTTTTTTTTTTCTATCATTGTTTTCATTTTGTTTTTGATTTTTGTTTCAATTTTCTGTTTCATATATTTCATTCTTGCATATTTACACACACGCACATTACACACACTATCTGCATCCGTATGTGTCTATGTCCTGTACCAAAATCCGTTCTAAAGCGCGAATACATGCAGAATGGGCCACTGCCTCACACTCATCGGAATCAAGTTGATAAACGTCGAAAGTGTGCATTGCATTTTTAAATACTATTAACTACTGATTTTTCGATTGTCAAGTAAATTATTGTTTTTATTTTGAATACAATTATTTCATCAAGAATTTTTGATTGACTTTTGATCGCAACGCACAAATATCAAAATATGTTTACACATAATATTCTAACGATTAATTAACGGGAAGATCTATAAATTTGAGTAGCTAGCTCACCATAAGAGATGGGAATATTTTCTTTTTTCCATAACTGTCTACCCTAAAATCTGATTATTTTTTTTTGCAATATATTAACAGTCTTTCAGTATAATAATTAGTTAGAAAACTCATACAGAAACTAAATTGCTTTTGACTTATTGTCACCCACTAATAATTACAAAGATATGTACGAAAATCTAAGAAGAAATGTTCTTGAGAAACCTAGAGAGAGTTGTTAGATAAAATAATGATCTGTAACGGTTTGGTTTCGAATTTCCTACTGCACGGCACGCTTTTCACCATTTTAATATCACAAGTCTTATTAATATTATTGCCAAGTTGCGTTAACTGCCAATCGGCAAGTTTTATTTCATTTAAGAAAAGCAGTTTTAAGGTTTGTAGATTTTGCATGCTTTAAAAAAAAATTTCAGTAAATATTGCCTTTCTTGGCAATTGTTGCAAACAAGACAAATTACGAAAATACATTTTTAAGTATTATGTTCCAAGAGCCACGAAAAGATATTTCATCCATATTTGGTCGCATGAAAGATGTTCTTTTTTTTTTGTTTGCGATATGAACAATCATACATATATAATAATTTTAATGCATTTATTAAAATATTTGTTAATTGTTAATTTTCACTAATTTAATTACGTACACTTTGTTATATTTCTTTGTAACTTTTTTTTATTTTAATTCATTTAACTAACCGTATTAAAAAAAATATGTAAATATCATAAGCAAATATTACTTACATATTCAGATATGTACGCAGTGCAAATTGGTTTGAAAAATCGATTTCGAATATTTTTAACAAACATACTTAAATAAGTATAATAATTATATAAAATACGGCAAACAAATTTGTTTGATGAGAGTCTGTTTATATTTATTTACTACACTAGACTGTTTGATTTCAACGACTTTATTAAAAGATTCGGATACAAAACAAATACAAAACTACGCATACATATACATATATAGTTTACATATTTGCAATTATGTATACATACATATACACACACATATATCTGGCGGAACTGGCTTGGATCTTATTGGCAAATTGATTAATTTGTCAGGATCTGTCAATTCCTTGTTTTAATCAAACGTTCTCTCGCGCTCTCCGTCACTCTTATGGTTTTTTTTTTTATAAAAAAAATTTGTATTGTAAATAAACAGGATATTATTCTGTATCCTTATGTGCCCAACCACCCACTTTCTATCCTATTCTTTTCATTTCTATCTTTTCTTTAACAATCTTCGTATGCATAACTATTAATGCATATACATTTCTTACCACCCACTAATAGGAATCCTTTTTTATTGTCTTGTTTCTCTCTCTCTCTCTCTCTCTCTCTTTTACTTCATTTCCTTAAAAAAAAAACATGACATTTGAAAATGTACGTAATTAGTATTAAAAAGAGAATTGTTCTTAATAAAAAAAAATTGAATATTAAATATTGCGTTTACTTTTCTTTTCCGATATCAATATGAAGAAAAAACATGATTTTTTGTATAGTTTTTTTTTACAACATTTTACTGTTTTTTTTTTTTGTGTACTTATTTGTTTACTTTCGTTTCATTTTCTCGTATTTGTTTGTTTTTACCCATTATTAATATTTTTTCCAGCCGTGAATAATTTGTTTAAAATTTTTTCTTTAATTTTAGGCCAAACCAGTAATTAACAAAACAAGCATTAACTACTTCTTGTTAATAGTTCTAAAAACTGAAACAAACGATTCCCCCATAAAAGTAAAATGCGCGTGGCGGAGAGAAAGAGAGAGAGAGAGAGAGATACAGTTATGATACAAACAAATCAAACAATCAGATCGATCCGATAAACAGATCAGATCAGATCCAATCGGAGAAAGCGTGTTTCAGTTCGTTTTGATTCCTTCCGATTCGTAACCCCCTCCAAAAGAACACAGATCGACAACGTTAAGTTCCGTTACGTTTAAAAACAGAAATTCACAAAGCGTCTATGTTTTACGATACAATTATTAACTAATTATACTTACAAATTTATATAAATTTAATAATACACATATGCTATATCTATATATATATATATTTAAAAAGTAAAAAAGAAAAAAAAAACACAAACGGAAACCAACCAATCAACCAACAATAAACTCATTGTTTTCTTTGTTTGTAAACTAATTTGAAATGGGAAAACAGTTAAAAGATCAACCAATCAACAATGAATGAAAAAGAACAACTAAATTCTATTGCTATCTATCACTGTCACAGTTTTTTCCTCTTTTTTTTCTGTTTTGTTTTGTTCTACTACTGCTACTGGTAATGCTACCTAAAATATTAATATTTACTGCGAAAAACTATTTTAGTTGTATTTATCATAATAAATATAAAATATATAAATATATACATATATATTATGTATATATATATATATATGTATACATAAAAAATTAAAAAAAAAGCAGAATAAAATAAACACCAAAAGCAGTCGAGAGTTGAAAAAAAATGATGAATTTAAATCTATTTACCAATATTTGTATGTATATGTATATGTATGAATGATGTATTTGTATTTGAACTGTTTCCAAGAATCATACTGCAATCACAATAAATAATAATAAAGAAATACTGATAAACAAATTAAAAGAAAAAAGAACACTGATTATGAAATTGAAGTCTAAGCGCAGCAAACAAAGCGTATTTAGAATTTTAAGTAACAATTGATTAGTATATTTAATCAAGGATTAAATATGTATTATGAAGAACATGTGCATGTATGTGACCATTTTATTTGTACAGATGATTATATCTATAAATCGTTATATCGGTGGCACCTTCAGTGATCCGATTATGTAGTTATGTAGATATTAAGTTTCAAAGAAATAACAAATAATTAAATGAATTGATGATTAAATTACATGATTAGAAAATAAAATAATATCTGGAAAATTTGTTAAACAAAGCAAATGTTAAACATAAAAATTCATTTTAATTTCATTCCTATCGTCTTAGACAAAAATTAGTTAATTTAATTATTTAAGGGGAATAGTTTAGCTTATGAACAGACTGTCGAAACGAAAAATAAAGCAATCAACAATTTTGAATTCAAATAAAATCTAGAATTTAGGGCAGTAAAACGAATTCCGTCTCAAATCGTGTTCCCAAATTGCAGTATTCATCTAGAGGCAAAACCATTACAAAAATAGGAGTTGCTTTTGAACATCGGTTTAACATGGACATAGATATGGCTGTGGGGAATTTGAGCTCACGTTCCATATTTTTAGTGTAGAATTCGACCATTGCCTCTCACATTTTGTTTTCACAAGTTTTAAAATAATTTATTGCAAAGGGGTTATAGCTATTTTTACTTATTGCTATCTAGAATGAGAATGGAGTCAGTCAGTCGTTTAGTGAGTCTGCTTATTGGTTAATCGGGAAAAACTATGTTATATATATTTTAGTAATAGTAAAAATGTAATATTCGCTTTAAATTTTTGTAAAATACGTACGGTTCACAGGTTTTAAAATACTTAAGTTCTAGGACTACTGCTGTTTGATTGTTCTTATAATCATCTATACGCACATATTTTTAGGACATCTGCTACGGAGGCAGAGGCAGCTAAGCCAAGAGTCTTACGTTTCACATGGTCTATGAAGACAACATCGCCGCTGATGCCCGATCAAATAATGCAAAAAATAAGAGAAGTGCTCGACCAAAATAATTGCGATTATGAACAGCGCGAGCGGTAAGTAATCAAAACGGGAAATATATTATATATTTCTACATGCATACATATACTTAATGTTATTTTATTTGTACATAGATTTGTTCTTTGGTGTGTTCATGGGGATCCCAACACAGATTCATTGGTACAGTGGGAAATCGAGGTGTGCAAATTACCACGACTCTCTTTGAATGGCGTGCGCTTTAAGCGCATTTCTGGTATGTCTAAATATTAATTTACTATTTCAGTAAATAAATTTATTGTACTTACAGGTACTAGCATTGGCTTCAAAAACATTGCGTCTCGCATTGCTTTTGATCTTCGTCTGTGACTTAACCAAACGACGAATGAGTGCTGCACCACCACAAACACCACCACCACCGACAGCGAGACGAAAACCACCTTCACCACTGCCAAAGACCATGAAATTACCATTGGCAGTAAAAAGCTGTCTGAATTATCCTTGCTGCGTCGATCTTTAACCAGTCATCAACGATCGAATCGTGTAGAGAAAGTGCGTATACGTAATAAGGGACAGCAGACGACCAAGAAGATCGGCAACGTTTTGTGCTCAGCTTTTCAAAATTACTTGCCCTTCAGCAGATCGTCGGATGAATTCCAAATAAAAGAACCTCCTCCAATCAAACGTACATTGAAGGAGAACGTCGATGAGTATATAAAAGCTAGCATTAACACAGCATCAACAGAATCTCAAGATGAAGAACCTATTATAGCTAGCGATGGTGGTGGTGAAAACGATGAAATAACTGATGGTGACCTGAAATCCAGGAGCAGCCGAAATCGTTTGAAAAGGAACATCAAGTATACCGGCAGCTTAATTGTGCGCAAATTTACATCCTTCAAAAGGGGCGAACCCAATAAAATGGAGGGCAAGAATGTTATAAATAATGACAAACCAACAACAAACACCAAACCGAAAGTAGCAATGTTACGCACCACAACTCTCTAAAAAGAATACATACATACATACATAAAATGCATTCATATATTATAATAAACTAGAAGGATCGTGGCATTTGCGAGGAGTCATAGAGTTGTATTTGGCTCCAATCATAGAATGTGACTCTTTAGCATAGAATCTCAAAAGTAACAATTAATTGTCTTACATTTATCCATTGATCTAACGCGTATTGAATATTGTCGTATAATAACATCAACAAGAGCAACCGAGCAGGCAAATTAACCAACTTAAGTACATAACCACCAAAACATGCATAAATAGTATATGGATCTAAAGACATTTAAAAAAAAATGCCAACACACACACTTTAAATGAATATCGTTAATACCTAGACAGACAGCGTAGGTGAGAGCCACACCGTTTTAATTCAATAAACATAAAATATTATGAAATCAACGCTATAATCCGCATTTTTGTACCCTATAAAAAAGAAAGAAACCATTACATACAATATAAGAGGCGTATTTAAATATCTAAAAAAAAAAAACAAAAATATATTGTTAATAAGTTTATGGATGTATATGTTTTTGCCTTTGTTCGTTTCGTTTGCGTCGAAAAATAATACAGCAATAATGAAATATATAGATCTACAATTGTTATTCATCAAAAGTAAAAACTCAAGTTTTAAACGACAATTTAAACTCGTGGGAATAAGTTAGATCTTACGTCTGCTTTTAAATCTATATCATTTATGAATAGATATTGTAGCTCATGCGTTTTGTTTTTCATTTAATGAGTTGTATTTTTCATGTAATACACCCACTTCAAGAAAAGAAGCTGCAAGCACCACAATAAATAATGTGTATATTGTATCTATATAATTATATTTATATAACCGTTTCTGAACGCTAGTTTCTTGTACATTTCCACATCTTCGTTTCTACCGGAAATCATTGAATAAATAATGCTGATACTTGAATAGTTTTATTGCACTCAGGATAGGTAATGCTACAGCCAGGAAATTATCCCTTATATTGACGGCTGAGCAAAGCTCAAAATTCATAAATCTGTTTCTCAACGAGCTTTCCCGCGGAGGAATCGCGAGGAAACCCAAAATAAGCTTCTATACTTTGAAAACAATTCACAAATTACACTCACCGAAGATGTGTAGAATTATTACAATAAATATAATCATTAGAATATGCGCATACATGCATTTTGAAATGTGTTCTCATTAATACAAAAAAACGGCAAATATCTTAAACAATTTTATTTAATTTAAACTAAAGCTCATCGTCGAGGTCAAAGTTCTCAACAGGAAAGTCCCCGACCTGCACCGATAATGGTGAGACAAAACCTCCATAGTTTGGGGGACACACAAAATAGCTTTTGCCAGCAACGCTGAAAATGAAAATAAGAAAGTAACATCTTTTTTAACTGAACACTGAAGTATTTGATACCTTCCATTATTTTTGCCCAAGGGCTCATCGTACTGTACGCCAATGAAGATACCATTTTTGCCTTCAAGTGGTCCATTGTACATAACGGTGCCACGACGTGTTGGATTCCCTGGCACGGTGACCTAAAGACGTAATCAAAATTTCCGTTTAAGGAGAAGAATTACAGATAAACACAGTAGTTATTCACCTCACACCGGCTTCCCACAGTGCAAAGCTCCGCCCGGTTTAGCAATTCTTCGGCGTGCTCGCGTCTTTTTGCTTCCATTTGCTGCATTTCCTCTTCATTGTACTTGCCTAGTCTATTTTGCTTCAAGAAATTGCGCACAGAATCGTTTCTTTGTTCGTACTGGTCCTTTGTAAGTTCAAACTTTTCCACAGATTCATTATCAAATCCAAAACTGGCAAAGGTATCAATGACATGAAGCCGCATGCCGTCGCAATCGATATAAAAGCCCAGTTTGGCATCATTGTTGTTAAATGAGGTCACCAGCGAGTCACCTTTATACAGTTCCACCTTCATGGTGCTGGCACTCCCACCAGTCAATATTTCCAATTTAGTCTGTGTGAGAGAAACATTAGTAATTTTTATTGTACATATCTTAGATGTTAATATAGGTACCTTAAGCTGCGCGATGGTCATATCTCTGGCCAATTTAATCTCAAATGCGACGACATCGTTATGTGAGTTAGATACATTAGCTGTAATATACTTCGGTTCCGAATCCACCAATTGCATTATTTCAGACATATTTAAGCTTAAGAGTCATACATTGACAATGAGAAATGCCGATACCTCTAAAGTTTGGATTACATACGAATATCGATAATTTCACCTGCGATATATCATACGAATGGTGCCATTCATTTTATATACAGTGTTGCCTTTTTGGAGATTTATCGGACAGATCTGCTTGTTTTTAAAATGTAACAGCCTGAAAAACTAGCAAAGAGAAACTGTCCATAAATCTATCATTTTATTTTTCGTATCGGTTTAAATGCTTAATTAATAGTTTAATTATCAAAAATCTACAGCTCGTCATCATCTGTATCATTTAAGTCATATCACATTCTTGTCTAGAAGGTTTATATAATATCAGGCTGTTTGTATTTATTGCAGCCACAATAGACTTCATTTACTTTTAGCTGAGATCTTCGATTCAATTTACTGCCAACTTAGTAGTGGATCGAACCACAAAGAATAGTATTGTCTGTTTCCGGATGAACTATTTTTTTTCGACAAAGAGTAGGGCATTTTACACTCTTTTTGTATTCTATATGAGATCGAATCTTGTCTATCACTGTGGAAGGTATAATAATTTCATTTTGAACTCCATATATAGAAAAAACGGTGTTAAACAGTTCGCAAAATATTTAGCGGCAGAATTTTGACGATTGGATGAGTGACCGCAAAACTAAAATCCACAATGTGAACTTACGGTTACCTGTGTGGATTCTGTTCGCCAGTGTTAAAATAATGAACTTCGATATATTTTGGCGGCGGTTTTCGGCATATCACCATATAATCGGCAAGTGCAACGAAATGGAAAGAGTAAGTTATGAATGAAAAATAATTTTAATCTTCAAGAAAAAAGTGTACTTATAAGCGCCATAAAGGCAAGAAAATTAATTCATTAAGTGTTTGCCTCTAAGAAGACCTTTCTCGTAAGCGAAATGAATTGCAAATTTCCCTCGCGTAATTTTACGATCTGTAAAGTTGGCTTCGCTAAAATTAAACAACAGATCAATAAAATGTAAAAACGGCAACACTGTTATAGCTGTTATTGTGTAATTTACTTATCGATATCAACCAAATCAACGATAGTTTGGTATTATTCGTATTTTACGGTCACGATGCGTTTGCAATTGTTGTAAAGTAAAAAGCGTAAATTAAAAGCGAGCGCTCGGTTTCTTGTGTTTTGTAAACAAATCAGTTTAAGTTATATTTTAAATGGTGCATATATGATATAATACAAGATGTGGAAAATGAAAATGAAATAATGAATTAATATAAAAGTTTAATGACCACTGAACCGCAAACTAAAAGTATGCATCATCCAAAGGAGCAAATATTAAACTGCTTGACATACGCGCTATTAGCAATTGTTTCACTTTGCGCAGTTGTCTTACTATACGACTTAACTAGTCGGTCTGGAGATCGATTCTTTTACTCCAAACGGGATTCGGTGGTACTTGATTTATCAATATCCCGTGGCCAGGAGGTGCTCTTGCACTCTGACACGGAATACCGTGGCCGTAATGCCAATTGCACATTCTGGGATTGCTTGAACATCTACAAGTGCGAACATGACAAGCTCAAAGTATACATTTATCCGCTGCAAGAGTTTCTGGACGAGAAGAGCGATAAAGTGGCAAGCACATTGTCCAGCGAGTATTTTCAAATATTGGAAACCGTGCTGAAGAGTCGCTACTACACCTCAAATCCCAATGAAGCATGCCTTTTCCTGCCCAGTTTGGATCTATTGAATCAGGACATGTTTGATAAGCATTTGGCTGGTCCGGCATTATCTTCGCTGAATTTCTGGGATCGCGGCGAGAATCATCTAATCTTTAATATGCTGCCAGGCAGCGCGCCCAACTATAACACCATATTGGACGTCAATATTGACAATGCGATTGTTTTAGGTGGCGGTTTTGATAGTTGGACATATCGGCCAGGATTCGATGTTGCTATACCTGTTTGGAGTCCATTGGTGCAGCAAATTAGCACAGCTCCCATACACAACGGACTGCATCGCAATTATTTATTAGTTGTTGCACAATTGAATATATTGCCACAGCATGCGCGCACTTTTAATGAATTGAAGGCAAATTCCGCTGAGAAAATCCTTCAATTGGGATCCTGCGGCGGGAATGAAATCGAAGCACGTTGCAGTTCGGCGCCACATCAAAAGCGTTTTGAATATCCACGCATACTAAGACGAGGCCAATTCTGTTTTGTGGGCCGCAGTCTGCGCGTTGGACAGCCCGATTTGATAGAGATAATGTCCCAGAATTGTATTCCCGTTCTGGCGATTGATAATTTTGTTCTACCCTTTGAGGATGTGATTGATTGGTCGCTGGCCGCAGTGCGCCTAAGGGAATCCGAATTGCATTCGATTATACGAAAATTAGAGTCAATTTCAAGTGTAAAAATTCTCGAGATGCAAAAGCAAGTTCAATATCTATACACCAATTACCTAAAGGACTTAAAAACCATCACAATAACGGCATTGGAGATAATTGAGAGTCGCATATTTCCATTGCTGGCGCGCAGTAGTCGACAATGGAATACGGTTAACAAGAATAGTCATTCAACATTTAATCCCATATTTCTTACTTCGCTCGTTCCAAAGTCTCAAGGATTCACAGCTGTCATATTGACATATGACCGGGTCGAGAGTCTTTTCCTCTTGATACAAAAACTTACCGTGGTCCCCTCGCTTCAAAGTATTTTGGTCATTTGGAATAATCAGAAAAAAATGCCACCGCATTGTAAGTGATCTTGTCAACCCGTTTAAAATTACAAAAAAATATATATTTATATCCATTTTTGCAGTATCCACATTCCCAACGATTGCCAAACCGTTGAAGATAATTCAAACTAGAGAGAATAAGCTGTCGAATCGGTTTTATCCATATCCCGAAATAGAAACGGAAGCTATACTAACTATAGATGATGATATTATTATGTTAACCAGCGATGAGCTTGACTTTGGGTGTGTATTTACTTTAAATTTCAATCGTATTCGTAGTCAATAATAATTTAATTTAATTTATACCTCTAGCTACGAGGTGTGGCGCGAGTTTCCGGATCATATTGTTGGATTTCCAAGTCGCATTCACGTGTGGGATAATTCCACAATGCGATGGCACTACGAATCCGAGTGGACAAATCAAATATCAATGGTGCTTACGGGCGCCGCATTTCATCATAAATACTGGAGCCATATGTATACGTATGCGATGCCGGGCGATATTAAGCATTGGGTAGATGAACACATGAATTGTGAGGATATTGCAATGAACTTCCTGGTTGCGAACCTTACAAATAATCCACCGATAAAAGTAACTCCGCGAAAGAAGTTCAAGTGCCCGGAGTGCACAAATACGGAAATGCTGTCAGCTGACTTGAATCATATGCGCGAGCGTTCGGCTTGCATTGATCGATTCTCAAAGATCTATGGACGAATGCCACTGCGTACGGTTGAGTTTAGAGCAGATCCTGTTCTCTTTAGAGACAACTTCCCCGAGAAGCTAAAGCGATACAATGATATTGGTAGCTTGTAAGCATCCACGCGTCCTTTTTATTCTTACGTACATAATGCTTATAAGATATATTTATTTGGTAGTTGAAATTACCCAAGACTTACGCTCATGTTTGCGATTACGAATATAATCCTCAGTTGAAATATATAATATTAAATATTGTAGAGAATTGCGGGTCAAACATAATTGACGGATGCCTATCGCTATTTTTGGACAATTGCAGAATAATTAGTTTTTCAGAAATACAAGGCTAACTCGGCAAGATATTTAAATTATGCGTTAAACTATATACAAGAATTATGAGATCATTCAAGACAAAATGCTTGGTCAACCAACCGGATGGCAAATCGAAGCAGTCCAGAACGATTGTCCTTTGATCAGATTATGATCCCAAATGATGATCGTGGAACATGGCTGAGATATGACCTGATCAATAAGTATATGCCTAACACAAAAATATAATTTTTATGAATACAAGCTACATTTTAAAATGGCATCTCAACAAATAATATATATATATCCAGTTTTATTTTCAAGTTGATTGAATTTTATAAAAAAAATGTGGTAAAGCGGTAGAAAAGAGATGGACTGCATTAAACTTGTAAGTGATATCGCTTATATTAATATTTAATATCAAAATGGGACAAATTCTAGGCTCCGTTAACGGTAGCCAAATACTCTTTGTAACGTGTTTCCTGTTGTTGCTGCAACTTTTGAAGTTTCTTAAGTTGTCCTTTGCTAATCTCCTTGCCGTCCTTGTCGTGTGTGGGAAGGCCCTTAAATAAAAAGAAGACGTTATATCTTATATATATATGTAGTTCATCTAGATGTCTACTTACATCTTCGCCAAATGCCGAGTACTTTTCAGTTTCACTAAGGAACATCTGCTTTGGATTGATGCGCCGCTGTGCCTCCTTAGCAGCTGCTGCCTCCGCCAATGCTTTTTTCTTGCGCTCCTTTTCGGCCGCTTTTTCTGCTTCGATCGCCTGCTTGGCCTCACGTTCACGCAATAGCGTATTCCGATCCACTAATTTGACCGCATATGTGCCATCATCCTTGTCCTCCAGACGAACTCCCAAATTGGGCAGCACATCATCGCGCAGATCGTCGCAAAGCTTAAGAATATCGAATGCTTTTAAAGCCTTCGCCTGTTCACGAACCAAGTTACGGAATTCGGCTGCGGATTGAACATAAGGCATTACAATTGACTCCAGATCGGTTGATTCACCACTATTCGAATCGGAGCTCCCGCTTAGTGGGAAGCCAATGCCACCGCGTGCGCCATTTATGGCCCCAAATATATGCAACAAATCTGTTATATATGTGGCTATCTTGCGAAGTAAGAGATTATTCAGTCGAGCTTTATTGTCGCGAATGTAAATGTTTGTTGTGGATACCAGCTCCCGGACGTAGTCGAGGGCGCTGCGAGTATCAATGTTATCTATAGGAGAGAAAAACTGATTTAGTGAGTGGATCGGTAGTGATTTAAAAAACAGTTATCTACCACAAAGAGCCGCATGAATTTGTGCTTGCGTTTCACCAAATTTGGTCTGTAAGGACGCCTCCAATGGAGTCCAGTTACTGAACTGCTTTATAGGCTCGCCCGATAACACCTGTCGCGTTAGATCCTTGACATTCAAGAAGAACTCCTGCAAATGAAACGATATAATTATTTGAAGTTCACATATTATTGTTGGTTATTGTGGTTACATTAAGAAACTTCTCAAATTGCGTAGCCATTTCCATTGTATTTTCGGAATAGTCGAGCGTATCCTTCCACGAGTGCAAGAGGAAAGCTAGGCGCAACTGTGTTGCTGAATGCTTTGTCAATGCTTCCTGTATCGTTATAAAATTTTTCAAAGACTTCGACATCTTACAGCCGGCAATCGTTAGATGGCCGGTATGCAGGAAATATTTAACCCATTCGGATTCATTAAATGCCGCCTCCGATTGTGCTAGCTCATTGTCATGATGTGGAAACTTCAAATCCACACCACCGGTGTGTATATCAAATGTCGAACCAAATATGTCCGAAGCCATGGCCGAGCACTCGATATGCCAGCCGGGACGACCACGTCCCCAGGGACTGTCCCACCAAGGCTCACCCGCCTTGCTTGTCTTCCACAGCGCGAAATCGTTGGGTGAACGCTTCTCGGAGAGGCGCTCCTCGGTGACAGACAAATCACCTTCTCCTTCTTGCAGTGACTGTGTGTCACCATAGGCTTCCGGCACCAGCTTTGCATAGTGATGCTTCTCCCGCTTATCGAAGCCATTCACATCAAAATATACAGACCCGTTTGCTTCGTAGGCGAGTTTATTGTCAATAATACGCTGTATAAACTCAACAATTTGCGGCACATATTCCGATACTCGCGTCAGTACATCGGGTGGTAAGATCTGAAATTAATGGATTGAATTAGAGAAGGAATGAAAAAAGAATGCACAGATTATATATATATGTATATGAATGTTAAGACAAGTTTTGTGGATGAGTCATACCGTTAGCAAACTGGTTTTTACCATTTGACGACATTTGTCATTTATCAATGAATTTGATCTCTAGATAACTTACATTTAGTGATTTCATATCGTTGTGGAACTTATCCTCCCAATAACGCGGCAAAGCTTCAAACACACTATTATCTTTTACTTGGGCTCCCTTCCTGCCATCCAGCCACTCGGCAATCGGATCTTTTGCCTCCGCTAAATAATTCTGTCTCATTTTAGTGATTTGGTCCTCGTCTTTACTGCTGACAGCCTTGGTAAGTGCCTCCATAGCATCGTTCATGCGTTGCAGCATCTTCTCCAGCATTACTTTCTTATCAGCATCGGTGTTTTTGTCACACTTGACTTGCAATTGAGTGAGTACTTCCTTTTGCTCATTGAGAAATTGCTCAAGAGGCAGAAGTGTCACCTCTTTGGCATACTGCTCATATAGATGATATTGTCGTGCTCGTTTTATAATCTTGTCATCGATATCCGTGATGTTCATGACGTATTGGATGTTGTAGCCAAAGTAATTTGCCAATATACGGCGCAGTATATCAAACGAAATGTAAGACCTGTGGGAAGCATCACAAGATAAGATAGTAAGTCACAGAAAAATTATACTGGCTGATGTGGCCATTATTTTGTATACCTGGCGTGTCCCATGTGTGAGGCATCGTAGACAGTGGGACCGCAGCTATACCACTTTACATTATTGCCCTCCAAAGGTACAAATGTCTCCTTTTGTCTGGTCAGACTGTTATACAGTCGTAATTGCGGACGTGTTGAGATCGGCTTTGGTGCTTGCCACGCCGGCTGTACGCGTTTGGACATGTTGGCTGGTTTCAATTGTAATTAAGAGCACTTGTAAGCTGCAACACGTTCGGCATTCAATTAAACGCAGATGGCACCTTGAGTGAATATCGAAATATCTGTGGTCCGTATCGATATGCTTAATAAATGTTTAGCACTCTTTTTATTTCATAAAAATACTAAACGCTTACGACCAGTTTTAAGAAATATCGATGTCTATCCACATCGATATTTTTTGGGAGTGTCATCGATTATGTTTATTTACTGTGGGAGAATTTTTAAGTTTAAGCACTGTGTTCAGGTCAAAAAAGAATTATAGATAAAGAACAACTTCATATAAAAACCGCGGTAAAACAGCTTGCGATTTTTTTTTTATAGAGCATAAGTTGCAAAACATTCTTTTGCAAAAAAAAAAAAATAATAAACTTTAAGGAGGAGTTTAATATTGATGCTATATTTTTTTTTGCAAGATCTGCTGATGAAGACAGATAAGGATGTTCAAGTAGGTACCTATAGCAAATGTGCAGCTACTGGTAACTGTGTGCACAGAACAGAAACAATTTTCAAAAACCAGAAAAGTTGTCGAAATGATATAATAATTGTAATAGTAATAGCAGCTTAGGTATCAAGTCCGTTACCAGTTACGAGGAACAAAAGAACAGAACAAATATGCGATTGCCATAGCAATAGAATAGCCAGAGATCATTTATTTAAATGTTGTATATTATATATAGATATATTATATTGGTTTTGTATAATGCAATTTTTTTGGACACCCTTAGAGATGGAGAATTTGAAACTTGGAACTTATACTGGTCTGTGCCCGCGTCAAAGTGTAAAAATTTGAGTGCTACGTCCACTAGGCTAGGAAATCATTAAGATCGATAATTGCATTTCGATAAAGCCACATATCTCTCAAAATTTTAAGGTTACGGTCTCCAAATTTGAATGGTAGGTTGTTGCCGATGTCTTTCAAAGATCGGCATATGCCGCCCCCATCTCCGCCATCCCAGGCCCCCTGCCATGTACACGTGCCCTGACGAATATCAAAAGAAAGATTCGAGTTAATATTAAACATTAACATATCCTGTCTACAGATATACATAAAAAAATCCATTTATATTATATTACATTTATTATTTGTCAAATAAATATAAAGCTAATGCTATAGTCAGACGAGTTACAATATCCATTACTATGTCTTCGATTTACATCCAATCATATAGACTGGAAAAAGGCCTTTTGGGAAATTTTGTTGCCGCACCTTACGCACAATTCGAAAGCCAGCTTCTTTTAAAAAACGCTCATATGCTGCCAAAGGACGAGTAACGGATGAATCCTCGTCATCTTTAATATCTGTACTTTTCGTGCTGACATTTTCCTTAATACAAAAGTATGCATTTGGTTGCAAACTTAAGCGCATGCGACGAAAAAATAACACAAGATCCGGGTCCGTGAGATGTCCTAAAACCCATTGGCTCCAGATTAAGTCATATTTGTGTGTGGGCGAGAACTCCTGTAGTCCAAGATTATATACTTCACCCAAGCTATTCGAACGAAAAGCCTCTGATGTGCATAGCTCTCGTGCCTTCTCAGCAAAAACGGCATCTTGTTCAACAAGATCAACAGTCTCAAAAAGTGGCATCAGAAGATTGCGTGAAACTCTTCCAATTCCAGCCCCGCAGTCCAGGGCCAATTTTTTGCCTGGCACCTTAAGTTCACGGAGAAATATCTTCGAGCCTTGGATATCGATTGCGTTGATGTAACCAAGGCCGCCTAGCATACCGTTTACCGTTGCTGGCACCTCGGACCAATATTTCTGTGCTTTGTTGTAGAATTCAGGCAGGACTTTTGCATTTCCAGTTCCAGTTGTTTTGGAAGATTGGTTAGGATCGTCTTCAATTGTTTCTCCCATGTCTATTTCGTGTTGAGTGTAATTCGCACAATCCTCCTTTGTCAGTACTTTTGAATCTAATATATTAGACATTTAATCGTTTATTTCTAAGCGTAAATTTTGTAGTTAAATGCCAAGTAGCTCAATTATTTCTTCGCATTACCTTACTTAGATTCTGTTGACTGCAAATTAAATGTGTGCAGGGATGCAATACTTGCTTTGAAATCGAACCAATATTCAAACTAACCGAACGGAACTAGCTCATGCAGATGGGCATTACGCAGCCATAAAACACAACAATTCTTGTGTTAATTTACACAAATGAGGATCTTAATATTGGTATTTTATTTTACATCTAATTATAATATGATTGTGTAAATTTTTTTTGCAAAATCACAATTCTCAGGAGCAATGTGAAGGTCCACATAAATATTTTAATAATATCGATATTAAGCCAATGCGATATATTATCGAGATAAACAATATGAACAAGCCTTAGTTTACTAAACTAAATACAATACAAATAAATAAAGTTATAACAATTAAATATGACGCTCGATTTGGATGCGCAAAAGAAAGATGAGAAGCTGTTGCTTGCCACCATACAACAGGAATATAAAATCCTCGCCGAATAGTATGAATTTCAAGGAGTTTGCCATTGTCAAACAATAATCATTCTTTATCAACAGTAAAATGATCGAGTCGGAAAAGCTCTCGGGTATCTATGTTATACCAAGCTATGCTAATTCATTGCGTTAGTATATGACGTGTGTAGTGTAGCAACAACAACAACAACTAATTTCCACTCATTTTATGTATATATTTCAGAATGGTTTGGTGTATTCTTTGGGCGGCATGGCTTTTATGAAAAAAGTGTTTTCCGTTTTTCCATATTGTTGTCAGATGGATTTCCCGACGACAAAAGTGTTCCAGTAAGTCCAGTACCCATATATTTATACACATCCTTATTGATTTTATTTTTAGGCCATTGTTTTTCAACACAATGTAGTTCATCCACTTGTTTGCCCCTACACTTACAGTCTGGATCTTAGCCACGCATTTCACGAATGGCGTCCTGCCGAAGATCATCTCTGGCAGGTGCTGAAGTATATGCAGGCAATATTCGCTGATCCATTAGAGAGCATTCGCAATGTTTCCACTGTTCATGAGCGAAGCAATGCAGAGATCATCAAGTTGTTAAACAATAATCGGGATGCATATGCTGCTCTCGTTCAGGAGAGCATATTGGAGAGCAAGGCTCATATTTATGACAATCCACACACAGAGGATCCACACTATATTATATTCGAAAAGTTTCAAGATGACATACACGGACCTGTTCTAGAACAAATACGCCAAAATAGAGCAACGGTTGGCTCAACTGAAAGTGGGGGCGGAGGCGGTGCTGCAACAGGCTTATCATGGGTTAAATTTAAAGAAGGAGAGTTTAAGCCACTGAGTATTGAGTAGTTATAATGCTATATATATGCACCAATTAAATAATAATATATTCTGTTAACAACTCCATTCGTTAGTGATAAATTTATATCAGCGTTAATCATGAATAATTAATGCCGAACTTTAGACAATCCTTTACCCAATCGTGTTCCAGTTTGACCGCAGTATCACGCCAATTAAAATGTGTTGGCGTTTCGCCACCTTCTCTAAATATAAAGTTTTGGCTAAGCTCAATGGCCAACTTGGAACGGATTAGTCCAATGCCACCTACTTTTGACCAAGCTGGATGATAAACTCTGCCACTTTCTGGATGCATATAAATTTTGTGTGGTTGGAAAGCCACCGTTAATGCTGGCCCTCCATGTGCATAGCTCAAGAGATCCTCAGAGTCATTGGTCTTCATCAGTTGCTCCGTAAAAACAATGGGTGTGTCATCACAACGTATATAGTTCCTTTCTCGACCACAAAGCGAGATGAATGGAAACATGGGATAACTTTGTGTTTCATTTAATCGCAAACGACTAAAGAAGAATTTCAGGAAGTGCTTCTCCTTAAAGCATGATGTAAAATTTTTCATTTTGGCATCGTCCAAAAATAACTGAAAAATATTAGTTGAAAGATAAATACGGATATGAATTAATTGACTATACGTTATTAAATAAATACACACCATTCCTTCATGATCGATGTAGTAGAAATATTCACGTATCCTTGGTGCGGGCGATTGTCCTTGTGTATAGAGAGTGACACTGCGTTGTGGTATCCTTTTAAATTGCCATACATTTGAATTCAATAAACATTTTGTTTGGAGTGCAGCCATTTGAACAAAACCTTAACCCAGGATAAAATACAATCAGCGGGCTTCTGGGCATTTGTAATTTATATAACTTAGGCTAAATATGCATGAGCATCTATTTAATTTTACAACTTAAAAACGTATGCACAGTCAATGAATTCATCTAACAATTTTCAAATATTATTTGTTTCATATCGTCTATTTTTTCTTATTTCCACCAGCACCGCCGCCCGTCTTCTGCATGCGACCCACTTGCATATTCTTCAGCTTTTCATTCAATTTCTTTTTTGCATTCTTTAGCTCCTCCTCGTGCCGCACAGTCTTTAAGGGCTTTGGGTTCAGAAACTCTTTGCGCGCCTCTCGCTTTTTTTCCTCACCGCATCCATGGACCTCTGGCAGACCGTGCTTGAAGCAGAATCGCTTCTTGCAGTGCTCGCAGTCTTGACCCATTAGACTGGTTTTGGTTTTGCAGCGTGCAAAGTCGCACAGATTGTCCACGGTTTTGACGGCAGTCAGAACCTCATCCAATTTGAGATCGACTATCTGACTGGGTATTGGATCCAAGAGCTCCAATGTGTTATTTGTGCCATAATCGGGCTGTCTACCCGGTTTGGCTGCTGGGAATAGTGTCTTATCTACTTTGGTTGACGTTTGCGGATTATCCACTGGCTTTGATTTGTCTGTGTTACATACTTATACTTGATGAAATGCTTTTGAAATGATTTTGATTGTGTATTTACCTGCCATGGCGAATTTAAGAGCCACAAGCAATTTACTTTGTAGACTGACGTTTTCCAACACTGGCATGCAAATTTGGTATTTGTTAAATTACTATCGCATTCTCATATTACGGTATATTTGAAAAATAAAAATACCTACAAATAATCATCGTCAAATAATTGCCATTGACTTTGTAAGATTTAAAAAGCTTAGAAAAATCAAACTAAAAAATGAACATTTTCTAAACCACAACCTCCCCCACAAAAAATATTATATTTTTCTGAATGTGAATATAAGTTTGTGTTTATTAACAACAATTACAATTTGCTTTAAATGCAAGATATATCTCTTTCAAATACACTTTTCATATTGTCTATAAAATGCAAATATTAATATTGCTTAACTGCATAGGGGTATTAATGCGTGGAGCATTTGGTGTATATAGTTGCTACTGATGTTAATTTCTGTGCAATAACTCTTGTTAGCCATTAAAAAGCTTATAATTTATTATCAACTGCTGGAGTGGATGTCACAGCTGCATGAATCGCCTTCGCCACATAATCAACGTTGCTTGTATTCAGACCACACATATTTATGCGACCAGTCTTAAGCAAATATATATGGTAAGTTTTGATGAGAACGTTGACTTGATTCTGGTCAAGACCCGTATATGAGAACATACCAATCTGATTGACAATGTGATCCCAATTTCCGGGAGTTCCCAACGCAACCAGATTGTCGCGCAGCAATTTACGCATTTGTCGAATACGGCTCGACATATTTTTGATGCACTCCATCCACTCCTTACGCAATTCCGGCGTATTCAATACTTTGGACACAATGCGCACTCCATACGCTGGTGGATTTGAGTAGTTGGCACGAATGATTAGTGTCAGCTGCGAGTGAATCATATCTCTGGTGGCACTGCTCTGTTGCACCACAGTCAAGTTACCAGCACGCTCGCAGTATAATCCAAAATTTTTGGCAAATGATTGACAGACAAATAGCTCAAATCCACGGTCCACAAAATACCGAATCGCCCAGGCATCTAGATCGGGATCACCGCTAGCGAAGCCCTGGTAAGCTGAATCGAAGAGTGGGAAGAGTTTTTTACGCTCCATCAGATTGGCAATTTCCTTCCATTGCTCGTGAGTGGGATCCATGCCCGTTGGATTGTGCGCACACGCATGTAAAATAATCACAGATTCCGCCGGCGCCTGCTCCAAGTCAGCGAGCATACCCTCAAGATCCAGCTGTCGGTTATTTTGATCCCAATAGCGATACGAATGAAGATTGGTAAAGCCACTATCAACAAAAATCTTATGATGATTCTCCCATGTCGGATTGGAATAATAGACGGTGGAGCGTTTTAATTGTCGGTGTAAGAAATCAGCAGCGACACGAATTGCACCTGTTCCAGATATCGTTTGTACACCAAAAGCCTGCAGAAGACAGAAAAGAAAATGTAAATTATTTTGTTTTTGTGGTTAAGTAAAAAAAACTAACTCGTTTCTCTTTGATTGCATTGGAATCAGCTCCCAAAACCAATTCAGTTGCTGCCCTTGTGAATGTTTCAAGGCCTATAGGAGATAATTCATAGGTTAGACTTAGCTCAGAGGTTTTTGGAAAAACTCACCTGTCACCGGCAAATATTCATGATTAATTGACTCATCTTGCGCTATTCCCACTTCGGTTTTGCGCACCACAGGGAGTACCCATGGTTGACCCTCCTCCGTCCTGTAGGCTGTGCATAAGGTGGGAAACAGATTAATACTAGTTTGTCAAAGTAAATTTGGATCACAAAATTTCAATGGAAGGTGGTGAACTTGAACGCTTCAGAAAAAGTGAAATTTGTCGAGAATAAATTAGGAATTTGCCAGTAGTTTCAATGATAAAACATATGAGTTTTTATAAAAAATAATCTGGAGAAAAAATGCCACAAAACACATGTTTTATTGTGTTTTCTACAGCGTGTCCAAATTTAACCAAATATTTGATATAACTCTTATATTAATTAATGGATCTGTAGTAAAACATTCTAAACCAATTAAATGCTTATGATCGCTAATAATGTTAACAACAGGGACTATTTTCGGGTGCTTTAATTGAATGGTGTAAATGCCTATGGACATGTATGTGCAACACTTATAAATCAGCCAATAATCTCGATAAGACAAGAATTATTGATTGCTGATCGAAGTCCTCTCGGAATATTGTTGCTATGAGAATTTTCTATTTTGACAGTAGTTTCTAATTTATAATACAAATCTGAAAACAACAGGTCATACGTTAAGTCCCAATCAACTATCACACATGTGTATGTACTTAGAAAAGAATAAAAAAATAACATTTTAATCTGCTTGAAGTGTTTTTTGTTGGTAAAGACTTTTCATTTGCAAAGCTTGACTAAAAATAACTATGTATGTTTTTGGATTCATGTATGTGATATTTTCGCGTATGTGTGTTAGAAAGCATTTGTTAAAAAAAACCGGATGTTCTTCATCAATTATCATTAACGGGAGTTTATAATATAAAACTATTCCGTCTACTTAACAATTTGACATCTAAATGCCCTCTACGCTGGAGTAAATGGCATAATTATGTCGTTATTAAGAAGCTCACTTATAAAGTGAGCAGGTAAAAAGAGCAACATTTGCAAAATTTTGACTGCTTATAAGCAAACAATGTACTTGCATAATCGAGTGCAATTATTAATATGCGAATCTAATATATCAATGTACATACAAGGTCATATGAATTATTGTGACGACAATATTGCATGAATATAAATACACGCTTTTATCAGCGGCCCACACTATTACATACCACCAACGGACAAATTGACCTTTTTAGTGTTATCGTCGTCCTTAAATGCCTGCGTCAAGGCAAACACTTCAATTGCCGGTCCTTTGGGCACATTGGCAAAAATTGACGAAGACATCGCGCAGAGCAGTCGCAAGCGAATCGACTATAAAAAATAATTTTGGTGCGTCGGCAAAATTGGTGCTGCGTACTTACGCTTCTATCGATACATTTGGCAATATTTTTTTGAGAAAACATCGATATAATAGCATTAAGCTATCGTACATAATTCCAAAATCGATACACTGGCTGAAATTTATAATACGGCATCGATATTTTTAGGAAGTTGATTTGAATTGTGTACATATAAAATAAATAAAAGTTGACAAACAACTCTATAATGACTTTTAAAATGTCTTTCGGGAAAACAAAACAGGAGCCATTTTTTAAATTCAGCACATATTGTGGATAATGAAATTCTTAAATTAAAGTTACCATTATAACTAACCTGAAATACTTTTACTGCTGATCAGAAGTTCGCTAAAGGCAACCAATCAATTATTTTTAAAAGTCTGACTAATGTTTAATACTACTGAGACAGCTTTTAAATTGGCTGATTAGCTAAGAACTTTTATGATATTTAGTTTACCGTTTTATTCTTTCGCTTTCAACATCAACTCAAAATAATTACTTCCGCTGATTATCAAATATTTCAAAAACTGATTGACGTATACGCTTTGCAATGAACCTCAAATAAAATCAAATTAAATAGATAAAAGATTAAGTATTAAAATTTGATGAAAATTAAAAGAGCTCCTTCATATTATGAATTCTTTATATAATCTGAAGAATAGGGGGGCTTAACTATGATACGTAAGATATATTCTAATGATTATATGGTTACGTTTTTAGGTTACTTTAATTCTTGCTTTAATTTGGTTTCGACCTTGTTCTTAAATTTTTCTTTTATTAAAATACGGGATACTTATTTTCCTGTAAAATTTAATTTTTATTCTAAAAATAAATTTTAAATATACAAAAACCTTTATAACTTTCTTAATTATAGGTAAAAGCTTAAAAAAAATATTGCAAAATAATTTGTATCTACTACATACAAAATAAACTGAATCTATATGATTGATAAAAATTATTTCTAACGATTTTACAGATACTAATCATGTACTTGTAAGACTTGAAGCTTATATGAAAAATACTGCTTCAAAAATGTGTGCAAGGCCACTAAGGCCAATGAGCCGGCCAAAAACTGGTTAATGAGTACGAAAAGCAGGCATTCTTACGTACTTTCTCAGATTTTGAAAATATAATTAATGTTAAGGTTAATGCTTTGTGTGTAGCAGTTAATTACGCTTAGAGTTGTCATCCAAATACTAAATATTAGAAAATGTACATTGAAACTAAGAAAAGATAATCCTTGGTTTTTAGAAAAGTGCAAATTTCTATTTAAGAAATATACTTTCTGAATAATGAGATAATTACCCTTGGCGCAAAACTATTGAGATTTTCTAAATTTGAGGGCCATACTTTTTCTGAGTGTAGATACAAATGTATTTATTCAACAACTATTTGCCTGAATTTGACTCATTTTTAAAAACATATAATATATGAGGTATAGAAAGAGTGCCCGTTGCTGATGGCAACAATGATTTGTTTGTGGCAAATACTCGGTGGCATATTTTGTCTTATACAAAATTTAGTCGATTAGGAAACATGTCCAAGGCAACTACCATCAAGGAAGCATTGAAGCGATGGGAGGATCGAGAGCAGCAAAATTCTCTGAATGCTAAGGACATTGATTTGCAGTTTCAGTGGCCACCAATAGAGAAAATGGATAATACTCTAGGAACGCTTGTTAACTGCGAGTAATGGCATTCTTCATATAAACTTGATTTTATATAACTATATAATTATATGTATATTTTAGAAGAATAAGTATGTCCACGAATATGATTGAGAAAATCTTTGGTCTATCCGGTATGAAATGTCTGAAGGTCCTGTCGTTATCTAGAAATTATATAAAGCAAATATCGGGATTGGTAGGTCATGCATATGATATTTTATTTATATATATAAGCTTTGAGTTGTCATTTAAATAATTAGGAAGCTGTCTCGGAAACTTTGGAGGAACTTTGGCTAAGCTACAATCTGATTGAGAAACTAAAAGGTTTGGCTGCACTCAAGTGCCTAAAAGTTCTTTACCTCAGTAACAATCTGATCAAGGATTGGTCAGAGTTTAATCGACTGGCCGAAATTGAATCCCTTGAGGATTTAGTCGTTGTTGGCAATCCCTTGTCGGAGGGCCTTGATGAGCCCACTTGGAGGAGCGAATGTATTAAGCGCCTACCCACAATAAGAAAATTAGATGGAGAGCCTGTTCTCAAGGAGGATCCGATTTTGTAAAAACTGAACAAATTCAGATAAATAAAACGATGTGCAAGGATCAGAGATAGTATAATTTGTATAGAAGTTCAATAGATTTGAAAACCCAAAACTAACATTTATTTCTTGCTTGTGATACGTTTTTTTTTAAATTTTTTCCAATTCATAAATAAATACATTTTTGAAGGTGACCTGTTAAACTTGGCCTGCGTTCAACAGTGGAAAATAATCTTTATGATTTTTTGAAAAAATGTTTCGGTCAATCATATAACACTTGAAATTTATAATCACTATAAGCAGTACATGTGCGAATCTCTTAAGCCATCAGTGGGCCAGTATGCCAACAAATAGATAAGTTATGAGTTAATTAAGTTGTGATAAGAAATAAATATAAGTATCAAAGCGACCAGTCACGGAAATTTAAAATACAAACATTATCTATTTCAAATGCAAGACTAGTGGAATGTCTCCTTTGATTAACGTCGGCACGTGCCATACAAATGGGAGACCTCCACTGATATGTAGCTACCAAAAACAATATTAATAACTATGATTAAGGCTTAAGCGACAGGTGTAATACCCTACATTAAAAAAAATAAATAGATTTTGTTATTTTTTTTATTTAAGTTATAGAAAATATCACAATGAGCAAAGAAAATGCACTTGAAAATGTCACATCGTTTAAGTTATAGATTAGTGAGGTAGGTGAGCTAAAACCCGTAAAGTCACGACTGTTCAGCCAGATATTTCTGTGTGATTGTGCGCGTGCGTCGTCTGGGAGCAGCTTATGGGCAAATTGTTGTTTAACAACCTGCCTTGTCTGGGGGCTGTATAAAAAATCGTACGACATGTTCTAGTCATCGTTGATGATATCGAATCGAAACCAGATTTTGTGCACTTGTCTAAACGCACTTTCGACGACCTTCGTATTCATTATAATCTATGTCAATTAGCAGGGCTTCTGATTGGGACTTACAGCTCTAACTTTTGGTAAGATTTTTCTATTAATTAATTATAGCCGAACGGCAAGTTCGTCAAATAATATCGCTGATAGAAAATAGCACAAACTGTCGCAAACTTCGAGCACAAACAAAATAAGTTTTTACATATGTGTATGAATATATATATATATATGCAAATATATATGCCTATGTATACCTTACAAGTTAGCTTAATTAATTCTCTGCAGAATGCTCGCGTAACTTTGTTTATAGTTTATGCACAGAATGTTATATAAGTAAAATTATTCTTAATCAATAGATGTTGTTCGCTGTCTGTTTGTCTGCCTCATATATATTGGACATTGTACATACAATATATTATATATATTTAATCTTAAAAACAGCCGAGTTAATCTGGCTTGTTTGCCGCTGTTGTCAGCCCGTCCATCTATTACGGACCTTTCAGTCCGTCTATGTACTTGTATAAATGTGTCGAATTCAGAAAATACAGGAGCTTGAGACACTAAATTTGTATTATAGATTAAATGCTGTTTTTTTCAAATTTATTATATAAGTATATGTTAGATTCTAAATGAATGAAGTTATCTGTAAAATTATAAACGTTTTTGTTGTTGTTGTTGTAGAAACAATTACTTACTGCTGTATTTATCTGACTCATATTGTAGTAATGATTTGAACACTTGGTCGCTGCCGATATGAGTTTATTTTTCTCTTGAATAGGCTTGAAGGGCTTCCAAAGACTTTTCTGTTCTTACAAATTTTAAAAATATTCCGATTTTGAGAATGATAATGAATTTTACATATGTATGGTAACAGCTGTTGCTCTCTCTCTCTCTCTCTGCCTCTCGTTGTTGATTTTGCTCCCTAACAGACTCTCTCACTTTGAACTCAACTCGTACTCTTTGCCGTCGTTTAGCTCACAACTAGAGCCATGACACGTTTTTTTTTTCTTTCTTTTTTTTTTTTGGACAAAGTGCAAGTTGTATTTGTTGGCTGGCGGACGCACATACTTCAAAATTGCTAGATTCGAGAGGCAAAGATTGGGAGAGTAAGAGTGCTCACGAGAGAGAGAGAAAAGAGACAGAGAGTGAGCAGCTGTGAACAGTCGCCGGCAATGCTGGCAAACTTTCAAGTTATTTTCAACGTCGTCCGTCAGTTGGATGTTAAGCTTTGGTGCATACGCAGTGTTCGAGCTCCCGGCCAGAGATAGTTGTGAAGTGAATTCAACGTAATCGTACCGAGGTGTTCTACCTTACCAAAACAGTACGTCAAACACACACGCAAACACACACACGCATACATATATGTATATTGGGAATAAGTGAAAATCAAGTAGAGAGAAACATACATTTGTGAACAATTTGCTAATTCTGGACAGTAATTTTGTTAATTTGCGGTTTCCAAAACCATGCTAATTTTTTGTACATTGTTGTGTGCCTAATATACATATACATATATACGTACATAATAGAGCTGTAAGTGCTTCTTTTGTAGTTTTGTGAACGTTTTGTTAAACGTGCTGCACAGTTTGCATAAAAAGTGCCTCAAGGATAACACACAAGGCGTGAGCAGCTGAAGAGAATTTTGCTTTATTCAAGGGTAAGTAAAGCACATGCATATTAAGTATGTGCTACATATTTATATAAATACTTATGCTAAAAACGCCGCTACGTAACTGAAACTTATCTATATATATATATATGTATATATATACATGCATATATACATATGTACGCATGTGTAGAAAGTTACATGCGTATTTACATAGATGTATGTATATATTTGAATTTACATACATGTATGTGTGCAGTAAATGCACATCCTACTTTCATCTTGCGTAAAAACTATCAGTTGGACATTATCAATACCGAAACGAATACTATTTTTCGGGCAAAGTTCTCTCACCCTCCTCTCTCCTCTCTCCTGATCTGTCTATCTATGATTTCTGTTTTTGGGGTCCATTTTATTATGCCCCATATTTTTGGGGCCGTCTTATGGTTTCGCTGTCTGAAACCGAAACGTGCTTGACAAAATCAAGGCATGTGCCCATACATTCATTCAAATTATATGTATATATGTATATATATATATATATATTTATACTACGAACTATATAAATTATATAAATTTCGAAGTGGTGCGTATAAAAAAATGTAGCTCGTGTTATGATTATTTTTGTAGTGTCAAAGTCACGCAGCGTACAAAAATCCAAGTTAAATTATATTTGATTTAGGTGCCTTTGATTTCTATCTATTCATAGAAGTTTTGCGCGACAATCATTGTAGAACTGTTAACATTTCCATACATGGCATGTTGTTCAAATGTCTATATTTATTTATTCATTAATGCCGAGATTTACATCACGTGTTGTTTATTGCTTTAATATGATTTCGGATATCATAGAATGGTTTCTACAGTCACATCAATGAAATTTGTCACATAATCTTAATAATTTCGAAATCTCACGCAAGTATCAATTGAACATCTAATTCATAATTTAAATTAAAAAAAATATATATAAAATTTGAAATATTAGTCTATTAACATGAATATTAAAAGATGCTCCTTTTATTAAGTGGTATTAAAGCTTGGCACACTTCCATTTGTAAGGCGTGCAGGGGAAAAGCCTGTGCTAATATTCATACACATAAATATATAAAGGGTATGTCCAAGTGTAGGTTCAATAAATATCCCAGTTGCTTTATCATATTTGCGGATAATCAACTATGTCCAGAGCAGGCGCGGCCCAGTGTCGCATTCGAAACGTCTTTGACCTTAGCAACGTGTGCTCAAGATCGTATATATATATATATGTAAGTAAACACACAGACACGCGTAGAACTATATGTATGTTGATGTCTGTGTTCGTAAGTGAGCGGCATATAAAAAGTAAGCAGCGTAATCAGTAGTAAATCACTCGACCGACTGTCGATAGACCGATGTGTGCACATTCTAAGGCACCTCGTCTTATTAAATTGCAATAATGTTATGTAGTCGTATTATTATTACATAATCGATCATTGCGGCATACATATTTGCCCACACATTTGGGGCACACAATCACTTGCACTTGCAATCACTCTTACATTTGCTTGTATATCCCCTGTAAACAAAGGGAAAGCTCTTCATCTAATTGCTGTTCTCTTTTTGCTCGTTTTTTGTTTTTTTTTCTTGGCACATAAGTCGAAAATAGGGGTGTGTTTAAGTGTGTGTATTTTTGGATGAAATCAATTAAAGTATTTCAGTTGACATGTATCTGAAAAGGCATAGCACATGTTTTAATCAAGAATTTATTGCCTTTTTGACTCTTTTTTTTTGGGAGCGCCTGCGAATTGGGAATATCCCATGCTACACAACAAGTGTTCTCAAGCATTCCAATATTTGGTTTGACTGTTAAACAAATTAATATAAGTAAGTAATTAAATAAATTATATAAATAAATGAAAGTACCAAGGAATAAACGCAGTAACAGCGAGAATTAGAGGTTAAATGTTTAAATTTGTTACTTCAAGGTTTTCTTAATTCCATTACATTGTTCAGCTACATATATGTTTTGCAAAATGTTAATAAAAATAGTTTAAATATAATTTAAAAATGAACAAATATGATAAGCATTTTTAAACCATTTAATCAATGCTGAAGATAACATTGAGCGTTGTGATAGCTATGAAATTACAACACAATATAAAACAAAGCTCTTGAAATACTTAAAATATGAGCCGGTCTAAATATTGAGAATTTGCACTTTAAGAAGAAAGACTACTACTATTTTAAACGGAACTCTAATAATATATACGTACATATTATAGCCTCTATAACACTCTCATTTCTTCCCATTCTCGGTTTTCAATATCTCGAAATCACCTTTGTCCCAAATTAGTTTTTGTCATTACTATATTTGAAACTTATTTATTAATAATATCTATTAATAGTGTGTCGAAATAAATGAGTAGACACTAATGAAGTTGATAGTTTTATGCAATATTTATTGTCTGCAAAATAAATACAAAAATCGTCAGCACCTTACCAACTTTTATAATGAAAATTTACAACTGTACTAAGCTTTTATAACATTTAAAGAGCACATGGTAAATATCTATTAAGTTTTTAGCAGTTGGATTTGGTTCAGTCAATAAAGTTGTGGATGTTAATTATATATTTTTTTTGTATTTTCCTGCGATATGCAAATGTTTGAAGAGCTTCAATTTACTTTTATTTTTTCTAAAACTAACACCTTTTAAAGCTGCATATCAATCACTCAACAGTTAGTCAGCCATTTGCCCGGATAAAGCCGTGTGTAAGAAAGGTTTTCTGAATCGCATACCTCCAATTGTAAACAGCAATAAATAAAACTCGTTAAGTGCACTCCTTTGATGCGAGTGACAACAATAATTGAGGAAACAAACATCTATTCATAAAACAGGTGTTAGCAGCTGTATTCGATGTTAATAAATAAAATGGATGTACACATGCCAGATAGGAATATAAATATAATGAGAAGATAAGCAAGTGTATTACCACTCTGGCTGGGCCATAATAAAAAAAATGAGTAACGTTGATGATAAACATAATAATAATATTGATCTTTTATTAAATAATGTTTTCTTGTTGTTCTTCACTTCGCAGAGTCGATTAAAAAGCGTCTACAATGTTCCTGCCGGAATCTCAAGCCGCATTCAGAACGCTGCGCAAAGCACTTCCCCGCGTCAGGCTTTACTTCATCAATAAAAATGCCTACTCCACTCAAGTAAGTTTGTCGAAAGGATGTCCCAGGACGACTCATGAATAACCATTTTGTTTTTTATTTACAGGTGGAGTACAAGCCGATACGATCCGTGCTGGTCGCAAATCGAGGCGAGATAGCGATACGTGTTTTTCGGGCATGCACTGAACTTGGCATCAAGTCTGTTGCGGTGTACTCGGAGCAGGACAAAATGCACATGCATCGCCAGAAAGCCGACGAGTCATATATGGTTGGCAAGGGACTTGCACCAGTAGAGGCATACCTCAACATTCCAGAGATCATTCGTGTCTGCAAGGAGAACGACATTGATGCAGTGCATCCAGGCTATGGCTTCCTCTCCGAGCGCAGCGATTTCGCCCAAGCCGTCATCGATGCTGGTCTTCGATTCATTGGTCCCACACCCAAAGTGGTGCAAAATATGGGCGACAAAGTGGCGGCCCGCATTGCCGCCATTGAGGCTGGTGTTCCCATTGTGCCGGGCACAGATGGGCCAGTCACCACCAAGGAAGATGCATTGGCCTTCTGCCAAAAGCACGGCCTGCCAGTCATCTTTAAGGCAGCATACGGTGGTGGTGGTCGTGGAATGCGTGTCGTCCGCAAAATGGAGGAAGTCGAAGAGAATTTCCAACGTGCCAGCTCCGAGGCGAAGGCAGCCTTTGGCAACGGTGCGATGTTCATTGAAAAATTCATTGAGCGACCCCGTCACATTGAAGTCCAACTATTGGGTGACAAAGCCGGAAATGTTGTCCACTTATATGAGCGCGACTGTTCGGTGCAGCGTCGCCACCAAAAGGTCGTTGAGATTGCACCCGCGCCACGCCTCCCCATCGAAATACGAGATAAGATGACTGAGGCTGCCGTGCGATTAGCCAAGCATGTGGGATATGAAAATGCCGGCACTGTCGAATTCTTGTGCGACGAATCTGGTAACTTCTACTTCATTGAAGTGAACGCTAGATTGCAGGTGGAGCATACGGTAACGGAGGAGATAACAGGCATTGATTTGGTTCAATCCCAAATACGCGTTGCCGAAGGAATGACTCTCAAGGAGTTGGGACTGACCCAAGAAAACATTCAGCCCCGTGGCTTTGCCATTCAGTGTCGCGTGACCACAGAGGATCCTGCTAACGATTTCCAGCCAAATACGGGACGCCTTGAGGTATTCCGTTCTGGAGAAGGCATGGGCATACGTCTAGACAGTGCCTCGACCTATGCAGGAGCTATAATCTCCCCGTACTATGACTCTCTCCTGGTCAAGGTGATATCTCATGCAAGCGATCTGCAAAGTTCTGCATCGAAAATGAATCGTGCACTTCGGGAATTCCGTATCCGTGGTGTGAAGACGAATATTCCTTTCCTCCTTAATGTGCTCGAAAACCAAAAGTTCCTGCATGGTGTCCTGGATACCTACTTCATCGATGAGCATCCGCAGCTCTTCAAATTCTCAACCACACAGAATCGTGCCCAGAAACTCCTCAACTACCTGGGTGAAGTCCTGGTCAATGGACCACAGACGCCACTTGCTACAACGCTTAAGCCATCTGAGGTGAATCCACATGTGCCCACGGTGCCTCTGGGTAAGTAGCCTTTTTGTTCACTGATCCCTCATCTAAGGCATGTGCTTCTCGGAATTTTGGCTAGCCTCTGGCTGTTGCTTTACCTAATTGTTTTTCAGATTTAACTCTTTTACAAACGTTACGATAGAGTGTGATCCATTTTTTTTATATATGTAAAAGCAATCTGCAAAATCTGTTATGGCTTTAACTATTTTACACTGTTTACACTGCACCTCGGCGAAGAGTTGATGAAAAGAGTTCTTGTAAAGATTAAAATATATATCTATATTTATGTACATTTATTATATATATAATAAATATATATAATAAATATTTAAGATATATTTAAATTGGTTTATATTAGAAAGCCTGCTTTGCTTTATGTGTTTTACAAGATTTATTTTGCGCTTTATAAACAAACAATAGACTTTATATTGTTCGAGTCTGTCCGCTTCTATAATAGAAATGTGAATTATTTGCATGCAGAATGGAATAAGTTTATCATTTGCATTGGAATTGAATGACTTTATCATTGAGAGGGGAAATCAAAGAATTACATATAAATGAATCCGCAGGGTTAATATAATATTCGGCATGCCGAAGCTATCAAATCTTTGTTATTTATTATATTTGCGTTCATTAACTATGTCTACTTTATGTTTTGCATTTCTTTTTATTTTGTTCTTTATAAAATGTGCTTTTCGATACCAATTTGCAAAAATAACACCATCACACACACAAACAATCAACAACAAAAATACACTTGCCTCCGCCATGTTCATAAACGATATGTTGTCATGATTTCCATACCAAAATGAAGACCTGTCCCCGGAAGCGTTAGAACGTGAAAAAAACGGCGGGGCAAAAGGTATGTTTAAGTTGCAAGTTTCTCTTATTTTCTTTCACTAGTCAACACCATCCATTTCCATGTACAAACTACATACAAATATTTCAATAAACTTCGACTCGCCCTACTCTAACATACACATATAATATTAAATAGTATATGGGATAGCGAATTAAGATTGTAAAGGGTTTGATTACGGATTTAATACGGGAATGTTAAGATCCTATTAGCATGAAATTTATATATATTAGATACTCGCTAATTACCAGTAGCTAGTGTTTTACCCTGAGCCCGTTCCTATGCAGTTTGATTCTCAGTTTATTTTATATTATCGACAACTTCCTCAATTTCCACAATATCGATCCAAATCGAATCCAGATAGCAGTAAATGCCACAATTCTAAATATATATCTTTCTAATCGGTTATTTATATAAATTGAGATAATATAGATCATCTGTAAAAGATCGGTTAAGAAACTTGAGAGAAATTCGTTACCTTCATCATAATAATAATTATGATATTAATAACAATAAAGATATTAATAATAAAACTATTAATTAAAATATAAGACAGGCAATTAAACGTAATAATAGATAAAGATTTTGAGTTCAGGGTATCCCCTATGTTATTTGTTTTTGTTTAGTTGTAAATATGATTTTCAGATTTTGGCTATACTCTAATCCATACATTGATTGGATAATAATAGGGTAATTTTATAGTTCAACATCATTTTGACGTTAATCTTTCCTGTCATTATTATTTGTATTACAAAATACTGATCGATATCGGAATTTAAATTTAAATGGTAATCTTTGTTAGATCGTGTCTCACTTTGCATTGCTAAATCGTTACTTTAAGTCAACGTCATTATCTTTAATCGAATTTAATAAAAGAAGTAATGTAAATAAATTATTTTAAGGCACCCTAATACTATCTAAAAATGTTGGATTTTGGAGTTTTACTAAAATATGACGTAACATTCATCGTTGTGGCTCAAAATGTTAACTCTATGCTTAATTGTAAATAACTGTGCTTGTCTAAGTCCCAACGTATCCCAGGTATATATGTGATCATATTTTAATATTAAGCTTTACCGGACTTTCTCACAGTCACGGAACCGCCACAAGGTCTACGCGAAATCATTGTGCGTCAGGGGCCCGAGGCTTTTGCCAAGGAGGTCCGCTCACGCAAGAATTTAATGCTGATGGACACCACTTTCCGGGATGCACATCAGTCACTGATGGCGACGCGAGTTCGCACACATGATCTGCTGAAGATTTCACCCTATGTGGCGCACAAGTTTAACAATCTATACTCTCTGGAAAACTGGGGTGGTGCCACATTTGATGTAGCCCTGCGCTTCCTGCACGAATGCCCTTGGGAACGTTTGGAGGAGATGCGCAAACGTATTCCCAATATACCATTCCAAATGTTACTGCGCGGTGCCAATGCCGTTGGCTACACCAGCTACCCGGACAACGTGGTCTACAAATTCTGTGAACTGGCGGTTAGTTTACTTGATTTTATTATAGGTGACAACTATTATTGATATTCGTTTTTGATCAGGTGCAAACTGGCATGGATATCTTCCGAGTTTTTGACTCACTCAATTACTTGCCGAACTTAATTCTCGGCATGGAGGCAGCGGGTAAGGCTGGTGGAGTTGTGGAAGCGGCTATCTCCTACACAGGCGATGTGAGTGATCCCACTCGAACCAAATACGATCTTAAGTACTATACCAACTTAGCCGATGAGCTTGTCAAGGCTGGAACCCATGTGCTCTGCATCAAGGACATGGCGGGTCTGCTGAAACCAGAGGCTGCTAGGTATGAATTTTTAATTTGTAATTGATTTTTGTGTAATTTATGGGTGTTCTCGTGCACTTCCAGACTGCTGATTACTGCCATTCGAGACAAGCATCCTGACGTCCCAATTCATGTTCACACTCACGACACGTCGGGCGCCGGAGTTGCCTCCATGCTAGCATGTGCACAGGCTGGTGCAGATGTTGTCGACGTTGCTGTAGACTCCATGTCTGGAATGACCTCTCAGCCAAGCATGGGTGCTGTAGTCGCCTCATTGCAGGGTACTCCTTTGGACACACAACTGGATTTGCTTGATATTTCCGAGTATTCAGCATACTGGGAACAGACCCGCACCCTTTACGGACCATTCGAGTGTACGACGACGATGCGATCGGGCAATGCGGATGTTTATTTGAACGAAATACCCGGTGGCCAGTACACCAATTTACAATTTCAATCGTTCTCTTTGGGCCTGGGCGACATGTTTGAGGATGTAAAGAAAGCATACCGCGAAGCCAATTTGGTACTGGGTGACATTATAAAGGTCACTCCATCGTCTAAGGTTGTTGGTGATTTGGCTCAGTTCATGGTACAGAACAGTCTGAATGGCCAACAGGTGGTGGAGAAAGCTGAGGAGCTTTCGTTCCCCCAATCGGTGATTGAGTACCTGCAAGGCTACATCGGTATTCCACATGGCGGCTTCCCAGAACCATTCCGGTCGCGTGTTCTTAAGGACACGCCACGCATTGAGGGACGACCGGGTGCTGAGATGGCCCCATTGGACTTTGACAAGCTGAAAAAGGACCTCCGCGAATCTCATGGTTACGTCAGCGATCGCGATGTCGTTTCCGCCGCTTTGTATCCGCAAGTGACAAACGAATTTCTGCATTATCGAGAGCAGTACGGCCCCGTGGATAAGCTTGACACTCGCATCTTCCTTACCGGCCCCAAGGTAGGTGAAGAGTTTGATGTCACCCTTGAGCGAGGCAAGACTCTCAGTCTTAAGGCTCTGGCAATGGCCGATGATCTCAAATCCAATGGTAAACGCGAGGTGTTCTTTGAAATGAACGGTCAACTACGCTCCGTCTACATTCCCGATAAGGAGGCAATGAAGGTAAATACTCAAGAATATCAATACCTAATTCCATCAACCTTTCAACTTACACTATTATTTTGTTTTTGTAGGAAATTCGAGTTCACCCTAAGGCTGATAAGATGGTTACCGGTGAAGTAGGTGCTCCAATGCCTGGGGATGTTATCGAAGTCCGCGTCACCATTGGCGATAAGGTCGAAAAGGGTCAGCCGCTTGTTGTCCTCTCAGCCATGAAAATGGAGATGGTCGTGCAGGCGCCTCAATCTGGCGTTGTCAAGAAAGTGGAGGTTAAGAAGGGCATGAAGTTGGACGGCGAGGACTTGATACTGATCATTGAATAAACTAAACGTCCAATTGTTTTATATCTATGTGTGGAGCGTGTTGACAATCCTGCTCGTTCTGCCTGTAAATTTCGATTGCCGTATAGCATTAAGTCCATTTTTAATTGTTTGTATTTATGCTTACATAAGTTCTTGTGTATATACGTGTGTATATGTTTATTGGGGCGGCACTACTTTTTCAACAAGTTTACAAACTTGTCAAGAGATTTGGAGAGTCACGTTCAGGAAAAAATTGTTGTTTAACATAAATGCACAATTTGTAGTTGAAAAGCCTTTGCCAAATTTTTATATCAATGTTACAATTTCATCACCAATAGAAATGTGAATTTAAAACGAATCATTCTAAATAAATGTTTTATAAAGATAACCAAACACCGAATAATTTAATATATTACAATACGAAAAGTGAGTGTAGAAATTTTGTGCTCGAAATTAAAGCTGGGTAAAAGAAGTGCATTAAAATATATGTGTAAAAGACAAAATTAGATACAATTATTTTTTCAATTGAATTTTTAATGTAGTGAGACTGTCATAGCTGCAGATCTTAATCTCTATTTCTAGAACAGCATTCACAGATGCAGATTATGCTTCGGATAGAGTATTTTGGTCTGTCGCTAGGATTGTTCATTAAATGGCAACATATATTTTAATTTTAAGTTAAACTTAATTTTTCATTTGTTAGAGACCATTTCTATCTGTTTTATATTTTAATAAATATTTTTTCAATTAATATAAAACAAGATAAATCAAGCGATCTTTGAGGGACATCGCCAGCAACTTGCCATCAATATTTTGTGTTTGTAGCGTTAAAGATCTTATCGATTTCTAAGCCACTTAGTAGTAGACGTAGTACCCCAATTTGGACACTTTTTCTGATGCTTGCATAGACCAATCAAGGAGGATACTCTCGCTGCTGTGGTCCAAACAAGCCACGGTGTCAGTGCATGACAGTCTTAACCACAAAAGGTTGTCTCTAAGGGGGTGTACTGTCTTCCCTACTCTGGAGCCTGTTAATAGATGAGCTACTTTTCCCGCCCCAAAAAAATATACTAAAGCCTATTTCTACTGCAATTTTCTCTTTCAAAGATCGGTATTTCCACACTGTTCTGTCGCACCTGTTAGCAGCTGGTGTTACTAAATGGTATCAGAATATTACGCAGTCGGTGAAGTCTGGCTGCACTGTATGTAAACTAACTACAACGGTTAATTTAAAAAAGATAAATTTTTTTGTCTTCTTTTATGACAAAAGATAAGGATCATCTTATATATTATTAAGACATGAGAAAGATATTGCGACACAGGATCAATAGGATCGGCGTCGGAAAATAAATTAAATAATCAAGTAGTTTAGGAAATAAAAATTGAAATACAGATCACACTGAAAAAGTATTTCTTGAATCACATATGTCAAGTGTCTATTATATATTATTATATATTTTGATTTTCTGTTCTACTTATTTCAATCGCGACGGTATTTAAAAATTCTTAATATAATTCATAAATTCTGAAATCTTTGAAATGCATATTATTTGAATATAAATATTATATTGAACATTGTATGATATATCTTGAACTCATGCCCATTATCAGCCAGCGTCAAAATGATATCAGCAGCTAGAATACAGCTTATGTCAAGATGTAAGATATGCTGTTATAAATGGAGGCCACCAAAGCGCTTTAATTCGGGCTGCTCAACTCTGACGCTGGAAAACGTGAGTCTGGGATTCTTTTAAGAATGTGGTCAAATCTAAATGTGTATTCAACTTGATAGACTTTTAAATGTTATGAGCTACCTAAGGGTCCGCAAATGGATGTTGAATTGTCTCGTGAGGATGCATTGAAAATGTATAGGCAAATGGTGGAGGTGCGCCGCATCGAGAACACTTGTGGCAACATGTACAAGGCGAGGCAAGTACGTGGCTTCTGTCATCTCTATAGTGGACAAGAGGCCGTCGCCGTCGGCATGTGTGCTGTGCTCCGAAAATTTGATAGCGTTATAACGGCCTATCGGTCACATGGCTGGACCTATTTGATGGGCGTCTCAGCGCAGGGATTGATCGGCGAACTGGTGGGTGTAAAGAGCGGTTGCAGTCGTGGCAAAGGTGGGTCCATGCACACCTACGGTGATAACTTTTATGGCGGCAATGGCATCGTTGGCGCCCAGGTACCCATTGGAGCTGGCATCGCTTTGGCACATCGCTATCGAGGCGATGGTGGCGTCTGTGTTACGTGTTATGGCGATGGTGCTGCGAATCAGGGGCAGGTGTTTGAGGCTTTTAATATGGCGAAGCTGTGGTGCCTGCCTTGCATCTTTGTCTGCGAGAATAATCAATATGGCATGGGCACCCACGTGGCACGTCATGCGGCCCTAACCGATTTTTATATGCGCGGTCAATATCTGCCCGGTCTCTGGGTTGATGGCAATGAGGTGTTGGCTGTTCGTAGTGCAACAGAATTCGCTGTGGACTATGCGGTGAAGCATGGCCCAATCGTACTGGAGATGTACACATACCGGTTCGAGGGGCATTCCATGTCGGATCCGGGCAAGTCATATCGCTCGCGCGAAGAGGTCAGCAAGGTGCGAGCCGACCGCGATCCTATCGATAGTTTTCGCACTCAGATCATCAAGCTGTGTCTGGCCGAAGAGGCGGAACTTAAGAAGATCGATGCTGAGGTTCGCGCTGAGGTCGCCGAAGTGGTCAAAAAGGTCCTCGCTGATCGCGAAGTGGGCTTAGACGAGCTTGCCACCGATGTTTATTCAAAGAATGTGGAGCCGAAAATACGCGGCATCTCCGGTTATACGCTCGATCACAAACGTCTCTCGGAGGTGTGCTTTGGCAAGCCCAAGCGTACACCAGCCAATGAGATGAAAAAAGTGCCCATTGGCGATGCGGTGATCATAGATGCCCAGTTAAAAGCCAAGAAGGAGCAGGAAGCCAAGAAGGCGCTGGAAGCCAAGAAGACGCTGGAAGCTCAGAAGTCGCAGAAAGCCAAGAAGGCGCAGAAAGGGGATAAGACAGCTCCTGCCGAGAAGGATGATAAGACAGCTCCTGCCGAGAAGGATGATAAGACAGCTCCTGCCGAGAAGGATGATAAGTCACCAGCATCAAAAGCCGCCCCACCAGCTGCTGCCCCACCAGATTCAGCCTCATCCGCAAAATCTCCACCTCCACCAAAAAGCGGCGATAAGACGGAAGCCTAGATAAGAATCTAAGTAAAAAAATTCAGAAACACAACAAATCTTTTTAGTTTACCCAAATGAATATAGTGTAATACTATATATTAGCTACTGCATGAACTTTTCTTTTTACAATAAAATAATAAGACGACTGACTACCTTTGCCAGTTACTCTTGCATATACGAGCATCTCTTCAATGTTTTCAAAGCATCTGCTGCTTGAGCTTTTTGTGCACACCACCTGTCATTAAGCACTCAGTTTACACCCAGATCTTATATTAGATAATTAAAATTAGTTGCTTAAAGCGAAAATATGCAATTTTCTTATAGCAAATTATTCGATGATTATATGAGAAGCCCATTAAGCTATTTTAATCTATAATTAAGTCTTACTTAATTACTATTTTTAAATTTTATATTGAAGAGTGTTAGTTAATTATTATCAATTCAAGCTATCTCTTTAACTTCAATTTAGATCAAATAATATTCAATGAGAAGCTTATGCTTTTGACTATATATATATAGATATATATATATATATCTTAATACTGAATCTCAAAGATATATTTATGTGAAAGTAGAATATAATGAAATGTGAATATGCATTTCCCTCTATGTGTTTGAATTGAGTTAACTAAATTATGCTGGGATATACATATGTATATTATGGTATGCCACAACTGTTATATGGTCATTCTTTATTTGTTTTTTATAACTTACAATCTCTGCGTGTGGTTACGCCGTACAAAACAGCTGTGTATGTAGTCTATCGTAGTCGACAGACCTGAAGACGGATTAACTTGTATTCAACTTTTGAAATAAATAAATAAAACCCAGATAACATTTTATTTTAGTATATAACAACTACATATAGTCATACTATCTTTAGTGTTTATTGTGAGTGTATTGTTTACATCGTAAACCATCCGAAAAACCGCGATAACCCGTGTTAAACCACATGAAAAACCGTAATAACCCACATGATAAACTGCTCCAAACCGTTTCACATGCAAAAGTGTTTTTCAGTTAGAACTGAATTATCAAAATAATTGAGATGGCTCTGGCCTTGAGCCGAGTTATTCCGGGCGATATAATTAAAAACCTCGATGAAGTTGACAGAGTTGTTATTGTTGAAAGAAACTTTTTTTAAACGAACGAGTTGATGATTGAAGAAGATTGAAGTCACAATCTATAATATTAGGTATGAAGCCTGTATGAAACTATCATAAGGAGGGTCACTCAAATATAGTGCACTAAAGGGAGAGAACCAAGCACACGAAGAAGGTACAAGCACGTGGCAAACGTATGTGCAAAGCACCTGCTAACAACAGTTTACATTGAAAATACTATAATTATAAAACACAGACAAGAAATACCTTCCCACTGATCATTGAACCCACCCTCAGAAATCAAATCATGTACATGCACAGCCATGCGGCAGCTGCTACCTGATCTTGTACTTGATTCTAGCACATAATCTCCTTTTTAAAAAACACCGCTGGAATAACTTATGGTATCAAAGTATTTCGCAGTCGGTTACGCCCGACTCTCTTGTTTTTGTATGTCAATTATTGCTTCTGTTTGGTTGGGAATGTGTGAAATTGACTGACAATGATATAAAAAGCACAGAAACTAGCTTTGAGCAACACATTTTTTTTTTAAATTTTCGCTCCTGATTTGTTGGGAATGTGCGATATTGACTGACAATGAAATTATCAGATTTGCAAACTTTATTTTGAGCAGTTTATATATTTGTATGTATTTCATGGTGGGGGTGCAGCGCTTCTCTTCTTTTTTGGTGTGCAATTGCTAATGCGCATGACACAGTTATTTTTAACCCCGATGTAGTCGAATTCATGCCACAGGCTCTCAACCAACATACAAAACTGGGTCAGCAGCGACGCAATAAGTTGCATGAAAGGGGGGAAAACCATTGATGCGTTTTTCCAGACGCAATAAATAGTCAGCAGCAGGATTATTTGTTACATTAAAAACTTTATTAACTTAGAATCAACCAAATTGTAGCCGGTGATGGCTATCATGTAATAATTCAAGCAAACTTTGTTTTTGAAATATTCGGCTGGTTCGGTCCAAGATACCACAATAAAGACGCAATCTTAGATTAATTAAATATTACTACGTCTAAATATTATGTACACTTTGACAAAAAAAATACATACATCGGAAGTACTACAATTGCTTTTTGGGGGCAGCTTGCGAGACAACGCATTCAACTCGCAAAACTGCAAACCTGCCTCTCTGCTCGTACTTCTTATATATATGTCATTGTTTTGGTGTAGCCTTCAAGTTTGGGTTTGGGTGCAATAGCTGCATGGGTAAGGTGTGTGTATGTGGGTGGGTAGGGTTAAAACAGCAATACTTGAATGGATATACCAGTTATATAGTATAGTTAAATAGGCATATAGCAATAAGTTGTATTGTATTTATGTGTGGTGTGGCTGTGTATGGGCTGTGCACTGCGGTCTGTGCGCTGACTGTTCTCCGGTTATTATTATTTTCTTTTAGAATTTTGAATGCATAATTTGCCTCCTGTCGTCCTGTCGTATTGCCTTTCAGCTATCTAAACTTAATTACGTCTTATTTACATGCTTAACATGTTCGCCTTTCAATTCGAGTCTACGAAATATCAAAATACACATATGTAGAAATATAAATGTCCGTATTCATTCGATCACAGCGCGCGCTCAAAAACTAAATAAAGTATTTTATATTTATTATTCTTTGTTTTTGTTTTTTTTTTTGTTGTTTTTTTTTCTTTTACGATTTTTCTTCATTTAAAAACAGAAACGAACGAACTTAACGACAACACAGGGGCATTCACTCACGCCACATTCTCAATTCACAACTTTTTATTTTAGGCAGGGAGATGGGGGATGGAGAGGGGAGGAGGATTAAAGCTCGAGGCTAGCCTATTATTGCATTTGGGAACGTGCACGTTTCGCAATCGAGTACAGCGATGTCACCATGGATGTGCCCGGTTCGCCCGAATCGCTGGACGAGCGCTGCGGCGGCAGGCGCTCGGTGAAAGTCTTCGGTATGCCAGCGGCGAGCAGGGTTTTGCGATCGTACAGATCGAGATTATCATTGTAGTAGGTGATGGCATCCCAGCACATTTCGCTTAGCTTTGGTATGGTCATCCACATTTTGTAGAGATCATTACGACGCTTCAGTGTCTCCTTGTCGTTGTACTCAATGCCGCCAAAGATGTACATGCAGCCATTATCCGAGTGCGCTGCCGAGTGGAAGTACAATGGACGCGGCAAGCTGGCCGTCTGTATGATGGACCACTGTTTAGTACGCAAATTCAGCTTCCAGATATCCGAGAAGTATGTCGAGAAGTCGCCCTAAGTGGATAACAATAATTTGTTTGATTAGAATTCAGATTCATTTAACATTTTATTTAAAATTCAAATTAAAAATGACAAATAAGTATTGTTAAGTAGTTGGCAACTCACCTGCAGGCCGCCAGTGATAAAGGCTTCAATGTCACCATTCGACGACTGATGCTGAACACAGGAGAAACATTTGCGTGGTCGCGGATATCCCTTGTCATTCTGGCTCCAGGCGCAGCTCTTCCGATCCGGCAACGTGTCAAAGTAATCCCAGCTATTTGCGTCCAGATTGTAGGCCGGTATGCGCTGCAGATCGTACACCGAATTCGAGGTGCCGCCGCCCAGCACGAAAATGTGTTTGCCATCGTAGACAACTTCGTGGCGATAGCGACCCTCCGGATCGTCGCGCATTTCTGGCCTGCAGATGTAGACATTCTCCCAAACGCTCGTCTGCAGATTCAAACGGTACACATCGCAGGAGTAATCGAAGCCCGTCGTACCTCCAATCGTGTACAGATAATGCTTGTGTATGACAATGCCCGGTCCGTACTGAGCCGTCGGCAAATCCCCAGTAACTTTCAAGCGCTCAACGCCAGCGCTGGTGTCGCTCGTGCGATAAACGTAGCAATCATTCGAGCACGACTCTCCAAACGGATAACCAGTGCCACCATGCGACTGCAAAGGCAAAAGAGAAATTATCGTTATCATTGTTCGTTTGCTCTTTGCAGCAACAATACAAATCCCTTGCTCCCCAGATACGACTGCTGCTGATGCTGCATTCAATTAAGAGCTGAGTCAAGCGACGAAAAAAACAGCGTTTTCTACAGCTTATCAGCAGCAACAGCAGCAACAGCAACAACAGCAGCAGCAACTGAACGATAAGCGGAAACATGTGTATGAGTCTATCTTCTGTGTGTTGAGTGTGTTGAGCATATTTCTGGGTTATCCACCAAAATATGGGAAAGTGGGCCTGGCAGCTCATGTTTTATGATTAACTTTCTAATTGAAACTAATTGTGCAGTTGTTGAGCTGTAACCAGCATAAGTAGATATACACTTGGACAGGGGCCCAAAGACGTAATTGTCCGTAGATAGGAAAAAAATCAACTAATCAGTCTAATTGGTCTCCAGCTCTTGATTATATTACCAGTCCAACTGGACAAAATGCGACATTATAATTTGAAATATGATTATAAGTAAATCTGATTTATGATTCTAATCAATTATGTGAAAAGTATCGTTTATCATATTCATACATTTATAATATTTTTAGATGATTACTTTTTTTTGGTCAAATATCAAATTGGGTCAGACCTTCTCTTTGGCAAGACCATGACTGTATCAAATGTGTATCTGCAAAGCAAAAATTCAATTTTGGCCACTTAAATGAGCGAGACCAGATGAATGTTGGTTGTTGTGGATGCCACATTATACGGTAAATCTAGGAAAAGCTATTGAAAGACAATCAGACGCCATAGCCACAAAGATATAATAATAAACAAAACCCAAAAAAAAAAAACGACAAAAGAAAAAGCGCGCGCTACTCTCAGCTTTGTATGGAGTCAAGGGGGAGTATATGAGGGAAAACCTGGTAAACAAGTTGTTGCATGCAGCAACTGCGTAGTTGCCAAGAGGGATGAGCTGCTACTGCTGCTGCTGCTGGGCATGCGCATAAGCGAGATAGCAACATTAGCAGCGGACAGCGGACAGCGAACTGCGCGCAGCTGTTTCGTCTATTTTTTTCTTCTTTTTTTTTGGGCCTCGAATGTTTAGAATGCATAAACAAAGCGGACGGGGAAGAGTAACGTGTATGCGTTGTGTGTTGTGTTGTTTGTTGCGTATTGCCTGTTGTCTGTCGGGCGTGGCATTGAGCCCATTGAGAATGAGCCTAACTAACACTGATCGGCGCCCAGCGACGCGATGAATGCAAATTATACATGTGTATTTGTACGCACTACAACGATAACTATTTGGATTGTGTTTATGTTCGTCGCATTTACGAAACAAGTTTATATGCGACACAAGGGGACAGGGGTGTGCGGGGGCACTGATGCCACCTCTAAAAGTTTTATTGTTGTTTTTTTTTCGTACACACAGACACACACACACGCACACACACACACTGTCGCAAGCAAACACAGAGTTGTGTCTATTTTTGTTTCCCCCTCTTTTCGAAACACAACAACATTCACAATACTTACAATCAGCACATCATTGTGAATGGCAAGCGCATTGGAAGCAAGCTCCGTGGGCATATTGCTTGCGTTGTCCGCATTCAGTTCCAATTTCCAGTGATTTGTGGCGAAATTGTAGCTCCACAGCTCCTGGAAGAGCAGACACCTGCCGCGTCGAGCGGCAGTTAACGCACTTCGCGGATTGTAGCCACCCAGCGAGTAAAGATGCGATTTGGACGCGATTATCCGATGGCCACTGCGCCCCAGTGGAAAGCCACCGATGCAGTGCTTCTCCTTAAACTGGCACTTGACCAGCCGAGCTGGCTGGAAGCTGTACATGGGTCGGACTGCGGCTGGCTCGGATGGCTCCACGGGCCCGAGGCCCACATTCGATATGGTTGTGGACATTTCGCTCTCATCGTTCGAGGTTGTCCAATCGCCATCCGAATACATTTCCTCCATTTCGGGATCCGAATCCTCCACATCACTTAGTTCGTTCTCATCGTCGTCGACGTCATCTTCGTCATCATCGATATCGATTTCATCGTCGGCATCTTCGTTCTCCATGTCACTGGCATCCATCGGTTCTGCTGCGGCAATTGCATTAAAACGTGCCACAAAATCAGCTTGCGCCTGTTCCAGCGGTTGTTGCTGCTGCTGCTGTTGTTGTTGTTGCTGCTCTTCTGGCGCCTCGTCTTGTATTTCTTGTTCCATAATGTTGTTGTTGTTATTGTTATTTGGGTGAGGGGGCTGCAGCTGCTGCCGATTGATCGCCCTTCGATAATAGTTATCGAGCAAGTTGGCGACAAATACAACGACGGTCCAGATGTGACGTAGTTTGTGTATAATTATGCACTTGAGCTTGTATAAATTGAATATGTGCATAACAATTGAAATTCACCCGCACAATTCAATAACGAACAATTTTCGAAAATATTTTTTAATATGCAGTGTGTGACACGTTTTTGGGCTTAAGATTAATGTAAATAACGAATTTTTGACTTATAAATTTTGTTACTGATTTTGGGAGCCTAAAAACAGAAATCGACCACGACGACCTACACAGCTGGCTGGGGTCTTTCTCTTTTACTCTGCTTGTTCTGCTGCTGCTGTTATTGTTGTTGTTGTTGCTGTCATGTTGACGTTTTCTCTCACTCGCGCTCACACATGTTACGTTATGTATATGTGTATATATGGCTGAATGTACTCCGTAATAGTGAATGTCGAAAAAATTTACACACTACGCACTGGCTAAAATTTTGTCAATATATTTTGTTTATAATTTTAATAAAACTCTCGATTAAAAACTTATTGGGCTTTGTTTTTATTTCACAATTGATTACGCTTAAGCACCAAGCACGCACATCATTGCAGCTGCAATTCAAATAACATAATAAAATACGACTTAATATACAAGGGTTGCGTCCTAAATTTGCCCTCAACTAATACCAAAATTCCCCTGAAATACTAAGTGCTGCCAACTTGGTAAACGTTGAAATTATATGTTAACATATGTTACAAATTATATGCAGAAACTGATTTATATAATACTGACTATGTTGCTTTTATTTTAATAAACTTGTGCCCTTTTCATTCATTTGTATTTTTAGCAATGAACCGCACACTTTAATTAATCGAACTGATTCCAAAAACTGGTTCAATAGTTCATTGCGAATAACAGTCCCTTAGAAATGAACTACAATGAACTAAACTAAAATATAATTCAAACGTAGCTGAGGACAGAGAATTTAGCAGAAAAGCTGTGCAACAAAAGTTGTCTTTTCACTATTTTATTTTAATTTTTAGTTGATGTGATCTGTTCTTGCAGTCGATAGTTGATAGCACTGACTAGTTCAAAAATGTTAAATTCAAATTCGCTTCGAATCGGTTCACGATAACAAATGTTATTGAAACTTAATATGTGCCAGAGTGTGTGTACACTGTTACAGTGACGCTTATGCAGTGTGGCTATAAAGTGTGCACTGTGGAAGCGAGGTTCTTCAGTTTTGCTTTTAATTAAAAACGTGCAAGATGGTGCTCGATCGTAAAACTAATAAACTCTGATCTATATAAACTCGGATGTGGTATATAACGATTCCTCTGTTTTTGTTGACCCCGCGGTCGTAGGGTGTTCCATTCAAGTCCAATTCTGTAGTTACCAACCGTTAGCAAATCGGCAATTAAATGTTATTTAATAATGTGCACCAGCGCGCGCTATTTACTCATTAAGAATGTCCATCAAATATAGCGCAAGATTCATCAAGGATTTATAGCTGTCAGCTGTAAACAACACCCTAAACACACTGAAATTCTTGGATATACACATAATACAATAATTTGTGTAAACATCGCAACGGTTTCTCGTATGTACCTTTTAATCAATTCCGACGATTTTGCACTGCTCACAAATTGTCCGTCAGAACCATAACCTAAAAACGGCACGTGCACTTCGTCGCTTGGAATACCCAAAGAGCACGATAGTAACGGAGAGAGCCAGAGAGAGAGTGGGGAATTTAAGGCGCAAGGATTCACATTTGACGACATACCGATAAAAAAAAAACAGCTGTTGCTGTTGCGCCACAGACCATAAGCCATGGCAACCACAGCACCTGCCCTGGTCCCGACCAGCAACGGGCAACAGTCGGTGCTGAGCATCGAGACGACGCTGCAGCCGAGCAACAACTCGAACTTGAGCTCGGTTTCGAATTCAAATTCAATTTCAAAGGAGGCGGCTGCTGCTGTTGTCGACAACAACAAGTCAACATCGCCAAAGCCAAATGCCACCATGGCCACCAGCCTGAAGCTAAACAAAATGGGCTCCGTGTCCACCAAGGAGAAGCGTGTCTACAAAATTGTCCTCACTGGCGGTAAGTTGAAATCACTACACCGACAAACAGGCAGACACAACAGGCAGACAGACAGACAGGCGAAACTTTCTTCTGTATCTGTTTTGTTTACGATGTGTGTATTGCTCTCCAAAGCATGTCAAGGTCGTCAGGACCCTGAAAAGGCGCACGTTTCCCACGTTTTTTTTTTTGGGGTAGTTTCTCTTTTTTAGCCTGCGCAGCTAGCACTCAAAATGCATACATTTTCAATTAGCGGTCTCGCTGCTTGATATGCTAACGAATCACTTATCAAATCGAACAATCAACCAACTAATTTAACTTCTGTTTCGTTCAACCGGTGTTTTTACATTTTACACATACAACACACACAACACACTCATTTATAAATCGCGTTGCAAAAAAAAACCTGTGATCGAAAAAGGCCCGGCACAAACAACAGCAATCAAATAACATAAATATTGGGCGCGTGGTCTAATCAATTAAATTGGCTCAACTGACTGTGATTTCACAGACACAAACAAACTCACATTTATTGACACATCTAAACTATACAAAAATACTTGCATGTATGTGCCTGTGTCCTTGTCTGTTATCATTTCCTCTTGTCTAATCACATGCCGAACGTATAATTCAAGTTGATAAGCAAAAAAACTCCCATTTCATTAATAAAGGCAGTTTTTGCGTGGTGCCAAAAGAGCAATAACATGTATATATGTTTATGTATGTATATATGTGATAAATATATATGTGTACTATATGTATGTATATATGTTTATGTATGTATATATGTAATAAATATATATGTGTACTATATGTGTGCACAGCTGACTTCCATTTGCTAAAGCAAAGTAATGGTCTTAAGTGGAAGATTAGACAAAAGGCAACTAAGTCATTGCGATGCATTATAAAAAATTATATAATATAGTATTTCATTTATTATGACTCAAAATTTAAATAAGCTTAGAGATAAAAATAACATTCAAATGAAATGCGAAGCTTTGGTTGATATAAATGCGAACGATTGCAATAAAATAAAATATGTTGGACAGCAAAATTTCTCGAATTTAAAGACTACTCAGATTTACTTTTCACATTATTAAGCTTAAATAAGCTGATTGAATGCACTTGAAACTAGTTTATGTTTCCTTAAAACTATGTAGATAACTTGGAAATAAAAAAGTCTATAGTTTCCAATAGATCAAATCAATTTAGTCCGATTCATTTCCTCATCGCTGCACAAGCGACAGTTGCCGTTGCAGTTGCAGTTGAATGTGTCCTCGAGCTTATATTGTGTTCAGGGTTAGGCGTTAATAATTATCAATGTTGTCATTCATTTGATATTATTTGCGCTGTCAACTGATTGGACTTTTGGTATTTTACAGGTCCCTGCGGTGGCAAGACAACTGGCCAGAGTCGCCTGTGCACCTTCTTCGAGAATCTTGGCTGGAAGGTGAGTCTCACAATTCTGCACACATTTATATGTTTTAATTTGGGCTCTGTTGAGTGGGCTTGGGATACTTCGCTGAGACAGAGCAACATTTGTTGCCTCTTGCAAACTTGCAACGGCAGCATATTGTGCTGTTTATGTTGTTCTTATGTTGCGTACCTGTGGCAGTTGTAAGTACTGCCAAATGGTATGCTAGTTCCATGTGTATTGTTGTCATGCTGTTTTGCTGCTACGTGGCAGTATGGTTAGCTCATACTCGACCCATATCAAATGAAATGATATGATAATGCCGTAGCGATGAAAAGGAAAAACAAAAAAAAAACAAATTAAAAAAAAAAATCAATTTCCCCCACAAACAACTCGAATCTCGAAACAAAGCAATGAGCATGTTCAATATTTTCAGGTGTTCCGCGTGCCTGAAACGGCCACTGTACTACTCAGGTAAATGCCTTAAACACATCAAAAATCAACACAAACGAACCAAAAAATAAATAAAAGTAACGATAATCATATTTAAGAACGCGGCAAGCTAAAGTCAGATGCCCAGACAGACAGGCAGGCAGACAGGCACATGCAGCTCTGTGGTATGCCTCTGAGGCAGGTGCCTCTTAACTGCTGTGCTGGCTGCCTGGCTCTCGTCTGTCTGTCTGTCTGTGCTGTCCAAATGGCTTTGGTTCGCTACGTTTGCTGCAAACAATGTTTTGTGCCTATTGTTTGTGCGGCATTTTGAAGATAATGATTTGAGTTTGATTGTGTTCTTATACAATTTGCCATGCATAAAATATATACATACTTATGCACAAATCTGTGCAAAATACTTATTTATACTTGCATATATGTCAACTCACTCTCGATAATAAATAAATTCTCTTTAAAATCTTGATTTTATTTTATTTATTTACTTTTTAAAATATATTCAAGCAAATAATTTAAATGTAGCTTATGCGTAGTGCCTTTTAATAATAATAATAAAAAAATGAATTAAACATTTTCCTAATTTATGATTTCCATATCTTTTTTATCTCTCCCCTTTTCAATATATTTAGCGGTGGAGTCAAGTTCTCTGATCTGACCGAGAAAGAGGGTAAGTTTTGAAATGCCAAACTACTTGTAGAAGAAACGAGAAAGTCAGAGAGAAGAGTGAGAGAGAGAAAGGAGAAAGGAGAAAGCGAGAGTTTACTTTTGCAAGCATTTTCCCCATAATAAAACCCATAACATTAAACTAATCATTGAACTTAGATGCTATTCTGTAGATACATACATTATAGCCAAGATAATACTGTTTCCTGTGCTTGTTTCATAATAAGATCCGCTGATCTTACCAATTTCTAGTATATTGTTTTTTGTTTTTTTGAGGATGGGGCATTTCAATGTTCGTTCTGCACACTGTCAAGTTCGTCGCAGCATTTTCTCGAAACGAAAATACTTCAAAAATATTTACTTTTTGTCGGCCATATATAATATATATTAGATGTGTACAAATATATGTATGTAGCTAGCGCTATATATTTAGCTGCGATCATGTGTACAGCCTCCCACAAAAATAATAGCTACAGCGCGACTATCTCAGCTGCCAGATACTATAGTCCACAGTCTATAGATACGCGCATACTATAGATACTTTTTGTTGTTTAGATGTGTACTAAATGCTTTTGTCGGTCGGTCCTCCTTCAATAAAAGTTCATTTTTATGTAACTCGCTTGCGCATTTCTACACACAGATATATTTATCTATATATATATATACATATATATTTGTATTTATATATAAAGAAAGAAGGCAATGAATAATATGAGTGAATCCTTAGGCGAGCCGACTTAAGAATTGCGTGACTAGCTGCCATTAGTTTGACAATTTTCAAAACTAATTTGTCAATTGCGTTCTTTAGCCGTAATCGGCCTTTTCTACGCTCCTCTCTTTCCAAAGAAGGAGAATATATATATATATTTGTATATATATATATATAATATTTGCAATCACTCAATTGCATGACTTGCCATACACTTTGGGTAACAAAATATAAGTATGAATAATCTGTGAGGTGGTCACGAGCATGAACTCAGTTTGCACCTAGATATTCGTTGAACTGCTGATGACAACATTATAACGAAGATGCTTCGTTTATATTGTGAGGGATTTGAGTTGAGTGTCTAGATTGCGTTAGGTTGTTTATTTATTATTGATATTGCGACGTTGATAACACACACACAGACCCACCCACGCCAACCACCTTCGTTTACAAAGAACTACCATTTGCCGCACCGGAGCACAGTATCATCGATCTGACCGCATCCTGTCCACGTTGCCTGGCCAAGGCTGCCTCCAAGCCGAATGGCAGCGAAGGTGAGTGTTTGTGCCCAAGTGCAGACAACGAACCAAAACAAAAAAAAACAAAAGTAAAACACATCCAATCAGAATAAAAAACCTCATTCGTCGATCGCTCTCAAAAAGACTTGAATGTTGTGATTGTAACAACGTTTACCTCTGTGTGTGTGTGTGTGTGTGTGTTTGAGAGCTGCTTTATCTTGGCAACAGTATTATCTTAAACAGATCGTTGTCTTTATCCTTCACCTCACTTGTTACGTGTGATATCTTTTTGTTTGCTCTGTCAACAGTCTGCGCCGTTGATGAGTTGACATTTTTCGTGTTATGTTTTTATTAATTGTTTTTTTTCTTCTTCTCTTTTAATTTATTTGTTAACAAATTGCGCCTATCTAAGCATTCGCAAGATCTATAAACATGCACATATTCCTGCCAGTCTATATTTCTTCATTTTTTTTTTTGCTGTGCTGTGCTGTGCTCCTCTGAGCTGTGTTTGTGTATGTTTCATGTTTGTTGTCCACTTACAAACTGCAGACTGTTTTGTGCCAAATGTCTCTAATATCATCTATCTCTCTATCTACACAAATATACAACAGAATGTATAGCTTTACTCATACAAGGCACTCACAGTTTTTAATAAACGCCTAACGCTTAATACGTGCAAATTAAAATGGGCCATTTATAATTAGCATATGAGTTGCTACAGATGTGACTGTATATTATCGCATATAAATATATATGTGTGTTTATAGATATATCTATATATATCTATATACGTATACGGTTAAGAGCAGTCATCTCATTATTATAGCCAGTTTTAGATGCTGACTCGCACGTGCCCCCGATTAGGTCTGCAAACAGAACGCTTTAGTTTCTATAGCAACAATAAATATAAATAAAAAATTAGCAAAAATAATATTAGAAAAATCTGCATTTGTTTATGTGTATGTTAAAAAAACAAATATTTGAAATATTTCTTGCTTATAGCATTAGTAATTAAAAACCAGAACTCTAAATTTAAATAAAAGTCTGAAATACATTATTAATTTAAATATTAACTTATGCAAAATTTGGATTAGCGATTACTAACAAAAATTATAAATGCTTTTCATTAACAAAAACAAATTAACAATGACTGCATTTTAAACAACAATCAGCCAACACACTAATTGCAGTTGTTGAAGACCTGTGCCATATTGACTTGAATTGCGTGCACAACAATTTGGTCAGTCAGGGCCACAAATTGCCACATGCCCATTTTCCCAGAGCAGTGGCGCAGCAACTTTCGTCTGCCATAATTATTCAGCTCATTTATTTGTTCTGTACTCATTTTTGTTGTGGAATAATGGAATTTCGAATACCTCGCGCTGTCAGCGTCACGTGCTCCTCGCTCGCTCGCTCGCTCTCTCGCTCGCTCTCTCGCTCGCTCGTTGGCGTTGACGTCGTAGATTTTTAGATCTATATACGTTCATATACATTCGGATATATCGGCATCCCATTCATCCAAAGAGTCGGTCTCTGTCAGTTTGGCTATCTGGCCATATAAGCAATATATGTGCGCTTTTCTCTTCAGTTTCGCAGTTTCGCGTTAATTAATCTGTTTGGGTATTTTTATTATAGTCATTCGTGATATAGATACTCACAAACAAATCCAGATATACATCACCAGATAGGCCACCTGTTATTTGTGGTTGTTGTGTCTTCTATTGATTTATTTTAAATTCATCGCTTAATGAATTTGTTGTTTTGTTGTTATTTTTGCTTACGCTTTGGTTGCTCGGAGTTTTTGTTTTGTTTTCAATTTCTTCATCATTAGCCATGAAAATTTCCTTCGTTCCTTAAACAATGCAAATGTAAGCAATTAATTATATAATTAAATATGTAAAAATATGTTAAGAACTTTGTGCTGGCTCACTGCCAATAACTTAATACAAATGTCGTCTACTCTCTACTCAAATCACTCAGATTTTTGCCATAGCTGTGCAGTATATTACAAATTATATATTCACATACCTATATATATACATATATATAATATGTATTGGTTGTTTGCATCATTTGCTTATATCACCGGCTGCTAATTGAATTAGCCAAAACAAGCCGCAAAGCAAAATCGAAGGCAACTGCCAAAAGCAACAACAACACAGTCTGGCAAACTAAAACAATTCACTTGCTGCTAGCTATTGACGTAAACTACCCCAAACCAATTTCCGTTACCATCCCACTCCCACTGCCATTCCCGCCATTCCCATGCCGTTGCTGTGTATTCCATTGTCGGTTCAATCGATCAATTCCCATCGGTTCATCACATGATGTTCGCAGTCAAGTTCAATGCAACAGCAAACAGTTCAAAGTCGCTGCAAAAGACCGCAACAAGTGTCGGCATGGCTGAGACCAAAGCAAGGAAGGGTGGGTTTGTGAAGGAAGGGATGGGGAGCTGTGCCAGTAGAGGGAGTGTTTCACTTACCGTAACAAAGCAGCACAGTAGACGTTAGCTTATTCCACCTCCCGCTGATACGCCCCCCAACAGTGTGTGACTGCGGTGTGCCTTTTCTTTATCAATTTAAAAACATATTAAAAGAGCAGAGAGAACAGATTTATTATGTTTGAGCTGTCGAAGACCAAATACCCTTGCAACACAAATAATGCTGGCGACAATTTTAATTATATTCTATTTGAAAATAACTTTGAAAAGCAATATTCAAAATCGTAGATTCTGGCTAGTTGTCTATATAGTTTTGTGACGATTTCTTTATAACTTGGCTAGTCGCAAGTTATCTTTGCCAATATGTTAAGCGAATTACAATACCCTCTCAACTATTCTGTCGCTGCCAATGCACATGCGAGAGCGTGTGTGTGTGTGTGTGTGTCTGTCTGTGTCTGTCTGTCTGTCTTTGTACTTATTTGTTATCGTCGTTCACGTGTTCTCCTATATTGTTGTTGTTGTTGCTTTTTTTCAAGGTCTAGGTTACGGATTACTCTCAGTGTGAACTTGAAACTCATTGCATTACTTGGCGATGAACAATTCACATAACTTCCGGATTATTCATGCTTTGTAAGATCCACATTACAAATGTATAGTAAATTTGTTTTTGTATTTTGTAAATATTATTATGGTTGATGACACTCTTCTCCAATGCTGTTATTATATATATATATATATTAATTGGGGAGTCTCTCCGGTTCCCCCCTATTATTTAAACATCTGTTGATGGGATCGATTGGACTGTTTATTATCACAGCTGTGTATATATCAAGCAGCACGTATTTACTAACATTGTACAATATAATCACACGATGATCGCATAACACACACAGACCAGACACTCATTCAGCTCTGTTCACTCGTTTAGAAAAAATGTATAGTTTGTCTCTGTGGTCGATTTGACTGAATCAGATGGGAGGAGGGAGATGGGACTGAACTTTGTATTGTATGTATATATAAATATATATACTATATATGTAATGTGTAATATATACGCATTCAATTAGTGTTCGTATGTATATATTTGAATAAATTATCGATTCGATATCATCAAAGTTGAGCATTTTGTTGTTTATTGCTGCTGCCCATTTGTCGCATTTCGATTTATGCTGCTCGAATTCATTCAATTGCCACTCAATTGAGTGTAGCCCATCGCACCCATGGAACCCCTTGTCCATCCTTTCCCCTTCATACAAAAATGAGTATATAAATAAAGAAGCATTCAACCAGTGGCAACATTCAAATCATATTTGTCACATTTCCTTCAAAGAATTTGCTTGCAATTGTATTTCTTGTATTTTGATATCAAACACTTCTTGGTTATTCACTCTTATCTAATTAATATGTAAAATGTATAAATCCCAGTTGAATATAATGGCAAATGGTTCTTTCCGCTTTGTAGCTTATAAATTTCAGGAGAATCTGATACGCACCATGGTGCAAATAGAGAACACATACTTTGAGCTTGGCAACTCGAGCACTCGCAATTGCCTCATCATCTGCGATCGGGGCGTCATGGACGCCAGTGCATGTAAGTGAAATCCATACATTGAGTCATGATCACAAAACTAAGCTATGGCTATGGCTTTACAGATATATCGAAAGACAAGTGGGAGAAAATGATGGCGGGCAACAAATGGAATCCGGTGGAGATGCGCGACAATCGCTACAATCAAATCCTGCACTTGGTATCGGCGGCAAATGGCGCCGAGGATTTCTACTCCACAGAGGTGAGTGTTCCACATGTGCGCACTTTTAATACGATTTACCTATTTCTTTGGGTACACCACTTACCATTTATATATGTGCATGTTTAAAACAAAGAAAAGAAAGCGCCATTATCAGGTACCCAAATCAAAGCAATGGCATTATGTTAAAGCTGCTCGAGAGCTTATTAGATGATTGAACTTAATCTTGTTTAGAGCGCGAGTAACATAGTAACAACTTACAGCCAGTAAAGATTTCTAAGAGCTTCAATTATATTGACTTTATCAATAGTTTTCATCGATGCTTTAATAAAAAATGGTAATCAAAAACAGTAAATCAATATAAGATAGTAACAACATTAGCCGCTTGTTGTTGTTGATTTATACTTGATTATAATTCAGATTTAAATTCCTACTTTAGATTAAATCCCAATACATGCTAATCTCTTATTCTACTTTCAGGATCACGCCTGTCGCTCGGAGGGCGTTGAAATGGCGCGTGAACTGGACTACAAATCAGCCGCCGCCTGGGTGGGTCATCCCTACTTCGATGTGATTGATAACTCCACCAATTTTGAGGCCAAAATGAATCGTATGATTGAATCCGTGTGCCAAAAACTGGGCATTGATATTGGTGACCGCTTGCAAGCCACCTCAAGGAAGCTCAAATACTTGGGTAAGTCTCCGATTGTATTTGTTGTACGAGGCACCAACTAATCTTTCAATTGATATTTTTGCTTCAGTTGCCTTTCTGCCGAATGAAAGCGAGTTTCCGCCCTTCCAGGACTTTGATGTGGTGCATCACTATCTGCAATCTGCTGGTCCCAAAGTGCAGGCCCGTCTGCGCAAACGCGGCCAGAAGAACCACTGGAGCTATATACACACCCAGCGTCGGCCCAATGTGCATGGCCAGGCGCGAATTGAGGTGAAGACACAGTTGACGCATCGCGACTATATGAACCTGCTGGCGCAGCGTGATGATGCGCACTTTACCATCTACAAGAAGCGACGCTGCTTCCTGATCAACAATCAATATTTCCAGCTGGACATCTACAAGGAGCCAGGTCATCCACGGTATGTTCTAATATGACGAACCATATTACAATTCCCTAACGATTTACATTTCGTATTGCAGCTGCAAGGGCCTGGTGCTTTTGGAGACGTATTCTTCCCTCTCCGGCGAGGCGTTAAAGAACTGCATGCCCAAGTTCTTGAACATTGTCAAGGAGGTTACCGGCGATCCGGACTATTCAATGTTCAATTTGTCCCTCCGCGAGGACTGGAGTACCACTAAAAAGTACTTCCGACCTACGACTCATGGTAAGCAGCAACTGCAACAGCAGCTGCAGCAGCAGCAGCCATCGCAACCGCCGCCGGAGAAGCATTATCATCCATATGATGAGAACAGCGACTAGAGCGCTTTTTATCGGTCATCGCATGCATCAATACCATCGGGCTTGCTCCGGAGGCTGTCACCATCAAAGCCAAAGATTTGTAGTCTAGTAGTTGCCTTCACTTGTGCTGTAAATAACGCCAAATTCCTTCTCATTCGCTTCTATCGCATTTCAAATCTCCATTTCATTTCTTGGCTTATGATTTTGGCCTGATCGTTGACCCCATTCTTTTTGTTTATTTAATTTGTAGCTAAGGGCGTCACAAACGGAATTTCGCATACCCCATTGATGCTCAATGGGCAGTAGATTTCTTTGACAGAATCTTGAATCTCTATTTTAACACGTATAATAAACAAGCGACAGTTGTGCCCACACATACACCAAGTACACCACACCAACACACACACATAACTTACAAACACATACACACACAGATGTAAGCCTCAACAAATGACCTGTCAACTAAAAATAAGTGAAGTATAATTTTTTCAAAGCGTGTAAATTAAATTACTTAAAGCAAACACAGTTGCGACCTTTTGAGGCCCGTAACTGTGTTTGCCATCAATGTATTCAATCATTTTTTTATGCTCCACATTGTTAATTATTTGCTCGTACTTAAAAGGAAATGATTGTACTCAATGCGCGGAGTCTAGTTTATAGTATATATGTTAATATATAAATGACGCTCGATTGTACTTAATTTGCCTTGATTTCTTTCATATTTTTTGTTCGTGCTGATTTTGTAAGCCATAACAAATGAACTGTATGTGTATATCTACGTTAATGTGTAAAATTCTTTTTGTTTCTAAGTTGGATATTGTGTGTCTATACAGCACTTGCTAATTTTAAACGTAACTTTTAGCTAAATGTAAAGAAAAAAACAAAATACAAAACAATTCAAAATAAGAACCTTGAGGCAAATATAAATCAGCTAAAATGAGACCACCAAAAACATTACGTTGTTTCTTTTTATACTGTTTTTATTTTCTATAATTTAGTAAAAGCTAAATAAATAAAAGCTATAGGCAAAATACAAACTCTGGCAATATAAAATTTAATGCTTAAATACAAGATGTTTGAGTTAATACGACTGTGGGACTAGAACAAAGGCAGCTATTAATTGGCTGTCAACTATTTATCCTTGTTGATGCGCTTAATGAGTCCATCGACAGCGCGATTGATGCGCAACAACAGCAGATAGCCCACAATTAATGATGGCAGGCCGACAAAAGTGGCCAGCGCCTCGTAGATGAAGCGTGGAGCGAAGATTTTCCAAACCATCAGATGACGACAGTGTATGGTGCAGGCCAACATGGCACAGAAGATCTGCAATCGAAAAATAATATTAGAGAATATATAAAAGCGTTCGACATGCATCACCAACTAACCTTGATGCCCTGCAGCATGAAGAGCTGAGTGGCCAGTTTGAAACCAGCGCCTAGAAACACATCCTCGTATTCATACAACGCCAACTCGCCACGCGTCATATCAAATCCGACCGCTTCAGTGGCAATATCAGATAATGCAACAGCTGCATCCGATTTGTTGCTGGTGCGACTGTTGCTGCTGCTCTTAATGAGGCTGGGAAATAGCGCAAACAGCGAAAATGTCTCCGTACTGAGCAGCGAGTACATACAGTAAAAGAAGATGGGACCACAGAACGTGTTTAATATGACCAAAGTGCCGGAAATGAGATGCGACTGTCCCAATGCGCTGGAGCGACCGACAAAGGCGGCTCGCCAATCGATCTGTGACAGCGTCGTCTGATGCGATGTGGCAAAGAAGCAAAAGTGCGCGAGCAGAAACCAGGCAACCACAGCGCTAAAAGTCGGCTGCACACAGCTCTCTGTAAAAGCAAAATAATTATAAAAATTAATTGAGCATATAATAAATTAGGCATCAAATACGCACCAAAACTTGTGGCCGTGCGATAACGTAGAATGCTATGGATACTCAAGATGATGGCGCCGACGACGATGCAGACAATTAGGCCAATGCTGGCATGCGGCTCGAGCACCACAATCATCAGCATGGCCAGAAAGACGCCAAACGAAATGATGATCGATGAGTAGACGGTGGCCAGACCATAGACGACGGGTATCGCGTAGCTCTGTTCCGCATCATCACCTTCATACATACGCTTCATTTTTCGAAATATTTCCGGCACAATGCTGTCGCGACCATTAATGGTGATGCTATTGGGATTCTTTGGCGGCAGCACAAACGTCATCAGCGGCGTCCATGAGACGACAACGATTTGCAGCAGTAACAGGCCATAGATGACCAACGCCATGGCATCGATATGGGTGCGTTGAATGTTCTTTATGGCGCTATTCGCGAGCAGTATGTGACCCCCAGCACAAATCGAAGCGACAGTCGGTCCGTAGCGAGCCAACATCACATTGGCTGAATTTCCCGTCAAATTGCCGCAAGAGCGTAAATATAAGCGTGTCAGCGTTGTGTATAGAACAAGTATGACTACAGCCAGAATGTAGGTCTTGCCCATGCTGGGTCTCTTCACTGAAAAGCCCGGCGTACTATTGCTGGCAAAGTCAGCACAATTGCCCTGCTCCTCGCGGCAACGAAACAGCGTGTAGGCGAAACGGATACAGCAAATGGCCAACAAGCTGGCCAAAATTAGACGGAACGCTGCGGAGCGCAAAAACTGTGACCACTTAAACTTGTTCTTAAAGTCCAGACGTGCGCTTAGCAGCAGCAGCTCATAGACAAGTAGCAAAATAGCAGCAACAAGCAGATAGGACAAAATCTTGGCCTCCTGTATGACAAAGCTGTTGGAGAAGAACACAGCCATCATGGAGAAGAGCAGCAGACGTGTGGGCATATGGGCAAAACGCTTGACACTCGCCCAATTGTTTGCAATACTATTCCAGTGACGCAGCGTATAAAAGGCCAGCAGCACAGAGCTGAGCACGCTGGTAAAGAAAATGACCCCATGTTCCTCCGTCTTGAACGAGAAGTTCTTATAGTAGCGATAGCCAAAGACGCCAGCGGCAATATTCATGAGAAACACGTAGAAGACTTCTTTGGGTTTAAATATCTTCGCATAATCGCTGGCACTTGAGTTGTTAATGAGCAGAAAGGCAAAGAAGATGGGCAGAAAGCTGAAGAGAAGACCCTGCGACATTTGCGTGGGCTCAAACTTAACCCAGATCTCGCGACAGACGTTGAGTATGTCACGTAGATTCATATTTAGATCGCGCACAAACGACTTGAAGGCCGCTTCATTATAAATTGTTTGCACACGATGTGTGAGCAGTATGAATTCCGTTTCCAGCTTATCCATTTGCTCCACATTGAAGGTGCGTTTGTTCTCCAGCGCATAGTTGAAGAAATAGCGATAGATTTGATGGGCATTCTGCCAGGCGTGGAGCAGCAATGTTTGAAATTTACTCAAATGGGGCACAGCGACAGCGGGCACAATATTAAAATTGATTAAGCCCAGATTTGAGTAGGGTATCGGCACGCCGAGTATGGTCGACAGTGTGGGCACTAGATCAATCTGCAAATAAAATACAAGTAATTCTTAAACAGTAGCAGATAAAGACGTTGTCTTATCTCCAATTTACCTGCTGCAGCATTTCGTTATCTGAGCCCGCATCACTGCTGGTGAAGAATTTATGCTGCTTGGAGTAGGCAAACAGCAGAGCATTGGTTTCGTCATCAGTGTCGCCGCCATGATCACCACTTGCCGTCATACCATGATCGCCCATTATCAGCAGCGTGGTCTCATTATCCATGCCAGCCACAACAGATCTAAAATTAAGGGGTATTTAAGTTTTGTCAAGATATTTGTAGCGCATTGTTGTACTTGCTTTATAATGTCATTCATTTCGCTCAATTTGCGCGACATTTCCTCGTGCATGGGTCCGTGCTTGTGTCCACAGTGATCCACGCCCAGAAAATGCGCAATCAGCACCTGCCAATCATTGCTGGCCAGCTCTTTGGGCAGATGCTGCATAATTTGATTGTCGACGCTGTCCAGATCGAAGATATCGAAGCTGGGATAGGAGTAGGCGCGCTTAAAGCGTCGAGGATATAAATCAGTCCACGTGCTGTCGCCCAGGAATACCAAAGGCAAGTCGGTCTTCACAATCTGATCGATCACGTTGTCCTCATTGATCTCCGGTGAGGCAAAGTTAGAGCCAATATCAATAAACGTGGGCAGACTGCCGGTGGTTAGGCCCTTCAGGCGTTGCAGTGTGGTCGTTGGTGGATCCGCTTTAAAACGCATTAGACGAGCATTCCCCGGCGATTGCTGCAGCAATTGATGCAGTGTATCCAGTTTATTCTCATAAGGCAACAGTTCGGTGGTGTTCTCATTATAAACGCCAAATTCGTATTTTAATGCATCAATGACGAGCATTATGACTTTGGACTTTTGTGGAAGACATAGATTCGATGATGATGAGGCATTTACATCCTTAAATATCTCATTCACAACCTCTGGCGTAAGGAAATACTCCTAGCAAATAAAAACAAAGTTACTCTGCAGTCTCCATCTCTCGCTTCCACACTTGACAAGTGACTTACATCATTGGGATTGTTGGATAGACGCCGGCAACTGCTTGTCTCCGTTTTGGATACGCGTGCAAGTAGAAATCCTCGAGAGAAAAGCAGCACTCCGCTGCATATTAGATAGGCCAGCCAAATGAGCACGAACACATATGTAAAATTCATGTTTAGGCCCGCCCTTACACTAATTAGACTATTTAAACTTAATTGCACTTCTCGCTGGAGCCACTAATTGTCTTGTCAAGTGTTCTGCATCACGATGCGAACTTGGTTTCATTTAGAGTTTGTCATTTTTTTTCTACTGATTTTCAGTTCGTCACTGTGCTAGTGAAGTGCAGCGTTGCCAACTGTGGTGCGCACCAGCTGTTGTCCATTATGCAGCCCTCGTCAACATCTAGAGTTGCCAGACAGAGATACCTACGATATGTTTATTTGGCGTTATTTTTAAATGTATAACTCAAAGCCTTTAGATTTGGGGCACAAAAATTTCGTATTTATTTAAAGAATTCCATACACATATAGCAAATCTTAGATCAAGTGTAGATGCAACAAGTTAGCTGCGTGCGTGTATGCCGTACATTTTTTACATTGTGTTTAGAGCATTTGCCTGTGAACATTGGCAATGTATTTAATTTCTTTATTTAGCATTTAAGCTCTTTTTTCATTGTTTGAATTATTCTCAATTAATTTTGAAATTGTTTTTTTTTTTTCAGTTACGCCATTTAGCCAAGCGACCCAAAGTCTACGAAGAAAATGAAAATATAAAAATATATATTATACAATTTTTTGCTTCTTTCAATCAAAGCTTACGAAGGGGCAAAAAAGTTTGGAATGAAATCCGCACAATGATTATCTCTTTCATGTGTGTCTGTGTGTGTTAACAAAAGTTAGCGTAAATACGTTATCAATGTATAGTTTTGTTTACATTTCTTGTTGTTGGTGTCCTTTTGGTTTTGCTTGAACATTAAACATACACTTAGATTTACGTAAATTGAATTCAGTAAATATACTTTATCGCTTTCTAACCCAAACAATTTATCTTTATAGAAGTGGAGCACTGACACGCACATATGTATGCTACCAAGATAATGCAAGATAGATGCATACATTAAATAGTATAATAGTAATAATAATAATCACACACATCTCCACATAAATTATTAAATTCCGTTCTTGGTGTTAGTGCGCACGAATCTGTTTATATGTATGTATGTTAATTAAGTGTTATTTATGTGTATGTGTTTTAATTAGTTTTTGATTAATTTACGCGTGCTGCTTGTATATTGTGTATTTGTGTGTGTGTGTGTGTATGTGAGTGTGGTGTGTGTATGTGAAGTGTGTAGTTTTTCAACACACTCGCACATTTATTTTGTTAGAGAATCAGTGGGTGAATTGAGTCCCGATGATGTGTTGTTCTCATCTAGAGCGTCTGGGAAACTGGAAACTGATCCCGAACGGGATGTCACCTTCGTCTACAATAGAATAGAGCAGAAAACCGAATAGGTATGTAGAACACAAGACATTGACAATATCATATTAAGCACTTAAATACATGCGATTAATCAATAAGATTGTAAGTAAAAGTAAATTGCCTAGACAAATAGCTTAAGACCCGATAATTAAAGTATGCCCAAGCGATTATAGTTGTGGAATACATATTTGTTAAGTTAATGATGTGTATTCTTTTTTGTTATTGGGTGCTTCAAATGTATAGAGAAAGTGAGGTATGAGAAAAGGCATAAAATAAAATACATAGAGATATATAATAAAATAGTAGTTACCGCATGAGATTGGCACAAAAAATTGTTCTGTTCATAGCTTACTTTAACGTTCTCATAGGCAGAGCCAACCGAAGCTTCGATAGAACGCATCGAGTCAGAATTTTTCATTTGTGAGAATTTCGACGTAATCCCGCTCGTAATGCTGCCAAAAACCGAAGCCGTTTTCTCACCGGTCGACTTAAGCACTGATTCAGTACGTTGGTAACTGAAAAATATGAAGCACAGATTGTAAGCATAAATAAACTGGAAGACATATAAGCAAATACATTGATTATACAGTTATAGAGACACATAGAAGCAGCGAAGAGGAATATTTAATTGTGTTAAAGAAAACAATGGACAGCATTTGACTTGGTTTTGGTTAGTTTGTCAAGAAATGTTTGGTTCGAGACACAATCTTTAACACAATTACTTACAGTGGTGCATCTTGCACGGCTTTAGATATGTTGCCCACGCCCTGCTCCATCGATTGATAACTAAGTGGATACATAATATGAGCAACATTTTTAAATTAAAAACTTATACAAAACAAAAAATGAGATGAGCAATTCAAATAAAAAGCAGTTGTTTACGGTAGAAGAGAGCTCTTTCAAGTAGATTGCAAAACTTACACGTGACTCTCTTTCAAGTTCTTGACGCCTTGATTGACATCGTCGGTGAGCTCTCGCCAGACGGTGATGCCCAGTTTGCGCTTCAGATCGGAAGCATGACGCGTCTTGGAGGCCAGCACCGTGCGCAACGTATTGATTTCCTCCTCAACACGTGCCAGTTCCTACAAACAAATAAAAAACCAAAGTGTTTAGTAAGTAAAATATAAAATTATCGACTGAGGGCATACCTGGCTCCATTCGGCGCGTCGCTGTTCCTTCTCCTCAACGGTGAGCGCTGCAAACTCGGCGGCAATCTCTGCAGATGCCACAGATGCTGTTGGAGATGTGGGCTCCGACAAGTGGGCGCTATTATCTGTGGCACAAAATCATATAATTAGTCTATAATTCTATAACTATAAAATGTTGTTTGTCTGTTTTACTACATTTGTTAGCTAAATAAAAACTGAAGGACTGGCGCATGTTTTGTTTTGTATTTTGAAATTTTGATTTTATGTACCTCCTGGGAAGACAACTTCCTCAAAGACTTTTTCATACGCTGAGTATATCGAATTTCGTTTGGATTTGTTTGTATAAAATGCATAAAGACTTGAGATATTTCTTTGTTCACATTCAATTGTTATCAACACAAATAATACTCACAAACTGTTGGGTTTGAGCAGCACACATAATGAAGGCAAATAATGGGAAAATAGAGAGAATTAAGAAAAGCTGGTTAGTCACGAAGTAATTAAGGCAAGTTAGTCGTGTTCCAAATTTTGCTTTCGCAAAGCAGTCAAAAAAAGAAAAATAAAAAACCAAATACGTATAAATATTGTTACAAGCGTTATTTTTTCAGTTTACAGTTAGAGTGGTTATTACGACATTTGGGTCTCGTTTCTGAACCTAGTCATTAGGCTGAAAAATCTGGCCACTCTTTACCTTTGCCAACCTGAGCAATTGTGAGAAACCTTTTGTAGTTATCGCTATTTGATATTTTGGCCAGATATGGTTTCGAGAAATCTATAAACGTGACCTTTATATCGCGCATGGTACGCTTGGTAAAGAATTTTAAGCGGAAACGTTTCGCCATCGATGGCGACGGCGCCTGATTAGACAGCTTGGCCGCAATGAAATCCGTCTCGACGGTTTGCAGCTCAAGCGTATTGGCGTAGTCCGAGTCGACATCATAGAAGATGTCGTCGAGCGTCAGATTACGCAAATAGAGCTCAGCTTCATCGCAATAGCAACCGCATTCCAAATCGCTAGCTGGAGATATTTCCAGGTCGTCGAGCGATGGCGTTGTGGTGATGTCATCGATGCGCGGCAGATAAGAGTCCTCGATGAACTCTAAACTAACAGGCTCCAATTCGCTGCTCATGCTGTTTTGTTCGGCTCTATCTCATGTTCAAAAGCAGCAGCAGCATCAGCAACAACAACAACGAACAGCACTTTCTAATTGGAACGTGGCGGCGCATGTGGAACCTTCTCAAATTTCAAAGCGAGCGCTTCGAGCGATTTATTGTAGTATTTTTGTTTGTGTTTTCTTGTTTGCTGGCCTTGTAGTCAGTTTGGTTCTTTGATATTTTTCTTGTGCACATTTTCTATTCAGAGATTCATGTTGAAAAGCGTTTTCTTTTGAAATGCGTGTGTCTAACTAAGCGTTTACTTCTTGACTCGTTTCGCTTCCGCGCGCTGCTACAATCAAACTTGAACTGAGCTCAACTTTGGTAATTGGTAGCTGCAGCTCTTTTCGCTGTAACTCAACAAGTTGGCAACGCCAGAGAAGCACTGAGCCAAAGAGAGCAACTTCACGAAAGAAGAAGAACAACAACAAGAAGACCACAACAAACAACAAGTTCACCCAAAGCTGGAGTCTTTTTCACTCTCTCTCTCTCGCTTTGAGTCTGATTTTGCTTTTGTGCCAAGTTAGCAAAGAATTAAAGAATTGCATGATCAACAAGTGGAAGATTGACGTGTTCACTACCATCTCAATTGTGGGGCATGTTCAAAAATAGATTGAATATGATTTGCGTTCAATTGACGTACAACATTCATAAACAATACATTTGGCACAAAACGCAATTCAATTTTGTGTATTCAATTAAAAATCAACTATGGGTAAAATGGGAGGCGTTGCTTCGTTTTCTATCCACAGTTGTTGCTGTTGCAACAAGCAATGTACACAAAGAACGACGCAGATTCACAAAATCTTTGCCACGTTGCCAAACTTTCTCGTCTGAATAGTACAACTTAAAATGTTTACAGTAGGCGGAATCATATTTGTAGCATTTTGGAAATGACTCCCACGATTTCAATGCATCGCTGGGGCAGGCGCAGACAACAAACTCTTGAGCATGACTCATCTGAATGTATGGCAGGTTATCTAGCGGTGTTACTGGCTAATCTCGTCTCTTTGTCAGCGCAGAACTGTCGAAATACCTTTGTTCGGTCAAAGCCGCTGTCTAATTAGCGCCTCGACGTGTATCTCTGGCAAAGGTGTACGTTCCAATAAGCAAACCAGGGTTCACAGCAAACACGCGAACACTTTACACTTGCATGCGGCGAATACCTGCTGCTAGCTGCTAGTTGGCGAAAAACTGCAATTTACACAATAGGCGCACACTTACGATCCTCCATGGCTGGGCTATTGTAGTCGTCTCCTTAATGTTTCAGCTTTGAATTCAATTGAACTGCTGTCCAACTTTGACAATTAATTTTTGTTGTTAAAAAGAATTTCTGTGCAAGAAGAAGCACTGAAAAAGTAGCTGTGCTTTCTGATAAAAACCGATTACACTCAACCGATAGTCGCCTGACAATTGGCGTTGCCAGTAGGATTGTGGCAGCTGCTTGGCGCGGATTAAAAATAAACACATGTAGAATTCAAATTTTATGAGTTTGTTTTTGTATTTCAAAAGAAATAAAAATACAATATTTTCGTATCTGAATAGCTTGTTATGAAAAAAAAAAATGCCATAAGTGAAAATGTTGCTTTTCAGCTATCGTCATCGCTACGTCTCGCTTTACATTTGATTTTTCGTCCGTTAATATAGGAAAATATATACATTTATATACTTTGTATTGTATTTACTACGTTTCTTAAAGTTACTAATGCAGTTGGTTGTAAATATGTATATTTTAAAAAATTTACATTATCAGGTCTGTTTTTCTTGGTGTTTTTCTTCTTCATCTTTCTTTTGTTTTATAAATATCGCATGAAATAAAAATAAAATAAACAGAAGAAATAAAGAAACAAACACAAAAAATCAAACTATATAATTTGTTTACGTTTTTTATTGGTTTTATTTTGTTTTTTGTTGTTTTTTTTGTCGTTTTGTTTTATCTTGAATGGTAAGTAAAAAATTTTAATATATTTTTTAAATTTTTTATACTTTATGTTTCAACAACTTGTACACAGGGTCTGAGCGCCGTGTATTGATTTAAAGTTGTTAAGTGGAAAATATAAGTCGAAAACAATTTAATATAAATCAAGAAGATTGCACAAAATTAAAACGTTTGTATTCATTTTGAAATGTGAAGGGGCTTGTGTGGGGTATAAAGCTGGTTGATTGGTTGTTGGAGCAGAAGCAGGCGTGTGTTAATTAACATATATCTTTATATTTATATATATGTGTTTATATATATATTATATAATTTGAAAGTACATGTTTGTATGTAATTTAATCAATTGCGGTTCCAATTCATTTTCTTTTAATGTGTTCTAAACATTTACAAATGTTTTTTACTATACATTCAACGGTAGAAAACGTTTAAACATGCACTCTCCCAAAATAGGCAGAAAATTAAACTAATAACTCGATTCAGTTTACAGCTTCATATAACTCAGTGGAAAAACAATAGATTTGTAATAAAAAGAAGAGCAGCAATAGCAATAGTAAATATTTAACATTTTATGCTTACAATTATTTCGTTTTTGACCGTAATATTTGTGTTGTTTTTTTTCTTCATTTAAATATCATTTTCAATCAATTAAATTTGTTGCAACCAATTTTAACAAAACATTTGTTGAATTTTTTGCTTAATTTAAGTAGCTTGAACTAATTAGAATATTATGGATTGAAATCAAATATGGTTATAAAAAAGAAAAATTGGCATTTAAGTCATATGGGGGCAAAACCAACAATATGGGCAGGAACAAGGACTAAGAGGAGCAGAACTCAGCGCTATATAAAGTTTCATTTATGTTTATGTTGTTAGCTTTTTTCTTGTTTTGTATAAATGCAATTTCATGTGTCTGAGTGTGTGTGTATATGTTTCTTTTTTGTATGTATATATGTTTTTGTGTGTAGATGTGTGAGGTCAGAGTTTCTCTGTATCAAATTATACAAAAATAGTTGTTGTTTTTGCATAATTTTGTTTGTTTTTGAATTGCATTGTAGAAAAGCTCCTAGGAGTGAATGAGTGAGGTGAGAAAGAGAGAAAGAGAGACAACCTGTACCATTTTTGACACTAGTTTTCGACTAAGGAGTCCGCCCCGAGCACGCCTGCCGTTGCTGCTCAACGCCCACCCCGTCCGTCCGTCCGCCCCGTTTCGTTCCGTTACCCAAATTCCCGTCGCACTCTGCACGGCTGCCGTTGTTGTACTGAAGCAACTGCTTAGTTCTTCGGCCCCCACACGGAGGTGATGGGCGTGGCCGCAACTGGAGCACCACCTGCAGCAAAGACCGGGAAATCCTCCTGCGATTGGGTATTGGGCGCAATTAGATTCTTGCCCTGATTCTTCTTCTCCCACGGTGCATCCTTGATGATAAAACCATTCTCATTACTGTTGCTACCAGCACCACTACCACCACCACCGGCACCGGAACTGGCGCCAGCGCGATCGGTGAGGAAAGCGCCCACAGTTTGTGGTTGCGGCGATGGCGGCAAGTTCTCCAAATAATCACGCTCGTAATCCTCAGCCATGCTCAAGAGCATCTCCTTGGCATTCTCAACATCCTCCTCCTTGCCAATGATGGTCACAGCATTTGCATTGGTTTGACCTTCATCGGAAGACGGGAACTTGATGTCCACCTAGAAAATAAATTCAGATTAAGTACACAGTTATTATACAAATCAAGTTTAGTTGTCAGTTGTACCTTGTAGTCTTCAATGATCTTGCGAATGGTGCGTCCACGATGACCAATAATGTGCGAGTGGATGCGTGTATCGATCTCGATGACCTCGCGATGCAGCGTTCGCAATTCACCGACAATCTCCATGATGGCATCGCGAGCGGACTCAGCCTTGGCCTGATAGCCGGTAATGGAAATGATGTGCTGATTAGGATCATCACGCTTGGGCAGCGAGATGTTGACATCATGATCGGCACGCAGCTTATTAATGACAGCGCCCTGGCGACCAATCAGCTTGGAGTGATATTCCGGATCGACCTCCACCTGGAGGACAAAAGAGCGCAGCTCGCGATCAGCACGATCCGCCTCATGCTCCTCAATCATCTTCTCGAGCGCCTCACGGGCCTCAGCGACGCGTGCCGGCGTGCCAGAGACCTTAATCACATCCGACTTGAGGTCGCTGGGTGGCAGCTCGACGTGCACATCGTGCGTGGACATAAACTGACGCACACGCGCGCCACGTGGGCCAATGATGGTGCGATGCAGATCGAAAGGAACATTCAGCTCTTCCTCGATGGGTATCAGATCAATCAGCGCCTGCTTGGCCGCCTCGCATTTCTCGATGAGTCCGGTGATGCGAATAACGTCACAATGACGCACTTGCTCCGCGCTGGGCTCACCGTCGGCGCCTTCCTCGCCCTCGCCGTTAACACCGTTGGTCAGACTTTCAATGGGTTCGGTGGCATCACGGTCGGGGAACTTAATCTGCACATCGAATTCGGAGGTGACCTGTTGCACCTTGAAACCGCGAGCGCCCATAATGGTGCGATGCTGGCGTTGTGGTATAACAACCTCGATGGTTGTTTGCGCCTCCAGATCTTCGACGGTCTCCTCGATGCGCTGCTTGGCCGCCTCAATGCACTCCTTGGCGCCCTTGATGGTCACCGTGGCCGAGTTGGTGCCGGAACGCGGGAAGGAAATTATCACGCCGCCGCACTCCTCCGAGATGCGATGCAAAATGGTGGCACGCTTGGCCACAAAGTGCTTGTGGTGCTTGGGATCGACGATGACCACGCCCTCGGTGACCTCGTCGCACTCCTTAATGATCGCCTCCAGCTGTTCTTTGGCCTTATTGACGTTCTCCTCCTTGCCAATAATGATGATGGCCTCCTTGTCGCTATCTTCATTCGAGGGGAAGATAATGCGGGCGCCCGTCGCATCGCGTATCTTGCGTATGGAGGCACCATTCTTTCCAATAAGGAATTTGTGATGCTGCTGCTTGGCGCGCACCTCAACGCTGAACGAGGCCTGCTGACGCTCGTTGGCCAGCTCCAGCAGCTGCGCCTTGGCCTTCTCCACATCATCCTTGGGACCGCGAATGGTGACCTGAACGGACAGCAAATATTACATTATAATTTATTCGATATCTCTAAAATCTCTCTTACCTTATCGCTCTTGGAATCACTGTTGGGGAACTTGATGGTGACGCCGCCGCACTCCTCCATGATGGCAGAGATGAGTTTGCCGCCGGTGCCAATGATGGAGTTGTAGTATTTGGGCGAAATTTGCACCTCTTCGGTAACAATGTCGGAGAGTTCGTTCTGGATCTTTTGAATGCGTTCCTTGGCCTCCAGGACGTTCTCCTTTTTGCCAGTGATGACAATCACTTCGTTCGTATCGCCCTCGGCGGGTAGATCGATCTTCGTTTGGGTCTCGTCGCGTATCTTTTTGATGTTGGCGCCGCCCTTGCCGATGACAAACTTGTGGAATTGCTTGAAAATTGGCACTTCGATGATGTGCGATGACTCCTGGATTTCCTTGACAAGCTTCAGTAGGTCCTTATGGCACTTGTCCACATCTTCCTTGGGGCCGCGCAGTTTCACAATATCAGTGTTCTCCTTGGGCGTCGGTATCGTGATGGTCACCTGACGGTAACGATCCTTCACCTCGCGTATCTTCTCGCCCTTGGCGCCAATGATGGAGCGATGCAGGCGACGATCGATGATCACATCCTTTGACTTTTCATTTTCCAGTTTATCGATTTTTTCTTGTAATTCAAGCTGCGCCTGTCGCACACCCTCCTTGGGTCCCTCGATCCGTATATTGTTCTCACCCTCGCGCTCCTCAATGTTGATTTTCACATTCAGCTCATGCTTGAGACGATTCACATTGGCTCCCGCCTTGCCAATAATATGCTTGTAATACGATGGATTCACCGCCATCACTTCGTATGTGAAATTCTCCTCATAGTTGCGAATGATGTCGTTCAAATAGGAGACAGCCCTGTCCACATTCTCGGGATCGCCCTCGAGCTTGATCTTGTTGTCCAAACAGTTGACATTCACGTTGGGGCAATCCTCCTCGAGCTGCTTCATGTTGGCACCCTTGCGACCTATCACATACTTGTGTATCCAATGCGGCGCATTGATCTCCACCGACTTGACCGAATTGGCCTTCTGGTAGACAACGGTGAGGGCATTGCCCAAAGCAACTTGGGGACCGCGTAGCGTTATTGTCTCCAGGGTGGAATCATTAGGCGGCATCTCAACGGAGACACCGGTGAGCTGCAGAATCTCAGCAATGGTGGAGCCCTTGGGACCGATGACATAGCGATGCTGTGGCTTGGCCACCTCAACGCTCACTGTCGAGCATTTCTTCTCCATCTCCTTGTAGATGGCTTCCACTTTTGCTTTTGCGGCGGCAACTGCATCCTTCTCGCCAGAGATAATAATATCCTCCTTTTGCACGTGCTGCGGCGGCACATTGATCTTGGCACCCGTCTCCTCCTGCAGTTTGTTCAAATTCTCATTATATGGGCCCACAATGAACGGATGATAGATCTTCGGCACCGTCGTCCGATCTGACGATTTCTTAAACTGCTCCGCGGACAACTGACGAATCTCTTGCTCGGCACGCTCAATACCATTCTTGGTGCCTGCAATGGTGATCACATCGCTTTCATCGCCCTGATTCGGTATATTGATGCGTGTCGCGGTCACGCGCTCCAGTTCGCGCAGCCGCTCACCACGCTTGCCGAGAATGACGCGATAGTGTTCGCGGGGTACGGTCACCTGGCGGCTGACCTGCATCGAGAAGGCTATTAGAATCTTGCGACGCGCATCAAGCAACTCGCTCTGCTTGCCCTTGATCAGGAACGTGAGCGATTTGTTCTTGCCACTAACAATCTCAATTTGGGCGCCCGTATCCTTCGTGATCTGCTGGCAAATGCGTTTCGATTCGCCTTCACCAAATTTCTCTGAATCCGTTGAATTGCGCTCTTCCATGGGCACATGCAGAACCTACAAGATGGCATGGAAGATGGCGCAATTAATATAATTTCTAATTAATATAATCATCTCTAGGACTTACCTGAGTTTTCTGCGAGCTGGTCACACGCGCAATTGCCGGCGCAGCGGGGCCTAGCGCCGCTCCAGCGGACGAATTCGTCGGCAGGGCCGGGAATAGATCGTCATAGCTAAATGCGTTCGTTGCATTGCTGGTACCACTGGTGGTACTAGTGGGCGTGACCACCGGAGTCGGTGACGATGGCTGCTCGGTGGACGACACCAGTTCCTGGCCATTGTTGAGAGCGTTTGGTTGTTGCTCAATGTTACTTGCTGTCGCCAAAAATGTAAAAGTTAATACAAAAATAAAACAATGCTTAAAATGAGAGCTCACCGTTAGATTCCTCCATCACTACTGCTTGCATTACTTAAAAAAAGAGAAGAGTCCTTTTTCGTTCCAAGTCGTTACAGTAACACTGCAAAAAAAGAGAGAAAAACCACATTAAGCCACAAGAAACGAAAAAGTATTAAAAGACTATGTAGATTGTAGACAAATATGAAACCTTTACATATTATAATTGTCATAGATAAGAAATACATTTTTCTATTTACATTGTGGCAATTTATTATAATCTTCTTACTCATATTTTATATTAAAAAAATACACCTCAAGCAGATCTGAAGTGGGATACTTTTACGTCATTTATTATCTTTTTAGTTGTAATTATTGTGAAATTCAACTAATTTATTATTGATCTCCAATCATACATACTGTCAGCTCCAATGCATCTTAAATACTTTTGCTTACGGGATATTTTTTAAAGTTATCACATGTACAGAATTAAATGATAAAAATTGAAGTTTTTTATTGTGAAAGTTGGAACTGAGCACGAATATTCGTGTTTTAATTGGAGTTTTCTTTTGTTTTGCTCGATTGTAACGAATGGAACGAAAATAAACCCAAGATAAACCTAGAAACTTGGGCATTAGGCACATGAAAATCTTCTTGGGTATTGATAAGGCAGCGACCCGCATGTCGCTGACGTTCCAATGATAACAGCGTGCGTTTATATTTATAGGAACGTTTGGGTGGCAGAGACACAGAGAAAGACGGGGGATCTCGGCTCGCTTCGCTGATAGACCAATTCTAGTCAAGCGTTAGACGTTAGTTCTTAACTAAAGAAAACGCTAAATGGCCACGTAATGTCAAAATATTTGCTATGAGCAAGCTATACATTTGTATGTATATAGTATATATGTCTATGTATGTTGACTTCTGAGCAACGGGTGATAAGTGGACAGATTTTGTATTTTGTGCGGCCACGCTGGCAAAACCGTTCAAAGCGAATAGCTGATAGCTATCGAACCAGTCTGATAAGAGCCAGATATATCAATACGCACGTTACACATATAAGTAATTATACAATATACGCAGAAATAACTGTTATTATCAGAAGTAAAAGTCCGGTTTGGACCGGTGAAAGGTTAAGAAACGACCACAAGCTCGGAAGAGAGATCGAGAGTATCAGCATTCTTCGTTACCAAGTATTTCTTCTGAATACCGTTAAAGACATGCACTTGTTCAAAACTGCCCCTGGTTTGGTGTTTGTGTGTTTCATTGCATTTGTGTGTGTCTCTCTTTGTGTGTGTGTTTCTCTGTGTATGCGTGTGAGTCTGTGGTTTTCTAAATCAGCGCCCAACAAGTTTTTTTAGCCTACATTTTCTTCTGCTTTAGCAACAGCAACAGCAGCAGCCAAAAGAACAACAAAAGACGTTGCCACTATCGCCATTGGTTTCACGTACACACAAAATGAACGAAAAAGAAAAGCCGCTTCTGTCAAACTGCTACTAAATACCCTACGGAATCTATAACAGGTTTTAAGTCATTTAATTCCTTATAAAAGGTAAAGAAAAATATGTATGTTATTTATTTATTTAGATGATTTATCGTAGTCAATTTGTTTTGGCAATTCTAATGATTACAAAAATACGTAATTCTACTCTATTTAAGTTGTAGGTATTTCACTTAAAAACTGATCAGCTTATAACTAATCTCGCCCGCGTTACAAATTACATTACAATGCCATGGATGCCCGACACGCATGAGGGTATCGTGTAAAAATGTGTCAAAAGAAGAAACAATCCAAGTGTGAGCGAGCGAGACAGAGAGAGAGAGAGGGAGTCTAGCTTGATGAACTGCTCTGTTAGGGGGGTTACAAGGGGGAGCAGCTATAAAACCGGATGATAGCCGGCAACTACATGAACCGATCGTCAAGTCTGTCTGTGTGTTTGCGTGCGTGTGTGTGTGTGTGTGTGCTTACGTATGCATGTATGTGTTGTACTCTGCGCTGCGCTGCATGCGCACTTCTTGATTTTTCGTTGCTTTTGTATTGGTTTAGCTTGGCACCTTTCGAGGCAGCACAAAGACAGGCACAGGTAAAAAATAAATATAAAAATAATACACACACACACACACATTTATACGTGTCTACATATGTAAATGTTTAAATACATATGCATGCGCTGCAGCGACGACGTTGACGTTGTCGTCGACAAGCCACCCAAAGTTCAGCTTTCAGCATTTTCTATGCACATTTACATATAGAAATTTTTTTGGGTAAGGTGCTCAGACCAATATTAATTTGAGTGGTGTTATTTAAGCATATTGTTGCTCCCACATGCAGAGGATGAACAAATATATATATATACTTCGACTCTATATACAGAAATACGGAAAGCAAAAATTAAAGCCTTGACGTAGCCAGTTTCTGCATGAAAGTCGGCTGCATACCTCAGAAGACAGTTACTTCTTCAGAGTTGCCAATTACGTGTTTTTCTAACGTTAGATCTGGCTTTTTAAAATGCAGTGATTTTTTTGTTGGATATTTTCAGGTACGTGAGGTGATACAAAGACTAATTATGTGATTTAAAAGGCTGACTGAGTTCCTGTCTTTAAATTGGATAAACATATCTGGTGGCGCGCTTTCTACCAAAAACTAGATTTTGTTTCGGTTGAGAAAACGCTGGCAGCACAGCTGGCCCGCCCTCTCACACAGACACACACGCACAGAAATGTTTAAAATGTTAAGTTATGCAAATGTATACGGAATATTGAATGTAGTGAAGATCGTAAACAGTTTATTGGTCAGGTTGTTCAACTTACTGTACTGTAAAATCCAAAAAATCCGGCCTAAATTTGTCCTTTAACAAAATCCAGTTTGATCAACTTGGCGTGTCTCCTGCTGTAATACAAAGAAATGCATAAGAATTTGTATATTAATAAGTTTATACATTCGTATTCGTTAAGTGAATCGTAAAATGACAATTAAGAAATCAGACTCAAAACTAACGGAAAAACATGTTTTGTATGCTGTGCAAATGCCCCAAATACACTACACTGAATGCAATTGGCCGAGCATATGGCAACTATGGCGGGCCTCTGCCGTGTTTATTAACAGAAATGTGCATCAATTCAAAAAAGAGTACAGTGAGAGAGACAGGAAGACCGAGAGAGATATAGAGAGAGAGTGAGAGTAGAGAGGAGAGAGTGCAGTGGTGCTGCCCTATGGCAAAACTAGCGGCGACCTTTATGCATAAATATGCGGGCCACTTATTGGACAATTATTATTGTTCTGTTGATGTCACTGCAGTGAAGCGCACGGAACAAAAAGTGGAGCATAAAATATATGTGTGTGTGTGAGTGTGTGTAGGCGGAAGCGACGAGTGAGCAAGAAAGAGTGCGTAGTTGAGTAAATATGAGTGAAAGGTTTTTAATGCTTTCAACTTGTTTGATCACTCTAAAAGTAGTATACAATTTTTTTTTGGTCATTTTAGTTAGACGAAATGTATTTTAAAGACGAATGCCAAAAGTTCAAAAATCGTATGGCTCATGCTCACACACACACACACAGAGAGGCACGCGCGCACTAACACACTAACATAAACGCTGCCGCCTGTCTTTGCTGTTGCTGCTCCCGCTGCTGTCAATCGGACATAGGCACACATACACACACACATACATATATACATATGCATAGTTTTATGGGTGTATGCGTGGACGACGTCGTAGACTCCGCCACCGCCAATGAAATATGGCTCTGACTTTCGTGTCTTTCTCTGAGCGCTGTGTGTGTGTTTGAGTGCCCGTGTCCGTGCCCTGCATATGTGTGACGACGACGACAGCAGACCGACCGTGCGGTTGATAATACTATTAAAAAACACGTTGTTTTATGTTTTTTTTTTTGATTTGAGGCGAATTTTCTTTTTAAGAATTTACGTATTTTGAACATGTAGTGCATACTGCACTGAATTTTGTTTGTATTTCTTTTGAAATGCAAGTAAGAAGTTTCCACGTTGCGGCAGCCGCGGCCTCAATTTTCTCTCAAGTCGGCGCCGCCTTCTTCACTTATATTTCAAGCACATTTTTATTTAAGTTTAGCAATTGAAATTGGTCTTTTGAGCGCGCACAGTTTGTCTCAGTGTTTAAGCGCTTTTAAATAGATCTTTTTGATTAATTTTAAGTTTAGACTTTCTACTTAGAACTGCAATACGCACACGAAACGGATATCAACTCCAAGTAAAGTGAATGAATGAGCAACTGAGCGAACGTGGCAAAATGCAGCGTGTTGCCACATGGCGTTTTTCTAGTGGCAACGCTGCGGGCACAAGAAAATCAGTGCTGCCAGAAAGTTTTCATGTTGTGGGTGTTGTGTGAGAGCACTAATCGATAACAATGTCCATTGCTCAATTTGGCTGTTTACCATCCTTAGCGCCATTCACAACAAAGACAAAAGAGCGAGTAGCTTTTTTTCTTATTCTTCGGTTTGCACGGAAAGTACCCGTTCTCTGGCATTTCCGAAAGATAGTTTATTTATAGAACAGAAATCGGCGACAAAAATACGCGACATGCCCAAGTTAAAGAGTTTGGTACCCAACTTTTTTGGCAACAACAAAGATAAGCACAACAATACGAATATGAATACGGAGGAGGGACGACTGGAAACAGACGCATTGCCCATTAGCGAGGAAGATAACAATAGCGGGGCGCTATCGCTGGCCTCGAATACACCAACACCATCAGCGGACCTAACCGAGTCCGTGTTGCGCGAACTCTCCGATCCCAATTACAATTCCATGGATGTCGTCCAATCAGCACAGATTCCAGGCTCCGCCCTAGCTAACAACAGCAACAACAACACTATGAACACAATGAATGTGCATAGTGCACAGCAACAGGTGGTCATGAATTTCTCGAATGCCAGCAACTTGCATTTTGGCTCCGTTTACAATTTCAATCAGAGCCTGAGCGCCTGCAGTTCACGCAAGGGCAGCACGAGCACCACAGAAGAGGTTGCAGGAGCCATTTTACCCACCTCGCTGGAAGGCAAACGTCATGTGCCGCGCAAAACCGTTAGCATTGTGGCCATGATGCAGTCGCAACAGGAGCCCGATCATCGACTGCTGGACACGGTGGCCACACATCTTGGCGAAGGCTGGAAGCAAGTAATGCGCGAGCTGGGCCACTCCGAGGGTCAGATCGAGCAGGCGATTATCGATCACCAAATGCACGGCAATATCAAAGAGGTATACTATTATTATATACATGTGGCTGTACAGCTCTTAAGTTTTTCATTTCAATTGTAGGTCATATATCAGCTGCTCCTGCAGTGGGTACGTGGTGCTGACGATGGTGTCGCCACTGTGGGGCGACTCACCACGCTGCTGTGGGAGACACAGCATCGTGAGTGCGTGCAGCGCATGAAACTGGTTTGGAAAGCACTCGAGAAGCGTAAGACATCCAGTTAGTTAGCGCTTAAATCAACATGCGCTGTACTTCCCCCAATGAAAAAATTTAAAGTTAGTCACTAATTTAATTGTTAGCCTTTCTAATATTGGTAGTTAAGCATATGGCTACCTTAACATTTTTCCACTACTTGTTTGCGCTCTCAGCAAAACAAAAGCATTTGTGCAATAATTTGTTAACGATTTTTTGACAAACGGCATTGTATAATACAGTTGATGCTCGCAAATTAGAATTGCCAAGTTCTTACTTTTGATTCATTTTTGTTAAGTTTCAAATTTGTTTGTTAAAATTTGGTAGTTCATAAAATTATTGAATAGCTTGAAAGTACCTGCAAAAATGAGAGTATATCTAAATTCATTGCGTTCCAATTAGCGAGCGACTACTGTTCATTTAACTTTCGAATAAATGCCTTAAAGTTTGTCCACAAAGCAACTTATTTTTTAAAAATGTGAATGTGATATTTAAGTCGAGTATATGATTAGGTAATATGTGCATTCTTTTCGAGTAATCTTTTGCAATAAAACAAGACGTAAATCGGTGAGATTTATTATGTAATTTTTAATACATTATTATATTAATATAGTTGCAATCAGTTAACTTTTGTGATCTTTGCGGCCAACATATCAATTAACATTTGTGCGCCGTTGCCATTACTTGACCGATAGTTGGGCAGCTGCTCCATCCGCTCGAGCCAGGCGCTTAGCCGTGGATAACGTTGCTCCTGGACGGGCGCCAGACCCAATAGGCCGGACACAGAGGACACATAACTGAAATCAGCTATTGTCAATGTGGCACCAGTCATATATTCTTGGGTGCCGAGGAACGCCTCGAGGAAATCGTACATGCTGTAGATGCCATCAATTTTGCTCTTCGACACTTCCGTTTGATTATGATGGAATACCGGCAGGGCAATCTCACGAATGCAGCCCTGGAATATGACGCCCGAATCGAAGTGGAGGCGTTGATCGACAACGGCACGCTTGTAGTAATCCTTGGGATACAGTTCATCCGTCTTGCCATATTTACGCACCAGATACGCCATTATCGCATGCGAATCCCAAATGCAGATTCCATCATCCTCCAGTAGGGGTACCGTATGCTGTGGATTCTTCAGAGTGTACTCCTTGCTCTTGTGCTCACCAGCCAGCAGATTAACCAGCTTGTAATCATACTGAAGACCCAGGGCGTGAAGTGTCAGCTTACAGGCACGCACCGGTGGACTCGCCTCCAAGCCATACAACACTAATTTGCCCATTATTTAAATTGGAATTGCAAATCGAAGCGTGCTTACGCTCCAACTGTTTCAATTGCACTAAAATCGTCAGATTGTGAATTGAATTTGCTGCAGCTTTTTATATAATCGAAATTCGTTTCGGTTTCGGTTTTTTTCGTAGCTTGGATCTGTGCCAGACGAGTAATCTAAGGTCAAACAACAATCACTACTAGCGGGGATTTTCTAGATTTTCTAATTTCAATTGACATATTATAATTGTTGTGAAATTCTGGGCCTTGCAGCCACATGTGATTATTGTGCCTCTTGCCTTATACAATCTATAAATACATTGTTTAAGTCTCGTACCCAAAAAGAAGTTGCAATCAAAAATAGTTATGGTTTCGTTTGATTTCTAGGAAAACCTTTTAATTGACTTCAAAGCGTGCACAGATAAGATTATCAAGTCCAAATATTCTGATAACGGTCCCAAATTTTGCAGTTTATGCAAAGGTCATTGATTCTACTAGTTATCAAATTGAATTATTATACTATGATTTTTGGTTGAAAAGCACATGTGTTTTATTTTCTGAGCAGTAATTAAATAATCGCTGTCTTCACATGATTAACAGCTTTAATTTGAACAAGTAAGAGTGCTGTAGTGAGCTGTCGAGTGAGCTCGACTACGATATACCCTCAGCCCCGTTGTTAAATACATTCTAGTTTACATTTCTATTCTAGAATACATACATGCATACATATATACGTACACGCAATCGTAACGGGGAAACGGTGCTCTGAGAATATATATGATATATGATAATATATTTTCGCCTATAACTTGGGTGTTTCTCATCCGATCTTGATGAAATTTGGGTAGTTGATCTATAACATGCATATGTATATTCTGTGTAAATTAGAAGACTCTGCCTTTAAAATTGTAGTATTTATTGCTATCGGAAATCGAAATGTATCGATATTTGACAAACGGAGTTACTTATCGATAAAATAAAGCATACTTAATCTGCGCCGGGTATACGAGAATCTATATTCCAAATTTGAAGTCTCTAGCTCTTATAGTCTCTCAAATTGGCGTGTTCATACGGACAGACGGACGTATGGACAGATGGTCATGGCTATATCGACTCGGCTTTTGACCCTGAACAGGAATATATACACTTTAAGGGGTCGAAGATGCGGAGATGCACAAAACCATTATACCCATTTTTAATGGGTTCAGGGTATACAAATATAACTGATAACGGTTACAATCTCAAATATATATCATAATAAATGTCATTTTCTGAAAGCTTTGAGTAACAATTTAACACTTGTTATAATTTACTAAAAAATAATACGCAAAACAATTTGTTTATCAAATAAAATTAGACTCTGAGAGAATGATTCATTAAATTTAAGGGAGTATTTCGATTTTAGAAGAACGCTTAAGAGATTTGTCAATAGCAAAGCTTTTAGCGATTTTGTTTGTTGTTTTTATTAGATATTCATTTTATCATTTTGCCCTTACTCAAAACTTATGGTGCCACTGTAAACTTGGCCTTCTTAACTGAAGCCACAAAAAGACGAGCACCTTTCTCATTTTCCGCATAGAATGGAAACTGTTGCATGCGATTTATCCAAGCGGTGAGTTTTGGATATTTAATAGAATCAATTTCGACATAGGCCACCATTGAACTGATCGATGCGATAAGACTAAAGTCAGCAATGGTCAGTTGATCTCCAGCTATGTAGTCCTGATCCTTGAGGAAAACCTCCACAAACTCATAGGCCTCAACAATGGCCTCCAAACGCTCTTTGGGCACCTCAGTCTTGCCATGGAAAAGGACCATTTTGGTGATGCTTATCAAAGCATTGGCAAATACAACGCCAGATTCAAAGTGCAATCGCTGATCGACAAGGGCGCGCTTGTAGTAATCCTTGGGATACAGCGCATCATCCTTGGCATATTTACGAACCAGATACGCCATTATCGCATGCGAGTCCCAAAACCGCGCCGAATCATCCTCCAACATGGGCACCGTATGCTGAGGATTCTTTTCCAGATAAGCCGGCGACAGCTGCTCTCCCTTCAGCACATTCACCTGAACATATTTATAAGCGATTTGCAGTGCTGCCAGCGTCATTTTGACGGCGCGCACTGGCGGACTGGGATCAATGCCGTAAAGCGTCAGTTTAACCATGTTGAAGGTTCGCAATGCGAATACAGACTACCTGCTGAAGAGCTTTTCAAAGCAGAAGCCAAAAAATTAGCTGTATGTTAATTAGTTTTTTGGACTGCTCGCTGAAGAAACCAACTTCAGATGTTCTCTTAGCATTATGTCATCATTCGTGTCTGAAAACTGAATTGCTTTCTCTTAGCTTGCACTCTTTTTTAATTCGAATTCCCATCGATAAATGAGAGATGTGTTTAGAACTTTATGAAGAGCACCTAAGCCGTTAACTGTTTGGCTACTTGTTCTCTTTTTAGTTCACACACAGAGATAAAATGTACACACACTGAAAGCATTTAAACAATTTGAGCGATTTTTGATAAGAACATTTCTAGAAATATATTTACTACATATGTATGTTTGTTATGAACAACTGATAACACTTTTGATTTGCTTATGCTGTCACTATGTAAGTTTACTTTTAACAACGGCGGCAAATTGTTGAAGACCCTGAGAATTTTCCCCATAATACGGCAACTTTGCCAAACGCTTAACCCATGCACTCAGTTTCGGGTACTTGGCGGAATCGATGGGCGCATAGATATCCAGCGAGCTGATCGATGAGATGAGACTAAAGTCGGCAATTGTCAACTGATCGCCGGCCATGTAATCGTGATCCTTGAGGAAAGCCTCCAAAAAATCGTACACTTGAATAATGGCCTCAATGCGTTCTTTGGGCACCACAGTCATGCCGCCGAATAGAATTATTTTGGTAACGGATCGAAAAGCATCGCCAAATACGACGCCGGATTCAAAGTGCATACGTTGATCAACACGGGCGCGCTTCACCAGATCCTTGGGATAGAGCGAATCATCTTTGCCATATTTGTTCACCAAATAGCTCATGATTGCATGCGAGTCCCAAATGCACGCTTCACCATCCTCCAACATGGGCACCGTGTGCTGCGGATTCTTCTTCAGGTATTCCGCTGAATGCTGCTCTTTATTTAGCACATTGACCACCTTATAGTCATAGGGCAATTGGAGAGCAGCCAGCACAAGTTTAACAGCACGCACGGGCGGACTGCCATCGATTCCGTAGAGAATTGGCTTCACCATGTTGACTGCTTGGCTATATCAACTATTATTGACTAGTCAAGGGTCGCGGCAACGCTTATATATGACTCGACCTTTAGAAGAGAGACGCCCAAAATGTCCAATTATTTTTGAGAGAAGTTACTGTTGCTCAAGAGTAAATTTTACTCTCTCTCTCTCTCTCTTCAACAATGCTATTGATAAATCGAAACCAAATTGAAAACTATTTTTAAGTAAGTTTATTGAACATTACAGTGTACAAATTCCATGGTAATTAAGCAATGTGAATTGTTCTACTGTGTTTTGAGTTAATATTGTGTTTTAAGAGAGCTCTCATTCGTGTTTATTTGCGGATTGTTTCGCTGAGAGGCTATCTTTGTACATTCGATTGCCTATTTAAGTGTGTTTTTTTTTGCTCATCATATATACACACACTACTCTACACTAGTTGTGTTCTACTAAAATAAGCAATTGACAATCAATTGTTTCAAGCTGTTTGTCGATGCTGACTCGTAGTGACTCGGCTATTTCTATTGCAAGTACATAAACAATAACTTTATTGTTAACATAAGAGAATTGCCGTGTATTTGCTGCTCTCTTGTTCGCTAAATATTGGCATAAGTGCGATAAGTAAGTGATTTACTCCGACCTGGGATTACGATAAAATTGTAAAGTTTTTCGATTTGAGCAGACCCTCAAGCTGTGCGGCTCCAATGCCATTGACCTCCTCATAGTAGGGCAACTCCTTGAGACGTTCCAGCCATTCCAATATCTTTGGATACTTGCCGGGATCCAGTTCCAAGTACACAAACAAGCAGCCAATCGACGTTACAAAGCTAAAATCGGCTATGGTGAGCTCGCTGCCAGCCACATAATCGTTGTCGCCGAGCAGAACTTCCACAATATCATAGACCTCACCCACGGTATCTAAGCTGGACTGCTCAATGTTTGGGATACCTTGAAAGAGCAATCTTCGCGTTATGGGACGCAGTGAGCCCGTGAACATCATACTCGAATCGAAGTGCAGCCGCTGATCGACAATAGCGCGTTTCTTCCAATCCGTCGGATAGAGAGCGTGGTTTGGTGCATATTTACCCACCAGATAGGCCATTATGGCATGCGAATCCCAGATGACAAATTCACCATCCTCCATTAGAGGCACCGTGTGCTGCGGATTCTTCTCCAGATAATTGGGCAACAAATGTTCACCATCTAATAAATTCACAATCACTAACTGTAGGGCAGCCCCAGTGCCTTGAGCGTTAGCAGACAGGCGCGTGTTGGTGGACTGGCCTCCATGCCATAGATAAGAATTTTGCCCATGTTTCAGCGGTGATTGAAAACTGCAACTGAATGCGATGAAAGGCGGACAGGTCCTTTTATAGTCGGACGCCAGCCAGGCCTGGGAAACCTGTGGCTGTGGCCAAGGACATACTAAAATTAGCACAAATGGTATAATTACTCCAAAAGTAATTGAATACTCACCTTGAAAACCAAACGAAATTCAAACGGTCAACAAATTTACTATGCCTCAGCTTACTGCAAACTAACTTCAATAAAAAGCAATTTTGAAAATGAATTGAAGCTTGGAAAAGTTACTTAAAATCTTAAATCAAATTTTACAATTAGAAAAATATAATAATATAGAACCTCTCATATTATAAATAAATTCCTTTTAAATTGAGCGACTTAAACGTTTAAGATAGGACAGAAAATACATTAATACAAAGATCATAATAATTTTACAATAATAATATATCATGCGATCTGAAAGAAATAGTAATAGCAAAATAATAAAGTTAGGATGTAATCATTTAATAAATAAATGCATTATAAATATATTAAATAATAAACTAAACAAACCGACACGATAGGTGTCTATAGGGTATACTACACATATACTATAATAAGTTGATTGAATTTAAATAATTTATGCATGTGAAACGCACAAACTGGCGAATTGTGTGAATCATGAATCATGGTAACGGTGCCTTCGAAAAATATATTGTCAAGCGTATTACTCAAATTTAAATAAAATTCTTAAATGACATATGCTGCGAGCTCTATGCAAATATTGACTTAGTCGTAGATAGTGTTTGGTAGGCAACGGCAATCTGAAAGCCAAGTTACTTATCTGTAGCATTAATAAACAATCAGGCAACAACTTAAACTTGCAGCATTATGACGTCTTTGTTTTTTTTTTTTACCTGTAAGTAGCACTGTCGAGTATCTAATCTTATCTAAACATATGCTTAACATCACTTTTGTGCACTGACTAGTTGCTGGCAGTCAGTCGGAAATTGTGATCATCACCCTAAAGCAGCTAAAGACCGCGCAAGCAAAAATACCCGACAGAGAGATTCCTTAGAGATCCTTCACAATGGTGCTCACATTGCATGGAACACGGATGAATCCATCCGAGCGCGCTATCCTCTTAACGTTGCACGCTCTGGAGCTGGATTACGAGTTCCGGCAAGTGGATATGCCGGCAGGATATGATCAACTGCCTACGGTGCCGACGCTGGAGGATGGCGACGCTGCCATTTGGGAGTCTCATGCCATTATCGGATATCTGGTGCAAAAATATGCCAAGGATGGGGATGATGCACTGTATCCGCGGGAGCCGCTCCAGCGAGCCATTGTCGATCAGCGATTACACTATGAATCTGGCGTTCTGTTCGTTGCTTTCAAGGAGCTACAGCATCTGCTCTTCACGGAAAACATAACGGAATTGCCCAAGGATCTGATTGACCAACTACATGAGACATACGCAGTGTTGGAGCAATTCCTCGTCGACCAGGCGTATCTGGCCGGTCAACAGCTGACCATTGCGGACTTCAGCATTGTCTCGACGTTAAGCAGTTTGCATCTGAGCTATGCACCGATCGATCCCACTGAATATCCCAATTTGAGCGCATGGTTGGCCCGAATCTCCTCGCTGCCCTACTACGAAGAGGCCAATCTCCAGGGAGCTCGACTCCTCGCCGACCAAGTGCGCGCCAAGCTGCCCAAGCAGTTCGACAAACTCTGGCAGAAGGCCTTCGCGGACATCAAAAGCGGCGCCGTCAAACTGTAATGTAATAAAACCCCATAATGAGAGCAGTTTATATTTCTGTTGTTCCTTCTTGGCTTATGTATTTCTTCATGTAACCGCGATTTGAATAAAGTTCATGTATTTGCCTGTCTGCCACAAAATTTGCATCTGACCATTTCCTATACATAGCTTATTGTGCTCGACTATAAAATACCTATAATAAAAAGCCTCAGTTTTAAATGAATTTAAACAGTTTTATTTCTTATGTAAAGTTTAGTAAGAGAGATATTTATTTATTACTCTAGAAAATTAATTGAGCTTAGATCATGTTAATTTAGAAGGACTCTTGTAACGTAGGCAACAAGCTACTAGTGACGTACTATAACATAACATAATAAGTTAACATGCAATTATGTACTTAACATTGATATCGATGTCGATCGATATCAATTGTGTGATCATCAACTTGAAGAAGAAGAAATCAGTCGTTTTAGAAATACGGATAATTTAGTTTTGACATCCACATTAAGTAAATCGAAATATGATCTAAACAATTTTTAAATAATTTTTAACTTTATCGTTGTAGCAATATTTACTGTAATGTATGCAAGCAATTAAAGTTATGAGATAAGGAATGGTATACATACAATTTAACATGTTTTAAATATTTGTTTTTGAGATTTCTAACGTTGTTTAGCAAAGTGCATATACCCATTTGGAAACATTCGCAACAGGGCATAATTATGTTTGAAAAACTTTAAAAACTTTTTGCGCTCATTAAAATTAAAAATTTTCCAGCTCTGGCAGCGCTCCACACGAAGAAGAAGGAGAAGAAAAAAAAAGATGCACGAAATGAAAAGAGCAAAGTTTTGCTGCCGTGTCGTGCATGCCAAAGTTGTTAAATCATAATTAATTTATGATGCCGCCAGCTAGCAACCTGAAGTTGGTAGCTCGTTTTTTAGTTGTTGGGAGTTGTGAGTTACAAAACAGCAGCTGGGAGCAAGGTGCGTCAACGACTTTGTGTAAAACACTCTCTTAAAATGGCAAGGAACCTGCCTAAATGCCTGACAGAGAGATGCCACCCCCCGCCCTCAAGCACTTTGAAGGAGCAGCCTGCATCCCTCTTCTGGTTTTATGCACCCCAATGCAGAGACGATGGCGACGGCAACGGCACCAAACTAATTGGTTTAATTTCAACTTTTACTTTGGATGTTGTCTCGCCACCGTCCCTGGGCCAGGCCACTGTGAGACCAGGTGGGCTGTCAAGCTTTATGCTTCGCCAGATTCGCTTGCCTTAATGCGAATTTTTTGCATTCTACTTTTACCGTTTCTACTCTACCTGATACCTTTTGTGTTTTTCTGCTCTGTACTTTATCAATTTGTTGCAGCATACTTTTAGGCGTTCTATGAAATTTTTCACTTTGCTTTGGGCTGAAAGTTGAGTTTGATTTTTCTGACAGTCCAGTGAAAAGCAGCTTAAGCGTGAGCTTCATTTCACAAATGCAAGTGCAACGGTATTAAATTAGAGCACAACTCAATTGCTAAATCTTTTATATACTTGAACAAAAAAGTGTCAAGTGCGCTTAATGCAGTATTTTTTGTTATTTGGTTTGCCACAAACTTTACAGGAATCATACATATCTTTACTCTTCATAAATAATATTAGAACAAAATGGTAGAAATTTTAAAACGGAGATTTTCTCTGAAAGTAGAGAATTCCATACATTTATTATAAGAGATACATATATGCTTTATAAAATCCATAAGTTGTTTCAAAATCATCTACATATTCAGATGTATACTTTGCTGATTGATTTCAAGATCTCATAACTTATACTTAACGCTTCGCAGAATTGGATACTTTTCGCCTGCGCACTGGCCACGAAAATCATCCAGCGACAGATCATGGAAGGCTACGCCACCCAAGTTCTTAGCCTGAACATAGCTGGCCTTAATAGCCGCCGTTGTAGGATCCTCGTAACCTACCCAGACACCGGACTCACCATTTTCACCCACCGCCCGATATGCATAGATGCCATAGCGTTTCGTTGGATCGCCTACCTTGCGAAGATGATCTGTGCTCGTGTCCTTGCCCCCGCCGAGATGATGCTGCAGCAGTTCACAGATCTCGGGCCAGCTCATCAAGCCGGGAATGCCCGTGCGTTTACCAGCGGGTGCAGCGCCCTCCGTAGCCTCAATGGGTGGAAAGCCTGTGATGCCGGAGTCGCGGCTCATTTGCCAGGCGCGTCCATAGCTAGTGATCCCAATGTTCAGCTGCTGTGCATTGGCTGTGTGATTCAGCCAGTAATCCACCTGATATTGGACATTCAGTGTGGAATCCCGATCGGACATGGCACACAATGGCGTTGGCAGATCCGCTTGCTTCGGATCACGGTATGGCGTCTGGAAGTCATAGGTGCCCAAGTTGACAAAGTCCAAAAAGCTCATCACCGAGGGAATATCTATGTAAACTGTGTAAAATATTGAAAATTAACTGGTATCAATTTGGACTGCAGAGCAGTTTGGTTTTAAATAAATCAAAATGAAATTAAAAATGCAGAAAGAACGGGTGTCTCAGACATGCCAAAGAATATACTTAATCACCTCAAAGTGTACGCTTAAAGACCGGAGTCAAATTATTACGATATATAAATTGAATTATATATTTAAAAAACTGACCGATTGTTCCCTTGAAAACTATTTGTTTCTGTCATATACAAAAAAATAACAGAGCTTGCGACCGATTGTTCCCATGCAAGCTATCCGATACATATAAATGCTACAAAAATACGCATATTTGCCAAGTTTCAGCAACACAGTTTCAAAGTTGAGCGGCAAGTTTGCACAGAAATAGACAGACTATTAAAAAATAATACTTGAATAAATTCTTTGTAGTAATTAATGTAATTAATGTGGTAATTTGATCCTGATTTGATTAACTCCACTAAAAGAATAATATAAAAAAAGCCTTAAGGAATTAAATGGGCAATCAAATATTCTACTCACGTTCGGCATCCACATGTGGCAACATGGTAAGGGTTAGCAGTTTGCCATTGCGCTGCAATTCCAAGCGCAGCTCTCGCACAAGCGTTGCAAATTGCGCTTTGTGCTCCTCGGCCGTGGGATCGATAGCGGAGCTGCTGAACCAGCCCTTGAACGAATTCCACGCACGCTTCAAGGCGCCCTGCTGCTGCTTGGGCCGGACCTGGGGAAACTGCCATGCCAGATCGAGGCCATCGAAGCCATATTTGGCCAGTTCAGCGTTGACGCTGGACTTGAATTTGTTGCGGCTGTCCGCCTCCTCGAGCAGGCTCAGATATTTCCCAGTGTCTGCCACGCCCTCGACATTAAGATCCCGTTCACCACCCACCGAGAGCAGAATGCGCAGATGGGGAAACTTTTGGCGCAGCGCCGTTATATGAGCATAATGCTGCCGGTTATAGCTAAGCTCCGGATTGAGACTCTTGATCTTAAAGCTTTCCGCATCGATGCCCGCATATCCATAAATCAGAAAGTTGCAAAAATTTAAAGCTGGCTCCAGTTCACTGAGCGATAGTTGTGCAGGGCCTTCAATGTATTGGAAATCCAAAATATAAGTCAACATAGACAATGCTATATGTGTATACAAAGATAACCCCACTCGACCTCCTTACGTCTAATACATACAGATTAGACGACATTTCGCTCTCACCTTCACGGACAAAACTCGAGGCGTCGTAGAAACAAACGAGCTTAGCCACATCGGCCTGGCTCACATGCCAGGAGCAGCACAGGCAGAGCAGCAGGCCCAGAAAAACACCACCACTGGGCAACATATGTGTGGGTGTGTGTGTGTGTGTGTGTGTGAGTGAGTACGTATGTCTCCGATACGTTGTGTTTACTTTGAGATTGGATTGCGGACTGATGCTGAGCTGGACGTGCTGATAACGCTGTGCGAAATGAATTCAAAACCTAATACAAAGCACGAAATTAATTTCAAAAACTTCGGAGTGTTAAGTCTCTCTAACTTTGACGTATCTCGACTGTCAGCTACTCTGTTTTTAGCATTTTTTGGTAATATTTAAGATTATGTCAAGAATCTTAGTTTACTTTATAAAGTTATCATTATTTATATGTTTGTTAGTCTAGTAGTAACGGAATATTTCACAAAAATAAATAAATTAAAATTATGTTCCAGCTGCTTTGCTCCATTATGGGTTACTTCTATTGCCAATGCCAGCCAACCACCGAAGAACACAAATCTCATAGCTTTCACAGACAAAAAGGTACAATATTTTGAGGGATTCAAATATAAAAGGGATTTTAGTGCGTTATAACTTGTTGTGGTTCAGCTTGGAGTTGGTTTGCCAAAGTCGCTGGTTCATGTCACTTTGCCGCCGTTACACCTACACGCCTCCCTAACCGCTCCCGTAGCTGAATTAATCGCAATTAGCAATTGACAATAATGTTGTTGTGCAAAGCTTTAATACATTAAGGCATGAGCTGCCTCAAATTTTACATCTTCCTCTGATCTGATCGGGTGAACGGTCTTTACAAAGTGCCTCATATATATAATTACAGATAATTCGGTGCAACCTGTCAAGGTCTGTTACATACTCGTCAATTGGTCAGTGTTTACAGTATTTACAGTGGCAGAATTTGATAATGAATAACAAGTGATTGATTAATGTATTAAATGTGTATTTATTATATTTACTGTGTTTAAGACAAATGCGATTTGGCTGCAATCATTACTTCTAGAATCTCATCTGATAAGTTTCCATTTTTATTACGGAATCTAAATAATGTGTAGTTTGTATGCTGTTTGGCATTCTTCAGTTTAGTTCTTCAGCCTTCGCCCTGTATGAACACTGCAGTTAGTACACCCAGCGTTTATGATTTTCGTCCAGCCCCATATGGGATTGGCTGTGCGAAGAAATTTCCAAGTTTAGTATCGAGTTCAAAATGCATAAAGTCCGTCTACTCACCACTGGCAAAAGCCAACAGACCCAACACAAATACAATTGACAGCCACTTCATTTTCGAATAGCTGTAGTGCAAACCTCAACAATTATACTGATTCATATGCAATGAAATCTTGTGCTTATATAGCCAAATTGATATAAGCTTCCAGGAATAAACTTATATGTGACAACAGGTCAACCACGAGATAACGCGGAAAAACCCGCAATTGAATATTTTAAGACCATCATTTTCGAATGAAAAGAAAGCTTTTGTTGCCTTGTGTATACTTAATGCGAAGTAAAATCTCTTGATGTGTATAAGGCAAAAGTTTAAAATTCTCTTAATTTAAGCATTCTAAAATCAATGGTCAAAACTGTAAATTCCGCACGGATCTCCTTTGTCCTGTTGCAAATGTTTATACACGTATAATTATAATTATTAATTAATACTGAATAAAAATATATGCTTTGCAAGCCTAAGTCCTATGTCCATGAATAATGATAGCTCAATCTTAGGCCAGCTGTAATTCTAGAACCCAATTATCTTAGTGCATCTTTTGACTTACGTATGAGTATTGTTTTTCGACAGACTTCTCAAAATTCAATTACAAATTGTTTACACAAATCTGTATATGTGTGTCTGATTAAAACATCAAGCCTTACTTGTTCCAGCTGCTTTGCTCCATTATGGGTTACTTCTATTGCCAATGCCAGCCAAGCACTCAAAAAATGATCAGTATCCTTCAGAGGCTCATACTTTTTGCTCTCCGCAAGCTGCTTTGGCTTTTCACCAATTTATTGCGTAAACAACAAAAATAAATAAAAAAATTAAAATAGTTTTTTTTCTTGCAGTATTTGAAACAACTTTTGCCAACTTGCATCGATTGGCTGCCGAGCTTGTAGTTTGACAGCCCTCAAGTGCTTATCCAAATCCTTTTAGAAACTACAATTAAAGTTTTGAATCCTGAAAGACCATTTGTCGAGCGTTTAATTTTAACATGTATTGCGAGTTTGAATAGCGTTTCCAACTTTGAATGCAGTTTTCATATAGAAGTCAAACCATTATCAGGAAGCCCTGGTTTTTGAAAATAGGGTCACTTTGACAAAGTTATGGCCTTTGAAAGTCCTGCACACATGCCCATGGACACGCCCACAGTTGCCCACATGCACACCCAAACACACACACACACACACACACACTCCACAGGTTGACAATAAAGCTCTGGTCGTCATAATAAACTAATAGTTCCCCAGCTGCCAAGAAATACTTAGCTGTCTTTGTGTTCCTCCAACCTCTGACTGATGCACATATATACATAAATATAAATATATATATATATATATATATATATATAAACATATATATATTTTTATATATATAGTTTTGTGTATGTATAATACACACACACACACACACAAGTATTTAAGTGTCTGCTTGTGTGGGCAAAGTTGTGTCTATAAAGGGTATATGCATATGTGGTTAGCAGGCATTGAAGACTTCTTGGATTTAAACAGCTGTTAGCTTTATAGCTTATACTTATACTAATTTTAAATTTGATATAAAAAAAGGCTATTAAAGCATTTCTAAAAGTAGCAAAATGTTATGGAATTTTTTCTATTATACAAGCTAAAAGTACTTGTAAAGTTGTAATGTAATGCTAAACCTTGCAATTACTTTTCAAACTTATAATATACTTTAGATTAATTTCAGCAATTTGTTTAAACTAAGTCAAATTAAGTTGTCCCTCAGGGACACTCACATTAATGTGCGAATTTCTTAACCAGTAGAAAAAACATTGAAATATTCAAGTTGTTCTGAAACTGAAAATTCATATAAGAAAAGAGCATTTCAGCTTCGTTTACGCACACACTTTTCGCTACTCTGTCACAACAGTGGCACTGGCATGTTTACACACACACATACACACACACATAATGTGAATGATGTAGTGTGCACAGCCATGGCATATTTTCACACAAGCTTGAGTAAATAGGCCCAAAACCCCGCAGAAGCTTTCTTATCTGGCGCTCCTCGCCTCGCCCCTCTCACGCCTTGAGATGCATTACTCGTAAGAATCTGTATATATTTAATAAAACAAAGAAATGATGTAAGCTATATATATATATACAAATAGTGTATTATTTATATATGTGTATTATTTATAAATACTCGTTGAAGAAAATGTAAAAAAGTTAACAATTTGTATATAAAAGCTCTGAAAATCACATAAATCATTGTGAATCAAGCAAAAAGTATTTTTTGTACAAGTTCTTTGTCTGAGAACACTTTTCCATAAATAGCTGTATAGCTAGCAAAAACATTTTAATTTCATTTAATTTTACTCTGTTTGCTTTGTAACTTAATTGTATACACAATTCAGAGTTCAATTCAGAGAGTGAATTAACAACTACTACTATCTAAGCTAGGCTGTCTGACAATTCGACGTTCAGTTTCAAATATAGATTAATACTATCATGAAGTGATTGCTGCTGGCTTTCAGATTGCGACTTTCATTGTTAACTATACAAAGTGCCTCATATATATAATTACAGATAATTCGGTGCAACCTGTCACGGTCTGTTACATACTCAGTGTCAGTGTTTACAGTATTTACAGTGTTAGAATTTGATAATGAATAACAAGTGATTGATCAATGTATTAAATGTGTATTTATTATATTTACTGTGCATAAGACAAATGCGATTTGGCTGCAATCATTGCTTCTAGAATCTCATCTAATAAATTTCAATTTTTATTACGGAATCTAAATAATGTGTAGTTTGTGTGCTGCTTGACATTCTTCAGTTTAGTTCTTCAGTCCTTAACCTCCACGAACATTGCAGGTAATACAATCACCGTTAATGATGACGCTACCACCCCTTAAGGGATCGGCTGTGCGAAGAAATTTCCAAGTTTAATATCGAGTTCAAAATGCATAAATGCAGTCCTTCTACTCACCACTGGCAAAAGCCAACAGACCCAACACAAATGCAATTGACAGCCACTTCATTTTCGTATTGTTGCAACGTAAACCTCGACAAGTATACTGATTTAAATGCAATGAAATCTTGTGCTTATATAGTCAAATTGATAACAGCTGCCGGGAAAAAACCTATACGAGGAAAAAACGTTATGTGATAACAGGTCAACTACGAGATAGCGCGGAAAAACCCGCAATTGAATATTTTAAGACCTTCATCTTAAAATAAAATGAATGCTTTTGTTGCCTTGTGTATATTTAATGCGAAATATAATCTCTTGATGTGTATAAGGCAAAAGATCATGCTATTTCATTGATTAACAAAGTACTAAGAGGGAAAGAGAGAGAGAGAGAGAGAGAGAGAGAGAGAGAGAGAGAGAGAGAGAGAGAGAGCGAAAGAGATTGAGAGAGTAAGTACCATATAATTTATGTGTGATTAGTGAGGAGTAATTATACCTTAGCCAACAAATTTTAACAAAATTGCTATAGCAAATGTTAGAGAAATCGAATCTCCCCATTCAATAGGGAATATACTGGTTGCATCATGAAATCAAGAGCAGAGTATTTTTAGATTTCCTAATAAGCTTCAAGCTATGTTTGCATATCGCAGCAACGATTATACATAAGTATCGCTTTATCGATTAGTATCGAAAATCTGGTCACACATGAATTGTTTTTCTTTCTTTCTGCGTTGTATTTTCCTAAGCTCAAAAGTTGCTCTCAATTCTTCAATAAGTAAAGACGCACTCGTGCATAATAAAGATAATCCATAATCAGAAACTGCGTTTGACTCTTCATTTTTCCACGCCATTTGCAACAGGTTATGGGCCCAGGGCCATGAAGAGTAGTGTTTGTTATTTTTAATTGCTGTGTGCTAAAATAATAATATAATAAACATGAGTGGACAAGGATTATATGCCATCGAAAAGTTGGATGGCGAAAACTATGCGGTGTGGTCGGTGCATATGAAAAGTGTGCTGGTGCATAATGACTTATGGCCAATTGTTAGCGGAAGAATTGTGAAATCGGAGAGTGCAACTTTGGCTGAAAAAGCTGAGTTTGATACGCGTGACTACTGGGTGTAAAAGCGTCACAGATAAGTTTCATTAAGAACTGTGCTTCGGCAAAAGAAGCTTTGGATAAGCTCGCCGGTGTGTATCAGCCGCGTGGACCTGCCAGAAAAATTACGTTGTTTCGAAAATTGCTTCGGTTAAGCTTGTCAGAGAATTCGGCTGTGCAAAACTACATAAATGAGTTTTCCGATATAGTGGACAAGCTAAAGGAAATTGATATGGAAATTTCTGAAGACATTTTGACAATTTTGTTGCTGTCGGGACTTGGAAAAAGTTTTAAAAATTTTGTCGCCGAAACGCGAGAGCAGTTGCCATTATTGTCTGACCTTAAAATCAAAATTATTGAAGAAGGAGAGAGACAAAAAATAAGCAACGAAGAAGCCGACAACAGTGTACAGCAAGCGTTTGTGTCGCGTACAAAAAACAGAGCAAGCAAAAAAGTGCATGAAAATAACGGTGCTATGCATGCCAAAAAGTGTTATAGATGCGGCCGTGAAGGTCATTTTATTGCGCAGTGCAAAGAAAGAATAAATGACAAAGGAAAGGAAAAAAGCAACGACGCAAAACGATCGTTCGCTATACTCGCGAGTGTGCAGAGTAACAGTAAAGTGACAAAATCGATGTGGTGTCTGGACAGTGGCGCCACTGCTCACATGTGTTGTGATAAATCGTGGTTTGTTGACTTTAAAGAGCACAATGAAAAAATTCTTCTCGCGGGCGAAAAATTCATAAAAACGTTTTGTACGTTAGAGAATTACAAACAAACTTTATATCTGTTTCAAAAGCCGTGGCAAAAGGGTATAAAGTGGTGTTTGAGAGAGAGAGAGAGAGAGCCATAATAAAAGACACTCAAAATGTGACAATACTGCAGGCTGAAATGGCATAATCATCTTGGTCATCTAAATATGGCAAGTTTAAGCAAAATGGCAAGGAATGAGATCGTGCACGGTTTGAAATCGATCAAGAAAAACATGGCTGTGTGCGAAACTTGCGCGAAAAGCAAAATATGCGTTGGATCGTTTCCAAGGGCATCTGAGAGTCGCGCAAAAGAAGTGTTAAGTCTTGTGCATACAGACATATGTGGACCAATAAATACGACGTCTGCCGGAGGGGCACGGTACTTTGCGACATTTATCGACGATTATTCGCGTTATACTTTTGTGTATTTCTTGAAGTCGCGGGACCAAATTCTAAAAGTGTTTAAAGGACTGGTAAGCCGGGCCGTCCCACGAAGGTATTTAATTCTCTTAATATGTTAAGAGCAGAAGATGTGCCAATCCCCGCAAGTATAGGTGATGCTATTAATTAAAAAATGAGTAGAGAATGGTTAGCATCAATACAGAAGGAAATTCAAGCACTTGAAGCAAATAATACCTGGGAACTTTTAGATTTGCCAGAGGGCAAGAGAGCCATAGGCTGTAAATGGGTATCCGGGGTAAAAATTGGCAAAGACGGTTACGAGGAGCGCAATGCGCTGACAAAACGCGTTGCAGAGTTGACGGAGCGCATCAGCAGCGTAGAGAAGGAGCTGTTCCCGCTGCAGTGCGGCAACAAGGAGCTGACCTCAAAGATCGAGGAGCTGAATGTGGAGAACACCTCGCTGCGCACCGAGGCCATCAAGTGGCGTCAGCGTGCCAATGCTCTCGTCGAGAAGAGCAACAGGAATCACGAGGAGTTCAAGCGCCTGCAAGCGGAGCGCGAGAGTCTCGCCAAGCTGCTAACAACCTAGAAGGAGGTGAACAAGAAGCAGTTGGACGAGCTAACGTCACTGAAGTCGCGCCTCGAGAACGAGATTCCGGCGTTGAATAGGAATCTCCAGATGTCTGATGTATTAACCAAGAATTTACAAAAGAACAAAAATGTGAAATGTATTTATGAAATGAATTGTTATTAATCTTGGTATTTAGTTAAGTATGTAATCATTGAGAGAGAGTGTTGAAATATGTTTGAATATCGCAGCAACGATTAATACTTAAGTATCGCTATATCGATTAGTATCGAAGATCTGGTCACACATGAATTGTTTTTCTTTCTTTCTGCGTTGTATTTTCCTGATTTCAAACGTTGCTCTCAATTCTTCAACAAGTAAAGACGCACTCGCGCATAATAGAAATAGAACATAAGCAACATGAAGTAAATTTCGATAGCTTTTATTGTGGGTCTATTGGTGCTGGCCAGTGGTAAGTGTGGAAACTGTAACCATAACTTCATGCATTCAATATGCACTTCATTTATCGCTAAGCTCCGGATTGAGACTCTTGATCTTAAAGCTTTCCGCATCGATGCCCGCATATCCATAAATCAGAAAGTTGCAAAAATTTAAAGCCGGCTCCAGTTCACTGAGCGATAGTTGTGCAAGGTCTGTAACGTACTGGAAATCCAAAATATAAGTCAACATAGACATAGATAACCTCACTCGACCTCCTTACGTCTAATACATACAGATTAGACGACATTTCGCTCTCACCTTCACGGACAAAACTCGAGGTGTCGTAGAAACAAACGAGCTTAGCCACATCGGCCTGGCTCACATGCCAGGAGCAGCACAGGCAGAGCAGCACGCCCAGAAATACACCACCACTGGGCAACATATGTGTGGGTGTGGGTGTGTGTGTGTGAGTGAGTACGTATGTCTCCGATACGTTGTGTTTACTTTGAGATTGGATTGCGGACTGATGCTGAGCTGGACGTGCTGATAACGCTGTGCGAAATGAATTTAAAACCTAATACAAAGCACGAAATTAATTTCAAAAACTTCGGAGCGTTAAGTCTCTCTAACTTTGACGTATCTCGACTGTCAGCTACTCTGTTTTTCGCATTTTTTGGTAATATTTAAGATTATGTCAAGAATCTTAGTTTACTTTATAAAGTTATCATTATTTATATTGTTAGTCTAGTAGTAACGGAATATTTCACAAAAATAAATAAATTAAAATTATAAACTATCAAATTGAGCGAATAAGTAAGACTATCAAACGTGCTCCAATTTGCGAATACGGAAAATGGTAAGCAAATGATAAATAGCAGTTTTCATATGAAAATTCTCTTAATATAAATAATATAAAGCATTCTAAAATCAATGCTCAAAACTGTAAATTCCGCACGGATCTCCTTTCTTCTGTTGCAAATGTTTATACTCGTATAATTATAATTATTAATTAATACTGAATAAAAATATATGCTTTGCAAGCCTAAGTCCTATGTCCATGAATAATGATAGCTCAATTTTAGGCCAGCTGTAATTCTAGAACCCAATTATCTTAGTGCATCTTTTGACTTACGTATGAGAATTGTTTTTCGACAGACTTCTCAAAATTCAATTACAAATTGTATACCCAAATCTGTATACGAGGTGTGTTCAAAAAGTATCGCGAATTTTGTGTTTTTTCAGATATTATTTATTTATTCATGAATATCTATTTTGTCCCCTTCAAAGTAATCCCCATGAGATATTATACACTTGTGCCAACGGTTTTTCCAATCTTCGAAGCACTTCAAAAAATCATTTTTTTTTATCTTGTTAGGAGCTTCGATCCCGTCTTTATCTCGTCAAGCGTAGCGTAACGTCGTCCTTTCATGGGCCTCTTCAGTTTAGGGAACAAGAAAAAGTCACAGGGGGCCAGATCTGGGGAATACGGTGGCTGCGGCATCATTAGTGTCTTGTTTTTGGCCAAAAAGTCGCGCACAAGCAACGATGTGTGAGCAGGGGCGTTATCGTGGTGCAAAAGCCAATTTTTGTTCTTCCACAAATCCGGGCGTTTCTGGCGGATTGCTTCGCGCAAATTGCGCATAACTTGCAGGTAATATTCCTTATTGACCGTTCTACCCTGTGGCAAAAACTCATGATGCACCACGCCCCTGCAATCGAAGAAAACTGTCAGCAAAACTTTCACATTCGACCGAACTTGGCGCGCTTTTTTCGGTCTTGGTTCGTGCGGCAGCTTCCATTGAGATGATTGAGCTTTGGTTTCCACGTCGTAACCATAAACTCACGATTCGTCACCAGTTATGACCCTCTGGAGCAAATTTGGGTCGTCGCGGACAGAGCCCAACATCTCATTAGCAATGTTCATGCGATGCTGTTTTTGGTCGCAATTGAGCAATTTTGGTACGAATTTCGCGGCGACCCGTCTCATGCCCAAATCATTGATAAAAATCGAATGGCATGAGCCAATCGATATGTCTAGCTCCTCAGCAACTTCTCTAACGGTGATTCGACGATTGGCCAATACCATTTTCTCCACTCCATTAATTTTTTCGTCTGTTGTTGAAGTGCTCGGGCGTCCGGCACGCTCTTCGTCGTTCACATCTTCTCGGCCTTCTGAGAACATTTTGTACCACCGATAAACGTTGCTTCGGTCCAAGGTAGCTTCTCCGTATGCCACAATCAACATTCGGAATGCATCCGCGCACTTAATTTCGTTTTTCACACAAAATTTGATACAGGTTCTTTGATCCATTTTTTTGAATAGGTAAAAATCGAAGACGATCCAAAACACGTGCAAGCAAAGCAGCTGTCAACAATTAAGTGAACAATCAAAATGGCCGAGCTTGTCGGCATAAGTGAGAGACATGAGTACCAACATAACGCTACAAAAAAATCGAAATTCGAATATACGTAACCCGCGAAAATTCAAAATTCGCGATACTTTTTGAACACACCTCGTATGTGTGTCTGATTAAAACCTTATTTTGAGGGATTCAAATATAAAAGGGATTTTAGTGCGTTATAACTTGTTGTTGTGGTTCAGCTTGGAGTTGGTTGTGTATATATGTTTGTAAGGAGAGAGACAGCTGTCATTAGTTGCTATCACTTTGCCAAAGTCGCTGGTTCATGTCACTTTGCCGCCGTTACACCTACACGCCCCCCTAACCGCTCCCGTAGCTGAATTAATCGCAATTAGCAATTGACAATAATGTTGTTGTGCAAAGCTTTAATACATTAGGCATGAGCTGCCTCAAATTTAACATGGCAAATGATGAGCTACCCCACAAAATACATCTTCCTCTGATCTGATCAGGTGAACGGTCTATACAAAGTGCATCATATATATAATTACAGATAATTCGGTGCAACCTGTCACGGTCTGTTACATACTCGTCAATTGGTCAGTGTTTACAGTATTTACAGTGTTAGAATTTGATAATAAATAACAAGTGATTGATCAATGTATTAAATGTGTATTTATTATATTTACTGTGCATAACGCAAATTCAAAAATGGAATCTTAATAATGTCTGGTTTGTGTGTTGTTTGGTATTCTTCAGGTTGGCCAGTCAGTTTTGAGCCTTCATGAATACCGCAGTTAGTACAAAAACTGTTAATGATGATTTTACTAGGCAAGAAAATGGCTGTGCGAAGAAATTTCCAAGTTTAATATCGAGTTCAAAATGCATAAAGTCCGTCTACTCACCACTGGCAAAAGCCACCAGACCCAACACAAATACAATTGACAGCCACTTCATTTTCGAATAGCTGTAGTGTAAACCTCAACAATTATACTGATTCATATGCAATGAAATCTTGTGCTTATATAGCCAAATTGATATAAGCTTCCAGGAATAAACTTATATGTGACAACAGGTCAACCACGAGATAACGCGGAAAAACCCGGAATTGAATATTTTAAGACCATCATTTTCGAATGAAAAGAATGCTTTTGTTGCCTTGTGTATACTTAATGCGAAGTAAAATCTCTTGTACTGTGTACAAGGCAAAAGTTCATGCTTATTTCATTGATTTACAAAGTAGTGTGGGAGAGAGAGAGAGATTGAGAAAGTAAGCACCATATAATTTATGTGTGATTAGTAAGGAGTAGTTATCCCTTAGCCAACAAATTTTAACAAAATTGCTTTAGCAAATGCTAGAGAAATGGATTCTCCCCATTCAACAGAGAATATACTGGTTGCATCATGAAATCAAGAGCAGATAATCTTCAGATTTCCTAATAAGCTTCAAACTATAATCTACAAAAATAAATATAAATGCATTCAGAGAATGAATATTTAATGATCAGTTGCAACTTGCAGGTAACAAATAGAACATAAACAACATGAAGTGGATTTCGCTAGCTTTTATTGTGGGTCTATTCGCTCTGACCAGTGGTAAGTGTGGAAACTGTAACCATAACTTCATGCATTCAATATGCACTTCATTTACAGCAAATCCGTTACGTCTGGACACTGAGATCATAAATGGCGATTGCCAAAAATGTCACGTACGCGGCAATTAATCAAATATGCACAAGGGGAGCAATGGGCAGTCAAATATTTTACTCACGTTCGGCATCCACATGTGGCAACATGGTAAGGGTTAGCAGTTTGCCATTGCGCTGCAATTCCAAGCGCAGCTCTCGCACAAGCGTTGCAAATTGCGCTTTGTGCTCCTCGGCCGTGAGATCGATAGCGGAGCTGCTGAACCAGCCCTTGAACGAATTCCACGCACACTTCAAGGCGCCCTGCTGCTGCTTGGGCCGGACCTGGGGAAACTACCATGCCAGATCGAGGCCATCGAAGCCATATTTGGCCAGTTCAGCGTTGACGCTGGACTTGAATTTGTTGCGGCTGTCCGCCTCCTCGAGCAGGCTCAGATATTTCCCAGTGTCTGCCACGCCCTCGACATTAAGATCCCGTTCACCACCCACCGAGAGCAGAATGCGCAGATGGGGAAAGCTTTGGCGCAGCGCCGATATATGAGCATAATGCTGCCGGTTATAGCTAAGCTCCGGATTGAGACTCTTGATCTTAAACTCGAGGCGTCGTAGAAACAAACGAGCTTAGCCACATCGGCCTGGCTCACATGCCTGGAGCAGCACGCCCAGAAATACACCACCACTGGGCAACATATGTGTGGGTGTGTGTGTGTGTGTGAGTGAGTACGTATGTCTCCAATACGTTGTGTTTACTTTGAGATTGGATTGCGGACTGATGCTGAGGCCGTAGCTGAGCTGGACGTGCTGATAACGCAGTGCGAAATGAATTCAAAACCTAATACAAAGCACGAAATTAATTTCAAATACTTCGGAGCGTTAAGTCTCTCTAACTTTGACGTATCTCGACTGTCAGCTACTCTGTTTTTCGCATTTTTGGTAATATTTAAGATTATGTCAAGAATCTTAGTTTACTTTATAAAGTTATCATTATTTATATGTTTGTTAGTCTAGTAGTAACGGAATATTTCACAAAAATAAATAAATTAAAATTATAAACTATCAAATTGAGCGAATAAGTAAGACTATCAAACGTGCTCCAATTTGCGAATACGGAAAATGGTAAGCCAATGATAAATAGCAGTTTTCATATGAAAATTCTCTTAATATAAATAATATAAAGCATTCTAAATTAATGCTCAAAACTGGAAATTCCGCATGGATCTTCTTTGTCCTGTTGCAAATGTTTATACTCGTATAATTATCATTATTAATTAATACTGAATAAAAATATAAGCTTTCCAAGCCTAAGTCCTATGTCCATGAATAATGATAGCTCAATCTTAGGCCAGCTGTAATTCTAGAACCCAATTATCTTAGTGCATCTTTTGACTTACGTATGAGTATTGTTTTTCGACAGACTTCTCAAAATTCAATTACAAATTGCTTACACAAATCTTATGTGAAACCTTACTTGTTCCAGCTGCTTTGCTCCATTATGGGTTACTTCTATTGCCAATGCCAGCCAACCACCGAAGAACACAAATCTCTTAGCTTTCACAGACAAAAAGGTACAATATTTTGAGGGATTCAAATATAAAAGGGATTTTAGTGCGTTATAACTTGTTGTTGTGGTTCAGCTTGGAGTTGGTTGTGTATATATGTTTGTAAGGAGAGAGACAGCTGTCATTAGTTGCTGTCACTTTGCCAAAGTCGCTGGTTCATGTCACTTTGCCGCCGTTACACCTACACGCCCCCCTAACCGCTCCCGTAGCTGCCTTAATCGCAATTATCAATTGACAATAATGTTGTTGTGCAAAGCTTTAACACATTAAGGCATGAGCTGCCTCAAATTTTACATCTTCCTCTGATCTGATCGGGTGAACGGTCTTTACAAAGTGCCTCATATATATAATTACAGATAATTCGGTGCAACCTGTCACGGTCTGTTACATACTCGTCAATTGGTCAGTGTTTGCAGTGTCAGAATTTGATAATAAATAACAAGTGATTGATCAATGTATTAAATGTGTATTTATTATATTTACTGTGCATAAGACAAATGCGATTTGGCTGCAATCATTGCTTCTAGAATCTCATCTGATAAGTTTCCATTTTTATTACGGAATCTAAATAATGTGTAGTTTGTGTGCTGTTTGGCATTCTTCAGTTTAGTTCTTCAGCCCTCACTCTGAGGTTTGAACACTGCAGTTAGTACACCCAGCGTTTATGATTGTCTTCCAGCCCCATAAGGGATGTGCTGTGCGAAGAAATTTCCAAGTTTAGTATCGAGTTCGAAATGCATAAAGTCCGTCTACTCACCACTGGCAAAAGCCAACAGACCCAACACAAATACAATTGACAGCCACTTCATTTTCGAATAGTTGCAATGCAAACCTCAACAATTATACTGATTCATATGCAATGAAATCTTGTGCTTATATAGCCAAATTGATATAAGCTTCCAGGAATAAACTTATATGTGACAACAGGTCAACCACGAGATAACGCGGAAAAACCCGCAATTGAATATTTTAAGACCATCATTTTCGAACGAAATGAATGCTTTTGTTGCCTTGTGTATACTTAATGCGAAGTAAAATCTCTTGATGTATATAAGGCAAAAGTTTAAAATTCTCTTAATTTAAGCATTCTAAAATCAATGCTCAAAACTGTAAATTCCGCACGGATCTCCTTTCTTCTGTTGCAAATGTTTATACACGTATAATTATAATTATTAATTAATACTGAATAAAAATATATGCTTTGCAAGCCTAAGTCCTATGTCCATGAATAATGATAGCTCAATCTTAGGCCAGCTGTAATTCTAGAACCCAATTATCTTAGTGCATCTTTTGACTTACGTATGAGTATTGTTTTTCGACAGACTTCTCAAAATTCAATTACAAACTGTTTACACAAATCTTATGTGAAACCTTACTTGTTCCAGCTGCTTTGCACCATTATGGGTTACTTCTATTGCCAATGCCAGCCAAGCACTCAAAAAATGATCAGTATCCTTCAGAGGCTCTTACTTTTTGCTCTCCGCAATGTGTTCAGCTGCTTTGGCTATTCACCAATTTATTGCGTAAACAACAAAAATAAATACAAAATTTAAAATTGTTTTTCTCTTGCAGTATTTGAAACAACTTTTGCCGACTTGCTTCGATTGGCTGCCGAGCTTGTAGTTTGACAGCCCTCAAATGCTTAGCCAAATCCTTTTAGTAACGACAATTAAAGTTGTTTAATTTTAACATGTATTGCGAGTTTGAATAGCGTTTCCAACTTTGAATGCAGTTTTCATATTGAAGTCAAACCATTATCAGGAAGCCCAGGTTTTTGAAAATAGGGTCACTTTGACAAAGTTATGTCCTTTGAAAGTCCTGCACACATGCCCATGTCTTTGTGTTCCTCCAACCTCTGACTGATACACATATATACATAAATATATATATACATTTATATACATATATAGTTTGGTGTATGTACAATATACACACACACACACACAAGTATTTAAGTGTCTGCTTGTGTGGGCTGGTTACCAGGCATTGAAATGTTGTAGTGTGCACAGCCATGGCATATTTTCACACCAGCTTGAGTAAATAGGCCCAAACCCCCGCAGAAGCTTTCTTATCTGGCGCTCCTTGCCTCGCCCCTCTCACGCCTCTCACACGCCTCTACCCAAACTCAAACAAAGCGCGGGCTAATGGGAATAGCAACCCCAAATATCATGAAACTGCTCAAAGTTGCCATCTGTAAGTCTTTAATACAGCTGACCTCCCCGTCGATTGGGTGATTAACTTTTTGGGCAACGTCAGAGCAAACATCTGCCCTCGGGCGAGAGGGAATTGTAAGTGGAGCATTTGTGTGGCATAATTAAATTGTTAACGCACACGTGTCGACTATGCGCCGGGTTGGCTTTTGGGTATTTATGCATGTGCATGGGTTCATTTAATCGGAATGCTTTCTACGTTGACAAATGTGGCAATGGCAATGCCAACAGCAGCAGCAGCAACAAAAACAACACCAACGCTAATCCACCCAAAGCCAATCTGTGAGCAAGGCAGGGAGCGACATCTGAAACCATGACAGTAATACCCAATACCCAAACCCAATGCTCAAACCCAATGCTCAAACCCTGTACCCTATACCCCATACCCGATTACAGTTCACTTTGCATGGCTTACGCCCTTGGCTGGTGTTTTTAATGCTTCATTGGCTTAATTGCCAACCAACAGCAGACACACTCACACACACACATACATAAACACACACACACACATGCACGCAACTTTTACCCGGTGAAAATGAATTCAACCACAAACACGTTCATTTACCTTTCATAGATACAGATACACACGTCCCAGCCAAACTCAACTCGGATGTTCGCTTTCCTACACATTTACAACTTTAAATTTGTGCTTTATAACCATTTTGCTCTTATTAAAAGTTTGTGCAAAAACTTATAAAACTTTGTATATAGGAAATGTATAATAAGTATTTCGTACATTTTAGATGGATTACTCGTAAGAATCTGTATATATTTAATAAAACAAAAAAATGATGTAATCTATATATATATATATACAAATAGTGTATTATGTTTATATGTTAATAAATACTCGTTGAAGCAAATGTAAAAAGCTAACAATTTTCATATAGAGGTTTTGAAAATAACATAACGGTACAGACTCAAAAAAAAAACTCGACTTACACAACACTACATAAAGACCTACATGCACACACAAAACAAACGAAACAGCCTTTCCTGCAATGGACCTGCGCGGATTTGATTTGATTGTGCAAAAATTGTTTCCCCAATTTGGCAAAAATCCGGACGCCGGATTTTGTTGAAGAACAATGGTACTTAGATATTTAAATTAATAATAAATATGAAAATAAATAAATATACGGACATGAATAACGAATAGATATATTACTATATATATATAGAAATTACTTAACATAACATTCAAATACATAGATAATTGCCTACATACAACATTTACATAAATATACTGCAGGACGAATGGATGCGCTGAAGCACTGCGCCCTGGGCACTGAACTTGGGTTTGGCACAATGTATGATCGGTTTGGCTCGCGCAGTCGACTTGCACTCGACAGGGCGTCAACTCCAGACTATATAACATAAATTATAAAGTTGCGGCGTGACCTGCCGTCGGCCACCTGAACATAAACCACAAAATTAAGACAGCACAACAATTAGTTGAACAGACACGCTTACGCCGAATTTGACTCCACAAAGCCTAAAGTATAACGGAGGGTTAGTGCACTCCTAAAGACGCTCCAACCTTTGCTTGCACGGCACAAAAATCTACGCGCCACGGAACATGACCTGCCTCACTTTGCGTTTTTTTCACTTTTGCTAATTCTCCCTAACCCACAGCATGCCACCTTGCGGAAAATACCGCTACAGGCAACGCTGATCTCGCTGACCCTGCCAACTTGCTCCCCTTTTTCCCTTTAAATTTCCCTTTTGGTGGTGGTATACGATAACTGCCTATCGATACTTCTGCAAATGCACCAAAGTTAAAAATTATCCCACAGTAATGTTGCGTATTTAATATTACTTACTCTAATCTAGATTACAAGTTCTTTGTCTGAGAACACTTTTCCATAAATAGCCGTATAGCTAGCAAAAACATTTTAATTTCATTTAATTTTACTCTGTTTGTTTTGAAACTTAATTGAATACACAATTCAGAGTTCAATTCAGAGAGTGAATTAACAACTACTACTATCTAAGCTAGGCTGTCTGACAATTCGACGTTCAGTTTCAAATATAGATTAATACTATCATGAAGTGATTGCTGCTGGCTTTCAGATTGCGACTTTCATTGTTAACTGTGGCAAGTGGTGAACACTGATCGGGTGAACGGTCTATACAAAGTGCCTCATATATATAATTACAGATAATTCGGTGCAACCTGTCACGGTCTGTTACATACTCGTCAATTGGTCAGTGTTTACAGTATTTACAGTGGCAGAATTTGATAATGAATAACAAGTGATTGATCAATGTATTAAATGTGTATTTATTATATTTACTGTGCATAAGACAAATGCGATTTGGCTGCAATCATTGCTTCTAGAATCTCATTTGATAAGTTTCCATTTCAATTACGGAATCTAAATAATGTGTAGTTTGTGTGCTGTTTGGCATTCTTCAGTTTAGTTCTTCAGTCCTTAGCCTCCATGAACATTGCAGCTAACACAATGTCCGTTAATGATGACGTCACCACCCCTTAAGGGATCGGCTGTGCGAAGAAATTCCCAAGTTTAGTATCGAGTTCAAAATGCATAAATGCAGTCCGTCTACTCACCACTAGCAAAAGCCAACAGACCCAACACAAATGCAATTGACAGCCACTTCATTTTCGAATAGTTGCAATGCAAACCTCAACAATTATACTGATTCATATGCAATGAAATCTTGTGCTTATATAGCTAAATTGATAACAGCTGCCAGGAAAAAACGTATATGTGACAACAGGTCAACTACGAGATAGCGCGGAAAAACCCGCAATTGAATATTTTAAGACCTTCATTTTCGAATGAAATTAATGCTTTTGTTGACTTGTATATATTTAATGCGAAATAAAATCTCTTGAAGTGTATAAGGCAAAAGTTCATGCTGATTTCATTGATTAACAAAGTAGTTTGTATGTGAGAGAGAGAGAGAGAGAGAGAGAGAGAGAGAGAGAGAGAGAGAGAGAGAGAGAGAGAGAGAGAGAGAGAGAGTGAGTAAGTACCATATAATTTATGTGTGATTAGTAAGGAGTAGTTATCCTTTATCCAACAAATTTTAACAAAATTGCTATAGCAAATGCTAGAGAAATGGATTCTCCCCATTCAACAGAGAATATACTGGTTGCGTCATGAAATCAAGAGCAGATAATCTTTAGATTTCCTAATAAGCTTCAAACTATACTCTACAAAAATAAATATAAATGCTTTCAGAGAGGCTGCTCTGAGCGTTACTTACTTCTGTTTCGCTTATAAAAGCGCTTTGAATGAATATTTAATAATCAGTTGCAACTTGCAGGTAACAAATAGAACATAATCAACATGAAGTGGATTTCGATAGCTTTTATTGTGGGTCTATTGGCGCTGGCCAGTGGTAAGTGTGGGAACTGTAACGATAACTTCATGCATTCAATATGCACTTCATTTACAGCAAATCCGCTACCAGACAATGTCATCATAAATGGCAATTGCGATAAATGTAACGTACGCGCCGATTAATCAAATATGCCCAAGGGGAGCAGGGGCAAAATATGCACCCGCCTGCGTCACAACATTACACAGACACATTACTTTTGAAATGTGGTTTATACTAAAATTAAAAATTTGCTCCACGCATTTTAACGAAAAAAAAAATGGATTCGGCTTGATTCTAAAGTGTAATACAAATAAAGTGATTGCTAAATGTATTTAGTGTGTATTTATTTATATCTACTGTACAATGCGCATAACTACAATGTACACCTCGACAATTATACTGATCTGCTGATATAGTTTCCAGGAAGTAAAAAATATAAATGACGCCTACGCCTTCGACTCCGTGAAATGTGATCTTAAATGGCGATGGCAAATACTGCAACTTCGGCACCAAAGAATAATTTATGCAGGGAACATGGGGAACAGATGCGGCCTTAAACACATATATTATATATAGTTGTAGGATATCGTTTAATTAAAATTTGCGCCTCCCACTTCAATAAAGTGGGTTCGCTCTTGGTACAAATTGGAAAAGAAATAACAAGTGATTGCTAAATGTATAAAATGTGGATTTATTTTTATTTACTGTGCATAAAGCAAATACAGTTTAGCTACAATAATTTATTCAAGAATTTCATCAGGTTAATTTAAAAGCTTACATCATTTTTGAATTGTGTTCGCTGGGTAGTCTCCAACCAGTTTCTTCAACCTTTTAAAAATGCAGCCAACACATTGTCGTCTAATAAATGCATCGGCAAGCACCAAAGAGGCGGCTGTGAAACGAAATTTCCAAGGTTAAAATGGAGCTAAAAATTAATGAAGTCCTTGCATTACACTGGCAAAAGCCAAAGGATCCAACACAAATGCCATTGACATCCACTTCAATGTTGTTTAAGTGTCTGCATTGTAGGCAGACTCCTTCAATTAAACTGAAGAATGAAGAATGGTGAATTAGCAGAAATCAGACAGTGTAAAAAAGAGAGTAGTCATTTTTTGAACCTTTAAAAAATCCAAAAAAAATACTTACATAAATAAAATAAATAAAAATACCCATCTCAAAATTAAAAATAGGCAACAAGTGATTTGTTTATGCATATTTCATGCGAAAATATTTATTAAAAACATTTGAGAGATAAGCCAATAATATTTCAATCATTTTGAAAAGATAAATTCATGACTGAATTCTGAATTCAAGAGTTCTAAATTTTGATATTATTGCTGGCAATTCGTGGAGTAGTTTATTCACATCAATATTATTAATGTTGCATCCATTGCAATCGCCGTTGAAATTTACATCATTTGGCAGAGGAGAAGCTGTTAAAGGATGGAGCAATTTAAATACGAAAACATTTTTTGGATTGTCCATGATTTGCAATCTTACCACTAGCCAATGCCAGGAGACCCAGCATATACGCAATTGACAGATACTTCATGGTAATTTAATATTTTTTTGTAGCTGACTGAAGCAAAAGCATTCAGTTGTTGTGCTTATATAGGCACTTTGATGTCTTGGAAATATATAAATATGAAATAATCTGGGAGACACTGTACATGCGCGTCGAGAACATTTTTGTCTCTCCGTTTGACTCTGTCTGCCCGTCTGCCCGCCTGCTCTACGCCGTTCACTCTCTTCGAGTAACTGGATTTTTATCACACTTAGCGACGGCAACGTGTTACAAGTTTCCATGGCGATCAGGAAATTATCGTATTCATCCGACAAACTCGACAACAACAATATAGACACACACTCTTCGACCATTAAAAAGTCGATCTCGCTTAGTCTTTCCACTAAGTTTGCAAACTTATGTACGTCTGTGATTACAGATTATTCATTTTTATTTTATATAAAAAATTCATAAACATTCATGTGATTAATTATGTCTAATTGCGGAGAACATAGCTTGTTGTAAAATATAAAAGACCAAAAAGCACAGAGCCTGCAGTCAAGCTCTGAGTAGCAGCTGCCGATTTTTTGATATCTCCTGGAATTATCACTGAATCGTCGCCATCAGGTCGATTACAGTCTATGCATTGGCCATTGATAACCACACTGCCCGGCGTAGCTGTCAAAGGGAAAATACGTTTGTTATATTAATTGTAAGGGGCTTCTAGAAAATGCAATTACCGCAAACCACAGCCAGAAGGCAGCCCAACAGTAGCAGTATCAATGCAGTTGTTTTCATATTCACAGTTCAGTGCTCCAAACGATCTGAGCTTGAAACGACCATATCATGCACTTTTATATAGAACATTATACAGATAATGACTGACACGAGAATCAATCTACGTCAACTCGTATATATTATAAAATGAGATTACAACCACTTCGGCATTATCCGCTTGGTGGGCAATGATCTCATCTACTCAGTTTAAAAATTAAATGAGGCCTTTTTGCGAAACATCTGTAGTAAAAGTATTATAATTTAATACAAAATGTATATAAATAAATGTGAAAAATATATTTGATGCGGGTTATTTTCATTTCAGAAGTCGATTCAAAGTCGATTTAGCTTATTTTAATTATTTCGATTAACAGAGTTGCTCAGCTCGCATGGCTTAAAAAATATCGATTAACAGACTTGCTCAACATAATTATCTATATGGTCTCAAGTAAAGTACAGTCATTAAAAATATGACGATTATGCTTAAATGAGTTATGCATATGAGTATAGATTAACTAATCCTAACCACTAGTCTAGTATAGTATTGCTGGAAAAAAATGATCAGTTGAATTATATATAATTCGTAAGTTTGTCTGTGTCAACAAAATTGTTTTAGTCAAATTTATATATGTATATATATTATATATATAAATATTATGTTATTATTTGTAGCTTGCTGATTTTCTTTTGAAACTCACAAAAGACTTCATTAATTATGAATGTTTTCCAATATACATTTGAAGTACAAATATTGAATATTGAATATACATATATATATAAGCAAAGTAAATGCATACATACATTCGCAAGTATTGAATACACATTTAAACGCCAAGTTTAAATATATACAACATATATATGTACATATATACATTGTTTTGATTGTAGTATGTGGTGCTATCAACCGCAAACTGTATTGCACAGCTATATTAACAAAGGAGAGAAAAGCAATAATAACTCATATGATTTAGTGATAAGAATTTACGTTGCAGAATTTATTAAACATTTTGTGGTTATTTTGTTTGATTTGTGTACTTAAAATATACGCTTCACATTCACAACATTGTACTATTTGGTTATTAATTATATGGCAGATGATGAGGATGGCAACTTCAAGGATTTAGGTCGTCCTAGGCACGAACATTGCACACTTTGCAATCGCCATTGATGATGACATTGCCAGGACTGAGTGGATTAGCTGCAGAAAACAAAAAAAAACAAATAATATTAATCTTGTGAATATAGAGAAATGTTGCAACTAGAATCCGGTCCTCCGCCCGTCGACTTACCACTAGCCAGAGCCAAGAGGCCGAGCAAGAAAGCGATCGACAGGAATTTCATGTTGATGGTTTTGTAATATTTTGTTTCTGTTGAAGACTCAAGCAAAACTACGGTTGTACTGATGCCTTACCACTTAGCCAGCAACGCTTTTATAGCTAGCCTGGAATTAGACACACGCTGAATTGGCACACGTTATCAACACGCTGAGATTCGAACTTGGAATTGCCCAGATTCAGGCGAGTGCTTAAAGTCTGATAGAAAAATTCTCAATTGCGTTGCGGCAAATGTGTTATTAGCTTTCAACTGAGTGCTCACTGAATGCGAAGCTGATATTCTCAGAGAAATATCTCATAGTCTATTGCTCTCGAGCATGCCCGAACTTGTTTTAATACTATACTTACTTGCTAAGCGGTCGGAGGGTATAATAACTTTGCCGTGAAGTTAGGAACGCATTGAAGGATGTATATATATATGACTGATCAACAAATCTAGTTGAGTCGCAATACACTTGCATATCTGTTTATATGCAAAACTCGTCTGTCATAAGAGATCGCTAGTTACGAGTTTGATTGTGCTCCTCAGAAAAACATGAATGTCAGACCACTAAAACATAGGGTATGTAATTGTCGGCATGCCGCAGAAAAGCATTCTTTCTTGTTTTTGCGATAAAAGCTGTCTAAGGCGCAGCTATACTGTATGTAAATATCTATTTGCAATATCTTATAGTATGTACTTTTCCGAGTAATCGTTAAAAAATCTTGACTGCTGTTGTTTGTTGAACTTGTCTTATGAATTAATTGCGCTGCCAATTCAGTTAGAGGTAACATAATATTCCCATGAAATATGCACATTTATTTCAACAGGATTTTCCATTTCTTAGTACAACAACAGAAATTAGATTGACTGGGAAATACTGAAATAGCTGCATTTTATTAACAAAATTAGAATAATAATATGATAAGCTTTCAGCTTAGTTTCCAAACTGATAAGCGACACGTGTAATATATTGATTATTTTAATTCTTTACGAGACATTTCAATATTTCTCAGTTGTTTATATTTTTTTATTTAAAGTAGCAGAACAAATAATATATATATATATATATATATATATATATATTTATTTATAAGCAATGTGTATGCATACATTTATTTAAAAATATAAACGAGTTCAAAGATCAATTTGATAATGATTTCGCAAATCAAAACAAAGTCAACTTTTGATGGCCTCTTCAATATGCAATTTATTTCTCAATGTAGCTGACAATAGCATTGTGCTGACATTTATACACAATCTGTTGACAGACCCTCCATCAACCATTAGATATCTGTAAAGAATTTCAAACTCACAGTAAATAATTGAAATGCATTCATAAGTTGTTTTTTATTTTTTTTTTATTTATTGTTAATTAGGAAATATGTTTAAGATTTTGAATGCAGTGTGAACATAAATATGGTACAAACAACTTGAGATTGAGAGTGAAGAAGTTTTGTTTGCCTATTTGCCGCCATGGACATTGCAGTATTTGCAGTCACCGTTGATGACCACACCTCCATCGGGCGACAGTGGAACGGCTGTTGTTGATAAATCAAAACAAAGAAAGCATATTTTAGAATTGTGCTGAGCGAATTAACTGGTTAGATATTGCCACTTACCACTGGCCAGAGCCAAGAGACCGAGCACGAATACGGTGACAACTGAGAAGAATTTCATATTGTTGGCTGCAGCTGTTGACTGTTTTGCAAAGGCTTGCGTTGAACTGATGCTGCTAACTGGTCAGCATCCATCTTATATGGGTACTAGCTGTACGCAGCTGCGAAATACACACAGCCACAACTTTTTGCCAATTGAGACACACTGTTCTCAGTGTCTCTGTGTGTGCTCTTGATAAGTACCCATAGGGAAATTCCCAATGGAATACACAATGTTTGCTTATCAAATTAACTTGACGACCCATCACTGAAAAGGATTTCTCTTCGCTTTTTCTCTCTCCCTCTCTTTCTCACTGTTATCATTATTATATTACATTGTTAGCCTTGAACAATTAAATAAAGGAATAAAAAGTAATTACAAATATATAATATTAATATGTAAATTTATTACAAATTCTATCTGACAGTGCATCGAAGTTGGCGCATTGTATTATTACTGCATTGTCTTGGCGAAAATATGTATTTAATATTCTGTTGTAAGACATTCTCTTCATTATAAATGTGATTAGATGTTTGATTTAAATAGTAGTTTTAGTAATGTGTTTTTATGATCTTTCCTTCGAGCTCTTATTATCTGCTTTACTCACACTCTCTCTATTTTTCTTTCACCCTCTATTTAATTAATTTGCCCTCTTTTATATTGCCTTTCTATGCGAATCTCAAATAAAAGTATGGCCTACAAAGTTATGAGTCCTTATTTATTTGGTAGTATTTCTCTATAAGAGATATATAATTTTATAAGTTAAGTCTAAAAGTAACATACAATTTAAAATACAGAGTATCTAGCATTCTCGCCTCGAGTACTCTTCCATGTTCAATAGAAGCATATACTTTTTTAATCGTATAAGTCGATTTCAAGCATTGACTGATTAATATATATAATATATATATACGTCTGTATGCCAATGCTATACTGCGCATTCTGAGTGCCATATTTTTAAAAACGTTGCAATCTGTCGAAGCGTGTTATAAGTTCATCTTTGTTTACATGCTGCAAAGTCATTGATAATCTGGGCATTTCCATATTATTTTAATTAATAGCATACAATACTGGAAAGAAAAATAGCACTGTTAAAGTTTAAAAAAAATTGAATTTCTGCTGTGCTTTGCTTGTTTGAGTCTTGTCGCTGATGTGAGGCGAGTAACAAATGTGATCAAGGTCAAAAAATCGAATTCATCTCATTTGATAGGATATATTTGGTGTAGAAGAAAGACAAATTGTGATTTTGATGCTATTTTGCCTGCCACAACTATATATAGTTAATATACTTTGTGTACATCGTTGTACTTTATACACTTAATCTATTGATAGCTGTAGCTCAATCGTAGATCGGATCGTTCACGGCTCCAGGGGCACCTCGACGCCAGTATAAAAGAATCATTCCAGTGAGCACAGCGTCAAGTTGAAGTTAATAAAATGAGATGCATAACGCTGTTGACGTTTTTGATGTTAGCCATCCTGGCCATTAGCGCGGAGGGTTTGTTATTTGGCCTTAAATGAAATGTAACCCATCCACTGACATTACTGCGCCTCTTCCCTTTTCCTTTTATTCAGCTGGCAAGGTTACCATCAACGGCGCCTGTATAGACTGCAACCGACCCGATGCACCGACAACGACAACGCGCAGGCCGACATCAGCAAATAGCGGACGACGACGTGGACGCCCGACGACGCCCAAGCCGAAGAACACCAAAACTAAGGATGACAGCGATGAGGATGACTGGGGTAACTTTAATCTGTTTCAGGATGAGCGTGGAGGACAGCACATAACGGCGGCAAGGCGCCACAAACGACAATGGGGCCACCGTCAGGTGATAATCACAGATCCGGGCACTGGCATTGGTGGCGGTGGCGGTGGCTGGTCTGGTCATGTTACCACAATCGATTCACGTGGACGTCCCGGCACCGTATTGCACAACGATGATTGCGTTGGCTGCAACATAAATGGCTAGGAAGCGTGTCAGTTTATATTCAATTGCTGGCTAATAAACGAGCTTCTGTGCTCCCCACTTGCAATATTATTGGTTGACTTTCAGCTAGGGGGCAAACCGGTTTGGGAAATACCTATGTATAAGTTAGACTCAGAAATAAGCTCAGTTCGCGGAAATTCCATACATCAACTGGCAATCGAGTTTATAATTGTTCATCGTGTTGTTTGCTGATAACAAAAACAACAACAAAATTGCACAAGCAGCGTATATAAAGAAAAGTAGCCACAGCATCCATTCCAGTTGAAGTTATATTTAGCAATGAGATTGTTTGTCTGCGCTTTGTTTGCCATCCTTGTGGCCCTGGCAGCCGGTAAGAATCTCAGCCGTCTCCTTTCAGCATTGAATTCCTTATGACTTCTCTATCTCTCTCTCTCTCTCTCTGCATAACTTAGCTGGCACCGTTGTCATCAACGGTGTCTGCCGAGATTGCACTCCACCAGACGCTGAGACGGTTATCGTCGGCAATAAGGTGACCAAGGGTCGTCCTGGACATGGCACCGTCTACATCAAGGGTGAGGACTCAAAACCAGCTGCTCCACTTCCAATTCCTGCAGCTTCTGCTGATAGCAGACGTCCACCACGACGCACTGTCATCATTAATGGAGGAGAGGGTGGAGCTGCTTCTGATCCATATGTTGTGCCCGAAGGCTACAGTGGACGTGTGCCTGGAGGCACCTATGTGCATAACGCCGATTGCAGGGGCTGCGACATTCGCGGCTAAATTAGCTGATCTCCTCTATTGGACTGATTTTAAAATAAATATATAAATTGGGGTGCTAAGAACCTGTCCCTCAAGACTGTTGTTTACTTTTCCAGTCCGAATTATTAGAAATAACAATTGCTGAGCAATATATACAATCTGGGAAAATGTTCGTTAGAGTTTCTCATATTTTGTGTTTCGCTGTTGCAATTGCTGGTCGTACCTCGAGCGCCATCTGTCGGCAAGTAGAAGTACTACCAAGTGTGTTATCTGAGCTTATTGAGGTATTGAGTACATTGAGTGAGTTGGCAACAGTCGCCTACAAGTGCATTATATACACACCATCAGCTCAAATGATGGGCAGCAGACGTGCATTCTCTTTATACCCTCACAAAGGGTATTATAATTATATCGTAGTGTTTGTAACGCATTGAAGAAAACGTCTCAAAGAATATGTATTAATTGTGGAAGAAGCAAACGTCTCCGACTCCACAAAGAATATATATAAATTCTGAATGAATCTTGGCATGTAACCGTCTTTCTACTGTAGGCAACTCATATGCCAGAATCGACCGGATCGCATCCGTATATTATATAGCTGCAATGGGAATGATCGATTGAAAGTTGAGCTCTTGTTTGATAGACTATTCAGTTTACAATATGCGTCTTATCATAATAGGAACAATTAAAAAAAAACCTTTTATTTACTGTGTTGTCCCAATCAAACCTGGTTTTTTTAATTGTGGGGGTTTTTTTACATAACTATATATGTACATATTATGTGTGTGGGATATTTACGAGTCAAGATCAACAATGAATTAAAAAAAAACTAAAGTTAACATGCAACGAGTATTCCCAATCATGTATACAAATGAAGAGCTGCGCACTAAAAACGGCAATTTTACAAGGGAACTCACTTTTGAATCAGGGGCAAGCCCCAAACCCAGTTCCAGCCGCACTGGCTTTTTCCCAGCGTATTGAGTGGCTGGCCTTTGGCTTTGCCAGCGATACCGGTATATTTTTAAACGTTGTTGAGTTTAGTTGTATTATGATTATGGGACTGATGATGAGCGCTGTATAAAAAGCTGAGAAAATGGCAAAACTTGATCAGTCTCTTCTGCGCCATGAAGTGGTTCTCGTTGTGTGTTTTGCTGCTTGCGTTGCTTGGCGTACTTGAAGCGGCACCTGCCGGTAAGTAGACGCACTACAAAAGACTCGAGCGAGTTCTTTGCTGATTATATATATATATATGTGTGTGTATGTCTCTAAATGTATGTGTATTTCTGCAGGTCAAATACGTGTGCGCACCTCGTCGACGACCAAGGTACATGTGCGAAATGGGAATATTAAATGGAATGGCAATTGCCACAATTGCGACATACGCACCAGCAAAAACACCGCTCAAGTGACCAGCACGAGAACGCAACAATATACGCGTAAATTCTAGTAAAAAATTTGTGCTTAGCTACATTTACAATTAAATAGTATTAATATTTATTAATATGCTCAAAACTTGTCAAAAAAATATATAGTTTTTAATATTTATATTTTACACAATTTTGTTATTGGGAAATTGTCATAAATCAGTTAGAAAATGCTGCATGTCGAAAATATTTGATGGAGCGTGCGTGAAAATTGCCATCATATTGAAGTTTGGTGGTGCCACCGAATGTGGCTGGTGTTGCAACCCTTTTTGCTTTGCCTTTTCTTCGCTATTACACGTGTTTCTTGTCTACAAATTTTTATTGCAGCCTCGTCGCCGTTGTACTAAGCCATAAAACCAGCTATTTCCTTGAGCAGCCTGTTTTTTTTTTCGTTTCGTTTCGTTTTTGTTTTTATTTTTGTTTTTTGTTGCCGGCTTCAACGTTCACGTTCCTTCATTTTATTGCCAGAGAACGAAAGCAAACCGCTGTGCGCCCGTAAATGACTCCCCAGGCACCTTTATATTGACTCGTAAAATTGCGACATTTAGAGCAACCCTCTGTAAGCGGCTAAACACCCCCACACCGCCCACACCGCCCACCCGCATTTCCGGTCGTTTGTCTTTTGTGTTGCCTGCTTTTCGGCGCCGTGACTACTTTCTTAGCGTTGTTTTTCTTCCTTTTCTTCTTTTCTTCCTTTTTTTAAATTTGATTTTTATTTGCCTCACAGTTGTAGCCGGCAACGATTTTTATGGTCGAGTGTCTCGCTCAGCCCTCACTCAATTGTTTTGCCTTCACCCACAATTTTTTGTGTACCCTTTGCTGAGAGAGGGTTTTACTACGGCGAAGTAATTAATTTCAAAATAATGCGATTTTTATTTCCAAATTCAATGAATACAAATTAAAAAAAGACTAAAAGTGAAGCAGTGAATTATTGTAAAAATCGTTGAAATTTTTATTTAAAATTTCGGGTATTTTTGAGGCACAGTTTAAATTTTAAATTTTTATTTTTTTATTAATTAAAGCAGATATTTTCGATAGGTAAGCTGTCCTATTAAACTGAACTGCTGCAGATATATATTTTGTTAGCATTTTCGAAGGGTATTCAAGCGTTGGTAACCCAAAATAGTTTTTTTTGTGGCCTGTTGTTGCTGCGAGCGACGGAAATTGAGTTGGAAAATGTTTCAACGCTGCTTTTTCATTTGGGTGTGGAGCCAACCAACATTGAAATAAGGCATAAACTCTGAACAGTGGAAGCAATCGCATTGCTCAATCGGACACGCCCACACACAAATACACACACACACACACACACACATACAAACACACACAAACACACAGACACTTCGGTGCTGCTATCGGCGTTAACTTTCTGCCTGATTTTCACTTGACATCTTTCTGTTATCCGTTTTGACCTCCGGCTTTTGTTCGGTTTGCGTCCGAAACTTTATTAATTTGAAATATGCGAGTCGCGAGCCGAGGTGAAATGATTTATTGGACTTTTCAACTGGCACTCGAGCGCTCAACTTAATGTTAAGCGTAAAACGCGTTCATAATTAATTTCATTTTTGCAGACATTGCGCATTCGCAATGTTGCACTGCCACCCACCCACCCAGACCACAATTTCACACAGTTTATATCTTTCTTCTGTTTTTCAGCAGCTTCGCTTTTATTTGAGCCATTTGCATCTTGTTACGTAGACACGTTTATTCGCTTGTCTTGCTGCCAGTGAAAGTGGCCCGCAATTTATTTAACGTTTTTATTATTTCATTTGGCCTTAAATGAATTTCAACCCCTTTTTACGTTCGGAGTTGTTGTTGCGCATATAAGCGATTTTCTCTGTTGCACAAGGATGTCGCAGGATGTGCATAGCATATGTTATAAATAAATGAATCACTGAGAGCATTCGTGATGAGGCCACTGCTGCCAGAAAATGCACATTAAAGCCACAGGAATTGTTAACGCTGATGACATTTTCTTATATTTTAATATTTAAACAAAGACTTGTAAACAAATGCTTATGTAGTAAAATATTTGCTCTTTAAAGAATTAAATTCTCCAAATATTTCTATACAAATTGCAGTGCTTTAAATTCCGCTCAATTATTTGCATTATGCATTTATTTTATATTTTCAGTTGCATACTTTTTTGGAGCAATTTGCCATTCAGTTAATTTCATTGTCCGATTTATGAAAAATATAAATTTATGATTTTGATTTTACATTATTTATGTGTTTATTTGGTGCACATTTATAATGAATTTGTCTTGCATAAATTATAATCCGATAAATTTAATTAATTGAGCATGCATGCAAAGAACACAACAAAGAACAAATAAATTACGACTACGAATAATATTTAAATATATATATTTGAATATATTTGAATATATATCATTGAATTTAAAAACAAATAGAAAAATTAAAATCAATAATAATATTATTTAAATAATCATATTTAATTTGAAAATATGTATATCATAAAAACAAAACAAATAGGAAAATTATTAAATGAAATCAAACTAAATGAATATCTAATATTATTAACATTGGAAATCAATTAAAACAAATTAAGGTTGTTGCTGATACTGATACTGATATAAATAATATAATTAGTTGACTTTTAAGTTCATATTAATTACAACAAGTTGTGCTATTAAAAAAGGCCTGCCAAATTTAAAATGGAACTCAGCTTTAGTTGCTGTGCTACCCAAATAAAAAATATATATATTTATTTTTTGCAATCAAACTTGGTTGGCGAAGAGGAAGGGATGGGTTACTGATGGGATGGTGCTGCAATGGCATTGCCAAACCTCCCACGGCACTCATTGAATATGCGCTGGGCACTCAGAACGAAGTTTACCCTGGGACTGATTTGATTTTCGTAATTACCTCAACGAGTGTCCCAACTCACCTGGCCCAGTGTTGTTGGTCAGCTGCAGGTGTCTGTCGGTGTCAGAGTTTGTGGCTTAACGAGTTGATTAACTGCAGTAATTGATGGAATTGCGTATGGGACTTAAAGGTGTAAAAGGCTGGCTTTGAATGCCGCCGCCTGCCTGGCATTGTTGATAAACATGTCATTGTCATTAGATGGCTTCACTTCCCTGATATTTTGGATATACCCGAGAAGGGAGAATAAGGTGCAGAGCGTCCTCACCATGCACGTCCTCGACTGGACGGTGCGCATCAATCAAATAAGCACGAAATGCACACGTTTCATTTATAAATATTTGCGGCGAGGGTCGCACGACTGCACAAAAGGCAGCAGGCGCACGGGGGAGCAGGGTGGGCAGGGAACGGCTACAGCCAAAAGGCAGATATAAAAAACAAAAAAAAAAATGATTTAAAAATTGAAAGGATTATGGGGCAAGCGCAGCAACGAAGCGCGTTAATGCTGATGCCGCCGCGGGGCACAGAGCGGCCAAACAACAGAAAAAAAAGGGTCGTCCGCAAGGGAGAAGGAACGGTGAGGGGTGAGGAGGCGCTACAGATATGCCTGGCCATATACATATATATATGTACATATATATACAAATATATATATATATATATGTGTGTTGGTGTCGCTGTCAGTCAAACAAAACTGTGCAAAAATCAACGAGGCAACGCGAAACAAAAACCCAAAGCAGAAAGTTGATGCCACGCAGCAACTGTGCAGGGAGATGAGCGCAGGATGTGTGTCTGTGTTGGTGGGTGGGGCAGGGCTAGGCGGGTAGCAGGGTTGATGGTCAACAATATTTTGAGCAGGAATGAAAAGTAAACGCAACCAACCAGGGCGGGCCGTGGCATCTGCACAGTTTCTGTCGGCGTTTTCTGTTTGGAGATTTGCTTTTTGTGGCGCACATGGAGCACTTTCGCTGCGTTGTGAGCCAGCCGGGGGCACAATCATAACAGAAAAAGAAGAAAACCTTCAACTTTTGTATAAATCAAATCAAATATCTGAACAAGCTGGTGTCGCCAACGCCAACAAAAGCAACTTTAATCGGAATATGCTAAAATAGTGGTTTCAATTTAAGTATAACAGCCGGACTCGGATAACAATCGACGTAAATATCTCTCGGGAAATCAAGGGATTGATGGGCATTTCGAATGATGAGCTACATGCTTCTTGAATTGTGATTTGATGTCGATTTTGTGGCGAAACCCACAACTATTTCAACCCAAAACTAATCTGCAGCTTTTTTCCTGTTAATAACTAATAACTATCATTACTATTTCACTCATAGTTAATTTCTCTCTATTTCTCTCTTTAGTTAATAATATACTATGTGTCATGCTCCTATCGAAAATCGAAAGAAATCTGTAAAGAAATTTTGAGAATTTTAATTTTCTCATTTATTTAATCTATACATTCCCAGTCCACATTAGCAAATTACTGCAAATAATACGCTGTGAATAATAATAATTCCTCAAGCCAACTTTAATGCCTTGAATAATTTAGTCGGGCATTGTTTAGAGGCGCCTCCAGCTATTTCTCAAAATGTTCTTGTTACTTAAGTTCTTGAAAGCGCCCAAGGGCTTCAAAAAAAAGTATTTTTAACTTAACTTATACTTTATTGAAGAGCCCAGAATTAATTCATCTGCAGCACTCAATTTAAAAAGTTGATTTTGGCCTTAAGAAGAGTCATAAGATGAATTGAGTAGACAAACTGGCAGCTTAAGCTCAGTTTCTGTGCCCATTTTCAGCTAGTATCATTGCAGCATAGCCACAAAACTTTTATATGTTGCAATGTGCAAGTTGAGGGTAACTGTGGCACATAAAACAAAGGCATGCAACATAAACAGAACAAAAAAAAACCCAAAGTTTTCAGCTCAAGTGACGTTAACTAGTTGGCTGCTTGTGCTGTGTTTTGCGGCCTTTCAAGTTGCAAAGTTATTTGCCAGCAATCAGAATCAGTGCAGACCAACAACTTGCCACAAGCTGCCAGTTTGCAGTATCGTGTATTAAGTGGATCGTCTGCAACTACTGCTGCTGTTGCTGCTGCTGTGGCAAGTTGTTGCTGCTGCTCGTTGCACGTTGCTGCGTAGGTTGAACTCACTTAGGCAGCCGAGGCGGCTGAATTAGCGTTGCTCCGTCCGCGCCCGCCTGTCTGGGGCAGCATGATGTGGCAAGTTCTGTTCCTGTTGCTGCTGTTGCTGCTGCTGTTGCTGCTGCTGCTGCTCTGGGACTCGCATCA